AATGAAGCAACAAATTTTCCTTCAAGCCAATTAGAGATAACATTAAAAATTTCGAAAAATGTCTAAAAATGAATGAAAAAAAGAAGTCTTGAAATAATGGTAAGAAACTAATTAGATAATTTTTTTCTAAATAAATAATATGTTATGAAAACAAAAAAATGAAGGTTCCCTTCAAGGGTCGCTGCATTTAAAAACAAAGGAAAAAAAGAAGAAAATAGAACGAGGAGAAATTTGAACTATTCATGTATGTAGAAGAACAATTATAAATTTCACATTGAAGATCGTTTGAGTTTAGTTGATTGCCTGTTCAGTCATCTGACGACAAAGAGATTCCAAACGACTATTGATGTCACTTGCACTTGGCGCTGTCGATGATGAGCTCATACTTGTACTTAAACCAGAATCACTTAAATTCTTTTCAGTACTTTCAAGTGAAGTCGAAAGTGTGTGACTTAGCAAGCCACGATCAGAGCAACTGCTGTTACGACGATTCAAAAACTGTTGTTGAGCTGTATTGAACGGCATTAAATTGTTCAGCGAGTGACGATGATACGGCGGTGCTTGGCCAGTTGGAGTCGTCACTTGTTGATTAAAATGATGCAGAGGATGAATCGGTTGTTGTTGCATCAAAGAAAATTGATTCAATTTTTCACGACTAATTGATCTTTGGAAATTATTGAGATTCGTTGATTGTTTACCTCCGAAACTGGGATAAGATAAGCTTTTGTCGCCTGCACTTTGATTGTACGATTGAATGTTGTAGTATTGCATCGAACTTTTGCGATGAATTTTTGGTTGATTATCACTTGATGGTTGATTAGTCGGCTTTATTTGTTTTGTGCTAGTCCATCTGTTAAATTAAAATTATAAAATGTTATTTTTTATAAGAAAAACAAGAGAGAAAATCTGTCAAATACGGAAAAAGCTCCACAAAAGAAATTCAAATGTACCGCTAAATTTTTAATGAAGAACGAAATTGTTTACAATGTTTTAGAGTTTTGCATGTAAGCTTCTAGTCTCAGGCAAAAAAAATGTTCATGAATTGCCAACAATATTTAATTAAAGAAGCTACATGCAAAATTCCAAAATATTATGTTTAAAAGCCGTTAACAGAAGACAAGCAAATGGTTAGAATTCTTAGAATTAGGTATTTGCGCTCTTTAAATCAAGCTTTTGGTTTTTAAACGTCAAGTAAAAGTTCTCTCATCAAAAACAGTTTACCTCATCTTGCTGCCTTTGTTATTGTTACTGTAATGCATTTTATTGTGGCCAAACTGAATCTTCAAACGTTGCAATTTGTACTTAAATTCTTTCAAACGATTAGACTGTTGTTCAAGTGAATCATGATGCAATGCTTTATCAATCAACCAATTGAAAGCTGACGAACATTCTTCTTCACAACCTTGAATGAACTTTCCAGTCATCAAAAGTTGAAAAGCTGTAAGAAGAAAAGAGAAAATTATTTGTAAGGTGTCTTGGATAAAAGGTTTGTGTCTCAGATGAAACTTTTCATAATAACTAAAAATGCAATATTTCAAAATATATTTGCATTCTTATCTTACCACAATCCAAAACTCTCATGAAATGCGAACCAACATCTTCTTCATAAGGAACTGAATTGATAGGCTTCATTGGCGTACAGACAATATTTGAAAGCTCATCTAATACTGTTTTTAAATGTTTACTTCCATCCATTAAATCCTTTTCCATTTGATTTAATATTGGAACACGTTCGTTTAACTTTTGAATGCATAGTACAAGTTTATGACGTGCACCTTTCGTAACACCAAGGCTCTCCAGATAATCTTCAGTCATTTCCATCATTTGGTCATAGCCCATGTTGCTGAACAGCCAGAAATATTTATGCAATCTCAAGCTCTTCAACCAAACACCAATGTGACCCATTCCAATGTGATTTGTGTTGTTTGAATATCGCATTTGTCCCATTTTGTTATAATCATCAAGACGTGTATCAGATCCACTTGATACTAAAGCGTTTCGTGATGATTCGATCGATAATGAAAAGCTTCGAGGTTTTAGCAGATTTGAAAGATTTTCAGCTGAAGATGATGTTACAAAATCACCTCGTGCGGTTGGTGTTGTCAAACTATTCGAGCGTCTCGTTCTTGCAAGATTTCCATCATCACTATATCCATCACCTCCATTTAATGATCCGTAATAATCAAAAACATGATCATTGAAGAGACAAGGGACAGTTAAAAAGTCATTTGTGTTCGATGCACTAGTCAACGATGACGTTGCAGTCTTTGAACTCTCAATAAACTCACAATCAAAATCAACAATCTCTTTTCCATTTTTTGAAAACGAAATGGGATGTTCGTCAGTGGATTCAAAAATTGAATTTGAAGGTTTAATATTCGATCCTTTGGCGATGCTTTGAATAGCATTCTTACTACCAATTGGTGTTGGATATTTTGGTTGAATAGCATCATCGCTATAGTCTTGATTTAATGCTCCTGGCCGTGGTAAAACTGGTAGTGTTTGAGGTACTGCTGTTGGCCATGTCATTGACAAAGCCGAACTTGAAGACGATGCACTGGAAATTGAAGAGGCCGTCGATAAAAACGATGACGTGTTATCCGTTGGCAAAAAATTAAAATTGTTGCCAACATTATTCTGACTGTAAGAAGATGCAATATGTTCCTCCAATTGTCGAAGCCATTGATTTAAAGCCCTTAAGAAAAAGAAGTATAAAAATTTAGTTTCTGTTTGCATTCTCTTGAATATTGTCAATTTAACTCACTTCCGATCATCATTCTTAATTGCAGGATGAATTAGTAGATACGATAAAATTTGTTGTACGAGTTCAATTGGCAAATTATGCTTTATTGAGTCTTCGATGAGTACTGGTACGAACTGCATGTAAATTCTTTTACCTTCTTCATTATTTGGTCGTAACAAAGGAAGGAACATTAATAAATCGTTGATGATTTCATCTTTGCTTGTGTATTTCGAAATAAGATCATCTTCCAAATTCTTTCCATCGCCACTGCCGCTGTCATAATCACTAACAAAGTCACTTTCATCACTGGTTGTCGTTATATTTATTAAAGTATTATATTTATGAATTAATTTATTGAGGAACGTAACGGCATTAGCAGCATCCTCGAAATGAGTTAGGCGATGAGGTGTGTTGAAACTTTGTTTCAAATAATGGTCAATTGAGTGAATGAGAAATTTTAGATTTGCAAATGGCAGACGCTTAAAAAGCGCGTAAATTACAACTGTTCGCTCACAGTCGTTCCATTGTTCATACATGGTCGTCAATTGTTGAACTTGTTCACAGAACAGTTGTGTTTCGCTGGAAACTGTTGAGTACTTCATTTTCTTAGTATTTTGAACAATGTTTTAGAACCGAAAGTTATTTGACAAATGTTTCAACTTTTCGAGGCTAGGGAGAGTGGATTTCTGTGAAGAGATGAAAATATTATAAGTAAATTAAACTATATTCTATGAATATATGTGTGTAAAGAGTTAATTGTTTTCAACTTTATATGTGGCACTTCAGTTATTCTCTTAAAAATAATTATGGAATTTTTTCTACGATCAACTCCCAAAATGGATTCCTGTTTTTTATCTAAAGGAATTTATATCAAATCCGTATAGTTTTTACTCACTTTTATAGAAACTCGAATCTTTGAAGAAACTATAATATCATTGTTACTTAAATTATATCTTTAATGTGAGTAATACGTAAAAAAACGAAAAATTTGACAATTCTCTTCTCTTCTTCTGGCTCAATGCAAAACTGTAGTCAGGGGTGTGACAATTGCGCGCAGAAAATTGTGAGAAAGAGTGATAGAGAGAGAAAGAGATATTGTACGTTAAAATTTGGTCTCCTAAGTAAAACATAAACAAAAAGCTCATAACGGAAAATAATTCTATTTAAGGAAAAAACATTAAATATACGATTCCTCATCGATATTCAAAAGATGTACGCTGCTTGTTGATGTTTTATCATAATTGTTAGAAAGTTTCTTTAAGGACAAACACATTAATTTACAAGATATTTTGAAATTGAATATTTAGTAAGAGTTGAGAATTTAATTTGCGATAAATATTGAAACTAAATTGAATTTGAATGTTTTTAGAGTACAAACTGAAAGGATGTCGTTCAATGATTCAAAATTTACAACATCATCTCCAATCATCAATCAGGCGTCAAAGCTTTCATCAACACCAGTCCACATGTCGGCTAACCTGAGTCAAAATTTAAATTCTTCTGGTAACATGGAAAGGAATTGCTTCAATGTTTGCCAAAATCGCTTCAAATATATCATATTAATGAGTGCCACAGTTCAGTTTATCATGTTAATTATTTACACTACACTTTTATATATATTTTTTCTTCATCCTGTGGTTTGGGCAAAAGAAATTTTCCTAATAATTTTTGCTCTTATATTCATCACAATGTGGAGCGACGGATACTTTATATTCCATCAACCACTACTTGAAGAGAAAGAATATCATTCAACAAGATTCATAAGTTTCATGCGAAGATTTCCTCATGAGTTAACAATGTTGACATTCAATTTCACTATTGGATTAATGACAGCTTTGCTTTTTCTTCGATATCTGAGTGAACAAGACGATTCGTATTCCTTCATCAACGAAAAGAAGTTTATTTTTCGTGAGAAGCATGGATTTCTGATTCTCAATGCAATCTTCTTGAGATGTTATTTCTATTATAATAAAGAGAATGATGAACAAACCATCAGCTTTCCAATGATTCATCAATCAAAGCTTCTTCAAATCAAACGGAAACTTAAAGCTGCTCTGAAATCATCGCTCACTAAATCTCTGATACCAACTTTACATGCTGTTGCATTTTATCTGACAGTTGGAAGATTCTTATTTTTCTTTATTCGTTGGAGTGACAAAGAAACTTCAGTCATTAAGAGTTTTCTAACTGTAATGGATGTGAAATTGTTATTTTCCACGTACATTCTAACATCTTTTATATTAAACAACATGAAACTTACTTTAAATATTGTCAACATAGTTGCAACACATCCAAAAATATTTCCAATTGATGGCAATGAGTCATTAATTCTCGCTGAAGTTTTATCGTTTTCAAAGAATCAAATTACTCAACTTCTTGCAGCTTATGATTTGTTTACTCTGTCGAATGAGCCAAATAGTTCCAGACGAAAGCAATTTTATGCGTTATCAAATCCTGGTGGCCATCCACATAACTGGAAGTTGCTTGTCCAAAAATCTCTTGTAATCGTGAACAATTTCAGTGATGAAGTTAAGAAGACAACTGAAAGCATCAGTAAAAGCAAAGGAGCTCAACATATGATCGATAATAAGAGTCACACACTATATAACTTCTACGAAAGTAAACGGATGACCAGAGAATACAATAATTTCACAGGAATAAGAAATATGGGATCAAATCCATTAATGCCACCACCAAATCAGAAACCAGCAACACCAAAGCTTATTGATGAGATTAAGCAGAAGCTTCTGAATTACAAAATTATTTTCTTCATTTTCGGTGAAGCAGACGAAGCGAAATTGAACTTTTTATTGAGAAATAATTCACAAGCTATTGAATGGATTGTTCAAGGAATATCAGCGATGGTTGTTCGCTCCTTAAAGGAAGATAGCTACGGAGTTGTACAACACGATATCAAACAAATCCTTAAATCACTCATCAAACTCAAAACTATGTTGGATAAAATCGGAGCTTACAATTCAATCAGCAGAGATCGAAATTTCATGGCACTTAAAGCTTCTGTTCGTCGTTCACTTTATCAAATTGTTAACACTTTTTCTGGATTTTTCGAAGATTTATTATTAGACAGCGAGGACGTAAGAGCGCTTCATGGTTTTGTTAATTATAGAGAACTTTAAATATTTTTGTGAATGATTTAAGTATTTAAACATTCGAAGACTGATCTGTCGGTAATTCTTCTTTCTTCATTTGAACAGATATTTGTAGTTAATTTGTAATTTAATTTCAAATAAAACCTGGCTGCAAGTCATCGAAATTATACTTTCCATTTATTTATGTCTTATAATGATAAAAACGAACTGAGGTAAAATGAACAAAATTAAATTTATTACTTACGCGACTGTAAGTTTAATTATTTCGTCACAATCACAACTTTTTATTAAATCATAAAATAAATGTTTAAACTTGGAAATCTTAAATCGATGAAAATAAGTTTTAATTAACTTTTTTTAGCAACAAATCATTTACGATAAGATCTTATCGTTTGTGTTGATAATTTTCTTGTTTTATTTCGTAATGAAATAAGTTCAGGTCGATCTAAACAAGGCAATTGATAGACAGAGACCAAGCTGAAAGCAGCGACAATCATGGACAGTTGACAAGCCTAACTTTTCCTTAAAAAAGAATAATCAAGTTAGAAGCAACATTTATGTTTATTAATTACATTAAAATAATTCTTTATTATTAAGTTTAACAAAAATTTCTCAGATTATTCACAACGCCAATTCCATAGAAAAGTTTATCTTCAATCTTATTCCATCCTTCATTGGAAGCTTCTTCAACGNCTGATTATCGAAGTAGCAGCTTATCGAAGTTTAACTGTATATAAGTATTTTGCTGATTAAGTTGTAATACATTTTAGAAACCCTGAGGATGAATTAAAACAAATTCGAAACCGGTCGGAAGAAACAGCAAAAAATCGCTTTGTTTTTCATTTATTAGTCTGATAAAGCCACGTAAAAAGTTCTTCAATACAAAACAATTGTAGTGATATCCTTTTACTCTCCAGGTATAACATTCTCTGTTCAACCTATAAGCAACAATTTAACTTCTCTAGTTAGTTACTGTAAATTAAACAAACTTGATTTCATTCTATCTGCCGATGCAAATGCGCATCATCAAATCTGGGGCGGTAATCAAATATGTAATAGAGGTATAAAGGTGCTAGATTTTATTATTAAAGAAAATCTTATCCTATTGAACAAAGGTGATATCCCAACTTTCGTGAGGGGGAACTCAAGGACTTTTATAGACATTACGGTCAGCAGTAAAGGACTATCTGATAGGTTAGTAGACTGGCAGGTTGACATTAATAGATCGGGTTCGGACCATAACACCATATTTTTCTCATTGAAAACTGATACATTTGAAAACTTAGGGAAAGTTAAACGAAGAACGAATTGGGAAGGGTACAAAGCTTCTCTACAGGAGAAGCTCCAAACATTATCATTACTTAATAGCAGCAAAGAAAATCTCGAAAAGAACTCTCAAATTTTCTCGAATGTGCTTATCGATTCATTCAACCAAAACACCAAAACATTTAAAATCAAATTAAACTTTAAAACAAAATGGATGAATAAAAATTTACTGGATGAAAGAAAAAAAGTAAGAAAACTCTTTAGCAAAGCATTTAAATCCAAGAAAAACATTGACTGGTCAAACTATAAAGTAGCAAACAGAAACTATATGAAATCATGCCGTAAAGCTAAAACAGAATCCTGGAAAAAGACCACATTAGAAATTGATGCATTGGAGGACGCCACAAGATTACAAAAACTACTCGAAGGGGAAAAAAACTTTAAGTTAGGCTCCCTTAAAAATATAGACGGCTCTTATACCAGAAATATAGGTGAAAGTTTGCAATTACTACTCTCAACCCACTTCCCCGATTGTATAGAAGAATCCTTTCCCTCGCAAATGCAGTACGAAGAAAGCATTTCTCACTTCACTACTGAAGAAGTAAAATCAATCATCAGCGACTTGAAGGTGAAGGACGCTATCAACAGCTTCAAAGCCTTCAAATCACCTGGTGATGATAAAATTTTTCCTGCTTTACTCCAGAAAGGCATAGATTTTATTCTCGACATAATAACATCTCTGTTCATGGAAAGTCTGCGTCACAGCTACATTCCAAGCTGTTGGATGAAATCTAAGGTTGTGTTTATCCCAAAAATGGGCAAGGAGACATACGAGTTAGCAAAGTCGTTTAGACCAATTAGTTTATCTTCCTTTAACTTAAAAACCATGGAAAAAATTATAGATAAAGATATCAGAGCAAATGAATTAAGAGTTCATCCCCTTAGCAAGAAACAATTCGCATATCAGCAAGGAAAAAGTACTGAGTCAGCGCTACATTTTCTCTGTCATGATCTGGAGAAAGCTTTAGAATTTAAACAAGTTGCACTAGTCTGCTTCTTAGATATTGAAGGTGCTTTTGACAATACCACAATTGAAGTTATAAAAAACGCTTGCAGAAGAATAAAAATGAGAGATATTTTACTAAACTGGATTTTATTTATGTTAAAAAATAGGAAAACTAAAGCAGAAATTGGATCTGAAGTAAGAAATATAATTCCAACTAAAGGTTGCCCTCAAGGTGGATGTTTATCTCCGCTTCTGTGGTGTATAGTAGTAGATGATCTGCTAAACAAACTAGAGAAAGAAAATTTTACAGTAGTGGGCTACGCTGATGATATAGCAATTCTCGTAAGAGGCGCGTTTATCAATACAATCTGTGAGCGCATGAATAAAGCGCTAAAAATTGTAGAAAATTGGTGTCTGGAATCTGGGCTATCAGTCAATCCTTCAAAAACACAACTTTTGAGGGTAACGCAAAGAAGGAAAGGAATTGATTTAGCGGAGATAAAACTTAAAGGCGTCACTTTGAAATTAGATGACAAGGTTAAATATTTAGGGGTCTGGTTAGACAGCAAGCTCAATATGGAACAACACGCTGAGCATGTCATAAGCAAAAGTACTAGATCCCTTTGGGCGACTAGGTCAATGGTCGGAAGAAATTGGGGTTTAAAACCGAAAATGATGTTTTGGGTATACAACCAGGTTATTGTGCCAAAAGTTACATATGCTAGCATTATTTGGTGGAAAAAATCTCAACAAACTTCAATGCAAAAGAAGCTAAACTCTCTGCAACGATTAGCAGGCATGATGATCACTGGAGCTGTCAAATCTACACCTTCAGAAGCAATAAATGTTGCTTTAAACATGACCCCTCTATGTCTGAAAATATACGAATGCGCTCTAAAAACATACGTACGACTGTACAATACAAATTGTTGGCTTGGAAATAATGTAAGAGGACATGGTACGATTGAGGATCTCGCAAAAAATATAGACCTGAATATTAAAACGGACAAAAAACACTCGATGGTTATCGAAGAAATCAATTACGAAGTGACTATTGGCAACAGAATCTCATGGGAAGACGGAACACCCTGGTCAGATCACGAGGGAAAAAGTATTTCATGGTTTACCGATGGGTCTAAACGGGATAACAAGACCGCTACCGGTGCCTTTAGCCCTTCTCTGAAAAAAGAGATAATTGTTCGATTAGGTGATTCTGCTACGGTTATGCAAGCCGAAATCCTTGGCATTCAACTCGTCGCCATTGAAGGCATATTGAGTGGTACAAAAAATAAAATTTTCAACATCGCCTCGGACAGCCAAGCGGCTCTTAAAGGCTTGGCGAAAGCCATATCAACCACAAATACTTTATCCAATTGTAAACATAGCCTTAACACGCTTGCTAGAACTAATCAGGTCAGACTCTGGTGGGTGCCTGGACACAAAGGTATCATAGAAAATGAGAGAGCAGATAGACTTGCAAATCTAGGAATCGATAAAGAGTTTATAGAAATTCAAACGCTTGATTCAAATGCTATTATAAACATGAAAATTGAAAAATGGGTGAAAAAAGAGATGAACGTAAGATGGAATAAAATTCCAGGCTTAAGACACTCTAAGTTGATGATGAAGGAACCTAATCCTCAAAGAGCAAGTTTTCTTTTAAATTTAAATAGAAAAGATCTAAGAGTTATGTTAGGGACTTTAACAGGCCATTGCTGCCTGTACAAACATCTGAATTCTATGCAAAAGACGAACCTTATAAATTGTAGATATTGCAAAGGCATGTTCGAAGAAACAATGCAACACGTTATAGCGTCTTGCGATGCACATTCTAGAGTAAGGCTGAGGACCTTAAACCACACTGTCATCAATGCTGAGGAGCTCGCGGAGGTGGATCTGGAGAATCTTCTCCTTTTCATGAGGAGAACGGGCATCCGATCCACCTTCTTCGACTTCTTCAGCTGACAGTGAGATCAGGGAGTTGGCTGGTGAGGGTTCTCATCTTCAGAGAAATTCATCTCTGAAGGTTTGCAGAATAAATCCCAAATATCCCCCATCTTCCTGATCTTTGCGTTCTGAGATCCTTGAATTGGTTTATATTTGCCAGACGAAATAACAGTAGTTCTTGCACTTTTTTATGTAAATAAAACATCAACCATCAAACGACGAGATATAGGGAGCGAAACAAGATGGGGTTTATTCTCCTATATTCTTAATCGCTTCAGTGTACTGGTCGGTACACTCCCTACTCTGATGATGATGATGATAATAAATATATTTAGTTCGTTAACAGTAAATTTCAGTTGAGTGGATTCATTAAATTGGCGGAACCAATAAGTCGACGTTATTCATCAGAACTTTTATTAGGTATCAACTTTTGGTTATCCTTTCTTTCCACTGATAATTGTACCGAGAGAGGGCACTGAGAGCGTTCTGGAGACAGAGAGAGGGCGGAGAGTGTCAGGAAGATTAATAATTAAAAATTCATAGATAAATGTTGGGATAGTCAAATGTTTAAATCTGCAATTCTGAAAAATTAAATCATTGAAAATATTTCTAAACTAAGAACAGCCAGGAAAAAATATGAAAGTTAATTCTCGTATTGAACTGATTCAACCTACACATTTAAAATTTCTTATAAATATCTAAANAATAACAGTAATTCTTGCACTTTTTCATGTAAATAAAACATCAACCATCAAACGACGAGATACAGGGAGCGAAACAAGATGGGGTTTTTTACCCCTATATTCTTAATCGCTTTAGTGTACTGGTCAGTACACTCCCTACTCTGATGATGATGATGAAGTTCAGGTCGATCTAAACAAGGCAATTGATAGACAGAGACCAAGCTGAAAGCAGCGACAATCATGGACAGTTGACAAGCCTAACTTTTCCTTAAAAAAGAATAATCAAGTTAGAAGCAACATTTATGTTTATTAATTACATTAAAATAATTCTTTATTATTAAGTTTAACAAAAATTTCTCAGATTATTCACAACGCCAATTCCATAGAAAAGTTTATCTTCAATCTTATTCCATCCTTCATTGGAAGCTTTTTCAACGGAGCTTAAAAGATCAACAAGTTCTTTACTCTTTAAGATGTCTTCGTTATGAGCCTTCAAGAAAAGCGCAAGATATGACTGAGCAAGTTCAAAAAATCGATTTGAAGCAAACATTTCGATGATCATCTCGAGGAAATTTGTCATAAGGCTAATGGAACCACCACCAATCGGCGACAATGAACGAATTTCGTAGTCAATCATTGATGGATTTAAATTTGTTAAATGTTGAATTGCATTTGTGTAATCTTTCGTTTCAGCTGATTTAGTGAGAATTATTCCAAATGTTGTGAGATTTTCTAAATTTGCTTTTCTTATTATTTGTGAATTTTCATCGTCTTCAACAAATCCATCGACATTGAATTTGAAATCAATTCCAGAAATTGTTGGTAGAAAGAATGGCGCATTTTTCATCTTTTTTGGTGCCTCTTTTGGTTTATTTCTCTTTTTAATGATGTCAAGACTCAAAAGATTCTTCCATTTCGACTCAACAAGTGTCGACATTGTAATCAAATCGTCATCAATTTGAAGTGGACTTTTGTAATTATTCTCTATTAATTCACCGTCGTCATCATCAACTTTCACACGGTCAAACATTGAAATCAAATCATTTTTACGTTCGAAATGATTCAAATTAGGAAGTTCCATTGTTTGTGGTTCACTTTCAGGATCAACAGCACGAATCGAAATATGTTCGTAAAGAGTTTTATTCGCCCACAAATAAACACCGAGAAAGTCAACATGGGCTGTTGCTAGAAAGTCACCAGTAGGTGACATTGTCATTGAAATGCAAGGTTGTGACATTTTAAATTGATCGATAAGATAAGATGATGGAATATCCCAAGTTCTTATTGTGCAATCCATACTGGCAGTGATGAGCCATCGACTGTCAGGACTGAAACATGCATCAGTGATTGGTGCTGAATGTCCAATGAATTTTCTCACAATACTTTTAGTATCATAATCGATGACATAAATTGAGAAGTCTTCAAGTGTCACACACAACATTGAACTTTCTCGATGTCCACGAAACATGACGATGCTGTCAGGCATTTTTATTGCTGCAATTGATTGGTTGGTATCAGTTTTAAAGTTCCAGAACTTTACAAGCTGATCACTTGATCCACTGATAACAATTTGATTTAAATTGTCCATCCAAACTCCTCGAACTTCTGATTTATGAGCTGGCGTTCCATAACTTGCACGATGAAGTCCCGATTGAACATTAAATCGTTCAACATCACCCGATGAATAGCCAACTGTTACAAAATTTCCACAATGACTCATAATTAAACTTGAAGCAATGACACGAAAATCTTTCCGTTTCTTTGATTTATCTTTTTGTGGTAACAACGTCAAGTCACCCATTTTACGTTTATCAAATGACCATGTTGTTGCAACATTTAATCCATTGTGAAGTGCAACGATGCTATCCCAATGTTTTTCTCGTGTTGTTTCAGATGTAAATTGTGTGATTGGTGGCATCAAATGATGATCTTCTTCAAGTTTATCTAAAACACAAATAATAATAAATTAAAAAAGTTTTAATTTCAACTAATCTTCTTACTAAGTTTCTTTGAAGCTGTTCGATTGTAACTTGCTCGTCCTAAGCTGGCATTTAATGTCTCAGAAATTGTGCTAAATATTCTTAACGAGGAATCTTCACCAGCTGATAAAATGCTGTCGCCTTTTGCACCATGATATCTAATACAAAGCGGAGAAGCCGAATGACCTTCACGATATCTTAACAAACGTGGACTTCCATCGAGTTTATCAAAAATCCACAATTTCAGTGAGTTGTCTGATGAAGTTGTCAACAAAAGCGGCTCATTCGGCATGAATTTTAATGTAAAAATTCCATCGTTATGAGCTAAAAGAGTGCCCACAACTTTCTTCTCTTCCAAGTTCCAAAATGCTATTTGACCACTGATACTCGATGTTGCCATTAAAGGTGGACCATCAGTTCTGAACGATATTCCTGTTACAGTTCCCCATTCCTGAGTGAATTCCATCAACACAATATCAACTTTTAAATTCAATAGGATGATTTTTCCATTTGACAATCCAACTCCAGCAACATCTAAAGCTGGTGCTTGTTCTAATACAGTAACTTTACTCTCGAATCCTTTGTACGTATAGATAAGTTTTCCGTGACGAACATTCCACAACTGTAAGTTTCCTTGTTCGCTTCCGATTAGAACTTTGTTAATGTAAGTGTTTGGATGCATAACGGCACTTATTTTAAAAGTTTCATTGTCGAAAGGGATCTCAAGATATACCGTTTCATCTCTTTTGTTCCAAACCTTGAGTAAACTGCTTTCATCAATTGATATTAAATGTTCGCCGAATGGAAGTATGATGTGAACTTTCAATGAATGTCCGATGTATTTATACTTTATTTCATTACCCCGTCGCCATCCATAGATGACTTTACCACTTGCAGAGAATATAAGAAACTTATCCGATGCTAAACATTGAATCTCTTCAGGATGAAGACCGGAAACTGCGAGAAGTCTGAAATGTTTACAACTAAATGTTTGAAATGATTTTCCTATGCAAGTAGAAACGCAATTTTCTTTTCTTCCAGCGACATAACGAACTGTTGCTTCTACATGATTAGAAACATATCCTAATGCTCTGTTTTGCTGATAAATTCTTGACATTTTTATAATATTCGAAAGAAGAAAACTTTTAGCGAACTTTTCACGTGCTACTAACAAGAAGTTTTGTCTCTTCAGATTGTTTTGATAAAAACTGGTCATCTCAGAAATTATTTACTTGTAAATATTGTCATCTTAGTTACAACGTGAAAAAATATTTTTTACAAATTTTATAATTTCAATCAGATTTTTAATTATTTTCTATTTGAAATATGGAAGAAAGCAAAGAAAGTAAGTTTCTAATAGAAATGAAATCCTTTTCTGAACTGATAAAGTCTAATCATTTCTAATTTATAGCTCAGTTAAATGAAGACCAGGAGATCAAAGAAATGTCTAATAGAAATATTAACCATAAACAAAAAGGGAAATTTCGGAGGAAACATGAAAATCTGAAAAAAGGAAGACTCATAGTTAGAAATCTATCTTTCAAAGTAACAGAGGAAACATTAACTCAAGAATTCCAAAAGTATGGCGCAATCAAAGAAATAAATCTTTTGAAAAAAGCTGATGGGAAGCTCGTTGGATGTGCGTTTGTTCAATATGAAAACTACCAAGATTCATTAAAGGCAATAAAAGAGTTGAATGGAAAAGATTTCATGAAACGAAAAGTCACAGTTGATTTTGCTGTCAGCAAGAATCGTTACAAACCAGGTAATGAATCGAATGGCACAAATGAAGTGAAATCTGAAATAAAAGAAGAAAATTCTGAGGAAGATATTAAATTGGAAAGTGATGAAGATGTGAAAGAAGAAGACCATTCAAACTTAGATGAAGATAAGTCAGAGATTGATGAGGAAGACAATAGTGATGAGGATAAAGATGATGACGATTACGATGATGATAATAATGAAAATCAACCGAAATTCAAAAAAGAAAAACTTTCTAATGAAGAGGAGCACTCATTCACAATCTTTGTTAAGAACCTTTCCTTTGAAACAACAAATGAGGATCTTCATAAATGTTTTAAAAAGTATGGCCCCATCAAATACGCTTTAGTTGTAAAAGATCCAGTATCAGGTCATTCTAAAGGAACTGGCTTCGTGAGGTTCCTAAAGAAAGAATCAGTTAACATGTGTATGCAACAAACTGGTTTAATTTCACTACAAAACTTCACTTTGGACGTCTTCCCTTCATTACCGAAACAGAAAATAATGTCTCTAGAGGTTGAAAAGAAGAAGCAAGATCCAAAAGATACTCGTCACATGTACTTATTGCGAGAAGGAATGGTAATTGCTGGTTCAGCAGCAGCAGAAGGTGTATCAGCAACTGATATGAGTAAACGTCTTCGTCTTGAACAAATCAAGTCACAAATGTTGAAAAACCTCAACAGATTTCTCTCGAGAGAGCGTCTGACGATTCATAATTTACCAGAAAATTTCGACGATGCAAAGCTACGAAAAACGGTCGCAACAAGAACGGGCTTGAAACCAATAGAATGTCGTGTGATGCGTGAAAATAAACCATCTCCAGCACATCCTAAAGGTAAATCAAAAGGATTTGGATTTCTTTCTTTCAAAAAACATGAAGACGCGCTTGCAGTTTTAAGAAAATTAAATAACAATCCCGATGTGTTTAGCGCTAATCATCGACCAATTGTAAGCTTTAGCATTGAAGATAAGAATGTTTTAAACATTAAAGAGAAAAGAAAAGAAAGATCTATGCTTAATAATCCAACATATCAGAAAAAGTTGGAAAAATTAAAGCTTAAGAAGTTGGAGAAAAAGAAAGCTAAAAGTTTGAAAGACAAGAAGAACAAAAAACTTTCACCTGTTGCCACAAATGATGAAAAAGAAGAGCAAGGTGAATCGTACTCAGGCTTTGCAGCTAAGCCTGGAGCTTTTGTAAAGCTTCGAGGGACATTTAAATTAAAAGAGCAATCAAAAATTCACGAAAAGTCAATGCAAGATCACAACAAGAAGGCGAAGCGTGAAAAGTTGATGACGGAAATTCGCAAGGACAAGGAAGAAAAAAAGTTGAACCAAACAAAGAAGAGGAAAATTGATTCGACAACACATGACAGTTTATCGAAGATGATTGATAAGTACAAGAGTTTGATAACGGGTAATGATGATGATGAATCGACAACTAAAAAAAGAATAAAAACTCGAGGAAAATGGTTTCTTGACTCAACTTAAACTTAATTATTAAATTTCATGAAATTAAGATGAAATATTAAAATAAATTTTTTGCGTAACATAGAACAGTTGTTTTGTCAATTTAATTCTTAACGTTTTGTTGAAATTTACAAGATATTTTCATGCGGATGCTTTGAAGACTCTCCTTGGTGGTGATGGCAAGGAAAGTCTTTAGAACATCACTCAAAATTAAAGCATGTTGAAGGAACTTATTGAGAGATTTTAAACTGAATTTGCAGCATCTTGGTCAGTTGACGGTGTTGAAGCTTTTTTATAGGCTTCGGTAATGACATCATTGAGAACGGTGAGAATAAGAAATTTCACTTCTTTCTCTCGTTCTGCAACTTCTGTTGATGGTGGTGGCGCCTCTTGCTGATAAGCGAATCTCCTTTGTAATAAACGAATCATCGGTATAGCTGGTTGTTGTTCTGATGTATCAATATCTTGCACTGTCAATAAAGGGTCGGATCTCTTCCCATGTCCACCATAGCATGAATGCCCAAAGCTAGCACAACCGATTCCTGTATTAATAAATGTTAACATCATTAACGTTTTAAAGCTGCGGAAAATTATTGGCGATGATGCGGAATTTTTATTATTTATGTTTCCTTTTTTCTTACGATGATTGTCATCTTTTCTATCGTTTACGCTTCTAAATTGGCATTTATGAAAAGGTCAAAATGGATAAAAAAGAGAAGCAATATGACATGAAAACAAACATGACAATCACATGATAATTTTATTCGACATCATCACCAGCCAATTTAAGCATTTTTCTTGTATTGTTCGTTATGTTCTGTTATTCTGTCTCATTATGTTGTATGTCGGTTAAAAAATGGAAGAAAAGTGCAAATAATGATCGTAAAAATGATGTTTATTGCTCGCTCACTCTTACGTTTAGCTTCCGATTCCGTCGTCATCACCAACATTATGGCAATGGTAAGAACAATTAAAACTGATTTTTGGCTCATTTTTGTGTCTTATAAAGTTTTCAACCTATTTAAAAGAAGTTTGAGAATTATTTTACTGCTTTTAATTCCAAAAAATCATCTAGAGACGTCTGGCAAGAAGATCGAGACGAGTTCTATAAACTCTTTCGTCTCTTATCCAAATCCATTGAAATTAAAATAAATAAATTCACAATATAAATATCCACTTAACTGTTCAATCACAAACATTAACCGATTTTAAAGTTAACGTGTTGAAAGAAAAGCAAAAATCCTTTTAGCTTTTTTGGCACAAACTTTCTATCGAGATGAAAACTCGTTGAAAAATGAACGAATGAGAGGGTGTTGTATGCCGTTTATATAGGAAAAGCGCTCATGATAACGGAACATTGAGAAAAATCATTGTAAGCAGAGTCTTTAGCATTTTACAACAGGAAACCTCTGGATACAAATTAAGTTAAGGATTCTCATGACAAATCGTTTTTTTTTCTTTTATACTGTTTACAATTTCAACTCAAAGTGTTTGACTTGAAATTTTTTCTTTCTCAAAAATATTTCATATGTGGGGGATGATTCTTATTTTGATTTTTTCTCTTTTGTTGTGATCACTTGTAGACATTCACTCGAATTGAGATACATATATCAGTCGAAAAATCGCGACAATCAACATGGAAACATCAAATCCTTTGTTGACGAAAAGCTGTCGAAAATTCAGTTGCTAATCAACAAACCACTCGACATAAAGTTTATGAAGCATTCGATATTTTTCTGCCTTTGGCTAAAATGAGAAATTGACGAAAATAAAATTACTTGTGGGAAATGTTTGAGTGCACGAAATTGCAAAAAGGGTCATAAGGGAAAATATGAAAAACATTTCAACAATGTTTTTTTCAACAATTAACAGAAATGACGTGGGCGATAACATTTGAAAATCAAAGCGATGATGAAACAAAGCACAAACACTTGCGGAAGAAATTCTGTGCCATTAAAAGTTTTAATTCAATTAAATCGTTTTTGAAATATCAAAATCACAAAGAAATGATGAATTCATTATGCACATTTATGTAGCTTTCAAAGCATAAATAAATATTCACGCTTTTTGTTCATTTGTTATTATGAAATTCTGTTTGTTCATTCTCGTAGTTATTTGTTTAAAATTCTTAATTTTTTTCCTTCAAATGAAATTTATGAAAATCAAAAAGCTTTTTCAGAAATTTCCCTAACACATTTTGAGTTAAATGAAAATAAGTATCAAAGACATTTTTAATTATGAATCAGAAGGAATTTGGAAAGACAGTCTGTGATTGAAGATTTCGTTGCACAATGGGAAATTACGTGCATTTAGTCGGCAGTGTTAAGTTGTGCCGAATATAAAAATTCTTTTTTAAGATATCATCTACCATAGGAACAACCCGCTTACGTTGAGCTTGGCTTGCTTGCTTGGCTTGCCATTTTTTTTCCGTTAGCTTGCTTGCTTGGCTTATGTTTTTTTTCTTTCGGCTTGCTTGCTTGGCTTGCCTTTTTTGATATTTGTCGGCTTGTTCTCACGGCTTGCCGAGGTCTCCAGGATATTTCAGCTTGCTTTTTCGGCTTGCTTTGGTGAGCTGGCTTGCCTTGTCCCGTGAGTCTGCATTGTCCCCACTTCTCTTATTTAATTAAAAAAAAATTTCCCCTACCGGGATTCGAACCTAGGACCTCTGGCACAAGTTTTTGCACTCGTACCTTGAGGCCAAATCCTTTTTCTCAAACGAATGGCAAATGTCATATATAAACTATTATTGTTTACAAGTGAATTTCAAAAAAATTTTCTGACTTCAATGCACTAAGCCATTGAAGCCAATTTCTCATATTTATATGAACGGCAGATTCTCCATATAAAGTTTTAAAGCAGTTGAGACGGAAAAATTGAATAAAACCTAAACTATAAGGTTTAGGTATAAGGTGTCTTTGGGAAAAATGTTCCTTAGAATTTTCTTCAACTTTTTTTAAGACATCGTGTTTCAGTTGGGTGACAGCAGAGGGCGTTAGAGACAAATTAGTTAAAGAAACATCTCTGCGCCCTCTGGTGCCAACGTAGTGAAATATGATGTATCAAAAAAAGTTTTAGCATGTATCAACAAACAACTTTCCCATACACACCATGTAGCTAAGTCTTATGGTTTAGGCTGTAAGATATATGTTTGAAACACATTATCTTTAAAAACAACACACATGCTTCTGACACNCATTTTGAGTTAAATGAAAAAATTATCAAAGAAATTTTTAATTATGAATCAAAAGGAATTTGGAAAAACAATCTGTGATTGAAGATTTCGTTGAAAGCTTTAAAGAAATTGGAAGGAATTTAAGAGCGGAGCATGTGTTCATCATTTATTTAAGAGAAAGCTGAAAGTTAAACAAAAATAAGCTCTGAGTTATTCTTGGTGACCTACAGGCTGTAATTAAATATCTACACATTTTGGGTTAATTAAGCTGGTTGCATTACACCATTTCCATATCTTGTAGCCGGCTACACACAGAATACATGAATAAAAAAATAATAAAAAAGCTCACATAAACCAAAAAGCGAAAATTTGATCAGAGTAAAACAACTTTTTGTTTTATTTTTTCAAACTGTTTCATTTCCATCATCAGCTGAACTTTGTATTTGTGTTTCTAAAAAATTGAATCCAAAACATTTTCATTATCAAAATAATTAAAAAAAAACAAAATTTAGCTTACAATTTAAAATTTATATTTTTGAAATGTTTTAAAAAGCTTTGAAAATGACCAGCGAATTTTTTTTCAATGAACGTCACATAAGCTCATTAATTATTCATGAGATTTTAATACTTTTCTTTTATTTCCAAGTGTTTTGGAAGTACGTCATAATTACATCATGAGAGATAAGGAAGCGACGAGCGATAAAACGCCAAGTACGATGCTTCCAGAAATAGAAGTAGCTGATGAATAGGCACGGCAAACGGCAGGGATTGGTTTTGGAAGGTTCTGACAAACAGCTGATGAGAAGTCTGTTAGTGCTAAGTTTTGAATTTTATCATCATAACTTTCTTTAATGGTAATTGTTGGAACACTTTTCAATGGATTTTGAAGTTTGAGTGTCATTTCTCCCATCTGTTCCAAGTATTTGCTGCCTTCAGTTGAATTGGCGCAGGTTTGAATCGAATCGAAATTCTTCACTTGAACCTGAGTCGAGCAATTGCGAGCGAGGCTGGGATAAACTACATCTTTGTAGTCATTCTTCATCAAGCAGTTGATGTACTCAACAATCAGTGTCTCACGGGTATTTTCTTGTTGGAACGAATCAACTTGAATATGATTTATGGCGCAAGCTTGAATTTTGTTTCCATAACACTGTGAATGAGTTCATTTTAAGACATATTTTTAAAGTTATGAAAAATTGAACAAAAAAAGTTACTTCATTGGGCCCATGATGACATTCAAATGTTGTGTCAGCCCCACGGGTTTGATACTGTAAGATGAATTTAATTAATTTAACTTTTATTTAAAACATTTCAAAACTTCTCTTACTGTTGATTTTCCAAATGGAATCAAATGCAAGTCAACGTGATCCTTTAACATTTTCATTGCTGGATACAATTGCTTGGTAATGAAAGCTTGGGAATCAGGACAAAGTGATTCGTAGTAAACATACACTGGAGTCTGAAATCAAGAAGAAATAAAGCGACAAAATTCAGTTAAGAAGATTATTCTTTGTGAAAAAGTATTCCCGCGACACTTTAAACACACGAAAAAAAATTGATATTCAATTCGCATTTTACAAAGTTGGAATTGTTGATGAAGAACATCAGTTGAACTCAATATTTTTCAAGTTCATTGCGGTCAATTGTATCATCGATTTTACGCTTTTCTGTTTAGCTTACTCCAAACATTTTTCGTGGTCATTTCTTAAACAAAAGCATGTGTGTGTGAATGACTGTAAGTTTTTAATAAATAATAAATAGTTTGAGTAGGAAAAATGATTGTTTTTATGAATTTTTGGAACTATATCCAAATTATAAGCTTGTAATTGAGTTGACCTTGAGCAGATTTCATAACAACGACTCCTTCATGACCATCAGCTTAGCTTATTTTCAATAGAAACACGATTCTTAATGATTCACTTAATTTCAATATTTGATCGATGTTGACATTTATTTTGTGATGCACTTGAGACTATTTTTGTTATTCACGTTAATATTTGAATAAAAAATTGTATGGGGAACGAATGATTTTGAAATATCATTTTTGTTCATTGATCTAGTGACATGTGATGCGTTTTTCGTGTGTTGTGAAGCTTACATTGTTCATTTTGTTGCGTAAAAATTGTTGGCTCATGTGATACCTTCAAAGAATATTCAACTGTTTCGGAAAACTATTCATTTATGACCATTTACAGTTTCAAATGAATGTGAAAGTCATAAGAAAGTAATTGCGTGTCCACCTACGATTGGAATGTTTTAGGGGAACTTTTTTTAATTACTTGCTTTCATGTTCTGACCATCAGAAAAAAAAAAGTTTAACACTATACTGAAGTAAAATTTTTTTTATTGAGTTAACACCACGTGATGGAAACCTTTTCTTGCCAGCTACACAATTTACGTCAACCAAAATGGTTTGATAATACTTTGTCCTTGATAAGTATTTGTAATTAACATTTCGTCAACTTAAACAAAAGAAATGACTTCGCTACTAAGTAGGGATAATTTGTGATTGCTATAAAGATTCAAGAGTCGCGATAAGAATGAAAATTTGAAGGTTGAAATTTCCCTTTCAGTAACATTCACGAATACTTTTTCTTTTACTATTAAAACAAGAACGCAAACTTTCCGTGTTACAGTTTTATGAAAATAAAAACGTTTTTAATTTGAAGAAAGTTTTGATCATTTCGATTGATAAATGACGTTTTTTCAAGATATTTTCATTAAACAGAATGTTTTGTTTTCCAACCTTTTAACACATTGATGTGAATTCAATTCATAGATGTGAGTCACAAATATTTAATTTTATTATTATCATGAAATTCGTAAACAATGAAAGTTTTAATAACTGTTCCAAACCACCACAATGTAATTGAGAATGTGCTAATTTTATTATCATATTTTAAGAATTTATTTGATTTAAGAAATCTTTCAACAAGAATTTTTAAGAGTCAGACATCTGTTGGCATGATTCATGCGATATTTCGTTATTGATGTAGTAATTTATTGTCATCGTTGTTACGGTCGTGGCGACCTTTTGTTTATTAAATTTAATTTCAAGTAACTTCAATGAAAATGAAAAGGTTGCATCACATTTGCAGCACATAATTTCTCACGTTAAATAAGCCTCGATTGAAAGAGACAAAAAATTCATTTTTAACGGTTTCATGCATAAATTTTTGTTGCGTTTGGTGTCTGATACAACAAACAGTGGTTCGTTGAACCGTGGAAAACATACTTTTATTTATCGTCATAAATGTTTGTATTTTAAAACTCACTCAGTGACCAGATATGCGTGCTCTACATATATTTTGTATGCTTATCAAAAACGAGGTTAGTGTGTAGTTCAAATAATGGTCAAAGAACGTGCAATAAACAAAATTCATTCTTAATCATTTGAAATCCTTGAAATCACTGTCAACATTTTATTAATAAAATTAAAATTCCACTTTGTGAAGACTTCAAATATATCATTAATCTGAAAGAGTTTCTGATGATGACCACCAATATATCCAAACAAGTTTCCAATCGAAATCGCATTACGATAAAATGAGAAGAACTCTTTTAAAATGATTAAAGTTTCCTGGTTGAAATTTGAATAACGCAATGAAGTCGTATTCAAAGTTTTTAAGTCAGAACAAAAAAAAACTTTCGGGAAGTTTATTTCATTCCAACTGTTGACTTAAGCTTCAAACACACATCGGCTGTAATGAACTGGAGGCTTCTTTTTATTCTTTTAAATAAAACGAGTAACAATTGATGGTTTTGCCCTCAATATGTGGACAAAATATTTTATCACGTTTAATTGCTGCAATTTTAATTAACATTTAATGGTTTCCTACTGCCACATTTGTTTTTAATGCATCATTAATCATAAAAATTGTCAACGTTACCAACATGACGTCATTTCCAAACAACTACTTGCGGTTTTTTTCCAAAACAAAAAAGGAAAAATAATAAGCATTGAGAGAAAAAAAATTGTTTTCGTCAAAAACCGGTTTGATATTTGGTGGAAACACAATACAAATAAAGAAGGGAAAAAAATTATTTGAAGCATGTTTGTGGTGAAGGCGAAAATATGCGCGTAAGAAACTGAATGTACTTTTAATAGCATCACGACGTCTTTGGTTTGATGTAATATTTTATGTTATTTATGCTTAATCGAGCCATTATTTACCATGATTTTTTCACACATTTCGATGAGCAAAAAAGTGTGAAGATAGTGAGAAAAAGTCTTTGACACATAACAATGGTTGATAATTTAATTTAGAAGCGTTCTGGGTTCTGGTTCAGAGATGAGCGTTAAGTTGAGAATAATTTCAACTTGCAATAAAATTGTTTTAAATATGCGTGAACGCAATAGCCGCGCCTAGTTGACTTTTTGTTCATTATTCAACATAATAATGAATTGAGATCATTACGAAATTCACTCAAACTCACCTTTTGGGCACTTGAAATGGCCAGAACGCCAAACAAAAACAACACCTTTGCAAGCATCTTTTCGACAATAAAACTGAACTTTAACTCTGCACGAAAACTTCTTAATCCAATCAGACTCGCAGTTGAACGAAAACTAAAATGTGAGCGAAGAGAAAAAGAAACGTTTGATGTTTATTTTTTTGCATGAGAAGTCGAAATTGGAAGAGGGAAACGCTTAAAGCAGTAGCGGCGCGTGGAGAAAAGGAATGAAGAAAATAGTTTTCTACGTCTTGATGACTCATGATGAGACGTTTCAAGCATTTCTGTTCCACTACTTTTCTGCTTAGTATTTTAGACATTTGAATAAAATCAAAAAAATAATTTATGTTTCTTTTTCTTTTATTTCAAATATACTTGAGATTGTTGAGTTAATTTTAATTTCAAATTATTTGTTTGGCATTTATAAGCTTGACTTCTTGTAGGTAAATTTTTATGTTACTGTAGTAATGACAATTAATTTCTGTTATTTTTTAATTTTGAATTTTGTAAATGATTTAAGAGCTTTCTTCATCGGAGCTTTCCTGGTTATAGAAGCGTTGTCTGGGGCGAAAATTAAATCCAAATTGTAGATCAATTGTGCGCTGCAAAAACCCAGAAGTTTGTAATCCAATAAGTAATTCACTTCTTGCACCATCATAAGCATAACTGCATAAAATTTGCCAATCGTTCGCTTTCAAATTCTTTCTCATAAATAATGCAAGCAATTGTATTTTGTTTTTGGTCCCAATGATATGTAGGTACTTGACCTGGTGGATTAAGGACAAATAAATCAGCGTCAGTCACATATTCATGTTGTGGATACGGATCAGGTTGTGAGGACTTGCGAATTGGATAATTGCCACTGGTTTCATATGTCGCGAACATCAAATTATTCATGTCACGAACTGTCATCAATTGGAATGCTGCGTTCAGCCAAATCAAAGGTTGTGGCATATACTTTGCGCGATCATTGCTGCAATTCATCTCAGAAATTGTACGGTCACCAATGTCTGGGTATAGACCATCATAGGTCCCACAATTTGAAATGCACAATTTACTACCGATATTCAAAGTGGGACGCATGCCAACGAATCCCCAGACATCAAGCAACGATGTAGTAACGCTCATAAATGGTAGAGGGCTGACTGGGAAAGGAACGCGTGAATAATTTACACCCCAACCACGTCGATCGCCAGTTTGTAAGTATCTGAAATTATTGCACCATGACGAGTTGTGGATCAAATTGCCATCCACAACAAATTCAGTCCATTGTGCAAGAACAGATACCATCAGATCATATATAAGGCAATTGTTTTTATAGCTGTCAGATGAGAACAATTTTTGCAAAAACCCATGACATGGCCCATAATTTTCCTGCTTTGAAATATCATCAATATGCGATCCAAGGATATTAAACATATTGAAAACAGTTGAACAGCTAACACTCAGAAGTTGTCCAATATAAGCCGAGAAGATGTTAATTTCATGTTGATCCATAGACTAGTGTTTCTCAAAATCCCTGTTTTTTGAAAAACAGGGATCAGGGATCGATGATTTTCTACTAGATATCGACTTTTTTTAAAAGAAAAAACTGCATTAACGTAATGTTCTGACATAGAAAACACTAAACAATCCATCTTTATAGGAAAAATTAAGCGATTTCTAGTAGAAATTTGACGATTTCTTTTTCCCTATTCCCTAAAAATAGGGATTTTGAGAAACACTACCATAGACATCAAAGCATTCCATTCTTCAGGAAGTATATTTTTAACTGGGACGATTAAACTAGAATTACATAAGATGTGCCAAAAATTTGATGCAGCGTAACGATAAATTTGTGTTGAACCACGTTCTAATGTCACGGTTTCCCAGTCATATGCATCCAAGTATTGATTCTTTATATCGTGTGAGTCTTCATCGCGCGGTGCAATTGACACATAGTCAGGATTTGCCTTTTGACCTCGTACATGTCGTCCATTCACGATTGTTGCAGCGCGTGTAAATGCAGGCACTACAGAACCATTTTGTCCCATCCAGCATGCTATGATTTTTATTCCCTGTAATAACCAATTTGCTGTTTCAAGTTTAGCTTCCGGAATGACACTCGGTGCAGGGTGTTGTCGATAGACAACTGTAATAGGTGTTCCATCAGCCTTGATTTGTGAACAAATGTGTCGTGGTTCACCCTCTTGAAGATTGAAGCGTGGCATACCAGAACAAATCAATCTAATTGCCATTAATGTATTATCAGTAAGGTAGTCACTAATCAATATCAGTCGATTGGTACCAAAGTATCCGTTGATTTTAGCGCAATTTTCAGGTGTCAAATCAAGATATTCAATCATATTGTCAGGCAATGGAATCAATTGCGCTTTTTGTCCATTGCGTTCGTAGTCTTCAAGCTGGTGAAATAACAGTGCACCCAAAAGTAAGATTCCTTCAATTGAATAAATTGTCAAATCTGATGCAATATTCATTGAAATTGTCCCAACACAATCATATGGGACAACGCTTGCACACACTTCTTTTGCTGGAACCAAATCCAATTTGTGTATTGGCAGTAGGCTTTCTTTGCTCAATACAAATGGTGAAATTTCGTGGTTGCAATAACGTGACATTTCACAACGCTTCTTAAATATTAGTGGCTTATCTGATACTGCCGCATTTAGTGTTACGACATCAGATTCAAAGTAAAAATCAACAGCATGATTGCGACGATCGATATAGTTGACATAATTTGACGCCACATCACGCCTGCATAATTGCCAGCAGTTTTGCTTAATCTCACTCTTGCTAAGCTCTGTCTTGGCTTCCTTTAAAAAATGGCTTTGAATGGAACTGTCACTATATCTGGCCATTTTCTTGTCACCTTCATCCTTTTCTGTATTCGCACGTTTCTTCTCATTTCTTGTGCCACTTGGTGCCGATGTTGTAAATTTAATTCCACCAGTACCTGGAACATTTTTCTTTATATTTGCATCATTGTTTTTAGCTTCATCAGCCCCCATTGCTTTATCGCGTTTATCCATTTCATGAACTGAACAAACGTATACCTTAATTAGGTACTTTTAATACCGTATTACTTTTATTCTTTTGTTTGAATATTTAGGTTAGCTGATGGTTTGTCTGTTGATAACATTAATTAATCCAATTATCTGTAACATCAAATATACTAATAGCTACTCACATTTATTTCACTGTTTATTGAATTTATCTTATTTTAGCTTATGTAAAGTTTATATTTTCACAGATTTCAAAAGTCTTTTTTTAAAGGTTTCTAAGTTTCGTTTCTTTTATTTTGTAATTTAGTCTCATTGTAATTTAACCCTCTCAGTAAAAAGCGCTCAATTTTAAAACAAATTTTACATTTTATTATTCTTTTATTTCAAATATTTTTAAAAAATCTTCTTCGATACATTTACTAGCTATGTGTATGAACAAACACAAATATCTTTTGATTAATAAAAAAATATCTTTTTATGCGTTTATTTCAAATATTTTTAATCATTGCTTTTACAGCACCTTCTTATGAGAACGTTGCACTGCTTTTTTATGATAAAACCATTAATCAGTAGAATTTAGCAAGGTAAGAGTTATTAAACAAAAATAACTGTTTCTCTGAGGATTTTGCAACAAATCTTCCTGAACAGAATATAACAACCACCGATGAAGAGAAGCGATAAAAACCCAATAAAAATGGGAGATTTCACAGTGTCAATGAAACTGCACTCGAACATGACTGATACCTTATAAATCTTAATTTCAAATGATTATGAAAGTAAAAAGAATTCATTTGTCAGGTCAATTTAAATACTATTATGAGAAAATTAAGCTCTGAAGTAAGCAATTACTATATTCAGTGAGCTCTTACAGCTCGTAAATCTATTGAAAGAATAAGCCATCAATGTTATTTTAACTAACACCATCATTGAAAAGGATAATCCTCTAACACCTGCTACATAACTATTAAAATGGTTCATTAATGAATACTCTCTACAAAGCTTTTAAAATGAGGTATACATAAGAAAAATTACCTGCAATGTTCTCTATCGTCGTAACTTTATTCATCCTTGTTTGATGACTAATCCATAGTGTAATAAAAAAATGTATCCTTTTAAATAACTTACTCTTTTATCAATGTCTTTATTTTTTAAGACTTTCAAGGAAACAGATATCAGCTAAAAGTTTAAAACATCTTTCATAAAGAAATGTCTAAAACTTAAACTCAAAGTTTAAAATGAAATTTTTTTTTTATTCTTTCAACTTTACATTAACATTAATTTTAATATAAAACAGTCTCTTCAAGAAATTGTGGCGGTGAAATTACTCATCAAACTTAAAACCTTTTCTTTTTAAATCTTGTTTTGCTTCTTGAATTTCTGTTTGAAGCTCTAACGCAGCCTCCTTGCAATCATTGAACGTTAAAGTACGGTAAAGGACTGTGGTAACAGCGTATATCTAAATGAAATGCAACGTATGAAATTGTGATTACTATAAGCTTACGTGGATATAACACATTGTATGTGAATACTTACACCAAGTGCAATTATCATGATAATTGGCAATATTTGAATTTCAAAAAAGAAATATTCAAAAACTTCATGTTTTATTTGCCTTGTGGTGATTGCTCCATATATTCCAAAGAATATTGTAAGACCAATAAGTAGTTCATTTAATTTCGTCATATTTGTTCAAAGATATTTTGAATATTCAAAAGAAATCTAAAGGAATGAAATTAGATAATCAAGTTTTACACGTATCGCCGCTAAACATAAACAACCTGAGATGACATATTTTCAATACAATCGAAAATTGAGAGAGAATTTTGTGTTAGTGTGAGTGATTGTTTATGAGGGTTTAATAAAATTTGTTATTCCTCCTTGTGTTGATTTTAAATTCAATATTTCAGATTATTGTTAATATAATTTGTATATACAACATTGAAAGAATGTTGCAATATTTCAGATTATTCAGTGGTTTAAGGTAGGAATTTAGTATCTTTTTATTATTGCTGAAATTAATAATGCCGCAAATTGCGGTTTTCTAGATTACAATCAAAACAAGTTTTCAGAACAATCCCTGTTTGTTTATCTTCAAAGGCAAGCTCTCTCGATTACCAAAATTGCTATAGCAATGATGAATTAGAAAAGATTCTTAACATTATCAATCATTGTTCGGAACAAGATTTGAGCACGTTTGATATATCAAAACAAAGGCTGAAGAAAATAGAGATAAGAAAGCAGAAACAAGGAGAATTTACAACAGTTGAAGATATTCTAGAGCTAGATGGATTTGGAGCGAAAGTTTTAGAAAAATTTTGCAACAGTATTTTGAAACATTCTTCTGATCAAACTTTAAATGATCAGATTTCGTCAGCTTCCAAAGATGAACAATTTTCATCAGCCGAATCAATAATGAAGAAGAAACAACAATTTGTAACTCCAGTTATTCAAGAAAACTCCAGAAAAAATATCAAAACATGTGTTTCTTTTCATTTTGACTCTAATTGTATTGCGTGGACAAAGCTAGGTTTAATGGAAACCAGCGACGATGTTAAACCTATTTCAGTCCAGGAATGGGACAGTTTTGAGATTAGCAATGATAATAGAAAGAGAACATTGTCAGAACTCATTCAAATACTTATTTATCTTAATACCAAAATTCCTCATGCTGACGCTTACGTCTTTGAAGCTCAAAGATCGATTCAAGCAGCAAAGCAACCCGGAAGCATAATTCAGATGAATATCAATCTTCAAAAATCGCAAATTCACGCGATGTTAAGTGTATTGATGGCATCACGAGGAAACGTCAAATACTCAATTGTTGACGATAATCTCGAAAATCAATTAGAACATTCAAAGTTTCTAAATGATCATCTAACAATTTACTTCCTTAAATCATTTCTAGCATCTCGTTTGTTTAATGTCTACATTGGTAATGAAAGAGTTTCGACCGAACATATTGTCAATGACATTTTGCGTTATAATTATGATAAAGAACAGCCAAAAAATCATTTATTTAATTCAATTGATGTTTCACAACAATTACGAGAGTTATACAACGACAGTAAAAGAATTGAGAAAGATTACTTAGGACAATCATTTCTTATCGGTTTAACGTTTATGAAATTGTGTATTTTGAAATGTCCACAAAGCATGTCTCAGTTGAATAAAAGGGAAAAATAAAAAGAAAGTTAAATTTTGTAAACAGTTTAAATTTTCTAAGTCCAAATTGATTTGCTATGCACAAGAATATCTTTGAATCCTTTAACAAAGGTTTTTGATTGATACCAAACTTCTTGACTATCATTTATAGCTGTCACTTCGCTTAACGTTAACTCTTGGAATTCTTCATCGAAGATGTCAAAGTCGGTTGAGTCTCGAAAGTTTAATGAAAAAGTGTTGCAAGATTTTGAGACTTTAAAATTTGGAAGCTCTATAAAATCAGAAGAAATTTCATAGTCTGCAACTTTTCGAAATAGAACAAATATGTTAGTTAATCCTAACGAAGTCTTATCACACAGTCTGAGATCATCGTTTTGAATAATTTTCAGAAGAATTTTCTTAACTTCGCTGGTTTCGTTGACATATGTAGGCAAGAGATCATCGTTGACTTTAGGGAAGTTTATAAGATATGATTCCTTTGCAGTATGAATGGTACTTCCAAATAATATCATCATTGGTGATCCTGTTGAAAACTCTTCTTCGATTACCTACAAATTAATTCTAATAATTTCCATTAATTTTCCTGTATTATGTTCAGCTCACCTTTTTGATTGCAAAAATTTTATCACAAGTTTCACGAGCAAGTTTCAATTGCTTTTCAGTCTTCCAATCTTTTCTAAGATTCTCTTCATTTTCTTTTACGTTTAATTTCGATTTCGCGTTAACAAACTTAACAAAAAGTTTAAATTGGAATGGAATTTGAGATCGCAAATGTAGAAGGTAATCAAATAATGATGTAACTAATTTTGTGCCCAAAGCTTTTGTTGGTTTTATATTTAGGTTGATTTGTACTTTGTTTTCCATATTTATAATATTTTTACTTTCTACAAATTTCTGAGGTTTTTACGAGTAAATAACGAATTTTTCAAGTTTTGTCTGCTCAGAATGTTTTGATGTTCAAGGAGACAAATTTTCTTGTTTTCATTCATTTGTAGAAAAGTTTCAATTTGTATTTCATTTTCTCTTTAATTTTGATGGATTCAGACAGTTCGTTATATAAAAGAGCAAGAATGGATGATAGTAAAGATATAAGTGATGACATAGAAATAATTAAAGTCGTAAGTTTTTTCATTAATTCCTAAATATTTCCTAATAAAAGTACTGAGAGATTTTTTTTCCAAAGGCTTTGAAATGGAATGCAAACATGTACCACCTTGAGTTGGATCCACTTGATGATGTAGCAATTCTTCGTTATCAAGTTTTCAAAGAGACACAAGTGAAACCGGAGCGACAAAAGATTTTGAATCTTAAAGCAAAAGGAGGTAAAAAGCGAAGAAAAAATTTTAATATTCAATATTAAATAATTAATGATTTCAGGAAAAAAAGTTGAAGACACGACAAAGATCTCAGAATTAGATATCAAACCAGGAAAACCACTCATGATGGTAGGATCTCTTGAAGCTGATATTGCTAGTGTTAATGAGAAACCAGATGGAATTGATGTAATCAACGATTTTGAGGATGAACAGAACGACAACGAGCCATTTGAAACGAAAGAAGTTTATCTAACAAAAATTCGTCGTCGCATCAAAGAATATAAATTTGAAGTTTTCAATCCGCCACGTGAGGGAAAAAAACTTCTCGTTCTTGACATCGATTACACACTTTTCGATCATCGATCATCAGCTGAAACAGGTGCAGAACTCATGCGTCCTTATCTTCACGAGTTTCTAACATCTGCTTATGAGCATTATGACATAGTAATCTGGTCAGCTACGTCCATGAAATGGATCATAGAGAAAATGAAACTTCTTGGTGTTCACAACAATGAGAACTACAAAATAATGTTCTATTTAGACTCTTCAGCAATGATCACAGTTCACTGCCCTAAACGAGGTGTTGTCGAAGTCAAACCTCTTCTTGTCATTTGGGGAAAGTTTAAGCAATACGGTTCAAAAAATTCGATTATGTTTGATGATATACGTCGCAATTTTCTCATGAATCCCAAAAGCGGTTTACGAATCAAACCATTCAGTCAATGTCACTTGAATCGTGATAAAGATAAAGAATTATTGAAGTTGGCAACATATTTGAAGAACATTGCTGAAAACTGTGATGACTTTAATAAGTTAAACCATAAGAAATGGGAAAGTTACACACCTTGAATTAAAGTTTATAATTTTTAAATATTTTTTGCTTCTTCGAAACATTTAAAGGCGTTTTGAGAACTGTGAATAATGATATAATTTTATGATTAAGACTTTAATGTTCAGGGTTGACTTTGTTGATATATTTTAATACGAAATTTGTCTCGGCATTTTTTTCTCCTTCTAAGATTTCGAATAAATTAAAAAAGAAAAGAAATTAATTGAAAATTTGATCGACTTTATTTAAAAAAAATTATGATTCGAACATTGTCATTGAGATTCATCAGAATCTCCTTTAAATTTCGTTTTTTTCTTTTCGTAAAGACTTGTTCCTATTTTAGCAAGCTTATCTGCTTTCTCATTTCCATAAAATCCTTTGTGAGCTGGAATATAAGACCATTTGATGACCATGTTACCAGATTCAATGAGATTATCAAGACGCTTAAAATCTTTTCTATTTGCTACTTTAACTCCTGTTTTAACTTTCCATTCTTTCATTTTCCATCCTCTCATCCATAAACAAACTGATTTTATAAGGAATTTTGAATCCGTAAAGATGTTTAGTCTTTTAATCCCACAACTTTGAGCTGTTCCAATTGCATAAATTGCTGCTTGAATCTCGCCAGAATTATTAGTTGGTCGACCTTCAACTGGTTTTGAAATGTTATAAATATTATCGTCACCAAAAAAGACTCCAATACCAGCAGCAGCTGTCGTTTTACCATTATTTTCACATGACCCATCAGTATAAACGTGTACGAAGCCTTTTGAATCTTCATGAAAATCAACATTGTGATACTTTTTTAATGAAGTCGATTCAGGTGGCTCAAGTTTTATGCCATCGCTTTGTTTTGATTTCTCTTTAGTCGAAGATTTGGCCGAAGTCATTGCTTGAGGTTCATCAGGATATTCCTCTAAAGCTAAAAATGCTTCTTCGTCTGACTTTGTTGCATATTCATTTGAAGTTTCTTGTATTGATGTCGACGATTGTTTTGAATTCTTTTCCATAATTTTTGCGAAATTTAATGGTGTTTTTTTTTGCTTTTTCGATGGTGGTTCTCCATTACTGCAACTTCGAGCTATGAAATTATCAGCCTCTGTTTTAGTTTTAAACTTCTTATAAACTGCTCCACTAAACCCTTTGACTTGACTTTCACATTCATTCCTGAATTCAATTTGAATATAATTTTATTACTTTAAGTAAAGGATTGAAGCGATCTCTTACCATGTTGAGAAGATCCCTGGTATTCTCCCTCTAGCTACTGCATAAAACGACATTCTAAAAAATGAGAGCATTTAACAATTTTCTACAGTTTTTAAATGATGCATTTTGTTTCTCTTATTTTGATATTTATTCACGCACACTGTCACACTACCAAAGTAACCAATTTTACCAGCAACTTCTTTACACTTTATACCGAGGAGACATAATACTGACGTGATAGGTTAAAGCTTAGGGTTAAAGGAAGGAAAAATTTAAAATCAAACAATAATTTCAGATAAGTTTTGTTTAATCTGGTCATAATAAGCCGAAAACCAGTGAAAAAGAAAATTAGAAACCTTTAAAATGTCACGTGATAATTATAAGTAAGTGTAATATCATATTGTGGGCATTTTTTGAATTCATAACTTCTCAATTTTCATCAAATTTCTTTTCGTTATATTTGTAATTTTAGTAGCCATCAACATCGTTCGCGATCGCGATCGTTTTCAGCATACAGACGAGCAATGAAGTGCGTTTCATTAAATGTTCCAAAACTCACCAATCAAACTAATAGCCAAAACTCGTCTTTTTAGTTCAAGGCACCCCCGGATGCCATCACCCGGCCCACCGCCCAAATTCCGAAAACGCTCAGAATCACCACTTTTACAAGTAGAAAGATACAGATATAGTCGAAGCGCATCTCCACCAATGCTTAAGAATGGTGGCGGACGAAACGGACACAGAAGTAGATCACCAGAAATTCAGCGTCGTCGACGACGATCAGAATCGCGAGCTCCTGTAAGTAACTTTTAAATAAATAGAAGTTGATCTCACAAGTAATCGAGTATTTACATTTATTAGGAGCCTTCTCCAGTGCTTGGGGTTTTTGGATTACATGTGCGCACAACAGAAAATGAAATTCGCGATATATTTGAGCGCTTTGGACCAGTTGATAAAATTCATATGGTTTATGACGCCAAATCCCGAGGGTTTAGAGGCTACTGCTTTATCTACTATACAAAGACTCGGGATGCCACTGCAGCATTAAATGAAACGAATGGAATAGAAGTAAAGGATCGACGAATTCGTGTCGATTATTCAAAGACTAAACGTGCTCATACGCCAACTCCTGGCTTTTATCGGGGCAAACGAGGCCAACGCAATCGTTCATCTGAACGACAAAGACAGCCTCGTCGAGATTTCTCACATGCTATAAATGACAGATTCAGAAGAGACGAGCCACCACGTCATAGATCTCGAGATAGAATGGAACGATCCTTCCGTGACATCAATCGGGACCGTGAAATGAGACACAGATCTGATGAACGTCGACGTCCAATGGAGCGAGCAGTCCGACGATCTCCTCCACGACGTGACATATTCCGTCGTCGTGATAGAAGTTAAACCGTTTCTACTTCGCGCAATTTCTCAATATTGAAGCTCAGAGAAAAAAAAAACTAAAAACAAAAATATTAAAAAAATAAGAAATTCTTCAGAATACTTTATATAAGAATTTACAAGTGAAATCCAAAACAAAAAGCATTTCTCCAATTTTGAACACGACCAATTTATCTTTCTCAAGGATTTACATTCATCAAAATTTCAATTTTTTTCTCTTTTTCATTTTTTATTATCATGAAAACAAAACTTAATTGTTACAATCTTCTCTTTCATTCTTCTAGATAAACATTTTAAAGAATCATAATTTCTTTAAATTTCAATTAAAACTGGCAATAATTGAAGAAAAGCGATTATAAAATAGAATTTTCATTTTCTCTTATGATTAATTTCGTGTTCAGGACTTCAATTAATATGGATAATAAAGAAAAATATTTTTAAATAAATTTCATTTGAAGTTTAGTTTTTGTTTGATAAATGAGAATAAACGTTCTTGCATAATGTCATCATTGTAATCACCAAGTTCCGATTGTTTCCCCATCATTATCTTAAATTGTTTTTATGAAAGTCACCAATCTAATGAACGACATTTAAATTTACGTTATAAAATTCTTGATACTTGGAACAAATGATTAAAACTAAAATTCATTGATAAAGTTCTTCTCCCACTTATTTCCCATAAATAAATATTCTAAAAGCATGGCATTAAATCAATGGAAGTAACATGAATTGAACTTAATAATTGTTTATTGTCTCAGATTTGAAGTTATTATTATTATTATTTTTATTTCGTATTTGTGTACATTTAAGAACATGGTTCTTTTTACATTTCCTTCATTGTTACAATATAAAGATTTTATAAGGTTTCATTACTATTTTTATTAATTTGTTTCATTTCGATTTATCCGAGTTGATTATTATGAAATATTTCACATTATCATGCAATGATTAGTTATGCTACTTTAACATGCATTAAATTAAGAAATGTACAATTGAACAGAAAGTCACAATTTGGGGAAGTTGAAAAAAGTTTTCTTTTACTCTTTACTTGAGTTAGGTAATTCATGTTGCATTGATGAAAAAGTTGACAAGAAGCCGCACAAAATTTTTGTCTCTTTTTCTGTGAAGAGAATTTTCGAGAGAAATGAAGGAAAAAAGCGTTCTGTTCATATCGCTGACGAGAACGATTTCAAAAGCTCTCCCACCCACGATACCGGCATAACTTGCGGTATAAGTTTAGAAGAGAAATAATATATAATAAGGAGCGTCGTACAGAGAATCAGTCAGTTTTCAGTCAACTCTCAAGTCTGCAACAAGCCTTCAAAGCTCAAACGAAAGTTCAAATCTTTTTGCCAATTTTTTTAAAGAGAATTTTTAAAAGTAATCATCCAGCGAAAGTGAATATAATAATCGAGCAATTGTGCAATAAAAAGTAAACAAACATAAAATATCAACAAAGTATCAACATGGAAATTTCATCAACAAACGTTAACTACTCGGAAAGTTTCATCGACACCATCTACGACTATCAAACGACATTTGTGGAAAAGTCAGAAGGAAAACTTCTCGTAAGTAAATTTTATCGATTTTATCTGAAAAACAATAATACAAGAAAGAAAAATAAGTGACGGAGAATAAAATGTCATTCGGTTTAGTTATAATCAAAGCAATAATGCCGCTAATTTCTTGAGTCAATTTTCCCAAAAATCAATGAAGAAAACTTGTTTCGTCAATAATTCGATCGAAAGATGGAAAGTTTTTAGCTTTTTTGGATAGTTTTTGTTGTTCTACATCATTTTGGTGATAATTCATGACCTTGACAATGATTTTGCAGCGGAAACTTTGGATAAGCAAAGAGAAGAAAAGTTTTCTGTTTCTAAATGGCGCAGAAATAAAAGCGCAAAAGAGAAGAAAATGAGATTTATCGATTATTTTTCACTTCGGAAAATTCTGGAATTTTCCTTTCAATCACTTTATATTTGAAACAATTGACTCTGACTCTGACCTACCCTTATCTATTCTTCAAATTATTTTGTAAACGAATGAAAAAAGAATCACATCCGAAATTTTTGAAACGTCTCATCAGATCATTGGCCACTGTAAGAATCGTTTTTGTTTCGTTGAATGAAATCTGTTGAATAATTCTGACTCATTCCATTCGATTTCACCGATAACAGAGGTACACGTTATGCTATATTTACCAGTCATGCGATTTTGATAAAATTTCGTATTGCCATCAACTAAAAATTTTTGTCTGTTTTCTTTTCCTTCCTAATTTGGCAATTAAATATTACGTAATTCGATTAATGGAACGAGTTGTTATCAGTCTGTCTGATTAAATAGCACGTTTTTGAGCGAATTTAGACTCTGCTTGGAGATTAGAAGTTTTTTTTATAATGCTTGCATACGAGTTTAGTGCCTTGTTTAATTAAGAAATATGAGGATCATGAAAATGGGGATCGTTTATTGATTAAGACACATTTTATTGATGTAACAAAACAATTAAACTTTGTAAAGGACGTGACATCTTTTATGAACAATTTTGTTCAATTCTTTATTGTTCTTTTAAGAAGTTTTGTCTCTTATCACCAAGCGTCTATGCATATAAGTTTAATGTCAATAACATTTATTGCTGAAACACAAATATTTGACGTTCTTACCAACAGGTTCATCCTATAACAAAAACTCTCGATATTCGCACTGAACGAAAAGTGCCGAGACTTGGATTGATGCTTGTTGGATGGGGTGGCAATAATGGTTCGACCTTGACTGCAGCTTTGGAAGCTAATCGCAATAACTTGTCATGGCGTACAAAGGAAGGTATTCAAACATCAAACTGGTTTGGATCTATCACTCAAGCAGCTACTGTGTTAGTTGGTTCTGATCACAATTTCAAAGATGTCTACTTACCGATGAAAGACTTCTTACCAATGGTCAATCCCAACGATATCATCGTTGATGGTTGGGATATCAGCTCATATAATCTTGGTGATGCAATGAAGCGTGCACGAGTCTTTGATGTCGCTTTGCAAGATCAATTATATAACAAGCTTTCGAAATTAAAACCACGACCATCAATCTATGATCCCGATTTCATTGCCGCCAATCAGTCTGATCGTGCTGATAATCTCATCAATGGAACAAGATACGAACAGTTTATGAAAATTCGCGATGATATTCGGGAATTTAAAAAAGTAAATAAAATCGATAAAGTTGTTGTATTGTGGACGGCAAATACAGAACGTTTTAGTGATGTTCGTGAAGGTTTGAATATGAATATGGATCAATTGGAAGCATCTTTGAAGAGAAATGACATTGAAATCTCACCATCGACAATTTTTGCAATGGCATCAATTGTCGAAGGTTGCATTTACATTAACGGATCCCCACAGAATACTTTCGTACCGGGAGTTGTTGAAATGGCTGAACATCATGGCGCTTTCATCGCTGGCGATGATTTTAAATCTGGTCAAACAAAACTTAAGTCAGTTTTGGTTGATTTTTTGGTTGGTGCTGGTATCAAACCTGTTTCGATTGTGAGCTACAATCATTTGGGAAACAATGACGGCAAGAACTTGAGTGCACCGTCACAATTCCGTTCAAAGGAAATCTCCAAAAGCAACGTCGTTGATGACATGGTTGAATCAAACGACATCTTGTACAAGCCTCAAGAACATCCTGATCATTGTGTTGTAATAAAATATGTTCCATATGTTGGCGATAGCAAGCGCGCTATGGATGAATATACAAGCGAAATCATGATGGGTGGTCACAACACACTTGTCATTCACAACACCTGTGAAGATTCACTTTTGGCAACACCATTGATTCTTGATCTCGTGATTCTCGGCGAATTATGTTCTCGAATTACCATAAGAGATCATAACAAACCAGACACAAAATACGAGTCATGCAAATCAGTTTTATCACTTCTTTCTTACATGTGCAAAGCACCTTTGGTTCCACGCGGTACTCAGGTTGTCAATTCGTTATTCCGGCAACGTGCGGCAATTGAGAATATTTTGAGAGCATGCGTTGGTCTCGCACCTAATTCACATATGGCTTTGGAACAAAGGGTGAGGTTGAAATTACTTCAAATCATAAATTCATTATTTTCTATCATAAATTAATAACAATTATCTTTGTTATAATCTCCACAGTTTGACTTTTCATCTATCAGTGTTGAACCAGCAACAAAGAAGACAAAAGGCAATGGTTTAAAAATGAATGGCAATGCCAACGGCTACCATCATGAGATCAACAGAATAAATGGTCACAGCAAGGAAATGTTGGTAGAGAATGGAAAACATTAAGTGATTAAGCTATTCAAATACTTGCATGTAGCTTATTATGTACTGTTAATATCACAGATTAGTGATGAAAATATGTTTACAAATTATTTAATATTTTTGATGAGGTTCGATTGACACTGCAGAAGAATTTTTGGAAAACTTTAACTTTATTTTATGAAATTGAGTCTTTAGAAAATTTCCAAGAACCAATTGTAGACTTAATAAGCATCAGGGTCCTTTTGAAGAAAGAAATATTTTGAATTTATCATGAGAGCAATCTCTCAACTTCATATTTTGTATTGAAATAAATTAGAAACGATCGTCTTATGAATTTTAAAACGATAAACATTTTAATGAAAAGAAAAGATGAGTCTGAAATCGTGTATACAAAATATGTATAATCGTGTATGTAAATTAAAAATCACATCAAAATTTAACAATATTTAGCACCAAAACTCAATAAACATCGTTTCTAGATTTTATTTCATCACATTCATCGATTAATTTCACAACAATATAAAATCTAAGTGGATTTAGACAAATTTTTGGAAGTTTTATGCATGGGCAGAATGCAAATAATTTAGAAAGTTTTGATAAAATTGCAACATTTTAAGATGTTGTGATGTGATCGTAAAATTTATTAGCAAGTTGATACAAATTTTTAAAAAAGCTAATAAACTCGAAATTTATGACAAACATTCGTCTCGACCCGTCCCTGTGTTGGTAGATTATCAATATTGACATCGATAGGATGACGTTGCACATTAAGTATTGACATAACGCTTTCATCATGTGCATTGAACAATTTAAAGAAACCCTCATTGAAATTGTCAAATCTTTATTTGGACTATTCAGAGGTGTTTTATGTGACAGCAAAATGAGAGAAGTCACTTTAAAAATTTATTCATTCCATTCGGAAACTCATGTAAAAGTATAAAAAATATAAAACAGCCGTTGTTAGGTGTGGAATAAAAGGATATATTAAAAAATCTTATCAATTAACTTCTTTTAGATTCTCTTCTTTCAGTTTTTTCGATAATATTTGGGAGTTGAAATTGTTATCATCGAGAATTTCAATGACTTCGAACTTACTTGATGTTGTTTGTGTACAATTCAAATCAATTTTTAGAAAATTATGAAGTTCTATAATTTTTATACGAAGTCTCTCGATGATTCGATTGATATCTTCACGAAGTTGTGGTCTTGCTTTTGCTTCCAGATACATCGCTTGCATCTCTTGTCCCGTTGCACCAGAAAGAAATTCAAGAATGTTATTACTGAACTTTGCAGTAAGAATCTTTTCAGAGTAAGAATCAGTAAGATCGCACTCTAAATGCCATTTCTTCTTATCGATTCTCAATTTTTTTCGAATTCCAAACTCATGTACTCGTGCTTTAATTACATAAGCTTTCTTCGCTTTCTCGGTTGTTTTCATTGAAATGTATTGATCGATTGTAACAATATTGAAGCCATCAGTCGTTTTGAACTTGTAATCATTGTCAGAGAAAGTTGAACATCTTGTAGGTTCAACCCGTGCAATTTTTTTCGGAACTTGATCATCACTATTTTCAATCGAATTTCTCCAATTTGAATTACTTGGTCTTGAAATAAAATCAACATGCTGACTCTCATTGTCTTCGGGAATATCAATATTGGGAATTAGTAAATCATTTTGATTTATTCTCGGAAGATGTTCGTTATCATTTATTTCAATAATCTCATTATTTTGTAAGCGCTGACGTATCATTAAATCATCAACTTCCATCGCTTCGAGAATGTCTTCACCAATTTCGTCATCAATTTTTTGTTGCTTATTCGAGTTGTTACTTTCTTGACTAGATCGATTTCTCTGTTCCACTTCTTCGATTTGTAACAACATTTCCTCATCGAAGTCATCTTCATCATCAAAATTAATTCCATTCAAATCATCGACAGCAATTTGTTTGTTTGGATTATTTTGATTAATTACTGTTGCATGTTGTTGATTTGCATCACGATATTGTCTTTGAGTTTCGATTGTTGTTGGTTCAACTTTGTAATCGGTTAAAGGTGTTTCAGTTAATGGCTTATTCAGAGCTTTTAATAGAACATTCTCATATGCATTTGAAATCAACAAATCATCGACATCACCTCCGAGAATCTTTAGGTTTTTCGACTCCAATAAAAGAATGTGATTAACCACTTGCAGAGGACCGATGACTTGAAGCTTTATTCCTGGCGATAACTTACTGTTCAATACAGGAATCGTTGTATATTCCATTGCACTAATTGTATTGTGACCATCTGTAAGTTCTAATTTAAAAACTCTTTTCTTTTTCGCTGCAAATGTTTTCGATTCCTTGATTTCTTCCACATCATCTAGTTTAATATTATGAAGTCGTCGATGTTGCTCGTAAGGTGATTCAGCTATATAAATGGTGATTTTTAATGTAAAAATTAATTTAAATTTACTTCCTTACCAATGTCAATTAAGAATTGCATTTGTAATAAAAAAGTTCCATTCAATGTAAACGGTTGTTTATTTCTAAGAACTGTCATTGGAATTACGGGATTTGAAGCTTCTTTAACATCAGCTAGAAGGAATTGTTCATAAGCTTGAAGATAAAGTTGAGAATTGTCGATATTTCTTGATTGACTTATAAAAAATTTGACACATTCCACGATCCAGTCGTTTTTTACTTTAACAACATGTGTTGACAACAGTTTAGACTTTACATAATCTACACGAAATTGCAAATCCTCATTCATTTTTAATCAACATGTACATATAGAAAACAATTTAAATGATGAAAAGAAAAAAAAAATCAATTCTACAAATATGTAGCTTGGCGCGAATTTTGATAAACAAACTAAGATGACAAAATTATTCAAATTTATTCTTTCCGTTAAACTTTTATTTATTGATATTCAAGAAATTCTCTTCTACGAGGAATTTAATATCAATCAGCATTTATGACTGTTGTAAAATGTCTTTAATTATTGGCAGAAACAAGGGCAGAAAATTGTTTAAGTTAAATTCATATTTGAATTATAAATTATCGGATTTTCAAAACATCGAGGGGTTATGCTACGACTGACAAATGATTAGACATAAATTTGGTCATTTGAGTTATTACCTAACAGTTTTACTGTTATAAACAAACAAAAACCTCCTTTTAAACAATACAAATTACCTATGTACCTATTCAGAAGGATTGTCATAAGATTTCAACGTTTTTGAAAATCTTTTTACAGAAAATCAACTACAAACATATATTCTACATATTAAAAATTAAATGTCATGGCTCCAATTAATATTCTAAGAAAAAAGTAAATATTTAATTTTCATCCATAATAACCTTAAAAATTTGTTTGATATTTTATTTTCACAGTTTATATTGCCGCCTGTGCCTTGAAGATTTTTATGAAAATGAAATGCAAATTCCCATAAATAATCAAATCAATAATCAATTTTTTGATATAACTCAAATTCCACTCACTGCTTCAGAAAATTACTCAAAAGCTATTTGTGAAAGTTGTTTTAATTCACTAGAAGATTGTGCAACTTTGGGACAGAAATTAATTGATAAACAAAAGACGCTAGAAAAAATATATGAGTCACTAAAGGAATATAAACAAAAGTTCAAAAGAGATGAAATATTTTCGAGCACGAGACTAGACTTTGAAGAAGGAGAAATAGACCAAGAGCTGAGTTTTTCTGGTATGAAAATGATTTGATCTTCTAATTTTTATCTTCTATTATCATGAAATTTCAGATGAAGATCTTGATGAGCTTAATACCGATGAAAAGAATTCAAGAAAAAAGTAAATATTTAATTCTCATCATTCATAATTAGCTTTCAAATTATTTTCGTACTCTCTTTTCACAGTTCATTATGTCGTCTTTGCCTTCGAATTTTTTGTGATGATGACAAGCAAATTCCTATAAATAATCAAATCAATAATCAATTTGTTAAAATGACTCAAATTGCACTCACTGCTTCAAAAAAATACTCAAAATTTGTTTGTGAAAATTGTTTCAAAGTTCTGAAAGGTTTTGCAACTTTTAGATCGAAGTTAATTGATAAGCAAAAGAAGTTAGAAAAAAAATATAACACAGAAAAAGGATATGAAAAAAAATTGATAAGAGATGAAATATTTACGAGCACGAAAATAGACTTTGAAGAACAAGAAGGAAACAAGGAGCGCAATTTTTCTGGTATGAAATTGAATTTAAGTGCCACTTTGCATCCATATGTTATCTTAAAATTTCAGATAAAAATGAGTCTACTGCCAGCAAAATTAAAGTTTCTGATGATAAAAATAATAACACGAAACCAGACTTTGTAGAACGAGAAGGAAACCAGGAGCTGAATTTTTCTGGTAAGATAATAATTTTAACTGCTTCTTCAAATCATAAAAATGATCTTAAAATTTCAGATAAAGACGAATCTATTGTTATCAAAAAACGAGAAAAATTCCATTGTGATCACTGTAATTATTCAGATTGCCATAAGAATGAACTTCTTAATCATATCAGAACTCATTTCATTGTAAGAAAAATTTATTTTATGAATCAAATCATGTTTGTAAATACTAATTTTATTACTTAATTAGATTAAAGCTTTCACTTGTCATATATGTAGTGCAGATTTTACAACACAAAAAGATTTGGTAGAGCACGCAATTTACATAAGCGATAACCCTTTTTTCTGCGATATTGATGGATGCTTTACTGCTTTTAAGACTGAAATTATCTTGTGGGAGCATGTCAAGAAAATTCACGAACATTTTCAATTCCATCAACCTCCTCAACCACAAACAACTTGTCATGTGTGTGGAAAGATTTACAAACAAAAAAAAAATTTGAAGCAGCATTTACTTTATCATCAACCTCCGAAACATTGCTGTGAGATTTGTAATAGAAAAATGTACACTCGAGGTGAATTGACAGTTCATATAAGAAACGTACATGATGGTCGCAAGGATTTTCAATGTCACATTTGTGACAAAAAATTTACTAAGAGTCACACCTTGAAGCAACATATGATAAGAATCCATTTAAAGCAGAAACTTACTTGCAAAGTTAATGATTGTAATGAAAGTTTTGAGAAAAAATATCTGTTCAGAAGTAGGATAATTCAATTCAAGTTTTAATTTTCTTTGATTAATGTTTTTATTTTTTGCAGGACATATTTTAAAAGCGCACCCTGACCTTGGAATAACAGATGTCGATGATATCATTGATCGAATCAAAACAAATAGTATTCCTATAAAAATTTAATGAAAAATTTTAAATTTGTTTGATTCGTCGTTTTTCAAAATCAATTCCTGACACTTATAAAAAATTTGATATTCTACGATTCAACAACATGCGTTGACAATAATCTAAACTTCACATAGTCTACACGAGCTTGCAAATCCTGATTCCTTAAAATCAACATGTAGAGAAAATAGTTTTAATGATGAAAGTAAAATAAAATTTGATTGTAAATTTAGCTTGGCGCGAATTTTGATTCATTAGTATCTAAGAAGACAAAATTATTTAAAATTTTTCTTTCCGTTAAACTAAAAAAATTTCAAGAAAAATTTTAACAAATGGATTTAGCTTATGAATGATTTTTTAAACATTTTCTATCATTTAATTATGTAAAAATTTCTTTGATATTGCAGAAAAATAGATTGTAAAAAACTTATTATCTAATCTCTTAAATGCTGAGTAATTCGGAGATAAGGACAGCGCTTTTGACATTTTTTAGCATAACATCAGACCTTAAAGTTCTACTTTAGTTCTACATGTAGAAAATTGTGTACATATACTAGCGCCATCTGGTTTTACTTAAGATGACAATCGAATCTGATAAAAAAAAACTTTGCACGTTTTTCGGATTTAACTTTATTGGTTTTTATATAAATCAAATATAACTTATTATTCCTTTTTTTGCTTCAATGGATTCATTAATTTCAACGCTTGAGCATGCAACATTAGGTGGTGGAGTGAAAAAACTAAACGGACATGTTTTGGTAAACAATAATGAAGGTTTTAAACACTTTTATTAAACTTGTTTTTAAGTCTCTTGTACATTTTATTAAACAATCAACAATAAATCTAGTAATCAGTTTTCCTTATTATTTAAGGTGTATATTTCTGAAGTCTCTTCACCTACTCGGTTGTGGATTCAAGAAGCTAAGATTGATGAAGTTGAAAAATTATCTAAAGAAATGGGGTGAGTTTGATTATTAAATTTACATGGCTTCAGAATGAAACTATCTAACTATCTTTTGATTTAAGTGTATTTTATAATAAATATCACGAAGCAGATTTCTCTTTGTCGTCATATCAAATTAAAATTGGAATGAGAGTAGCAGTTAACGTTTTCAGTGAATGGAATAGAGCAGAAGTTATTAGTGAAGTCAATCCAAACACTAAAGATGTCCGCCTTTTCTTCATTGATTATGGAACAACTGGGTTTGTTCCTTACAACTGCTGCAAAATATTGTTTGAAAACTTCTCAGCTTTACCAAGGAAATCATATCGTGGTGCAGTTTATGGTATCAGACCTAAAGGAAACAAACGTTTATGGAATCTCAGCATAACAGACGAATTTGTGAAATACATCAGAAATAAAATTCACCACATTGAAATCGTGAATTATCATGAACAAGTTAGTATAAAATTTTTCTTAAACATAAATGTTTATTTAATTACAAAATATTCTGCGACAGGAAGATTTCTACGAGTTTTTACTTTACGATGACAGCAACAACATTGTGAATTATAAATTTGATTCAATGGAAGTTGAAAACGCAATATCTAACTTCAATGCAACTCCTTCGTTATGCTTATCATATCCACCTTTCACATTTCTCGAGAAATTAGTGGTTTATCCTACACTTAGCGAACGATTCCAACTTCTTAAACGTGGCGTAGATTTCAATAAATTTGAAGAAGAAATTATTAAAACCCATACAAATGTTGACGCTTTTAAAACTGAATTAGATCAAGAATTAATGAAAAATGAATATAAAAATTTTAAAGATGCTTTTTTCGATATTCTACAAATCCAATGAAATAATTTTTTTTTCTATTTTATATTTAAAATCTTTTTTATTTTCTCTTTGAAAGAAATCACGATGTATCGAAAATTCTTGACGCATTGAAAGAATTAAAATTAAATCTATGAGAATCTATCTTTATTATCCTTAACCATTGATCTACGCAATTATTGACTTGTAATAATTCCTATGAAACAAATTTAATAACAAGTACAAACAAAACTTAAATTTCATATTGGACATTTAATTTTTGTTTCATTCTTTGATTAAATAGTAGAATTGTTATACTATGGACTTTTGATATAACGATGGCCGTAGGTCTATCGAGAGAGCGTTATATCAAGAATTCACTGTTTATTATACAAATTAATATCAACATCATTTTTTTTAACTGTCCATGAAAAATTGAATCAATAAGCAATAAAAATTTATTCGAAAGAACTTCTTTCTTTTTGCTAATTGCCCACCCACATATTATAATCGCAAGAGACTTGGAAAAAGAAAATTATGTTTTCAACTGGTCAGCAACATGATCGGTTACACAATTTCTCTTGCGAGACCTCACATGAATCAAAAAATTATTTTTCTTTTTTCTTAAACATCTGACAATCGAAATTTAACTCGCAACTTGAGAGTGAAAATTTTCTTTTACCAACTGATACTTTCTCAAGAGTCTCTTCAGTCAAAACAAATAGATGATAACTCTGTTAAACGATGGTTTCCATAAGAGTGAAAATGAAAGCAGATCAGTTACAGAATGCAAACACATTTCCAGGTCAAAATGCAATAAATTTGTTTTAGTTTTTGACCCTTATGCATGAGTATATTTGTATGTTAAAATATTTATAATAAATGACAAAAAGCGAAAACATAATTTAAGAAATCTGTGTGTAAACAATCCATAAATTACCATCTTTCAGTTGATTTTGTTTTCTTCTTTCTTTCTATTTTGTGATGATGATAATCCTCGAGTTTTGACATTTGTTAATAAAAACAGACCATAAATTTCATTTTACGAAATGTAGGGGAAAGTAATAATTTGTGAAGAGAAAACAATGATCAATGATTTAGTTGGAGATCGATTGCGGAAATCTTCGATCATCCACCCAGAGAAGCTTCGTTATTGACTTTTAAGAGGAGAATTTTATTGAATAATTAATGATCACTGAAAATGTTCACCTCGTAAAACCATTTTTTACAACTTAAAGCGCCGTAAAAAAAATTGTTTGCCTACTCTATCCAAGAACTCATAAAATATGCTACCAAGAAAGCAATAAAATTTGAATATTATTGACTGCCACTTAAACCCATTTTCCCGTTCTTTGCACTCTCTTTGGAAAGAGAAAAAAAAAGTTTTCTTCCTACAAATAATTTATTTGTTTCACGAAAATGTAAACAAAAAAAATCTTGAATTGAAAATGCAGACGTGAATGGAAAAGTTAATGCCTTTTCACTCTGAGACCATCTCAAAAGCTATAAAATTAATAGGAGTGTGGAAAGAAACGTCCCGATGTAGCTCAGGACATTTTTCAAAAGCGAGAGTTCATTTATCAATTCTGTTGTGATCTTTGATCTGTAAAAGCTGGAAAGAAGTAACAAATCGACTGTTGACTGATGGATAATGATTTACAAAGTCATGAAAGTTGAAAAAAGGGTTGAAGTTGCAGTGTCTCGTCGCTAAATAATTAAAAAACGTTCCCGACATCTTCCAAAAGTCATCTTCAACTTCTTCAAACTTATTCGGCATATCTGAAAGATTCGCTTCTTTGTAAAAACATGCGAAAAGTCTTTTCATCAATTCCGCAACAGCTATAAAACAGCTCATAAAACTTTGGTAAAGTCATCTTGAATCGAATCATAAAAAATGCGGTTCTTGCGTCATAAAATCTAAAATGTTTTAAATATTTTTTTATGCACTGCGTCGGGTCTTAATATTGTTACAATTTCTTATGACAACTCAGCACCGCCTCTTGTTAATTAAGATACGCACATTGTCATGCAGATCACTCTAACGAGTAAATAAGATCGCAATTGAGAACCCGCTGTCAGTCAAAAGTCAAATGTAAGAGTCGCTTTTCATTCATGTTCTGTCAATTCTCTTCTAACCGGTGAAGTCTTCTGTGATGCTTCTGACTAATTTCCTACGCCACTCATAAACAGATTATTGATCGTCTCTAATGTCTTTTTAATGTTTTTTTTTCTCTTAAGTTAAAAACACTCGTGTAAAAATCTACGACAAATAATTCTTCTTAAAAAAATCTTTTAAATATCTGAGAGAGAAGAAAAAGTTGAAAGGAAATTTAAGATGGCTTGTTGCGGTCGAAATGTTGGAATGATCACCAATTAAGAAGGAAACATGCAATGAAAAAACACTCATTAAGATGGCATTTGGCGAAAAATACTTTATTAATAGAAGAATCTTTTCATATGCAAAAAATAATGAGAGAGAAAAATATAAATTTAATTAAAAAATTAAAATTTTTCCTTAAATTTCTAAACGACTGAAAATGTTTTTCCCCAAAAACAACAAAAAGAAAAGAAGAAGTAAACTCATCGTGGGATGTATTCGACTTGTCTGATCTGATGACCATAGAATCCTTGATAATGCTGGTAGACATTTGTCGATGGCGACGGTGGCATTTTGTATTTTTCATAAGAGTACGGAAGTCCGGTGTGGTGGTGTGAGTTATGATGGTGATGATAGATTGGACCGAAATTGCTGTTATCCGTTGCGTAACTTTGTCCAAGCATGTGCGAAGTTACAAAGTTTGTCGATTGTGCATTAACAGCATAAGCTGGCTGAGGTGACGTAGTTTGAATGTGACTTTGTGCCAGACTCGTTATCCCAAGATCATCTTCTGTAATGTAATGAAAATAAATTATTTAAGATTATTTTTTGTCGTCCGGAAAAGTGTTTATAACTGAGAGTTTGTCAACACCTTTTAAATATAGCGAAGATCTTACAGCCATGCATGACGTGTAGTTAAAAATCATGAGAGGAACAAGAAGAAAGTTTATAGCTTTTAACATTACAATAAATTATAAGTCAGGGTGGAAGTCACGAAGATCAAGAAACATTTCAAGAAGTATCTCAGTTTGAGATGTTCAGATACGCGCCCCAACTTATCGCGTAAAATTGCAATTGAAAAGTGTTGACAAACGTTGAAGTCACAACTGGAAGTGCAACCATAAAGCGATTCATTTTTTCGCACTTGATTTCATCAAATGAGAGTTTTTCTGTGGTTGGTTGCTGATCAAATGTTGAAAGGTTTGATTTATTTCTGTCATTAATTTCATTCATTATTCAACAGCGAAAACTTACTTTTTGCGGTGCTGATGTTGTTGTTTGCTCGATCATTTTTCACTCGATCTGATGTTGCGCTGGTCATACGTTGATCTTGTGAACTGTGTGAGAGAAATTAATTATGTAATTAGAAAGAGAATCAAAATTCAGAATATTTCTGATATAAAATAAGAAACAAATTCAAATTCAACCTTGAAAGCTAATCACAAATATTTATATTTGATTTAACTTCTCTCTTCATTCTTATCAATTGAAAGCAGAAATTTCACATGTGGTTGTTGTTGCCAGACATGACACTCAGAAAAACATTAAAAAATGTTTCATTCAACCGAAAGATTCTTTGTCATGCTCATGATGAGTCAAGACTCTACACGGGAAAATATGTAAACAAATTAACCTTTTCCCAACTTTAACTTAAACGTCATGGCATTTTCATTCCCAAAATCTTTTCCAATACACGAAGTGCGTTGATGTAAACAAATTTTTACTGATGAAGACTCAAACAGATTAAAATCAATTTATCAGAAAATGTGCATATGTTTTATGTTCGAAGAAATTATGTTAAAAAAATAATTTCACGTCTTGGTTTGAAACACTCGAGTCGAGAAGAGTTTCTGGTAGAGAATCTCATTTGTTTTTGGCGATATGTAAACAACATTTCTTTTTGGGAGAAATCGAATGAATGGCTTGTTGAATCATTAATTGTTTAAACTCGAAATTGATAATTGAACTAGTTATTTGAAGCGGGTGACTAGATGAGTGTTTGATTAATTAATAAGAATTTGGATGAAAATCTGTTCACCCTTTAAGCATTTCGTTCTTAAAAAAAACTCTTTTGTGGGAAATATTAAAAATATACAAACTTTTGTTCATTTATCATCGATGTTGTTTTAACACATTGACAGCGATAAATTCTGAATGGGATCGTAAATTACCCAGCTACTCTTACTGTTTGTGGAAGCAATTGAGAGTCGATGTTGTTCTGCTTCCGTAACTCATTCACAAAATTTATGACGTTGGAAAATGTGATGAGCTGTTAAGGAAACAATGATGATCACGTCGATTTGTAATACAAATCTGACTGTTCGATGTAAAATCTTTCTTGTATTTTTGTGATTTTTATTTACTGTTGTGCATCTAAAGACATACAACGTTTGTCGTTTATTGCCAGAAGCTTCATTTTAAGAACATTTTCTAATAATATTTTCTTCATATAATTTATGAAACCGTTGATTGATACTTTAGTGGCTTCAGAGTTCAGATAATGTTAAGCGTGTGTGTAAAAATAATTTTAGAATATTTTCATCGTGAAGCATAATTTTAAGACTTGCGGGTGCGAGAGATTTTTTGTTTTCATTTCTTTAATATTGTCGAAAGAAATTACTCTCAGGTTTTTTTCTTTTGGGTTGATAAGCGTTATGAATGATTTAATCGTGACGTTAAGAGAAATCATTGCGAACATAGCAATAAAATTTTGAGAGATTTAGAATATAAATAAAGAAGAAATTGTCGATTTAGATTCAGTCGATATGCGGTTTTTGTGGTTTTTGTTAGCACTTGGATGCTTAGCATCCATTGGACACGGTGAAGAATATGGTGACGAAGAATATTTGAAAAAGCAAGAGGATTTACTCGTTGGTCTTAAATATCTTCACCAACCTGATTGGAACGTGGAAATCTTCGAACTCATTAAAAACTATCAAATTTGGCACGACTATGACAACTTCAATAACGTCGAAAAAGTGAAGAATTTTGTGAATCTTTACAAAGGAAAAAGATTATTACAACAAAGTGAAGAATTCAACATTCACAACGATGCACATTTAGAAGAAGCGAAAGCATTATTCGATGTCTGGTACAACGCCAAAGATTACAAAACTTTGATGACCGCTGGTTACTGGTCCCGAACAGTTGTCAATTCTGACTTGTACTTCTACGTCGTTTCTTTAATTCAAGCCCATCGTGAAGATCTCAAGACGTTCATCATGCCACCACCTTATGAAGTCAATCCACATCTCTTTATCAACGGTGAGGTTATCAAGAAAGCTCAGAGATTGAAGATGCAAGGTTTTTATGGAATTGAGAAGAAAGATGGCATTTATGAGGTGACAATTCCAATGAATTACACTGGCTGGTACATGCACATGAATCCTGAACAGAAGTTGGCTTATTTCACTGAAGATGTTGAATACAACGCATTCTATTACAACTTCAATCTTGATTATCCACATTGGATGGAAGGCAAGCCTTATGGGTTGGATAAAGATCGTCGTGGTGACGTTTACATCTCGTTCCACCATCAATTGACTGCTCGTTACTACCTTGAACGTCTTTCCAATGACCTCGGACATATTCCAGCTTTCAACTGGCGTGAGCCAATCAAATCTGGTTATTATTCGCCACTTATGCTTCACACGGCCAAACAATTCAATACTCGACCAAACTTCTACAACTTATACACCGAAGGCAATCATAAATTCATCCAAGAAGCTGAAGATCGTGAGAGAAGACTTCGTGACATTGTTGACAAAGGATTCTTCATGTTTAATGGCAAGAAGGTTCCAGTTGCAGATCCTGATGATGTCAATACTCTCGGTAATTTAATTCAAGGAAACCCCGATGTCGAGGAGTTCCATCATAATTATCACGATCATATTTTGCCAAAATTCATTGAGAATCCCGCAACAGCTGTTCGTGATCCACTCTTCTATCAATTTACAAAGAATCTCATGTACAATTATTGGCGATTTATTTCTCATCTTAAACCATACACGAAAGAAGAAATTGGCTTCAAAGGAGTGAAGGTTACAAGTGCACGTGTAGATAAAATTAAAACATATTTCGAGCACTTTGATGTTGACATTTCAAATGCACTTTTAATTGAACCAACCACTGAGAAACACGACATTAAGGAATTCAATAGTGGTGCTGTTCCATTCAAACTCGATGAATATCGAATTAAAGCCGGCACAGTTCGTCTCAATCACAAACCTTTCACATTCACATTGAATGTCAACTCTGAAGTTGATCAAGATGCAATCGTTCGAGTTTTTATTGGACCGAAATATGATGAATATGGAAACTTTATTAATTTCCACGAAAACCGCAAAAACTTTGTTTTCATCGACATATTTAAGACTCATCTTACTGTTGGTGATAATGTTATCGATCACAGTACTAATGACATTAAATATTACGGTCCACCATTGACCAGTTATTATGAGCTTTACAAGCATTTAATGTCAGCTAAGAAGGGAGAAGAGAAATGGGCACCTGGAATCCTACAAGGACGCTGCACATTCCCCAAACATTTGCTGGTACCGAAAGGCAAGAAAGGCGGCATGACATATCAATTCTTCTTCGTTATCAATGAATATAAACCACCAAAGGCAGAATTGAGAAGCAATTTCGACATCAGAACATCTTGTGGCATTGGATCAGGCACTCGCTTCTTCGAAGAACGTCCTTTGTTATTCCCAATTGATCGAGAGATCGACGACACTGTTTACTATCAACCTAACATGATATTCTCTGATGTTGAAATCTTTTTCACTGACGAAAACGCAATCCGATGGTTATAAATTTCCTTTTCTCTTCTCTTCTAAATATTCAATAAAATGACATTTGAAAGCATTTAAACTGAATTGTGTTTAATTGAAAAAGACTTCAAATTTACCACAAATTTAATGAAAAACAATTTCAGAGTTCTAATAAATGAAAATTATTTTTACTTTCAATGTCACCTCAAATATTTCTTTATCAATTGACTTCTAACTCTGAATTGCTTATTTTAATCAACAAAAATATGTTTTTCATCGTGCAAAGTCATTCGAAATTGTTTTTTACGTAGATGCGAGTCAAAGTTATTTTTATGCTTAATGTCAAAAAATTTTCGTGCCATAATGGGTGAATGTTTTACGACAGCTGCTTGATAAGAGTTCGTTGATCATTTTCATGGTCAGGGAGACATGTTATATAATAAATAATAAATAATCATAAGATTCAAGTGAGAGAATAAATATTTACTGTTCGAAAGGAAGAATGAATTCTGGATGTGAAAGAATTAAATCGTGAGAGATTCAAACAAATTTTCTTTTTTTTTTGACAAGAGAATTAAACTCTTTTTTATGAAATGAAAGATGATAACACTTCGCAATCGTAAACATACGCAAATTATGAGAGACAATTGTATAAATCGTGCAAAAATCTTATGAAACTCTTCAGTCGTCATGCAGTCTTTGTGGATTTTCGTGGCTCTTGGATGCTTGGCATCTTTCGTGTCAGCTAACTTGGAATACGGTGGAGAAGAATATTTAGAATATCAAAAGAATTTACTTTTGTTGTTCAAGTATGTTCATCAACCATATTGGAACGCTGATTTGCACGCTTATGGAGTAAATTACAAGATTTGGGAAGACTACGACAACTACAACAACGTAGGTGAAGTGAAAAAGTTTGTCGATCTTGTTCAACGTAGACGTTTGTTGCCACGCCAACAACATTTCAGTCTTCACAATGAAGATCATTTGGAAGAAGTGAAAGGTTTCTATCATGTGTTGTATAACGCTAAAGATTTGAAAACTTTATTCAAAGCTGCTTTCTGGGCGCGTTTCAATCTGCATGAAAGACTTTTCATGTACGTGCTTGGATTAGTTGTTTCACATCGTACTGACATGACTGAATTTATTCTGCCACCACCTCAAGAATATTGTCCTTATCAATTTATCAGCGCTGAAGTCATCAAAAAAGCTCAACAAATAAAGATGCAAGGGTTTTATGGACGTGAAAAGGTTAACGGATTATACGAAGTGATAATTCCGATGAATTATTCTGGATGGACCATGCACATGAATCCTGATCAAAAGTTGACTTATTTCACTGAAGATGTTGGATTCAATGCATTCTACTACAACTTCAATCTTGATTATCCACATTGGATGGAAGGCAAGCCTTATGGTTTGGATACTGATAACCGTGGTGAGATTTTCATCGCTGCACATCATTGGATGAGCGCTCGTTACTACCTTGAACGTCTTTCGAACGACCTTGGACATATTCCCGGATTTAATTGGAGAGAACCAATCAAATCTGGCTATTATCAACCACTTATGACCGTAAATGGAAGAGAAATGAAGAGTCGACCTAACTTCTACAATTTGTACACAAATACCAATCCAAGATTCATTGAAGAAGCTGAAGATCGTGAACGTCGTATTCGTGATATCGTTGATAAAGGATTCTTTACTTTTGGAAACAAAAAAGTTTCTGTGTCAACACCTGAAGATCTTGACGTGTTGGGTAATTTACTTCAAGGTAATCCTGATGTCGACGAGTTCCATCATAATTATCACGATCATATCTTACCAAGCTTCTTACAAAATCCCGCAACAGCAGCAAGAGATCCACTCTTCTATCAATTCCACAATAATCTCATGTACAGCTACTACCGATTTATGTCACACGTCAAACCATACACGAAAGAAGAAATTCTTTACCCAGGGGTCAAAATAACTGGCGTTAAAGTTGATAAGATTGAAACATACTTCGAGAACTTTGATGTTGATATAACGAATGCGATTGAAGTTCACCCGGAACCAGAACATGACAATGAAGTTCCAAGCAATGCTATTCACTTCAAACCAGATGAATTTTACATTAAAGCTCGTACAGTTCGTCTCAATCATAAGCCATTCACATACACAATGAATGTTCATTCTGATGTTGAGAAGGATTCTTTGATTCGTGTATTTATTGGACCTAAATTTGATGAATATGGAAAATTCATTCCATTTGAAGAGAATCGTAAACACTTCCTTTTCATTGACATCTTCCCACAAAAATTGAAAGCTGGTGACAATGTCATTACTCATAGTTCTGATGATAACATGTACCTTGGCAAAGATATGACGACTTATTACGAACTTTATAGACGTTTGATGTCAGCTCAAAAGGGAGAAGAGAAATGGACGCCTGGAATCTTGCAAGGACGTTGCACATTCCCCAGACATTTGCTGGTACCGAAAGGCAAGAAAGGCGGCATGACATTCCAATTTTACTTCGTTATTAGCGACTTGCCACAAGCTTTTACTGATCTTATGGGTAAATACGACTTCACGAAATCATGTGGTGTGGGAACAGGAAGAAAATTCTCCACTGATAAATCAATGATGTGGCCAATTGATCGTCAAATTGATGACACAGTCTTTTATCAACCAAACATGTACTTCCAAGATGTTGAAATCTTTTTCACAGATGAAAACGCAATTCGTTGGTTGTAATTTGACATCGTAAAGAGAATAAACATAAAAAAATCATTTTGACAAGTTTATGAATAAAAAACTAAGATTTTCTTTAATTTTCATTGCCACTTTGGTAACAATTTCTGAACGCTTTAAAAGAATGTTGAAATCTCGTTTGCTAATGAAAAGGCCATCCGTAAGTCGTAAACATTTCTCACGTTCTTTCAATCAAGACTCATTAGATGTGAAAAGAGAGAACAAAAATTATAAACAATCAAACGAGCAAATCAGATGAAATTCGCTTTCAATTGAAGAGTCTAATTTAAGATTTTCTTTTCTTCTTCGCTTTTCTTAAATAAACAAAAACTTGATTTCTTCGATTTCCGATCTGATTGACGAGATTCGAATGAATATTTTCTTTCTACTCATTTTGATTCTAAATCTTTTCCACTATTTAAACTGCAGATATCTAAATTCAACTCGAATTGTAACACCGGTAGCTCGATAAATGAACCGAAATAATAAGACGCAAAATCAGGAAAACATTCTCTAAATTCTATCCACATGATGATTATTATTTTAAGCTCCCTCCATCCACTTCAACATCTTAAAGTGATTCACGTTCTTCTCTTTTAAGTTGAAACATTTCCAAATAAACAAATTATGTCAGTTTTGGAATTGTTTCTTATTTCATAGAATTAATTACACCCACGCAAGAGAAGATAAGAATTTTTTATATTAAATCATCTACTCACTCATCATTTGTGTCGTTGTCCCTGAAACCTTTCGCAAATGGATTTGAAACGATTTTCAATTGCGTTACCTGCAAGTAAAACGAAATGTTGAGTGTTCATTATGCAGTCAAGAGTGAAATAACATTTTGAATTCAGAATTCTGAATATTGATAATGACAGCAATTCAAGTTGTAAATCGCTTTTAAACAGCGATGAAAAAATATTTATCTCTGTTTTCAAAATAAATTCAAGTTGCTGTGACAGATATTATGGATAATAAAATACAAATAAGATCAAGCGACTGAGAATCTTGATGTGAACTCTCGAAGATATCTTGGATTAAATATTTCGTACATAAAATTGTCGCCAGAGATGTCATGTCATCTTTACTTCATTAATCAGGTTGGAACTACTCAGTTACAATACCAATAGAAGTTCTTATAGCGATAATAAGCTAATTAATAATTTTAAATTATTCTCGATCATCATTTATCTTATCTAATTAAAGAAATTTCAAAGAAACGATGAATTTATCGTTGATTTTGGTCATTTTCCTGAATCATTGTCTATAATATCTCTAAATAAAAAATATTTTAGCAAAATACATTTAAGAACTTCTGGCGCCATCCATAAATAATGTAATAAATTTCCCTTGTGACACAAATGGAATCAACAAGAAAGCAAAAAGTCAAATAAAAATAAATTAGTCGAGTGAACTTTTTGTGAATGAAAGAAGAAAAACTACCAAAAGAGATGATGTCTTAATTCAGACGTTCACAAGCGATTATGATTGCAAAAGATCACGTCACAGCAACATTTTTATATAAAAAACGAAAATAAATTATGGAGAAAAATAAAATTTTTACAGTCGCTTAATTGCTATCAAATTTTTGGAATATAAAAGGGAAATTCATTGAAAATTTATTACAATTACAAGCAGACTTTTCCAACTCGTGTCATGTACTCACTCGTTGATTTTGATAAGCTGTGACGGCGGTAAAAGATGTTTCAGGAAATACAAAGGCACGAAAATTGAGATGTTCGCGTTCTTCTTTAATTCCATTTGGTGGTAGATAAACGATGTGAAATCGTGGCTGGTATCGATGCATTGAGTTGAGAATGATCTGAGGTAGAAAATGATTGATCATAAGATAACCAGATGGAAATTGATTTAACTTACATGTCCATGTTCATCTAGTTGGTTATTTGTGAGTTTCAATTTATCGAATGAAATTGTTTGCTTCATCCAAGTAGCGCCATTAGCAGGTGAGTCTGGATGAACATGAATTCTTGGTGGTGATATCGGATCAGCTTTTCCAGCCACAACCCAACTTGAAGTATGAAATGCGTATCGATATCGTTTATCGTCGACTGGAACAAAGTCCATCATCATCATGTAGCAAGTTTGAGGTTCAAGACCAACAACACGAACCTGGAAAGTTGGGAACATTCTTCGTCCTGCTTTTGTCACAATCATTTCAGTTCCCTGTTCGTGAAATTTATCCCACAAGCCTTTTGCTTCAAGAATAACGTTTGCCGACATAAGTGATGAGTGAAAAGGCAGCTGTTTATCACTTTCACCCTTTTTGCAACTTTTTGTCTTCTGATTTGAGCTTTTATTGCAATTTCCGTCGTTGTTCACTTTGTTGGCTTCATTTGATGGCTGATGAATCTGCTGTTGTTGTGACGGCTGTTCACTGATGTCTGTCAATTTGATTTGGTCTAGTTGCTCCAGTGGCTTGTATGACATGCGATCTTTGTCGGCGTTTTCTAAACATGCTGTAACAAAGTCTTTGAAAAATTAAATGTTTTTTAGACAATCTCGTTAAAAAAGTCACACAGAGGAATTAAAACACCAGACATCGATATTAAGAATTATTCGAGTGGATTAGTTGGAGATTATCACTTTAAGTAGCATAATTACTAATTAATTATAATTCAAGAGATTAGTTGACATTATTAAGGGAACATTTGGAATGCCCAGATTTTCTACCAGGGGGGATTTGAAATGAAAAATGTCAAAAGTTTGTGGGTATATTTAAGTAGAATAAAAACAACTAATTAGCGTAATCGGAATGTAAAAATATCTAGGAAAGTTTTATAAACATGAATTTTATAACACGACAGTGAGAAATCTCATTAAAGTAATAATCTTGTGTAATGAGATTTGTACCTGACATGTTGATGAAGTCAAAAGTAGCAAAAGTGAAATTTTTACACAAATTACAAAACAATTTTTAAAAAGGAAATTCACTCGTCAGATTTTCGAGAAATGAAAAATTTTCAGAACAGATTATTGTTAATGACTAAATTAATTTTCCGTCTCAGTCGCAATCATTAATCATAGAGAATTTGACATCTTCATTCATTCGTCTAATTTCTTTTTTACGACAGTTCTAATGGTTTCATGCGACATGGTTTGTTGTTCTGTAGCTTCTTCCGTTTTGAATAGCCTTATGCTTGAAATAGGATGCTTCAATATGGTAAATGAAATTAAAATAGAATCGTAAATTTAACTTTCATCATCCTTCACCTTAAAAACTTCGATAAATAATTTTCTTTTTAACGAAATTTAAAATTCTTAAAATCAATAAAAGTTTTGATTTACGATTTCTGAAGTTATTGAATTGAAAGTTTTCTTCGTTTTCAGATTATTAAAATGATAAACGAAATGGTTTTAGGGCTCTTCATTTTCAACGCTTGAAGTAGTTTATTTGGTGTTAAATTTTCTCAATTTTTATGGGTTCATAAATTCACGTGGATGCGAGTAATGTGGCTTGTTCGTGTTTGTGTGCTTCTATTCAGTCGGAAAATTCATGTTGAAGCAATAAGAAAATCTAGGAAATTAAAACAAAATCTGAATCATAGATGAAAAAACAAATTTAATGTCTGGGAGTTTACCAAAGACTGTTGTACGTCTTAATAAATTCAATTCAAATTCGGTCTTAAATTAAGAATCTCACGGCAACACAAATAAATTTCTGTGCCAGTTTAGCACAAATTTTCTCGCTGTTTTCTCAAATTCTGGATGGAAAAAATTTAATTTTGTTTATCGCATGTAAAAAAGAAAAAGAAAAATCGAAAGGAAAATAAAATCTGAAAATAATTTGCCTTAGCTTTCAAGTAAAAAGAAATGCCAGCGTCTTGTAAACATCAAATTAATGGCATTTTGACCCCTGAGAAGTCATTAAATCAGTTGGATTTTGGGAAGAAAATTCTCAGTCGCTAATTCGATTTTGAGCAAAACCACTTTAGAAACGAGCAGTTGAATTGCGATCTTTTCTTTGAAATCAATTGCAGTAATTAAAGAGAACTTTTAAAATAATTAATTAAAGTCGATATGTCAGTATGGCATTTGATAAAAATAGAAATAAATGTTAGGATAGGAATCAGGAATTAAACAAACAGAATTAATTGGCGTCAAGAAACTTGTTGAGAGATTCGAGATTAATTTGTGGCATTGGCAAATTCATTTGGTAGTTAAGAATGTTGCTGACCACATAAAATCATGCAAACAAATTACTTAAGCACCTGAGAAAGCTTCGATCTCACCTTCCATCTCTTTCATGGGAGTTGATCCGTTTTTATAAGATCCATTCCAATATTCCATACCGTAATGATATTCATTATTCATATTTAAATTCAAAACGCTATCAAAATGTTCCATGTGATGCTGCGAATTCATGTTCATGGTCATAGCAGCGTCGCTTATTTGCATATGACCGTGACTCATCTTTCAATTCTAATCGCTAATAAATGCACAGTGAACAGCAGTGCTGTTTATTTGAAATGGCGAGTGATAGACTAAATCGAAGTATTTTGCCGATATATTTATTTGAATAATATTCTTTTCACACTTATTCGAAATAACTTTGTATGATGTTTTGCCTTTTCCCGACTAGCTTCTCACTTTCACGGTTAAATGGCGATCATCACCTTATTGTTTCACACTTTCGATTATTCTCCAACTGATTGGGGTTCGATTGATGAACACATGTTTTTCTCTCTTTTCGCTTCTATCACAACAAATAAATCGTCAGATATTTATCGCTAAGCGTGGCACCGGCGGAAAAGAATTTATTAATTTGCCTCAAGACTCAACAACACTTCATTCACAAACGAGCTCAGAAGAAAAGTTATAACTGTTAGGCGGAGGTCAACAGACAAAATATTTCAACAGTTGAGCTCATCATACAACTTGTACAAGCCAATAACTCAATGGCACACGAGATCGCACTCAGTTTCGATGATAATTAAGCTTTCAATAGGTGGCAAAGATTAAGCCAAAATAATTTTTTTTACATATCGCGTTTTCCATTTTTTCTTCTTTTTTTCTTCCCGTACGAATGATTGTTAAAAATTATTTTTTCTTGTTTAGATGTGACGGTGGAATATGAGAGAAGAATTTTCCTCACACTTTCCTGTCTAATATCACTTCACACCTTCGATTGTTCGGATCATTCAGAGGAAAACCGAAAACTTTGTGATCTTTCAAAATTATTTTTTCAAAAGTGAAACAAATATTTTTTTAACTTTCTTTTTATCTTTTCACAAATTTTCCAGTGACTTGACAAAAAAAATTGATTTAGAAAAAGTTTATCCAAAAGATTTTGGGACGATCACACCACGATCAGATTTTCTTCACGACTTATCTCACGAACGATGAAAATTCAACTGCAGCATCAACGAGAGTTTTCTGTTTGTTTCTTTTCTCTACATCGACTGCTACTTAGATATATTTATTCAAGGAAAAAAAGAAAAGAAAAGTCTTGAGAAGATCTCCTTGTGATGATTGGATGATTTTTTTAATCTCTGAAAGCAAAATATTTTTTGGATGTCTTGAGATGTATCAGATGGCAAGGGATGGACGACTAAAGAAATATTTTTATGTTCATACTTTCTCAATTTCACTGATTTGTCAGCCCCCGAACATTTGTTTTTTGTTTAGTTTCTTTTAAGTATTCACACATGTGTCAAAGTGATGCTTGCAGTAAGTCCTCAAAAATGTATCATTATGTTTACAAAAAATGCATCATAAGCGAAACAAATTTAACGATCGCATTTCTTTTTTCACATGTGATTTCTTATCCTTCTGTTTGACAAGGATTAGATACTTTAAAATGCCACACATGAAATCAAATATGACAAGACATGTAATCGTGCTCCCTTTAAGTGTTTTTTTAAAAATTGCCTCAAGTAAAATTTCGTTTCAATTCTTGTAAAATTTCCAAGTGACTTTACCTTTACTCACTTTCTTTCTTCACAAAAGAGAAATCATAAAATTTCTTTCACAACAAGACACAAAATCTTAGAAAGAAAGAAAATCTATGATGAAAACATCATCATAGTTTAAAAATAAAAAAAAAATTAGAGGCGGAGTGAAAGCAAACACATTTGAACAGCGATGTTCACAGTGATGATGCCAAGCCTCGAAAATATTTTCTTCTTCGTCTTTGTATCCGCCAATAAAACTGTTTTGTTAGAAACGATGATTTCCTTTGCATTCATCGTTATGATGTTTTTGATTGATGATGCTGTGAAAGTCGACATTTTAATGTTTAAAGATGTTTCATTGTAAATGATGAAGATCTGTTAGAAAATTCTCCATGAAAAAAGTTTTCCAATGTTTTCTTTTTAAGACTGATAAGCAGCCGTTGATAACACGATAAGAGATATTTTGATATGTTACACATATTTGATGTTAAACCTTGCTTTTTTCATAATTTTTTGAGGTTTATTTGTGTTGATTCTTCATATAATCATATAGATATCATTCAGGTGTGCCAAATATTGATAAGATAACAAGAAAATTAACTCAGTGAAGGTAAAATTTCGCTTAGTTATATTTCTGAACACTCGGTGAAAAGATCCAAGCAAAGGTTGATTAAGACATTCTCAAAAACTTGAAAATTAGTGGAATCTTTCAATAATTTCTATAAAAATGTGGAAAATTGTGTCAAGTCTTGTAATTCTCGGCGTTTTCTTTTACGCTACACAAGCTCAAGGTATGAAAATTTATCAAATATTCTTCACATTTTGGACTTTGAATCAAAGTTATGAGTCACAACTTAACATTATGACTTTCAGTTAACATTAAAAATATTTTTCATTCACATGATTCAAAGTATAACTTATGATGTAATCATAAAAAAAGAAATTAATTCAATTCGCCTTCACGGTAATTGATAACGAAAGCTTTTTTTATCATTGAAAAATAATCGACACGATTCGATTGATAAAGATTTCATTATGTCTGTTTCAGATTCATGTCTTCAATGTACATCATCGGCCGTTCATCCAGAATGCATATCCCCTGATGGTGGAAACTTTTTGTCAGCATGCCCAGCTGGTCAGTCAAGGAACCAATCATGCTATACAAGAATTGATGATGGTAAAATATCTTTCATAAATGAAGAAACAAAAATATTTTTATTGTTCTTATGATCTCTTCAGGTGGAAATGTCGAACGTGGTTGTCTAGGAAGATTACCAAATGAAACCATTAATGCATGTGAAACTGAAACTTGTCAAGTTTGTATTGGCCCTGGATGTAATGGTGAAACGTTCCCAACAGGTCGTCTTTCATGTATTGTCTGCTCGGGTGGCGAAAATTCAACATGCGCTGGTAACGTGACAATGTCTGGAACAGTCTGTCCTATTTATGCTGACGATGATCAATGCTATGTTGCTCGACCAAATGGAAATTGGGAACGTGGATGTCTGTCTTCATTAACAACTCGATGTCTCACAAATGGAACATGTTCGTTGTGTTCCGGTCAAGGATGCAATTTTGGTGACTTCAATGGCGCTGTCAACATTCATTCAAGCATTCAAATCTTTGCTTTTGCACTTCTCAGCATAATCGTTACTATGCTCAATAAATAAACATCAAAACGTTTTTAAATTTCCTTATTTTCCAATAATTTGTCTCAAAATTTAAATTTCAAATGTTTAATAAAATTTAGTAGAAAGGAATTAAAAAGAGATATTTAAGATTTCCTGACTTATATTTATTAGATTACCTAATTGAAAATGCTTTGTCTTAATAGTAATTTAAAACATGGCGAAAGACGTCGATGAGAAGTAATCCGGATGCCACTGTTCATTAAAATGTCATCACATTCATTTGATCTTCGCATACCCTCCTTAGTTGAGCTTAATGATTATTCGAAGCGGAAAACTATAATAATTGAAAGTGTTTCTCCAACATCTCCAGATTGGATGAAAGAAGAAAAAAAAATTTCTTTCTTGTCTAAAAATATTTTTCCTTCGACGAAACGATGAGAGGAAAAAAAATGTTCATAATTTTGCATTTGAATTTTATTTCATAAACTCTTCTGTTGTTTGATCTTTTTTCGGCAGCTTTTTGTGGAGTGTCTAATAGAGTTGAACTGAAGAAAACTTTAATGATAATTGCGGGATTTTATTTTTTTTTGAAAAGGAAACATATCTGGAGTTGGTCGTTAAATTTTATTAGTTACAAACCTTTATTGAACAATTATAATTTCTATGGAGTGATGATTATTTTCACAACCAGTTTTAAGAAATACATTTATAAAAATTTTTACTTCTTAAAATGTTTAATGCAATCATAACCAAAGTAACCACATTTAAATCCAGCAACGCGACAACCTTCGTCGATTGCATGATGGACGTCATTAAATTTACACATCAAAACATTTAAAGATGCAGCCAAAAATGTATCACCAGCACCAAGAGTATCAACAATTTTTTCAGGAGGATAAATTGGACTCTCATAATAAACATTAGCAAGATCCATGGCGGCAGCTCCGTCAGATCCCCAAGCACAAATCAGAATACAATTTTCATTCTTATAGCGATCGTCTTGCATTGTCATTTGTTTGAGCTTATATATTGCACTTTTCTTGTCATTACATCCAAGAATCTCAGCATAGTCTCGTCCAAGGAATGCAACATCTGCATATTTAATTAACAGAAGATTTTCATCACGTTTCTTCTCCAATTCAAGAGATATTTTGATTTTTTGTTCTAGTGGCTTTGTTTTGTTGTACTCTTTAATTTTCAGCATCATTTTTGTTGTTTCTGGTACTGATCGAGCTTCAAAATGAACCCAAAAGTATTCATTTAAATCACATTTATCGAAGTTATCGAAATTTACGTGCGGTAAATTTTTATTTGAATGGATAATTGTACGACATCCAGTGTCTTTACTTAGAAGAACAGTTGATAAAGGAATGTTGCAATTGGGATAATAAAAGCAGTTTTTAATCTCAATACCACGATCTTTCAGGTCTTCAATTACAAAGACAAACATTTTGTCGTCCGAGAATGTTGTTAACAATTCACATTTCCATCCAAAATTTTGGAGAATTGTAGAACTGTTTGAAGCATTTCCTCCACGTTGCCAAAGAGCTTGAGCTGATCTTTTAAAGAAATAGAACATTAGATAAAAAATTACTAATATGCATTTGCTATTTTATTATTATTTTGGTATATTAGGTAAACATATTGAGCATTCCTTATGGTGAGTTTGAAAACGTGTGTTGAGAAATAACCTCGTTTTGTGGTGAAAATTTTTAGCGATAATATTTATAATCAATTTCAAAGTTACGAGATAAGCTGATATTTCTCAGGTACTTCAAGTATTCTCTACACTTACCGTACATCATCGTCTTCTCGAGGAAAGCTATCAACCTCTTGAATGATATCTAAAACACATTCTCCCACGAGCAATATTTTTTTGTCATTCATTTCTCTGGTTAATTAAAGCATAATAAGCATTAGTTTTATAAAATAAATTTAATGAGCTGAAAGCTAAAACTCTATCTAATGAATAGTATTAGAATCAAGGTCATTTAATGTTGATTTTAAATTAAAACAAAAATACCTGAAACAGTTTTTTTTATCTTTCCAAGCTTTATTAATTGAGGATGTATGACACGCTCTTTACTTTTATCATTTAATATTATCTAATACAAATTTATTCATTTATTCTAAACCACTATTTGAATAATTATTTACAATCCTGATAAGAGAAGTTGTCAAGCAAGTTGCGACATACTGCAACACTCAAAAACTCAGTAAATGCTGTACTAGAGTAGCAAAAATTTGAATTTTTTATTCCTCTCAGATATTTTTTTTTAAAAATAATTAGGTAGTTTCAATTCTTTATTAAAAATTTATAAACATATTCATGAACAAAAATTTATTTTTCTATATAGCTTATAATTTCAACGTCTTTACTTCTCACTTCGATGGATTCACTGTGTTTTGTCTTCATATGTTTTTGTAAAATTCGTCGAGACTTGCACTTGATATTACAAAACATGCAATCAAAACCACCTTCCATATGAGTTTCAAGATGTGCCGCACGAGCAGACGATGTTTTATAAGCTTTTGGACATATACTACATGCAAAAGGTTTTTCATTACTGTGGGATCTGTGAATATTCTTAAAATTATTATTGATTTAAGGATACATAGATGAAAATATTTATTTTTATACCTGATATGAATTTGATAATCTCCTTTATCCGTACAGATTTTATCGCACACTTCGCATGCGATTGAAGTTTGTCCCGAAGTTTGTCGAAGATGTTTGATTAAGTAGCATTTAAGTCTAAATTTTTTGTCGCAATGTGTACAAGCGAATTTCTTTTTGTCACAAGTCTTCATATGAGCGAGTTTTTCATAAAGAGTGTTGAATTCTTGTTTACATGCCGAACAAGGGAATTTCACATCGTCCCCAAACAACTCTGGATGATTATTTTTGAGATGAATACCGTAAGCTTGATTGCTGTTGAACAAGCGATTCTCAACAGGACATTTTAAAACATTGACGTGAAATATCAATTGATGAAGTCTACAACTAATTTCGTCAGTAAACTTTTTCAAACAATGACCACAAGTAATACAAGACTCATCAATTATCACGTCATTGTCATTTTGATCAATTTCTGACTTATCTTCACCGAATCTCAAAAAAAAATCCTTCAACTGGTATCGATTCAATGACTGACAATCCTTGATTATGTTTCTCGATATGTTCATTGTAATAAGAATCATCACAAAACATCACATTGCACTGATGACAAATTGGATGAACCAAATATTTTGCTACAATCTCATATAGTTGATGTCCATTTATATGCGACTCAAAATGTGATTTTGTGGTAAACTGGTAACAGCAATCGACACAGAATAACTTTTCATACTTTGACGAATTTGAGTAACTTTTTCTTTGAACAAAATGAGTTTGTTGGTGAATGCGGTAATTGAATGGATTATTTGTAGTGAAGGTGCAATGCTTGCATTCAAGGTTTACGGAATTCTTTTCGGTCTTTGTTTCATATGAAGTGGAATCCTCTGTTTGATAATTTATTTCGTCATTATCAGTGATATGATCTTCATTATCAATTTGAATGTAATCATCGAACGATTGTTCAACGTTCAAATGCATCGAAATGAGATGATTACGAAAATCTGTCTCATCTGTAAATTTAGAAGGAACTTCACAATGAGCACAGATCCATGAATGAACTTCAATGTTGTCGATATACTCATTAACCGCACTGTTGTGGATTTCTGAAGTCAACCATTCTTCTTCATTCATAGTGGTTTGAGAAATATCTTCAATAACAAAATTATCAACTTCTTCTATTTCTTCAGTTGTCACAATATCTTGATTATTTTCAATTATTATTTCTTTATCCATTCTCATTTTTTTCCTTCGCGGTTCTATTTCACTTAATTTTTCGATTACAACTGCAGGTTGCCAATGCTGAAAACTGTCCATAAATCGTCTTTTTGATTCTGGAACCAATGACAGACATTTATTGTACCGAAGGCAGTAAACATGTTCTTGTGTTTCTTCTAAAAATATTTTCACTTTATCAATGTTTTCGTTTTGAATGAAGTACGAATTATTTTTAATCCCGTTCCTAAAGTTGTGGAATTGAATGAGCATGTCTTTGCATTCTTCACAAATGAACAATGAGTTTTCATGTCGAAGCTAGAAATCATAGAGGAAAATTATTAATCATATCTTGAAACTCTCAGTTCAAATTCATAAAAAAATAAACAAAAAATGTAAACAAACCTCAGCGTCGAGTACGTTTTTAATTATTTCACTAAATTCACATATTTCCCCTTTTAGGTCTAAGAAATTTGTATTCATTTCAATGAGTTTACAATCATCTTTATATTTGTCACAAAATACACAACTTTCAACAATGGATTCTTCCATTTTAAATAAATTTAAGATAATTTTATGATAAAAATTCAATTTCAAAACTTTATATCTGAGGGGACCTAATTAGTTCCTATGTGAAAGGTGATAATCTAGTACGTAATTTGAACCAGTTCAACCGTTACTTTTCTTATATTAAAAATTCAGTTTGGTTTTAAATAATTTTTTGCTTTATTTTATATAAAAACTAATTAATTTAAAGATCAGTTATACAAATCCTCATTTGAATACACAAAAACCGGATTATTTAGATCAATTTGATCCTCACCGACAGGTTTCTTGTTTTTATCACGTTCAATTTGAAAATCAATTTTAGTTAAAAGTCTATTTAAATATTCTTGACTGACTGATTCATTGAAGCTTACAGGTGAGTAATATGTGTAATGTCGTCTGATTCGATTCGACAGGCTTCTTTTATTTCTTATGTTGAAGATGTTTTGAAAATGTCCATTCACTGGCGTATCATCAGCGCCAAATTTAAGACACTTTCCATTGACACAATATCTTTTGTCATCTGTTTTAAACGAACACTTAGTTCCATAAGGATAAAATCCTAGATCACCATTAACAAGATAGAAACGATGAGATATGTACTTGTCTTGACATGCAACACGACAACTTCTGTCTGGATCATCAACACTTGGTGATATTTGCATTCCTTTACCAGACAATCCTCGAACTTTCATCTGATATTTCATACACAAATTCGTTGAGTAGTCAAATGTTGAAAGGACACGATCACATGGCTATGAATAAAGCAGAAAAATTATTTTGTGGATATTGTGTTGGAATAATTATTTTTAATTATATTAAAACTTACGACTTTTGTAGGCTCACAAAGTTGAATGTTCGTTGTCATATCATATTTCGAGACCACAGTCTGTAAACCTTTTGCATGTTGAACACAACTATAATAACATCCTGATTTGTTTCTCCATTTATCTCTTGATAACATTGATGATGGACTTGAACTTGTATACAAGTTTGTAGAATGGTACGGCATTGATTGTGATTGCTGCAGATTTGAGTGCTGTCGATTTTTCCAATTATCGGAAATAGTTGAAGGAGGAGAAAATCTTTTAACTGGATAAGAGTTTGTGAAATTCTGGGTCTTCATGATAGTTGGAATCCTAGCTGTGGTGACTGGTGGATGACTGTCAAAGTGGTCAATTCTAGTACTGATTGCTGTTGTGATTAACAACTTTGAATCTACATTCTCAGCCGAAATTGTTGACACCAAACGAGCTGGTTCAACAATGTCGTCTAATAAGGGTTCAGTTTGTGTCTCATATGGAGGGTCTGTTGAATTTTGTTTAGAATCAATGCTTTTATAATCACGAGCGTTTTCCTGAAGAACATGATTTTGAGAAGTTTCTTGTTCATGTGCAACAAGATTTTGAGGACAAAAACTTGGATCGATTCTGAAATAATTTTCTGTCGTATTTTGACAAGTGAATTTCTAAAAGAAAATAAATTGATTAAACAATTTTTTAATTTAATTCATAATGAAAATTTACCTCGCATCGTCCATTTACACAAAAGTAGCTGTCATCAATATCAGAATTTTCATTACGACATGAAGTTCCATCAGGAAAAATCCAAGTTCTTGACTTCACTCCAGTTTTTGTCTTGCAAAATACTTTGCAAGAATCTTCAGCTGATAGAAAATTAATTAAAATTAATCTATTGAAAAATTTGGCAATCAACATTACTTACGATCAATTCCAACTTGTTGCAATCCATCACCAATCATTTCTCCATCGAATTCTTTAGCTCGATTACAAATTTGATTCGCAAATTCAAGAATCGTTAATTTATCAATCTTAAAGCACTGAGTGGCTGTGCAAGTCTCGTATTTTTTATCAGATCCTGGACATTTTTTACTTGATCGATAATCAAGACAATTTCTTGAAAAGATTTTCAAGCCAACACTGCCTTCCTTGAGTCTTCCAGATTCTCCATAAAGACAACCAGACTCACACTCTGATGGTTCCCCCCAATTACTCCATAACGATGATTTTGAAACAAAAGCCACTCCATTTGTATAAAGTAAAGTTGGTTCCTGAATTAAACTGCTAAACTTTTTTCCTTCAATGAAGTTTGATTTTTGTTGTGAGTTTTTAAGCGATGCTAAGATTTGCTTCGAACTGATGTGTGCATTCTCTGAGATGGCATTTGATTTTGAAGTGCAAATTCCACTACGACACCACTTGAAAAATAAATAAAATTATTATTTTTGAATTTTACAATATATGCAAAATTATTACCATCATCTCACCACACCAAGTTCCTTCCAAAGCTGGATGACTTGTCCATGTGTAACGATCTCTTTGACAATGAAGATCTCGACAAATTTCAGCCAAGTTTTGATTCTTCGATCTGACGCTGTCTTTCCCATATTTTAACATGCATTGTTGATCCGAATCAAAACGTTCACCTGGAAATATTCCTTCAGCAGAATGATCTAAGTTACTTCCAAAATGTCCACGATCGAAAAGACATGTTGCTTGTGTGGTTCTCAAAAAAGCATCAAGATATTGCTTGCTACATGATGACCAAGTAATTTTTCCACTTCCAAGTGTCGGCGACATGATGAAGGAACTTGGATCGCAACTATTTTCCAAAGTATCATGTCGCATTCCTAAATTATGTCCAATTTCATGTGCAACAACAAAAACACTTTCAAAATGTTTTCCTTCATTGATCGTACATGATGAAACTTGTGTGCACATTCCCGAAACTGGCGCAAGACCAACAACTTGACTGCTGACTTTTCCGTTCTTTGATACAACGTAAAGATCGAGACCAGTGAGAATCACTGCGTGGTCAAAATGCAACACGTCTTTATCTGATATTGGATTTAATTTCCTTTGCCACAAGCAAAAACTGTTGAGATAAATGTCAATGTCACTGCTTCGTCGTAAATCACTCATTTCATTGTGTAATATCTCGATGCGTTTTAGGATGAAATTAACTTTGTATCCTAACGAAGGATGATGATAAAGAAGCTGAACACCATTTATCATTGCAAGAATAAATCGAATTAAATGCTGTTCAGTGTCCTTCGGAAAGTTCTTAATCATGTGACGAAACAAATCTTTATCTACGAAAATGGCAGTTTCCACATGAAGCACATCAGGAGGAAGCTTTTGTGGTGTCGATGAATGAAAAAGTTTATTCGAAGAACCTTTAATTATTGGACTTCGTTTAAACCTTTTTTTAATTAATTCTTTGACGACTTCCGGTTTGACGAAACTTTCTTTTGGCTCAAACGACGAATCTCTGAAACTCTTCTCAATTAAAATATGCGAACCAGCGCCAAATCGTTCAGGAAGCGGCTGAATGAAAACATCGGTGTCGTTCATGCGATAAATTCCACGCTGTATTAAAAGAGGCGCGAAGAAACATCGTTTAGATATTTAAATGAAATACCGGACATTACAATAAATATTTAAAAAAAGCTTTTCTACTCACGATTTCATGATCGCACAAATCAAATGCTGAATTTTCATTCCGATACAAACAATCGCCGTACATTTGCGCAATGTTGAATGAATTATCTACGAAATCAGATTGGTTTTGATTGCGTGATATAAATACGAAAGATTTATCAATGATATTCTGAGATCGTTTGAGTTTAAGTTGAAAATTTTCGTCTGTAAAAATGTAAAAGGAATTAAAAATATTTTTTTATCATTTCATTGGATTTTTCTCATCTTTATCTTACCTTTCACATCACTAATTTTAATATTTATTATGCTATCTACATTTCCATCTTCCCTTCCATCGTCTCGTTTCATCCTTCGATGGTGTTTGACGTTAATAATTTTATATTTCGATTCTGCATGAAATCAAATGAAAAAGAATTTTGTTTTTGTTTTTATAAATAAAGTTATTTAAGCGGTAAATTTCCCATCGCCATTGAGCAACTGCTAGGTTTAACATGTTTTCAGAAGCTCAAATATTTTTTCACGCTTTGTTACATCTTCGAATGCTTCTGATGATTAACGCCACATTTAAGAATTGCATAAAAGAAGAATCGCTCGATGAATAAGCCTTGCGGTTAAGTTTTGGTAATAATTTACGTCATTTTTCATCAGAATAACAAATTATCGATGCAGGTTTTGAATGTTTTTATGCTTCCCGAAAAAAAAAGAACAGCTTTACAAATCAAGAATCGTATCGTTAACATTGTTTGAGTAAATTTAAGAATCTTTGTTCAAAAGAGAGACATAACAAAAAGTTATTATGATTGTTAAATTCTCGTGAAGAATTTCCGCGATCGTTGCCTTCTCGGTAAGCATTTTGTCGCCTTCAATTGGCGGTTCTTTGCAATTTAATTTAGCGTGAACTTCATGATTTACATGAAGCTCAGTGTTGAGTTGACATACCATGGAGAATTATATGTGTACATATATAGATAGGTTTGTTAAGCGCGCTTAATTGTAGCTCATAAATATTTATTTTCAATTCTTTTGTAGAGTTGAACATACTCACTTGACATGTCATTTCCGAATAGCAACTGCTTTTCATGCTGATGGAGGTAATCATGGAGATTACTTTCATTAATCTGTAAATGATTGAGAAAATTGTTTACTAAAATGTGACAAAAGTTTTTATACACTTTAAATGGCATTTGACCGCTGAATTCTTTTGTTTTCCGGTTGAAAGCGTCATTAATTTTGTAATGGAAGAAGAGTTCATCAACGTTTCTTGTGATACTTCAAGTCTTGCAAATTACTGCAATTGAATTTTTTATCTTTCTTTGAGGAGAGAATTTCACCGAAAAGAAAAAGCAAAAATTCGGTTATGAAGATTGATGGTTTCAATGCAACACGATCGCATGAATTATTATTTCGTTCCCATTTTTGATTTTATTCTTTTCCTTGTTAAACCACCCATGAATGCTTGATAATGTGGGTCAAGTTTTCCCACCTGTGATGTTATGTTTTTGTGTTTCAAATCGAACCAACAATGGCCCATGTGAATCTGCATTTGAATTCAAATCCATCATCATCACCAACAGCATCAACAATAACACCAGAAGTTGTGCGTTCATTCTTATTCAGAATTTGTTTTCGCACTTGATGGTCATGAAGGACACAAAAATATTCTCTGAATTTGAACTCTGCAGCAATGAGACGAAAACAACTGCAATTGTTATACGTCGACCGTATCCACGCGTTCGCTTTCCCATTCTTTAATTACAACCATCACAGCTTTCTTTCACTTAAATGATTCCGTTAGAAACATTCTTTCACTCTCGAGTGAAATTTAATGCGAAGAATGATGTCATAAAGAATTTTATGCAATTTCTTCTTGCAACAGAGAATTTTAATCGCCTCACTGCCATTCAAATGAATGACGCCAAGAAGATCAACGAACAATCAAGTGAAGACTGTTATTTACTGCCGCTGTGCTTCATCAGTTTTCACTCAACGACAGATCAGATTGAGTCCCTTTATTTAACTTCCAGGTTGGTCAATGCTGTGACCAATTTGAATGGAACAAAAACAACTTCGCGCTCATATTTTGCAATTAAATTCCATTGAGAATAGAAGATTATTGAAATCCATTCGGAAACTCGCCTCAATTTGACTTTTATATTGATTATTTTGAAAATTCTGTGATCAGCTGTTTGATTGTATGTGAAAATGCTTCATTCAAGTTCAGAGATATTAAAACTAGTTAGAACGGATCTTATTAAATATTAATATCTTCTTCATTTATGATTCACAACCTTCCCTTGGAATGTCAACAATTTATGTATGCTCAAGAAAAGTTCAAACCAAAATCTTTTGTTTGCTAAAAATCCAAACAAATGTGAACTGGAAAAATGTTTCGTCCGCGTACATTTACATAAAATTGAAATATTTTGACGGCTCTAAATAAAAACTCAACGACCGAGAAGTGAATTGTTGTGGAAAGTCAGATAAGTGAGACTTCAATTCTATCGAGCATAGTTTATTGCAAAAAAACGAAAGCTGCATTTATAGATGTCGAACATTCAATTCCCATTAGTTTTCACTCAATCACCGCTGAGAAATGTTTCATATCTTTGTGAAAATAATTTTTTGTTGTAAAACGTATTATTTTTAATTGAAGAAAATGCATTGCGATGTAAACATAAATATTTAATTGTTAAGACTTCACTCAACCTAGGAATGGTTGATTCGCCATTCATTCATTAATACAAAGTAAACTTGCTCTTCACGCGATAATCAAAGCAATCTCATTACATTAAATTTCCATAATTCCGCGGGCATTCTCTGATCATCATTCAGGTCAATGCATTGAAGCTTGTTTTTGTGAGTTGTCGCGATGATTATGGATGTCCACATCAACAGAACGCATTAAAATTTTGACAATGACTGAAATTCTTTCGCAAGACATAATCGATAACAATGTTTATCATTCTGCTCATCAAAATCTCATCAATTAACAAACGACAATTATTCGTCTCGTCAGAAAAATCGTTTTTGAGCATCAAACATCATCGCGTCAAAATAAAAATTTTAAAAACATGTTGTGTGCTCCAAATTAGGTAAATTATAATGCAATGTCGGTGAACAATATTTTTTATTCTCTTTTTGTGTTAAGTTACATAAATTGACAACATCAACATCAGTTGTCTCTCAAGCTGGTAGCTACATACTGTTTCATGATTAATTGTGTTTTGAGGTTCTTATCACACAACGCGAATCTTGATTTTTCTCTTCGTTATGTTAAATTCCACTCCAATTTCTTTCTTTCTCTCTTAATGTAAAGCACATTAATTTAATAGCTCACAAAATCGTAACATCATTTCATTTGGGCGTCGAGTGGAAGAAAATCGTTTCGTGAAGGTTTGTGCAGTGTGAAAGATGAGAAAATGTAAATTTAAAAAGCATTTGAAGAGCTTACGTCTTAATCCCGACAGCCACTGCTGTTAAATAACCCAAACTAAAAAAAGAAGTAATTAAACACTCAACCGAACGACAAGAGTGAGATTCATTTCACTTTCTTCCATAATTCTTTGTTTTTATAATAGAAATAATTTTATGATTCGAATTGCGTAATGCCGATGATATTTTAGGCGATCTTTTCTTTGTCGTAAAGTTTCTTGAACTCAAATTGTGGTTGCTTTGTGCGACGCGACGTTTTGCAAGCATAAATCACATGAAAGTTCTTCCAATGGTTGAACAATGGTTGAATTATTTTCATTTTATTCGCAAAGAATATGCCAAGATTAAGAATTCTGGGAACTTCGACTCATTAAACCAAAAGAATTTTTTTTAAATAATAATTTTACCTTCTGCTTGTTAAATTCCAAACTTTCCGCTTTACGTATTTCAATGTGCGAACATTTTGTCACTTGAAACAATGCAATGGTGATGAAGAGAAATGTTGCAGGCGACGATGAATGATGAATGAACATTGCAGTCATTTTTTTTTCTTAATTATTTTTTGTTGAGATTTTTTTGCGACATTAACTGATTTTTTTTCGGTAATTTAACCACCGCTGCTTTTTTGATTTAGATCACTTTTTTGTCGTTTGAACTTAATTTTTTTAATGTTGAAATTTGATTAAAAGATATTTTTGAAAGTCACTGATTTCACTTCAATCTAGATTGTTTAATTAATCTAAATCTCCATCACTTGCTTAGTTTCAATTTATTGTGGTTATATATTTTAACATCTCATTCTGCTTTCTTCCACCGATGTTGCGACTTCGATATCTCGCTCGCGACTAATAATTTCGCTCATGAAAACTCTGAACACCGTTTATGTCTGCAAAAAAAATGTTCTCATGGAAATGCTTTTATTTCACTTTATGAGAGTGTTAAGCCAAAGCGCTTCATGGTTGTTTATTACTTTATTACACTGTTGTGAGAAAAATCGCGTTCAAAGTTGGAATTCTGATAACTTAAAAGATCGCTGGTGAATTTTGTTTCAAGTCAATGAACCGCGAACAGCCCGAATTTTATGACTCTATTGAAATCGCAGGTTATGAAGATGAAAAAATTGAAATCGCAATCAAGAATAATCACGGGCGGACCAGTGGTTAAATTCTGCATTTGATTCGTAGCACACCATCGCGTTATGGTGATGTGGACATCAATGATAATCGCGACAACGCACAATAGTTTCGTCGTCCATTCAATGACCTGAATGGTGATCAGAAACTGACTGTTCATGAATTTATGGAAATAACAAGTTAATGTAATGAGATCGCATTGATGATCGCATTAAATAATGATGAACACTTCAAACTTGAAATGAATAATGCAATTCTATTCAATTTAAGCTTAATAATAAAAAAATCTTCTAATTTGCCTTCTCATGCATCTCTTTTACATTTTTTAACCTTAAGGTTAAAACTAGTGAAAATTTATGAGAAATAAATTACTCTGTGAAAAACTATTTGCTTAAGTTCACGCAATCTTACTTTCATTTCATATTTGTTTTGATATCAATTTATCATGCTCAGCTCTTCCAAACAAATTTTCCAAACTTTGTTAATTCAATTATCTATTTATAATGTTCAACTGAGCTTTTGTCACTTTAGGAACAAAAGATTTTTAATGTTGCATAATAATTTTCAGCATAAAAAGGTTGCGTCAAGGTTTTGAATTATTGTTACGCTATGATAGCAATTATGAGCGTAAATAGATTGTCTTTGATGATCATCGTAAATTTGATGCTTATCTTACATGAAATTAACTTCCATTAAACGCAATTTACTACAATCTTTAGAAACTAAATATTTGTCAACAGAGAAGAAAAGTCAATTGAGGCGAGTTTCCGAATGGATTTCAATAATCTTCTATTCTCAATGGAATTTAATTGCAAAATATGAGCGCGAAGTTGTTTTTGTTCCATTCAAATTGGTCACAGCATTGACCAACCTGGAAGTTAAATAAAGGGACTCAATCTGATCTGTCGTTGAGTGAAAACTGATGAAGCACAGCGGCAGTAAATAACAGTCTTCACTTGATTGTTCGTTGATCTTCTTGGCGTCATTCATTTGAATGGCAGTGAGGCGATTAAAATTCTCTGTTGCAAGAAGAAATTGCATAAAATTCTTTATGACATCATTCTTCGCATTAAATTTCACTCGAGAGTGAAAGAATGTTTCTAACGGAATCATTTAAGTGAAAGAAAGCTGTGATGGTTGTAATTAAAGAATGGGAAAGCGAACGCGTGGATACGGTCGACGTATAACAATTGCAGTTGTTTTCGTCTCATTGCTGCAGAGTTCAAATTCAGAGAATATTTTTGTGTCCTTCATGACCATCAAGTGCGAAAACAAATTCTGAATAAGAATGAACGCACAACTTCTGGTGTTATTGTTGATGCTGTTGGTGATGATGATGGATTTGAATTCAAATGCAGATTCACATGGGCCATTGTTGGTTCGATTTGAAACACAAAAACATAACATCACAGGTGGGAAAACTTGACCCACATTATCAAGCATTCATGGGCGGTTTAACAAGGAAAAGAATAAAATCAAAAATGAGAACGAAATAATAATTCATGCGATCATGTTGCATTGAAACCATCAATCTTCATAACCGAATTTTTGCTTTTTCTTTTCGGTGAAATTCTCTCCTCAAAGAAAGATAAAAAATTCAATTGCAGTAATTTGCAAGACTTGAAGTATCACAAGACGTGTTGACAACAGACACGAGACACTTAAAAATTTTCTGGGTCTCCATGCGGAAAACGAACATTTGATTAAAGCTACTTGGGTGACAAATTCCAACATAGTGGAAAATTACAAAGTCTTGGAAAGACAACTGTTCTAATTTTAAGATTATTCTTAACGAACTTTCAATAATTATCAGCTTCCAACTCCAGTTATAAAAATAACAACAGTGTAGCAAGTAATTTACCTGACGCGTATTTAACTCTAAATTTTCCACTCGACTTATTGTAACGAATAAACACTTCGTGAATCCAAATATAATAAAAAAAATATGTTGAGTGTCGCCAACAAAATTGTTGAATGATAAAACATTATTTTCAACCTAAACTTAAGTTTTTTAATTACCTAGATATCGAGCTATCTCAATTGAATTCTTAAGACATAATTCCAATTTTAATATTTCTCTTAATTTTAGTGTTTTAAATGAAAATTATTGACTCAAAAACAGAACTGAACGATACGAAATCCGCGCAGCTACTAACAACTGAAAACAACAGTGTTTCTAACATCAATCTCTCGAGGAAAATTTTCTGCATTTTGTTTTTCTCCACGCTTCGCAGAGAATGATGAGAGTAAACGTACTTTATTTTACTTTGTTGATTTACTTATGTTTAATTACACATCAACTGTCGGAAAATGAGAGTGACATATTTTCTGACTCATCAATTATTATTGTGATAATTAATATTGTGTTATTCACTTTAATTGATCGCAAAATTGATGATAACTTAAAATTTTATAAATCGGCATATGATTCGACACATTGCGCCATCTATTGGAAAATAGGATTTTAAACAAAGAACGAAAGCAAATTAAAAAAATAACGTTTTTTATATATTTGAAAATTTTCTTCAAGTTGCCATTTGTTTACATTTTCAACAACCTCTCAGAAATTGTGACTCAAAAATTAAAAAGATTCATTTAATAAAGAATTATCCTTTGACAGAGTATTTTAAAGATTAAAATATTTCTTTTTATTTTTATCATGTTGAGTTTAATTGTTCGCAACTATAGGAGAGAAGTAAAATCATCTATTTCTTGCATTCAAAGGCGAAGTTTCTTTAATAAATCATCAGAAAGACAATTCAAAATAAAACATAATTTAAATGAGAATTGGAAGATAATTTATAAAGCGCCAATGCAGCTCTATGTTTTATCTGCTAGTTTTGTAACATCAGCTTCGGCAGTGGTTGTCGGTGCTTATTGGGTCGTTCGACTTTTTAGTAATAAAGAACTTTCACAAAAACTAGAACCTGAACCTATGACTGGTGGAAGGACTGTAATGTCTGAAAGTGATCACCATTGGATTGTCTTTGGTCTAGCAGGGTTATGCATAGCCATGAGATTGATTGTTCACAAATATGCATTTAAAATATACAGAAATAATTTAAAGTAAGTTTATTAAATTTAGACTACATAATTTCAGAGTTTGTATTTTAATTAATTTTTTTTCCAAAGGTACGTTGCAGTTTATGAAGGAAATATCCCATTAACAAACAAATTAGTTTATTTTGATAAAGGAGCAGTCAGAACACTTCCAGTGAAAGGAATAATGCCTTGGAGGGAATTCCGCTATTCAGTTAATGGACGCTCCACAATTTTATTTGATGAATGTTTCAGGAGCGAAAGTGAGCGACTGGATATGCAAATACCAGAAAAAACTCCAAATAAAGATGCGGAATAAAAATGTATGTAGATATTTAGGATTGTAAATACAAAATATAGTCAAAACAACTTAAAAACTTTTCTTTTTTATTTTATTTCGATTAATATATAAAAACGAACTTTACAATAAAAGAATGAGAGTTAGAATTAGAAATTACCTAAGAATATTTAGACGAAGTTAAGTTTAAAGTGTAAACAGATTATAAAGGAAAGAAAGAAAAAGTATAAAAAAATTAATTTAGTTTTTATTTAATAATAATTTTAATTCTTTTTTTCTTCTATCAAGAATCACAATTTTTTTCACTACGTTTTTCTTTTATTAAAAAACTAAAAATTCTTTATTCTTTGATAAGATTTATTTTTTGCGAAACAATCTCAAATCCGTGGATATTTTTTGGGAGCTCTGTGGCCTTCATGGAAGACCTTAAAAACTATGAGCGCGATAAGTTATAATACTGGTAAACGCTCGCTGGGACTTGAGAAGTTTTCGCTAAAATATTGTTATTTATTAACTGGATAATCCGCTGATTCAATCATATTTTAATGTGATATAAATTACGGATGGTCCGAAAAATATTTAACAACTACTTAGTAAATTAATTACGAACTAAAACAAATATTTACATCAAACGTTTTCCCGATTTGGTTAAAACTTTTCATAGAAATAATAAAATTTGTTTTGAAAAGCTTCAAACAAACTGCGAAGTGACGCTCATAATTAAAGGCACTTTTTAAAATTTGAAATCATGCGTAACTTTAATTATTATTGAATTTCCATCTTAATGATTTCATTTCACAAATCTTTAGCATCTTTCTCAGCTTTTTCAGTCGTTTTCGTTCTGATTCAAACACAAGATTAAAAGTGAAGTGAAATCAGAAAAAAATGATTCGATTCTTATAAAAATAATAATGAAAATCTTTTAAATAGTGACACTGGATAGTCGACTTATCACCTAAAATTAATGCGACATCGCACTTAAATCAGATGTTTACAATTTACGATTTTGTTTTGCAATTGCAAGTGCACATGTTGGTGTTGGATAAAACGGGAAACACTTTTCAATCAATTTAAAATTCGATGATTCCGCGAAACAGATTAAGTTCGAGCACGACACCGATTTTAAACAATTTTTACAACGCATATTTCATCGTAGAAACTTTTATTATTGATGCCATGTTGGATTGCTTCTTCGAATCAAAATGTGGCGGCTTATAACTTATAAACATTCTTAGAAGGGTTTTGATCTTTTGTTTTGTTTGTTGTTCAACGACATGGTTGGAATTACATTTAGTCACCGATTAAACGTGATTGCATTTGTTTGTTAGTTCCTACTGCTATTGCTTTATTTTTTTTTTAATTTGCTAATGTTGTTGACGTTGTTGATGATGTTCAATGCCAAATACAACGATAGATAGATAAAAGAATGGCGGGAAGAAGAACATTTGCGAGTAATTTGTGAGTGGTACTGCTATTTCCTTCATACTTGGAATCGTGAGCAGGTCTATCATCATCAGCTCCTAAGAATAGAGAATAAGAAAATTATTGATAAACGTAGACAATTTAAAGCTTCTTAAGCTTTTATGTTGAATGTTGTGGAACTTCAAAAGAAAAAGCCTAAATTATATAAATTCTAATTTTTTAACATTATTTTGGCTTCTTTTGAGTTTTCCTTTTACAAACATATAATTGACTCTCACAACGGTTCTCATAAAAACCTAAAAAGCTTTTAATAATAAAAGAGCTATTTCGTCTCCTGGAAAAATGTGAATGCTTTTAAGTTCAAGCAGACGACGTTTTATCTTGTATCGAAAAAAAGAAAATTTCCAAAGCATTCACATCGCGAACTTTTAAATTTTATTTTAAGCTTTCAAAGGAATCTTTTGCAGAAAACAAACGGTGGAAAACATTGCGTGACAAAAGGAAATAGATATTTATAAAGTTCAAAATAAAAACAAAACGAAAACGTACATTTTGTAAAAATATTAAAATTGTATTGAAGCGCAACCAGTAAAATGCACAATTCCTATTTAAGTAAATGCAATTGCACAAAAATATGTTTAACAGCAAGCAGCAAATTCATCTATTTTTAGTCTCGACTCCAGTCTTCGATGGATTAAAATATTTGTTTTTCTACGACTTTTGGTTAATATTTTAGCATATCTCAGTAATTCACATATCAGTTATATGCAAAAAAAATTTCATTGCACACACACAACAATTATTATCAAAGCTAGAATTGTTCTTTATCCTTTAATATTGAAAACGCGACGTAGAAAATCTACAAAGGAATTTATTAAGGTTCAGTTGGTTTCACTATCAAAAATTCACAAATTTATTTAACTTTGTAGACTGTTGGAGCCTGCAATAAGAAAAAAAAGGGGAAATCATAATCATTTGCACAATTTGTGAAGTTAGTGCGATTTGAACATACTTTTGCTCAAAGAATTATCTTAAAGTGCACATTCCTCAAAGTGCGGTGGAAATTAAATCTTCTGGCTAATTATTTTCCCACAAAAAAAGTGAATATCGTGTTGGTAACCGCATCGCTATCTTCAATCGTATTTGTATTTACAGATTTTATTCACACAAAAATATGCAAAAACATAAAAAAATCATAAAAGTTAAACATAAATTCTTGCAATTAAAAAAAGTAAAACATTGATTTTCGTGCAAAAACATTTCGGACTTTAAATTTGCTTTCTGTGCGTGCAAGTGCATTCAAATTTCGTTCGTGCTTTTCGGAAGTTGAAGTGATTTCAAATGTTAATTTTATTCTTTCTTCAATTTATCGAAATTGTTTTCGTGCTGAATTTATTTTTATTTGTAGAAAAAAAGTAGAATTGAAAGGTAAAAAGCAGAGTTTGTAGAATTTCTGTTAGTTGATTTTCAAATGAGATAAAGCTACATAGGTTTCAATGTCAATATCTACATAAGCTTAAAATTAAATATTTATGAGAGAGATGAGAACGCTTTTGGTTAATTCTTCTACATTTAATGTACACATTGCTGATCTCTTTGTTATTTTAAAAATCAACCTGTAAAATCTGAATAATATTTAAGCTTTTAACCATTCCATGCTTCATAATGCTAACAACCACCTAGGCATGCAACCCCAAATGTATAATAAATCAAATTGTCTGTGCAAACATTGCTGTGCATTTAAAATTTATTCAATTTAAAGTTTTATATAATTTCAAAAGGAAAAGCTTTAAGCTAGAGGAAAGTTTCCATATTTATTAACTAGCTAAGCTTTTCGAGTTAGTGAAATTCGACCAATAAGTTTTATTTCGCCTCTGTCTTAGACATTTTAAATGTTTCTTTCATCTGTTGATAATATTATCATCTGAAACAAGGAGATTAAAATCTGTCCAAGTGTTAATATGAAATATGCATCGTCATTCGATATGACTTGTTAGTGATGTTGTTTACAGGTGTTAATTAAATTAATTATTTAATTGATAAATTTGCATTGAGTAGCACAAGGAGGGAAATCATTTAAGGAAAATCAATTAAAATAAGGTTAAAAAGATAGAAATAGAAAATGTTAATCATACTTTAATTTAATTGTCACCTCGCCTAAATACTTTAAAAGAAATGTTAAGGTTAAATTGCTGAAATTCATTAAGAATTCGATAGATAGAAGAATGAGAAGAATTTTGTTTTGCAAATGAACATTGAAATTTTTCTAAGATTTTAAAAGGAAAAAGTATTTCGAGGAGAAAGGAAAACGAAAACATAAAAAGTCATATCAGCCCTCAACCATGAACAAGGACAAACATCATGTATGTTGAAATTGAAAAATGACATGAATGAGTTAATGAGTTTCACATTTTTTTACATTGGACGTTTTTCACAATTTTTTTTTAAAACGGGGACAAAAACTTTTTTTCTCATTCAAATTGGTCGGAAAATTTCACTAACCTGCATCGAAATTTCCAAGAATATCTTCGTTTTCACTTTGAGTTTCCAACTCCATGTTACCTGAGTACTGATATGGTGTGTCCTTACATCCAAACCACCAATGAGCTGATGGACGGGGGAATGCTGGATCCGCTGAGTCAATCTAGCAAATTAAAAACAAACAAAACATGAAAATTCGTCATTTCAAAATCATTTTCAAGTTATCAAAACTCACCGAAAACGTTCTATCGTTGAATCTGTAATATTTATCACCTTTAAAGAAATATGTGTAGCCATTCGTGTACTGAAGAGCGGCATCAATATTATCTGGAATTCCCTCCCAATTTGTAATTGGTTTTGGATATGTTGATTTAACTGGCGGTCTTTTAAGAGGGTCAAAACGCCAAAATTTGCTTCCTTTATAGAAATAAATTTTGCCATTTCCTCCCCACACCATAGCAGCATCAATGTTGTTAGGAACACCTGTGAAGCCTTCATTGATCTCTTTAGGGTAGTCACCGTCGAGATTTCTTCCGTTGTATCTCCAATACTTAGATCCTTTGAAGAAATAAGTTTTTCCATTTTTATAAGTGAAAGCGGCATCAATGTTGCTGGGAAGTCCAGGCCATCCATCAGATATAAGTTTGGGGTAGCCATCAGCGATTGCATTCTCTGTGAGTTTGTAATATTTGTTGCCTTTGAAGGCATATGTACTGCCATCACCTGTATTGAAGAGTGCATCAAGTCTTGGATCTTTACACATGGCGTCGTCTTCTCTTGGTGCTGCTGGCGCTTTTGTAGTCTTTGCTGATGGACCAGATGATCCTGAACCGCTGCTTCCACCTCCTGATTTTCTACCATAAAGTGCTTGAATTCCCTGTGAAAATTCAAAAGTTTAAAACTCTTCCCAAATACATTCATTTATTAAGTAAATCTCACTTGAATGTCATCAGAATCTAATTTGAAAACGGAATCGTAGCCTCGATAAAATGGTGCCATCAATGCGCTTCTTACGTCAGAATGACTAAGACCCAATGAATGTCCAAACTCATGAGCTATCAAATAGAGAATTTAAATATAGAATTTAAATTGATTATCTACTTGGAATTTTCGAGCTTTAAAATTAATGTTGATTATCAGTTATCAGTCGAGAAATTTATTTAATTCAAAAATAAATAAACAAGTAGGAAATTTTCAAATGATAACCGACATTGTGTATTCATTTTTAATCAGTAAAAATTATTAAATAAATTTGTTTTGAACTTATTTTGCGTGTCAAACTTACCAGCTACTTGGAATAAATTTGTTCCTCGAGCGCTATTAACTGTCCACTGTTCGGCATCATCAAAATGTGCATCACCACCATAAACAGGGAAATATGCATGAGCTAAAGTACCACCAGGTCCATCAAAAGGATCTCCATCACCATGTTCACCAGTTTCAAATCTGTATCGATAAATAAATGATTATTTGAACATTGAAAAATATTTTCAAATACACAAACCTGATATCAATGTGAACTGGATTTGACTTTTTCGCTGTGAAAGTGAGATCTGTGTATTCTGACCATACACCAAATGCTTTTGCAACTTCTTTATCGACATCGTCTCGATTGAGTCGTTTAGGATATTTTGATATTCTATATGTTAAAGCTTTCACCTTCCATCGACTCCCTTGTAATGCATATCGTTTTGATCTTGAGTCAGATCCAAAACCAACTTTATCTCTCACACCACATCGTGGCATTGTCATCATGTGAACAGTCTCTTCATCCAATTCACCTGAAAATTACCACAAACAAGTAGAGAATACTTGACATTTCTTTATTGAGATTTTTAAACTCACCAGTGATGTTGATGCCAGCAAAACCTTGAAAATCTTTGATTGCATTCTCCCACGACTCTTGAGCTAAAAGATTACCACCAGATGATGGATTTCTTGCTTTTGCACTGAGATAACCGTATTGTGAAAGATATATCTGAAAATGTCAATAATATTGAAATAAGTTCAACGAATGAAAGTTTTCAAGATGATGCGATGTTTGAAGAAAATTTTATTCTAAGATCGTTTTAACTGCCAGCGTTTGAAATTCTTCGATTTTATTTATAAACAACCACGTTGTGGCTTGAACTTGAAAATATGAAAACAATTATTTCCGCATACATAACACCGCAAAACCAATATTCAGACAATTCGTGTTTGCAATCGTTTCATCAAACATTTGCGAGATTAACGAAACATGTTTAAAATCATCATCACGTGTATGTCACTCAGTTAGAATGTGCACTTTTCAATGTGTTTGATTGATGTTCATGAAATTGTCAGCAATATCGTCGGTTATTGGCACCCACTTCTCGAGAACTTCTAAACGAGACTCTCGATTTACAAAACGAAATTCCGCTATTCGATTTTGGATTATTGAATTCGGGGTTAAACACGTTAAGAAATTGGCAAGAACAATTACACAACAAAGTTATCGAATGTGTTTCATTTATAAAGAGCTCCCACCCCCGCAATGAAGAGTGAAGTTCATTGTTTTTCGATTTCACTTATCATCATCAGTTCCATTTACGTTGAAATCGAATAAAAAAACAAAATATTCAAAACGTGATTTGCATATGCGTCGCTTAATGATGTGCTAAAGTCATTTCATTTCATTCTTTGCACAAGGTCACAGAGACAATTTAATCAAATTCTAATGATTAGTATGAGTTCTTTGTTTATAAATTAAGAGCGTGTTAGATCTGAACATTAAATATGATAACGAAAGTGATGCTACTTTAAATAATTGCTCGAATAGAAATCATTTGCACTTAAACATTTGATTTAAGGATTGGCTTTTGACGAATGCTTTCGTCTTATCATGACCGGATGGAACATGAAAATTTGTAAGTGAATGGAAAGCCCCAAAGCTATTAATCTCATGTTCTACAAGTTGAACATCATATTTCAATGTCTAACGCACCCTTAAAATGTTTTGTCACTATTACTGTGATTCAGACAAGATGGAGAGTGTTTACTATTTGAGAAGCTTCACCATTTAACTTCATATCAAACATTGAATCGTTTATAATTTAATTCTAATAAATCTCACTCATGAAAATGAACATAACAAATTTGACCAATTCAAAGTTGCAGTTCTGTTTTTGGCAGACACAAACTGCATTTCAATGACTGACATTTCAATTTAATTTATTGCTTGATCACTTTATGTTGTTAAGGAATTGAAAATGTTTACACACAATCGAATCTAACAAGTTACGAGTTCAGTCTTTGATGACAGAAGCCATAAAAAATACAAAAAAAACTTTTATTTAATGCGAATACATAGAACTTTGCAATTTCCCGACCGACAATGATTCACAAAAACAATTTTAAATTCTAGATTAAGAAGAAGAGAAGTCAACGTGGCGATTATTTTCGCGATTCATAATAGGATGGGCAATTAGTGAAGTTTTCTGGATTTAATGTTCTTGGAAATTTCAAAGACGTTTTTAGGCGAATATTTCTTGCAGCTTGTTGAACAAGATGATTAGCTGCGAAGTTATTTTCAGGCTGAAAAACTTCAATAATTTAGCTTTTAAGATGAATCATTATGCGGGGCAACCTTTTGCCGGTAGTTTTTCTTATTATTCAAACTCTCAATTTGGAAGCGAGTAGAAAATAAATATTAGCAGATGTATTTACTAAATATTCAGAGATTTGAGGGAAAAAATTGAAAGAAATCATCAAATTGACTCAGTGGAAATGTTTAACTTTTCCTAGAAGTTTGTTCAGTTGGCGCTTTCAACTGATTCATGTCAATATTAATTCAATATTAAAGACTCAATCTAAGATGTAGCAGCGATTGTTTCTATTATTTCAACAACTAAATGAAATTTGACTTGTGAATCTTTTGATGATTAATTGCTTGAAATTCCGGGTTCATTTTCCATTGTATAATTCTTCTTGCATAACTGTTTAAAGACGTCGATATTTAAAAACAATCCTGAACATATTTTATTTCACTTGTTGAAAATCATTCACGTGGATTTTTGTTTTTTTTACAAATATAAAATTTAGATCCGACTTGCCCTCATATTAATCACTCACTCATTACTAACCATAATATTGTGTCTTTCTCATGCTTTTGCTAATATCCACAGCAAAGCTATTAACGGTTCATTCATCCTACAATGAAAGTGAGTGAATCATTCATCACATTCATGTTATAATTTCTTCTTTAAAAAGCAGGAAAAGAAATGGAACGGGAAAACGTTGATGAGCAAGAAGCAACGAAGAATTGTCTGTACGATCAGTTCATCATCGAGTAGAAATTTCCGCAAATGCCATAAATCCATTCACCTCGATTAGTAGTTTGAGAATTTGTTATTCTGTCGCGCTCCGTAAGTTGAATGAGGAAAAAGAAGTTAAAAAAATATAAATAAGCAATACACAGAGGGAATGAGTGGCAGACTAACACATAATACAGTAGAATCGATTGAGTGATTTTCTGAGGAAAGAATGATTGGAAACAAAGCGAGGAGAACAGTTGGAACTCCGACACGAAAATTTATTGAGTAGAGAGTCGACAAAGCGTCTTCATTCACAATTGTTGGGTTAATCTGAAGATCTTTTTAAGGACGGTTTGTGGTTCATTCCAGAACGTTAATTTTACGATGCTTCCGTCTTGAATTCCATAATCCTTAAGTGCATTTATATCATTATTGAGCTCTTGACCGAAGAAATGTAATTTATAGAAATTACTAAAAAGTCCGTGGGCGTGAAAAATTTCATTTTTCAGAGACATCACGGAATCTTCATTATGACAAAGAACTTCAAGATTTTGTTGCTTTGGGATTTTCACAATCACTTTGATTTTTGAATCTAACAAAAGAAACTTTATGATAGATTGAATTACGATGAGAATGAAAGTTTTATTTCACTTTGTTGTTCGCAATCTGATGACATGACTCAAAAATTTATTACTAAATTAAAGCAAGCAAAAAAAATTTGCGTAAACATCTTCTGCAAAGTTGAGTTAACTGCGATTGTTCGTGTGGAACTGAATGCGAAATAAAAAATAATTCCTAACAGATTCTGTATCAGAATGGGAAGTTCATTTCATTTCTGATGCTTCCATAAGCACTGTTATTGATTGACCTTCCATGTTAGCTTTGTGTGTTCGAATTCAATGTGATTATAAATTCATTAGAAGAAGCTAATAAATATTAGACTAAGATACATTGAGATATTAAATCATTTCATAGACTGTCACTTGGTATAGCACGAGCTGTTTTTTGCTTCTTTCATTAGAATATTTTTTTAACTTAATTAACATAAACTTAGTTGTGCATATTGTTATCCCCATCGACATTTGTTAATCATTCGAAAACACTTATTTTAATTGTTATGCATTTCGTGGTTTTCTGAGTTCACGTTTTACGATGATTTCCTGATAAACATGCTAGACGCTCGAGACGAAGCTGTGAATCAGAGTTGAGCAAAATATTCACAGATTTAGATGTTTTCTTATTTTATTTCCGCTATTTGATACATTTTTAAGTGTAAGATTTGACAACGAAATGTTTTCTACAGAAACTCTCACGCGTTTGTATCCAAATTGAGATTGAGTAACATGCGAAAAATCCGACGAGACGCGTCGTCTCATTAAATCAAATTAAGTTTCAAGAGGATGAAGAAATTAGACAATTCGAATACATCGCGTGAGTCATCAAACTAATGAAATGTTGCTTGAATGAAGTTCTTTTGGAATATTTTTCTAGCAAGTGCCAAGCTAATAAATATTTATTTTCAATCCAAAATCTCAATTTTATTTTTATTTCACATCGCAATGTTGATGAATTAAAAAAGTGTTGAATTAAAAAAGTTCAAAAAGAATTCACTAGAAAATATTTTTGTTAATTAGTTACTTAGAACGGCACATGACTCTTTAATTAATTATCGATATAAATGTTGAGCAGTGGCTTGTCGTTAAACTATATGATTTAAACTGCTGTGGCAATGAAACTCACAGCTTGCATGTCACGTAAATAAATGATCGAAACACATGTGCTGATGTTAATCTTTCTCCTTAACAAAGAATTCTTATTTGTAATTTGTTTCGCAATTACAAACATAATTGTCGCAACTACAATGAAAGCTTCTGAAATTCGATACTCTTGAAATCTATTTCATTGATTAGCTAAAGCTTGTGGTTTCTAATGAGAGATAGTTTACATTAATTTATAATTAATTAAATACAAATTAAGTTAATTGAATTAGAAAATTGAAGAAAAAATCTTACGATAAGATCAATAAAGTTTCACAAAGTGTTATGTTAATATTGTTGATATTATCATAAGTTGATATGCCATAAAGATTTCTGTTCAATAAATAAAGAAGTCCATTCTCACATTCACAATGCAGCTGATTATGATGGTAAAAGCAAACTTATTATTTTGTTGTCAGTGAGTAAGTGGTGAATCGATGACATTTGATTTATGATTGGAAATAATCATAAGTTATGTACTTACCCATGGCTTTGATATTCGATATCAATTGAATTAAACAAACACTTGCACGGAAATGTTAATGACTGCTTCATTCATTATTGAGAACCACAGAATTTTCTTTTATAGATAATTTCGTTATGAATATTCAGAGACGAGCTTTGAGAATAAATTAAAAAATTTTTTAGTCTGAATTGGCAAGCAATAAATTTAAAGAAAGAAATATTTCAAAGTTTCTTTATTTATTTTCCACATTTTCCACTAATTTCACCATGAAATTTCTTAAATATCTCGGGTGAATTGTGAAAATTATAAATTGAATGGTGAAAACAAGGTAGCAACGAATCAATTGCCGACATTACTTAGTTTGAAACTACAAAATTAAAAGCTGTAATCGCTCGGGTTGACGATAAAAAAAAGTAAAATAAAAACTGGAACTAAGTAGAGTGGAAAATATTTTGTTGAATTCTTGTTTGTCTCTTTCATATTATTTTAAGTTATTTTGCCATGGTTATCGCTTGAATTTTCATAATAAATTTAAATAAAAATTCTGATTTTTCGATGCTTCATTCGATTCTCAATAACAAAATTGAAGGGAATTATTAACAAAACAACTGCAAGTGAGAGTTTGATGTTGTTAATTAATCTTTGTAATGATTCCGCACATAAAACGTTAACATTACAAGGACAAACTTAAATAAGTTCCATGTAGATGTTTGTAATTATTTTTAATAAGCGACTCATCAATTGCATAAGTTCTCAATTTTGTTCTTACAACATTTAAAAATATGAAAATATCTCTCAGCGTTAAAGTCAATGAAAATTAATTTTAAATTAGCTAACAGATGAAAAATCTAATCGATCCAATAAAATATTGTAAATAAACTATCAGAAATCTGAGTTCGAAGTGAGCAGCAGCAATGTAATTAATGATTCCCAAATGAAATTTTCTGGGCAATTAAGATGAGTAAAGGTAGTTAAAATTAATGGAGAGATCGGAGATTTGATACATGTTTTCTGAATGGGAACAAAGAGTATTTGAAATAATTCGGTTGTCTATGTTATTGCCAAGTTCAAAACAATAATTAACTCAACGTCATGAAGTTATCAAAATCTTTCAAATTGGCGATCATTATGAGTCATAGCGAATACATGACTGTTGACAGCCTTTCAACGTCATAAATTTCTTGTCACTGGATTTACGCTCATCAATTAATCTGTCCTAAAATGTCATTCAGGCTTTTCTTTTTTTTCTATGTCATGTAATTAATTATGTGTCGAAAGAAGTCGAGTCGAGCCCCGAAATTTCTCGCCTCAAATTAATTGATTTACAAGCTTCTAATGCAATAAAATTTCAACTGTCATAAGTAAGTAAACCGCAAAATAAAACTCATAAGAATTAATTTAATTACTTCATTCGAATTATAAATTAGGTGATTGAATTAATTGTGGGAAAATGAGTAATGTAATGTTTCGAATTAAATTGTTCATGTTTTTCTTTTTCATTCTTACTGTCTTCAACTTATAAGTTTAAAAAGACTTTCAGGGACGTTCCATTTTAATAGCGCATGAGTTGAGATAAAATTGAGGAAGAAACCGAGATTCATTTCACGTTTAACAGTTCAAGAGATCTGAATGTAATAAACTGTTTGATTTAAAGTTTAGCTTCATGGGGATGTAACTATTATTAATATTTCTTTTAAAGAAAGCGTAAACTTGGGAACATCTTCATCTACTTCATTAGTGTCATGAGATATCTCATAATTTTTATAAATAAATAATGTGACTCTATGTATGAAAATATTGTGAATAACGAAATAGGAATTCAGCAAGATGACATTTCATTGCGTCAACGTCAATTATTAAAACAGTAATACTAAGCTTATGAGTAAAAAATTTAGTAAATATCATAAAATGATGATTTATAATTTTATTTTTCAGCAACCCTCCAAACATAGAAATAGTTTGAGGCATATAAATAGCGTGAAAATGATTCTCCTGTCTTCAAACCATTAACATTAAGGCTTTGTAAAGTTATTAACATTCTTATTCAAACTTTTACTACTTACACACAAATTTTCCTAATTAACGCTGAACATAAGTTTTTATTGAAGAAGTAATTGAATAAAATTTTCTCATATTTAAAGTTTAAATAGATAGAATAAAACATGTTGCGATGTTTACCGGAATGAAAGAATTAATACAAAACATAATTAAATTAGTTAGTTGAAACTTAAAGCAATGAATAAATCTTCATAAATTGATATTTATAAGTAGTTTGGAAATTGTTTAACTTTCAAAGTTCATTAAATATCAAGATGAAGCTCAAATTTCGCATAATTTTCAACCAAAATCTTTCGAAATGTCACCACCTACACATTCCATAAAGAAAACTAATTAAAGTTAAATTCAAGCTCCATAACGATTTGGAGTTTGTTGACCTAGGGTTCACTCACGATTCTAAGTTATTTTTGAAATTAAACCTCAATAAATGAAACATAAGAAGTTGAGGAAAACTGGGGTAGTCACCTTTTATTTGTTAAACTTTCCCCCACATTAAAATATTCACAAACAAGCAAAGCAATAAGGTGAGTGAAAGGGTGTAAGCTGGGGGTGAGTTTGAATTATTAACAAAAACAATTTTCGAAATAAAATGAAAATAGTTGAGAAAGAAAGCACGTAAAGGGAGAAAATAATCGATAAGTAGCGAGTTTATGGATAGTTTGGAATGCCATGGTGACGCAAAATCGTCTTTAGTTCGACTCGACTACACATTTCACTTAAATCCACCCGCAAGGTGATGTTTTTTTTTTAATCTTTTAAACCATACTGCCGGCAATCAAGGTTGTCCCTTTCTATCATAGATTACTCGAAATATCCTTTTTGTTCTTTAAATTGCCATGGTCTAGCATGAATCACTATAAGTTTAAAGGTCACATGTTAACGTTGTAATTTCCTTTAACAATAGGGCGGAAAATAAATAATAATTCACTGTCAAACATAACGATGATGAAGTGTGACGTATGAGAATGAAACAAACCATTCTGATTTTCTATTTCTTCAACTTTCTTTAAATAAAAATGCAAATGTCTGTAGTCTAATGCAAGTTACAGTTTTATAAATAGCACACTTAATGTGCAGTTCAGAACATTAAAATGCCAAAAATACTTATGGAAAATATTCATAGTGATTTTGTACCTTAGAATTGCAAATGAGTAGATATGCAAGCTTTATGAAGGACGGCAACTTGAAATTAAATTCAAACGGAAGCTCTTAAACATCTTACTCAAGAATGAAAATACTATGAAAAGTCTTTTCACCTTCAACTAAGTTCAGAACGTTTAAAAGTTTTCAGATATTCAGCATGTTGCACGCGAACAGTAAAATTTTCCTTTTTTTCTCGTATCAAAAACTTTTCTAGTTATATCGCTTTTCGTCAATCAAATTTATTATTACGTTTACTAATAATTATGAGAGGGCATTTTAATGAGAAAAAAATTATATAGAATGAGTGACAAGACGAGACGCCCGTCTGGAAGGTTATTGAAAAGTGAAATTAATACATTCAGAGATATGTTTATACGATAATTAAAAATCCATTAGTTTGTTCCGAGGTCGTAGTTGTTATGATGACACACATGAGTCCTTTACATTAATGTTTTATAAGTTAGACAGTATCACAGTCTCTGTACTGTCCTTATCAAAACTCAATTAAATTAATTTTGATCAAAGGATTGTTTCAAAATATTATTAACATGTCAATGATTAGAACAAGATTTAGATTACTTAGCTTGTTCTAGAACAGTTTCTACAACATCAACGTTAAAAATGTTAACAGGTCAAGCAATATTTACAACTTAATGAATCATAAGAAGCCCTAAAACGAGCTCAATTTTTCCAAAGAAAGAAAAATGAGACCGAAGAGAAAAAGAAGAAAATATTTAATGTAGATCATGAGGAAAACAAAGGAAATTCTCTTAGAAAAACATCGAAGTTAAGACGCAAATGGAAAAACGTCGGAAAGCACGCAAGCAGTTCGATGACCTTGATCGGGGTAGTCGTTTGGCCACAATAAGAATTCTCTTAACAAATTTTTATTTCTCACAAATTTTATTGGGTCACAAATAAAGCTGTCATGAAATTCAATATTGTAAAAGAATTTTGACTCAATTGAATAATATTTTTTTCACATAGAATTTTTAACATTTATCTACTGATTCCAATCACGACTTTCCAAACACTTTCAAAAGAATGTTGCAGATTTTTTCTCAAACTTTTGCATAAATAATAATTCTTTATATTAACATGGATATCTCAAATTGAAAATGTAAACATTTCCAGAAAAACTTGTTAAACAACCTTTCAATTTGCGCGTATTTCGCATTTTTGTTGTAATGTGTATCGTTACGTTGAGAATAGTCAATTTGCGGCTCATAAAACACACGCTTATCACGCCATAGGGATGATTCATTCGATGTTGCAAAATTTACCTCACTGAGTATGTTTCTTGAATGTACGATAAAGAAGTGAAAATGATTCAATTACGAGTCATAATAACAATTTTAAACACTTGTGGAAATTCAAATCAAACATTTTGTTAAGGGAGTTGGCTTGATGATAAGCTTGCTTGTGATAAGATTAATGTTTGAAAAGCTTCAGTTCCTAAAGGAATCATTAATTGTAAAATTCAATCAACAAGCAACTAAAAATCTATTTTTAGAAGCATTCCATAATATCTACTCAAATCTAAAGTTCTTCAATATGTCTTCATTTCAGGTTCATGTAATCACTGCTTCACAGCTAAACTGAGATAATGTTTGAAAAAAAAAGAAGTTTAATACGAAATACGTAATGCGATAAAACAAATCGCAATAAAGCATCGAAACGTGTTGTTATAAACTGACGTCATCCAAATCGGTAGTGTTGAGTTTGAGCAGAAGATAAAAATTAAATGATTTTGTTGCAGCTTAAATAGCCGGAGAGCAGGTGAGTTCTCCATTTAATAATAACGAGTAAATTCATGAGAATTTACTATGAGTGGTCGTAATACGAACAAGGAAAAAGCCGGCAAACAAGTTTGGTTTGGCGTGGAAACACTCAACAGAGAAAGAAGTTACAAAAAACATCACAACACAGAAGGTTGAATAAACATTCATATTTAGTGGTTCGTGTTTGTAGTATTTGGGATTTAAATATAAGAAAAAAACTTTATTTTTTAAAACGTTGAAAGCAAACAAAAGTCATCATATGAGACATAAAAATTTCTTGGAAACGCTTGAATTTTTCAGAGAAATACAAGCTTTTAAATTTTACAAAATTGGAACGATGCTGGGGCGGATTATTGCTGCTTTTTCTTGAATTCGATGAATGAAATGATTTTGAGGGATTTTTTATCGCTCCAAATGAGTCAACAAAATGCTTTTAGGATTTTCAGTAATTTGATTTGAAGCATGATCATGACATTGCATATCAACACATCTTACTTCTCAGTGCCACTTGTCAATTAAATTGTAAAGTTTATTAAGCTAATCAATGTTCTAAACAAAACTTGTGATTGATCGCGGTGAAGTCGACTTACAGACTTCGAAGTCTCTATAAACAGTGAAAAATTCTAAAAAGCTCAAGATCTGAAATTGCAAAAGCACTTCCGTAGCTCACTCCAACATAATGTAAATATTTAAAGATCATTTGCTATGTCTGACCTTTTTAAGTTTAACGCATGTCGTTATGTATGTATGTAAGTATGCACTTATTCGATAGATAAATATTCAATCGCATCATCATCAATACTTAAAAGGAATTCCCTTCTGAATTGTGAAGTTGTGACTTACCTCAGCCATGTTCATCATTACTGGTGCTGCACTTATAAGAGTTGCCAGTGTCGTTGTAATGACGACAAGTATGTGAATATGATTTGCCATTTTAACAAAAATATTTGTTTGTGTATTTATAAATTTGTCTTCGATTCTTTAAAAGATCTGCAATCAAAAAAAAAAAGAAACTTTATTAATTTCTATTTGATTTCGTATCAGTTAGTAAAGCGGATTGATTTTCTTACGAAATCCTTCGAACTTGAGAAGAGTGAATCATGCGGAAAAATATGAAAACATTTCAATGTTCGTGGACGAAGGAGAAAAAAAGAATTATGCAAAATATTCTGAAATTAACTTGTGCCAGATCGTTTATGACGAAAATGATTTTGCGGATTTTTTAATTTTTTTTTTTCATCAAGATATCGGTTGAAGGGCAATCAAAGTTTCAAAATGTTTTACGGTAAGTATTCAATCATTTAACAAACATCCAAGTTAGATACTTGATAAAACTTTAATATTCTGTGTATGGCAACATCGCAAAAGAGAGAAACAAAAATAAAAGTTAGAATGAGTCTCGTGATTTTATTAATCGTCTGAGATGTTGTGAACTAATAACTTTACAATTACTTCGACAGTTTATGAATTGTTGCTTATAATTGCACTTTTTATTATAGAAATTATGAAAGTGTAAGCAAGCGAAAAATTCACAAAATTCTATTACACAATTAAACTGAATTTCTAAGAAATATTTACTTGCAAGTATTTTATATCAGACGAACAAGTCCGTTGTTAATTATTTAAATGAAATGCTTCTGCTACTGTCAGGCTATGCGTAGTTCTCTACTCTGTCTTAATTGATAAAGTTCAAAAGATTATTAATACGAGATCTGAATATTGCATCACACAACGGAAGATCAGAGAAGATCTGTAGCAACGTTTCATTTGTGGTTAGCGATGAATAATTGTTTGACTTTATTCTATGTCGCTTTAATGACAAGTTAATGACGAGTTTTTTTCTATGTCGTCTGTAAGTAGTACTTTCCTGTGATAATGAAACATTTTTTCGCTACATTGCCATAAAAAGTGTTTATTTTTCTCGAAATTTTGAGTGATAAAGTTTGAACAATCAACCCAACTATTTGGTCAATTTTGTAATCTAATGACCGGAAGAATTAAGTTCAGAAAAGAGTTGACTTTGTCATTGTGCCTGTGTATGGAAATTTTTGCGTTATTATTTTTATAAAACTCGATGATTATCTATTTCATATCATAAGCGAGAATTAAGTAGCAGTCATAAAATATTACAAGTACAAAAAATAACCCATCAATACAGAAACGAATGACAAATTTAATGTTCGCTTATCACTGTTGAACTCGATATAATTTATTGATTGCTTGCACCATAACTCGAAAACCTAAATTTTCATTTTTCTATGTTGCTCAAGCATTTCCATGTTGACTGATCATAAACAATCATAGACAAATTTATCATATCACCGAGTCAATGTCACATATAATTGCAGATTGGCGTGTAGACAAAAATCTCGAAATTAAATCTGCTTGGTCGTTATTTTTATTTTTATAAATACAACTCGTATCACGCATTTTCATACCAGGAAACTTCTTTACAACTTTAAACCAATTAACACCTAAAAGTTAAACAATTCATATTGAAAGCTCAGTGTGATGCTGATAACAAACACTTTTACAAATTAATTAGTTAAGTTAGTCAATATTTTACGTGAAAAATAAATTTTAAAGTTGTGAATGTGACCAGAAATTTTACAGCCACAGATAAGATAACACGAGTTTGATACCTAACATAACCAACAGGTTTATGACAAAATATTTTCATCTTTTTTTTATTCCCTAAATGAAAAGCATTTTGCAATGTTGAATGAGAATAAAAAATGTTTTTGGGAGAAATTCTAGCACCCGAGAGAAATTCATTTTCCTTTGAAGTGTTATGAAACATTCTTCGTTATCATCACATTCCATCAGATAACATTTATATTACGGAATTATATGTATTTTGAGTCAATGAATTCCTCGAAAGTATCAAGATATTCGCGTTATTTAGCTGAGTAAGATGAGAAAAGTCGATGAGTCATCCGACCAACATTCAACGATGTTTCGATGTCGGCAAACATGACAATTCGGAAATTGAGTTTTTATGACTATGCGAAATTGATAATTACAAGTTTACCTCATTGTAGGTAAGACAAAGTGCAATTCAAGATTTTTAATTCAATTACGAACTAAAATAAATTGTGAGCTCAGTTCTGATAGTAAATTTTCATGATGCAAGAGAAGAAAAAAATTCTTACGAATTCAGAATGTTTAATAGAACTTGTTGAACGTCATTCTCACTCATTTGAACGAGACCAAAGATAAGCTTCGTTGTGAATAAAAATCCTTGCAAATTTACTGACGAACTCAACAATCAGCAGTTGAGCTTTGCATGAAAATTACTGAATTTACTTCTCACATTGAATACTAAATAAGTTCTTAACATTGGATTCACAATCTAAACATTTCACGATTCACATGATTCTCAAGTTTTTGTTCTTTTAAGCGTGCGAGGGATGATAACTTACAATAGAATCACTTTTATGATTGAAATTTATTGACTAATTGTTCCACAAGAAATTTCCTCTTCCTTATATTCGTCTGCTAAACTTGTTGAACTTCAAATTACCACTAACTTTAGCTTTTAATTCACAACACTAAGTGATTTTCACTTTCAGAGCTCAATTATCACAATTAATTTTCCATTTCAGGTGGAAAATTCTTACGACAATCGTCAATTCTAGCGCGAATAGATTTTCCTTTTATTCGTTTTTATTTTCTGTTTTCCCTTTTAGTGTTGTCAATGGCAGTAATAAATTTGTTTACGAAATTTTCCTAGAAAATTTTCTTACGCCTGTTTCAATTGATTTTCAGTTTGACTCTGAAATATCACGACGAAAATTTTTATGTATTCCAAATTATTGATTACGAAAATGGTTGCTTTTAATTAGATAAGATAATAAATTTTTGTGTGTGTGTCTGTAAATTTTTATCTAATCTGTTATCAAATTAATTTTCTTTTTTTGCACTTTCCGCAATGTTCTTTTAATCCTTCTAAATCACTTATTTTCAAGGATGATCACAAACTTACTGTTAAAGTTTCACAGAAAAAAAGAGTTAAACAAGGAAAGAAAAAAAAATGTTTAGAAACACAAAAGTAAAAAGTTCGTTCTGTGGTTCTGGTTTATTCGAACGTACGAAAGCGACTGAAAATGTTTTGTTTTCTGAATGAACAATTTATATACCACAGAATAAGCTTCACGTTTGTCTGTTGCCGTTCCCTTCCCAACGTGTGCATATGATTGTCATTCGCGTCAGTGTATTTGTCAGATTAATGCGAGAGCGATCATCGCAAAAGCGCTTGACTGTTTTTGTTTCTTTATTCACTTCATCATCAGCTGTTTTTTCTGCATGTAGTTGAGCCGAACTTATATTTCGTTGAATTATATTTTTTTCTTTCAATGTTCGGGCTTGAGATTACGGAAAGCTTCGGGAGAGAATGTTTTAAATATTGCGTTAAAAATATTTATGGTAAAACATTAAGACGGCTTTTATTTAATCATGCGCACTTCGGATTTTGTCTTAAATAGGTTCAACATCTTTCAAATCACTTATTTTCCACATGCTTTTAATTGATGCATCAGTAAAAGTGACGATAACTGAAAATCAATCAACTAATTAATAATGCAGATGACTCATTTCTTTTATTTCCAGTTATCTGTTTCGATACGATGATTTTGTAGTTTGTTATGCACATATCCAAGACGATTGAAAAAATATTTCATCAAGTCATTCATTTTGCATTAAGTTATCAACAAAACTGTATGCACTTCTGACTGATCATTCAATAACAAATTCTCCACATAAAAGCAACAAGGTAACTGTTAAAATTCAGGCTAAAATGGACTTAACGACATGCAAATAGCATACGATGATTGAGAATTAACTGGTGAACAAAGTTCAGAATTACTTCCAATGAATGAATTTTTTTCTCTTAATTATCTTAACTAATTAGATTCTCAATGAGGTGTCATCAATTCTCTCCGGATGGCAGGCAAAGTAACGAACGTTGTGAAGAGTTCACAATGAAAGAAAATTGCGTGTAATTCCTGAAAGTCTATTTATAAGATTTTTGTTTTGCTTTTCTCTTTCAATCACCGCAGACAAAAACGCGAATCACATTTTTCGGGATTTTCCATGCATTTCTTTTCTTTATTATATTTCTCGAGATTTTCACGAGACGATAAAGAGAGAAAATCAGAAACAATGTCTGTTCAATTTATAGCTTAAAAGTTTCAAGAACATTGAGAAATTTCCTTTTGAAAATCATGCAGAATAATTTTGGAGGAATTCAATTTTCTAATTTTTCATGAGAATTTCATGAATATTGAGTTTCTAGAGAATTTAATAAACTTCAATCTAGCCACCATTGTAAACTGATGAGTCGACAAGATTCTTAAATCTCATGTACAGTTTCTTCAGCACATTTAACATTGTTAGATTTACTGAAAGAATTTCTTTTTATTTTCGCACAGACAGAGATTGTCACCCTTTAATGTGTCTCGTAAAGTGTTCCCTGCTTTGACATTAATGTGATTCGTGCAACGTGTTGTTTTCATTAGTTAAGTACGAGAGAGTTTCCTTAACTGCGTTACTTCACTTTAACTGAAACAAGCTTCATTATTTCTTCAATCTTGGATATTTCATTCACTGAAAAGGAGAAAAGATGATTCAAGAAAATTTCAATTCAAAGAATTAAATGAGAATTTGTTGAATTAAGTTTTGTTATTGATTTTTATTTCTAAATATTTATTTCAATATTGGTTAAATTTTGGATTAAATCATGTGAAAGTTTTAATTATTTTTCAATTGGAAACATTATCGAAGAGTTCACTTTAAAATTTTAGACTAAAACTATTTTTAGGAAATTCATTCCTAAGTTGACATTCAATTTTATAATATGTCAATGACAAAATACATGAATAAATGGATTAAAGTTAATTAAAACTAACAATCATCCCAGTTTGGTCGGATCCGAATAATGCCAAGCTGAAAGACTGTAAAGTCATTAGCAGAGTTTAAATGGAGCGAAAATAGCTTTTCAGCAGCAAGTGGATGCCAAGCGCCAAAAGTACATCGGACATTTATCTGAAAAGTGAATTTTATTCAATTATTAACATAAATTTGAACATAAGAGTTACCTCTTCACTATAGTAATGACATTTTCCATTGAGTCTAGTCGAAGGGATGTATTCGACAACATCAAGATAAGAACAAATTGGGAGCATCATTGCTATACCAATGAAACCAGATGATGGTGGATTCCTTGGAATTGAGTCATTTGAGAAGTGCTGAAGAACTTTCCATAAATCCCACAGAGATCTCGGGTCAATTAAATGAAAATCTGCATTTGGGTTTGATTCCATAAACTTTCGGTAATTCGTGAAAAGATCAAAGTCTGGCTTCGCTTGCCACTGTTCGAGAGTTTCATTAAATTTACCAGGATCCCAAGCAGCAAGGGAAATATTTTTAAACAATTTTGATTCCAGAAAGTTAAACTCAGCTTTACTAACAACCTGAAATGAATGAATATATTCGGAAGTTTCAATGTTAGAATGCAATTTAATTTAGAGTTTACATTGTGAATTAACATCATGCATTTCAAATACGAGAAATGCTTTGAAAAATGAAAATTTAGTGTTTAGAAATCATCATCATCTGTAGAATATATAAAATTATTTCTAAACAAAGGAGACGATTGCGCAAGGTTTGTTCAAGAAACTTCGTTAATAGAATTAATGCAAAGTTCTTTCAATTTACCTGTGAGTTTACAATTCTTATTGATGTTTTATTTCCAACATCAGTTTCGTATCCTTCAGTTGGTGCATGATTAAATCGCATGACGATATCATGAGAATCTGATATAGTGAATAAATTGATAGTCAGAAGGAAAGTGTTAAAAATCTCTGGAAATTTTACTTTTCAACTTTCAACCCACCTATAAAGTTTCCCAAGCCTGACCCCGTTAAACTGCCAGCACTAGAAACAATGATGCATGACTTGCCTTTACTCTTTCTGAACAGCTTGTGCTTGGGAAATAATTGACCTAATTTGTTTACGTTGAATGGTGGGTCTTTCTTGCGCAATAATTTGATTTTGCTATTAAGAAGCATGCATATAGGAAGTTTCTTCTTCTGATTAGTCTCGCTCTGATAGTCTACATTGTAGATATTTTCTTCGCTCCTTCTGTTCAAACTTTTACTCAATTCACGAATAACTTTCATTTTAAACTCGAAAGTTTTGTTTGCGCAATCGACATCAGTTTTGTTCTTAGGACATCGAAATAAATTTGAAGCTATCGGCGTTAAGTCTGATGTTTTTGAAAATGATATTCGTGGATTTCGATTTCGAACTGAAGGTTTCTCAACACTTGAAATCCTTTCAGTTATGTTCATGTACTTAATAGAAAAGGCACTCCGTCTTGTCATGAAAGACGTGTCTGTAACGAAGAGTAATAAATTAACCCTCTGGCGTTAACTTGTTTGGAAATACTTTTAATTACCACATGAGAAAATTGTCAATAAGAAAACCAAAACGACTGTGATGAACTTTAACCACATTTTCAACCTATATAAAAAGCTATATTCAGAGATTGCTCTTCTTTCATAAAATCGATGTTATTTTTCTTTTCAGTAGCAAAACTCAACTACCAGTGGAATACTTCAAATGTTCGAATATAGATGGCGTAAGTATATCGTATGAAATTTCCTCACAGAAACTTTTTTTCTTCACTTCACTTTTCCATTTACTAACAAAATTCTTTTAAAGAGAACTTCTTGGGCGAAGCTACAATTGCAACCTATTTTCATTCTTTCTGAAATGGAAAAAGAATGAAATGAATGTTTCAGCAGAGCTCTTCCTGGAAAACAAATAATGTCATTACACTGGATGGAAAATAAAGCGACAGAGCGACGAGAAAGAGAATCCGATAGAAGAAAAAGGATGAAAACATAATCCCAACCATTTATATAATGTGTAAAATCACATTACAAATGCATATAAATAAAAAACTGTTAGTGAGAATCCTTTAGGGGCGGAAAATCGACAGACTGACAGAACAATGTAGACTTTTTAATGAAACTACTAATCTTTTTTTTTATTTTTTGTCTAACATTTTAATTTTGCTCTTTTAAATCGAACCAACACATTACATATTCTTTAGTTATATATTTTTGTTATTTTTTTTTCTTTCTGTGAAATAATTTTTTCTTCATTACTTATTCTCCATTTGTTGTGTTAATTTTTTCCCTTCCTTTTATTTTTCTTTAAAAGTAGTCTTTTTCTATATATAATTTTTCCTTTCTTTTCATCTTTAATAATAATTTCGGTATGTGTGGATTTGCGCTCTCATAAATCATTCCGAGTGGCTTCAACATTTCATTTATGACTCTCCATTTAATTAACATATTTTCTTACCATCCGTCCATTTCCTAAGAATTTTTTTTGTTAGTGTTTCTCTCGAGCAGTTTGAATTTCTTTTCCTAGGTTTTTTTATTTAATTATTTCCGCTATCTGCCCTTTCAATAATTTTCATTAAAGTTTTTGTTCTTAATGTTAGTTATTTTTTTCTTGCTTAACTCATTCACACCTTAAGTAAATTACAATAGTTGATTAAATTTTTAATGAGATTTGAATAACTTTTTCTTATGTTTGTTTTGTCATCGCTATGTGTACTGCATGTTTAATTTTTTTCTTTTTTTTTGCAAAATTCTATTGGCAAACTGTTGTTCATCTTCACTATAAAAACGGTGGAAATTAAAATTGTTTTCTCTCGAAAATAAACAACGAAAATTGAATTCTCATGACTAAAAGTGAACGCTCATTTAATCAATCGAATTAGTTTCTATTTTCTTTTCTATTTCGTAACTTTAATGTTTTTTATTTATTATTTTCAATTAACAGTTTTACATTCATACAGATTGTGTTTTGTTTTTCATCATTATTTTAAATCTTCCTTAGCATTTTAAGTCAATGTGTATGTGGGAGGGTAGGGATGATGTTTCATTTGTTTTCAAAATTAATATTTCAATGTATCGCAAAATCGATTTGGCTCCATTAGCTCTTCATGTTGGTAAATGACGTAGATCCAGGGTTCAGATCAAACGCAATCCTTGACAGGAGCCCTCGGGTAAAATATTGACGTTGCTTCTGTTGATAACGTCATCGTTGCCAGAACAAAAAAAATGCATTTCATTTAACTAACTTTTAATGGAGCGAACATTGAATGCTGACATTGTCTTATCACTTCGTGGGTGACCAATTGTCAGTGTTATGATTCACTTTCTTTACGAATTTTTATCAATTCATTATAATTTTTTATGGATTTCTTTTTGTTTTTCATAAGTTCAATTTTATTATTTCATTTGACAAATTTTGACTTCATTTTCTTTACCATCTTCATGTAAAATATTTTCAAAAAAAAATTTAGAAAAATATACAAATTCTTTAAGAATTGCTCCTTCAAGATAATATTAAAAAAAAGATATCATCTTTCCGCGGCTGCCTTGTTTGTTTCAGCTTCATTTTATCCGCATCGTTTCGTTGGTAATAGCATTTTTTGTTGTGCTTGTTTTATTCGGATTGGCATTGCAAAAAGTTGGTTTCAACTCTTTTTATTTTCTCCATTCAGAAAAGATTTTATTTTATTTTTTTTTCTCTCATTACGTGGGTGGTTTTTAAAATACTTTTTAAGTTTCCCAAGAGAATGACATTTTTCATTGTTTTGGGTTTTCTTTACATATTTTTTTAAAACGACCACATCGTTTAAGGACCTCGCGACTATCAATGAACAAAGCATTTTTTATGGCGAAACAAGAACTCGTCTTAGAAGTTTTCATAGCATTTTGTCGAACTACTTTCCAATTTTTCTCTAATTTTGTTGTGTTGTTAGAGGACGAAAAATTCCTTCATATTCTCATTTATTACTCATATAACATTCAATGTTTAACTTTATTTTAATTTTTTTTCTTCTTCTTATGTTAATCAAATTTAATTTATTAACACTTACGGATACAACAACATGTAACAAATTTTTATTTTTCTTTTTTTTATATTTTTTTTCTCATCATTATTTATTTTTTATTATTTTATTTTACTTTTTTCTATGTTCAGTATTTGGCTTTTTTTGTCTTAATAAAAATAAAATTGAATGCTTTTTATTAATCCTGTTACTTAGTGGCTTTGTTGTTTAAACTTAGAATCTTTTTTTTTTGTTTCAGCCGCTTTTGTTACAATTTAATGGAAGTAAAGATTAGGGGAAAAAAAATAAGAAGGTCGACTTGGGTTTAGGACTGGTAGAGAAATTAGAGAAGATAGGTCAGTAAAGTATGTAGACGTACAGTAAACAATAACTTACACTTAGAGTAGACAGCAGAGAGGAGAATTTATTTTGTGCAGTTTCATGTTGAGGGAAAATTCATCTCCAACTCTGTTATTAGTTAGCTTGGATTTTTTTTCTTTGTTTTTATGAGAAAACATTAGAGCAAAAAGCATATCATGTTTGATATTAGAAAAAAATCTTCATGTGAATTGTTTTCTCTTATTTTTCCCCATCGTTTAACACTTAGAGACACAATTAATTCGTTTTGTTAATGTTTTTCACTTAACTTCAAGAAAATATTTACGCGATTCGAATTATTTCAATTTGTTTCATTTTGTTTTCGTCTTTATCTTCAATAAACGATTTTGGACCGCGCACGTTTATTTTCTTTTATTAAGTTTTCTATTTTGAAAATTACAATTCATTTATTTTATTTTTTATTTTCTTCAAAAACGAATTTCTAGCCTTTACCCAGTAACATTTCCTATTTAAGTGATGCCTCATTCATTAAAAACTATGTTGTTAAATCTAGTTCTTTTAATAATGCTAAGGATATTTTTTTTGTTTTAGATTTCTCATTTTTTTATTCAAAAGAGTTTTCTTTATTACTGATTAAATATTACTATGTGCGTTATATTTGCCACTCTTTCCGAAGAAGAACTTCGTCATATTTCCTTTCATTGCGTGCCGAAAATGCGAAGAAAATTCTTTTTCTTTTGGTTTTAATTTCTTTTTCTCTTCGTCATTGGCAACATCTCAATTTTCCCTGCGATGTGTCATGTGATGAAAAATTGAACTCAACAAAGAAAGGAAGAAAAAGTTTTTTTTTCTCGTATTTTTATGTGCTTTGCTTCAAAGATTGATGAGGAAAAGTAAATTTTCATGAAAGTTCTTCGTCGAAATCGACTGAGTGCTGTAATGTTTTCTTAGCCACTTTAACATTTTATAATTCTATTAATTAGAATCTGAACATCTCTGTTCCTTTTGATTTACATCGTCAAAGAGTTTCATGTGCATTTTAATAAATTTCGTAGATGAATCTGAAATATGTGTGGAAATATGCGGGGGAGAAAGGAAAAGAAAAATAAATTGAAAATATGGTCTTCTCATTAGTCAAAAAGTTTTTCTTTTGCTTGGTGTTATCTCAAACAATTTTCATGTTTACTTCATTTAATTTTCATCTGACGAAAGCATGTTGTTGGTGTTAAAAATTGTAAACTACAGAAGTTTAGAAATGAGAAAAAAGTGCTTACAAGAGTATAACGAAAAGCGTAAATGAAATGATTTCGTTTCAATTGCTTTTCATGCAGTGAAATATTTTACAAACGACATGTTTGGAAATCATTAAAAATATTCTCTCATGTGTCAACTATTATCCAGGCAACTATTCTTGTTAACTATTTTAACACACATTATAATATATGTTTATATGTATATATGCTCATGTTTTGCTTCATCATTATGATACAAAAATTACAACAATCATTGTCATCATACACTTATTCAAATAAGAGAGTTCAACCGCTACATATACATCGTAATAATACTTTTTTCTGTTTAATTTCATCCGACGTCAATGTTTTGTGTTATTTAATTTGGTTTTCATCTTTCAAATTTAAATTTATAGAAATATTGCGTTTTGGTTCATGACTCTATTAAGGCCTAATTTATAATGAATTTTTCTTTTCTTATCATTCGAGATCCTCTTTGAATTTAAAATAGTTACTAACAACAAAAGGACAATCAAATGAATTTGGGACAGTCGGTAATTCAATTTGTTTCTTTTCTAACAATCTTAAAATATCTACTTCATTTTATTGATGAAGTACGTAAAATATTCTTTGTTAAAAGAGCGCAATCTCAAAATGTTTTAAGCATTAATCTCTCACGAGTATGCAAATATCGAAGTAAACTCTAAAAATTGTCAAAACATGTAATTAAACTTTTTAAAAACAGTTCTTCGGACGAAATCATTTTTTTATCTCTTTATGTTAAAAAACATTATTTTCAATTTCGGCTAACAAATATTAACTTCGAGTATCTTAAAATGCACATCAAACCTTTTTTCTTCTCGTTTTCTTTCTTTTTATTTGTTAGTGTATTATTCTACTAAGTTTCCTTTTGAACTGTCAAAAGTTGTAAGTATCATTCTTTGAACGGGAAGGAAAACAAAGATGAATCAGTTTACGTAATTATTCTCATTGTTAGGTTTGAAAAAATGGACCAAAAAGAAAGCTTGGAAATTATTTCTCGAACGGAGTTTCAAGGTTTCTTTTCCTTTTTAACTTTCAAATTAATGAGCGGAACTTGGGTTTGGTGGCGAGAAAAGTTTTCTCTTTCTGTTGACTGTTAGTTAATTCATACTTTACTTATTTTCCATTTGATTTGAATAACTCATGCCTTTTGAAAACTTTTCTGAGTGTTGGTTAAATTTAAGTGTTGTTATTTTACGCGTTTCATAATATGTAAAATTTATTTTCAATTTTCATTCGCTTCTTATGTATCACTCTAGATAAATTCTTTGCGTTTTTATTACCCAAACAAATGCATGATTACAATTAATTATTATTCTTGGCTTTCCTGTCAAGTTATCTAGCAAAATGACTTAAGCAATGGATTTTCTTTTGCATCCACAAACTAAAAGATAATCAATTGAATTACAATTCCAATTATTATCTAAATAATCAAAAAATATTTGAGAAATTTCCTCTTCACATTTTTACAAATCAACATAATTTAATAAGTACCAAGAAGCTTTAGAAGTTTTCTTAATTCAAATTTTCTTTTGTATTGATTTTATTTTTTAATTTATCTAAACTTTGTTCCTTAATGAAATGTCATCTGTCGTGAATAACAATTTGATTTTTCTGTTTTAGCTCCTAGTTCACTTTAGATACAAATTTTCTACATTTTTTGTCCTACAAACATGAATGCTAGCAAATTTTTATCTAATCCTTTGTTCATTATCTTAAAAATGTGGTTCGTGTTAGATAGGAGAAATTCCAAATCAATAACCTAATTAGCTTCTGATAGTGAGATTTTCACTTTCTACTGCTTGTTTTTTTTTTCAATCAATAATTAATTTGTATCTAGTCACGTGAATAAATCATCTGAAGTTTTCAGTTTTCTTAAACAATGTTCTGTTTGATTTGTTGGATTACTCGTATTGTTCTTGTATATTTTTTTCTTCTATAAATGGCAGTTCATTGGATTGAAACTTTGCTCAACTCTCCCTCGTTTTTTTCCTTCCTTTTGCGTCTATCTGAACTTTCTCGAGTGTCATTTTGATTTGGATGGTCTTTTGATGTAGATTATTATTGATAGAACAACAGAAGTTCATTCGATGACTTTTCATAATTGGAATGGAAGCTGAAATCGCATAATATTGCAGTTTTCACGATTTTTTTGGGTCAATTACAAAAATCATTGACCCATTTTCTCCGTTTGCTCTGTTTTCATAGCTAGCGAAAAGCACAAAAAATAAAATAGGAAAGCTCATGAAATGGAAATAAATTTTCATCAATGGAAAAAGCGCTAATATTTTAATCTCTATCTTAAATAATTATTAAATTGAACTACATTTCGCAGAAATGTGATATTCTCTCGTCATCATCTTTAAGCTTTTACGCAAGGCTTCACATAGAAGAAATTGTGTTAATAAAGACGAAAATCCCAAAAGCAAACTTCACCATATTATAAAAAAATACTTTACAAACTTAAGAATAGTTCGAACTATAATGAGTGTCCTTTATGCTTCACATATCTTTCGATATAAAAGTCGGCTGAGAAAATATGAGAAAAACTTTTGCAGTTTTTTTCTGAGTGGGCTGACGTTTACTGATATTACAATTTTCTTCTTTGATATTCTATACAAAATCTCTTTTAGATTCGACTTTTCTTCGCCATTCAAAAAAATAAGAAAGAAATGAAATGTGAAAAACTTTTTCTTCGAACTTTTGCCAGCTTTCTTTTCGTCTTATGTTCAAGCGTCGTAATAAATCTATATCGTTGGCAATTTGGAAAGGTGACATAAGAATTCCTTGTTTTTTCCCAAAAAAAATATGAAAGTATTTGTCAATAATCAAAACCGTTTTTCAATGCATTCTTATTTGCATTTATGTATGTCACAAGTCAGCTAAATATTCTTTTTTTTGAACATGAATAGTTCCGACAAAAACAAATAATTTTAAGATATTTTCTCGTTTAACAATGTTACAACCCAAAGCAAATTTCTCAGGATGATTAAGCTCTTACATAACGCGACATTCTTGAGACAGCAAAAGGAAAAAAGAAAACTTCCATTGATTCCATTAATCATACGACTTTTCACTCACATTTTCAACGAGACATTTATTCATGATATATTTTCTCTCCTCCCTAATGCTTTTCATTGCCTTCGAAACCTCTAATTTAATAATAGGTCTCGTCTTCTTATTCCACCGACTGTTTTCAAAAGCGTTAACTAAAATGTTAATTTGAAAGCTCTCATCTTCATTTCCCTTCCTTTTACGCGCTTTTAACTTCGCGTATCGTGTAGGTGTATACGATTTTTCTTTAGAAATAAAGGGATAAGAAAAATATTATTTTCATTCTTGCTGGCATAAGTTATCAGCCGTGGATTCACACACATTTTGTTATGCTTCCGTTCTTCATTTCTCTTTTTTTCATTTCATTCAGGACGTTATATAATTTTTTTTTCTTTTCATAATTTTTCCTTTATTCGTGAGAAGAGGAAAATTTTCCTTTAGCTTATTTAGTGTTTGTATGTATGATGATTGTAAATGTATGTGTGTGAGTGAGTTTTCGTTCTATTCCAATGATTTTTCCCAATCTTTCGTGGGTGGCGGTGAAAAGCTTTTATCAAAGAAGTGGTTTTTTAAGTTTTCTTTTCTTTTCTTATTTTTTATTTGAAATTTATGATTATCGAAATTGGATTTCATATTTATGAAACTAAAATCATGGAATCATGAAGTCTTTGAATCAATGGACGAAATTTCCAGTCCCTAAATTTTATTTATTCTCATTGAAAATACTGCAAAAACGGAGAGTTGAGTTGAAAATATACGAGGGAGAGCGAATTGATGTCCAATGGTGATGGTTGTTAAATAAACTGACTTCAATCCAACAAATTTATTTTCCTTCACTAATGTTTAGTAAACGGTTAATTAACAGCAATTGTTGTATAAATTGACGGACTAATTATCTTCGAGAGAAAAAAGAAAATCAAATCAAATTTTTCTTAATTTTCCACATCATTATCAGCAAATGAATTTCTGCTTTTCATTTAACTTTTCTTTCTTTTTATAATTTTAGTTATTCTAAAATTTTTAATTTCACTTTTATTTTTATTATTATTATTAATATTATTTATTTATTTATTTTCGTGAGTTGTTATTTTGCACTGGTAAAAACTTAACTATGAACATTTTTTTATAAGATTCACCTAAATTTTTTGAAATGTTTTTTTTTTTTGCTTTCCTTCATTCTTCTGTGCTTCATTTTCCACACCGCAATTTGCATAAAATTGTTGTTCATCAAAATTTTCTTTTCTTTTTTTTCATCATTTAATTTTCATCATGTTTTCACTCAAAGTTTTTCGTGACTTTGATTTAATTATTTTCAAATCTTTTATATTATTTTTCATGTTTCTGTTCACACAAAATAACTCATTCACTTGTCGTGTACTTTTTCTTTCATTTTTTTTTCGGGGTTTTATAGCATTTTTGTGTGCGTGCGTGACTGTGATCACATCACAGCTCAACGTTGTCCGATGACGCGATTCATCCTTTCAAGTGCCTCAATTCATTGATAAAGTGTAAGTACTTTCTGTTTGAAATATTTCTTATGTTTTTTTTGCGCGCGCGCTTTTCATCGAGTATCTCCAGACTATGTTATTATCAATTCGTGAACGAGAAAGAGAGAAGAGTTTTCGTGCTTTATGATAGCAACTCTTAGGCGTTTCTTTCTCGACGGATAGAAGTTGACATTTAAAACTATAACCCGGTTGCAAGTTGGAGCAAAATTGTTCTCAATGCGTTGAACGATATCAAATTCCATACAATAATTATCCAATGGCTGGTCAGCGTTGTGACAATAGAATCGAGTGGAAAATAGAGATGGAGATAGGTGTTAAAGGAAGTTATTAGATGTTGCATTAAGATTGATAATAATGACGTAACTGATGATGACGATCGAGTATTAATAGACGATGCACTTGAGGCAGCTTTTGCTTGTGATATTGAACATTGCTGCGTTGATACGATGATATTAGGGAGGGCCGGGCATGTCATAGTGCTTTCGGCGGGCGAGTGACTGTAATCGTTGAGAACATACGTTCCATTGTCAAGCTTGACGAATAAGTTTGGCGTTTGATTGATTTTCAGCTGAGTGCGATTTGTTGTTGAATTATTTATATCGATGGCAGTTTGATTACTGGTGAAGATCGTTTCACATGAGCTGCTGCAAAGTCCTTCATCATATTTGCAATAATCATAGCAACATTGTGTTGGACCGTGATTCGACTTGAAAAGCTGATTTCCTGTCTCATCAATGTTGGGATCTAAAAGAGAGAAATGAATTTCAAAAAACAAAATGAAAATCAATTAGAAATTCAGTCGTTTTTAGGTCAAAACTGGTTTCTGTGTGTGAGTTGTTGTGTGTGCTTTGTTCAATCAACAGATCATTAAATAGAATGTAAAATCTTTCTTCATGACTCTCATTATATTTATTAAACGAGAAAAAAATGTTTAATTATTATAATTTTCATGCCTGAGAAAAGTTTTCTTTATTCGAAAGATGGTAAAAGTTTTTTTTTCTCAACTTGATATCAGAGTTGCGTCGAAAGCACGTTCATCAAATTTTACTTACAAACTTACTTAAAATGTAAAGTATTTGAAAGTAAAACCAAGTACAACTCATCAAGTTTTACTTACAAACTTATGTAAAATGTAAAATTGTAAGTAAGTCCGAACACAACTTTGCTTGATGTAGATATTCATGAAGTTCTCAAATAACAACAAAAAATTTTTTTTCAAGGAAATCTTTGATTATTTAAATGTTGATTTTGGAAGTTTAAAATTTTCATTGTCTCAGCATAATTTTTAGAAAAACAAGCAAAGGATTCATTCAATCTTACCGAGACACAGAAAAGTTGGTTCGCCAGCATATTGCGTTGGATAAGCTGGTGCACGGTCGGCGGGCAGCATGTATGGACATTTCTGTTCTACAGTTTGACACACACTTAAACACGGCCGTATTCGAATACGCTTCTGTTCGAGACGAACTTTTCTACGTGATCTAAAACAAAAGGAAAAATTATTTTTTATGATGACAAAGCAAAGGAAGGAAAATTTCGCTGACGCGATTTTATGTTTTCAAACTCACCGTTTTATTTCATTTGAACCTTCTAAACTGTGTGTTTGCTTAAACATTTTTTGTGCTTTATTATCGATATTGTTCATTAAATTCGAGTTCGATAGTGCAGCATCTGTTTCGGCAAGAGTGACCGGCTCAGGATCCGATTTAATGTCATTGCGTGTGGCAAAGTATGGTACAAATGTACTGCAAACCCATCGGCGATACATTTCCTGCAAACGACAGTAAAAAACAGAAAAAGAAACATAAATGAATGAATGAAATGAAATGAAATCACCATCAATTAATAAAAATCAATTATGTTTGGCTATTGAACCGGAAAACAATAAATTAAAAAGACGCCCCTGAACTCCACCCACGCTTATATTTTTTTATTATTTCTCTCACTCGTTTTCCTTCTCTTAGTAAATAATTGGCAACTAATTTGCAATGCTTTTGGAAGTTAGCTTGCTAAAGAATAAGAAAGATTGAAGAAGTAAATTTGTTTCTTTCCAGAGATTTTCCAACTTAATGGAATCGTAACACACTTAAATAGATGAGAAATAGTTTCGTTTACTTCAGAGAATTCATTCATCATTTGTCTAATTAAGTAGTCAACGAATTAATCGAAACATTGAGAGAAATGAGTTTCAGCTTTTAATTTTCTGCACTTCTAAAACTTATTTATACTTCAAGTGGAAAATTGTGCTAGGGTTTTAAGGGAAAATCAAAATCTTCATTATCTGACATGATTTAAAAAAATTCTTAGAAGGTGAAAGGATAAGACGGTACAGATTATTCGCCTTCTTGTCTGTTCAAAGCAGCGTCAAGAAGGACGAAATGAACGTGGATGTTGAGCAGTCTTTAATGACAAAGCCATTTAACGACCTTGCTTCAGTAAATTTCGGTCATATTGCTCAATTAATTTCTAGCCCTTCCATCCCTCCTTTTACCCATTCCTATAAGGTATTAAAACCTTCATACAATTTTAATTGCTTTATGCGATGATATAAATTTTCCATAAACTCATAAAACAAAGGAGATTTAATTACAGCTTAATTTTCCATCCATTCCCTTTTTAGTTTCCTCTCCTTCTACTTTAACTCAACATATGCCATATCTTCATGTGTCGATCATACCGACATATAGCCATCGTAAGGTGGTAATTTAGGGTTGTCTATCAACGGATATAATATGTTGGTTCCGTTTGCTTTGCCTTTTTTTTTCTCTCTTCGACATTTCCAGCTTAACACATTTTTCTGTTCCTTTCTCGTGTCATCCGATGGGATAATAAAAATAAAAATCCAGCAGATACTAACAATAATCGATTTCACATCACATATTATCGGATGGCAATGAGAGGGATCGACAAATAACGTCAAGTGTACGAGAAACTTGTAAGTTTCCGAAAACATTGAGTGAAGGAACGATTCTTGAACTCTAAGAGAGAAAAAGAATTTCTGTTATTTCATTCTCTTTAATGAAATCAAAAGTAAGTGAACAACTTCAAAAACAAAAGTTGTCAATAGTAGGTTTTAGAGTTCTGGTGTTAAGTCACGTGGAAAAGCTTTGAGTACTTGTCAACGTGATTCTCCTTCTCAAGCCACTTACATAATATTCAATTTGAATAAATGCTTAAAAAATATTCAGCTTTAATTTGCTATACCTTTGGTATCAATAAACTTTACAATTTCACAAGTTAAAGTTTTGATAAGAAAAAAGCTTTGGGTAAACTTTTTCTTATTTATTTAAACCTCCAGAAAGGTTAAGTTTCGATTGAAAAAAGAAATCAATTTATCGCTTGAGATATTAAAGAAATTTTATTACATAATGAATTTCTTTTGAAGTTTACCAAATTTTGTCACTCATTTTTTATTCCGGAAATTACTCCATGAATATTCAAATAACATTCGATACTTGAATTCTCATGCTGTGAAACTTAATGAAAAATGTATGTAGATAGATGTTTTTCGTTCCAAAAAATAAGCCATTTCAGAGGTTTGCATGGTATTTTATTGAAAAATAAAATCATTGGTAGATATCGGCTCAGTTTTAGATTACAATTCTGTTAACCCAGCTGCAGATGAAGAAAGAAATTTTCATATTGAATGGTGCGATTGAATTCAATCTGATGTCGAAACAAGATTGATAAAAATGAGAAAGAAATATTTATTTAATACATAACAGCATACAAGATATCTTCTCTTCAGGCACTTTCGCATACCATTTTCAATAAACATTCATACATAGAATTTTGGAATCTGTAACATGTTATTTGTATCTTAAGAGGAAAATGTTTTAAAGACTTGCTAAATTGACATTCCTTGAGTCATTTTCTTAACATGAAAACTTTCAAACTTTTCTTAAATTGCGGTATTCAACATTTCTTCTTTTTAACAATTTTAATTAATTCAAAGATTTCACAGTGGCTTTTAAGACGATATGAAAGTTAACTCAAGTTTATTACTCTGTGGAGCGATTCAACATGCAGTTAAAAACAATTAAACTTGTTTACTGTTCGTTTTGTAAATGGCATGTGAAAATGAGATATAATTTAATGGAGTTTTTCCTGCCTTATTATGCTTGTCACTTCAATTTGTGTGGGTGCCTAATCATTGCTATTCATCATCATTCATCAGATGATTTAAATAATTTCCTTTCGACGTAAAGCAAAAAAAAAAAAGAATTAGGAGAAAGAAGAAAAATGAGAATGAGCAGAGGAAAAAATTCTTTCGAAAAGGTCATCAGCGAATGTTCGTTCGAATGAAGGGAAAAAATTAGCGATTGAACTAGCATAGCGATCATTAAAAGCGTTGATGACGATGATGATGATAACAAATACTAAGCTCTCTTATTAATGCCATTCCCGTTGCCGACTCGTTCGTGTTCTCTTGTATTTGTGTTTCAATGATTTTTTCTATTTTCTTTTTCTCAAAAGACGATGGAATTTTCGTGCATGCGCCCAAGCCAAATAATGTGCAGAAAAATTACAGCAAAATCCACTTACAGAAAAATGTCCCTCACTACATATAAACACATAAACACACACACACGCAATTATGCTCATATGAAGAGAGAATTTCCAGGAAAGCATTTACATTCACCATCACGGCTTGTCAGATATTTTAGGGATTAAAGGAATACAAATAAAGTGACAAATTTCTACGAACAGAAAATTATGTTCACCTAGTTTCATCTCTCTCGTTGATTTCTGCATTGTCGACATGAAATGTGAAATTTTTTTTCTCGCAGAAAATTTTTCTCCACGTTTATATAACGTGAAGAAAAATATTTGCTATGAGCAATTTTCTTTCACTTCAAAATGGAAAATAAAATTAATCTTAAATTCTTCAAATCGTACGACTGTCTTTTCTTTACTCGTATACATTCTGAAAAGGCTCATTCATCATCGTTTATCTACGAGTAGGAGTACTTACGAGAATCGATATTTTAAACAACTTGATAAAAAATAACGCAAGTATTGAGTTTTTCCATAAAAGGTCATTGGAAGGATGGAAGGTCATACAAATCAAGAATTTCTCGACTGCTGATCGTTCCTCTGATCAGCTAAAAGTAAACTTTACGATGAATATTTAATTTATTCCATTTAACTTGATAATTAATTCAAGCATAATTTGCATGATCAAAAATATTTATCAATTTGTGGTTAATTGGATAATTTAAAAGCTTATTGACTTTTACGAAAGTCCCATCGTGTTGCTTCATTATCATATTATGAATTTTCAACATCATCAAACAATAAGTGGATTGATGTACATAAATAACGCTGACTTGCTGAAGGAATTAACTTTTAACCAGCATAATTTTAATGCAACAGATTTTTCATCAACATATGAAACTTTAAACGTTTAACCTTGAAAAAAAGAAAAAAAAGAAATCCCCTCAACACAATTCTGTTGCATAAATCCTTAAGGAGAGCTTTTCACATATTTTATGATGGAAGCAAGAGGAAACCTTTGCTTGATGAACTAAAAAGGAGTGCGAATAGACAGAGTAAAAAAGCAAAACATTTTAACCATTTTATTCTTGCTCAGTAGGATAATAAATATCATCACTTTCCATCATACACTTTATATCTTTTATGTCTATGGAAGGAGATTGAAAAGGGGAGATGAGCGACAAGGGATACAACAAGAGTACAAAAACAAACATTTTAAACGATAATTGAATTTTATGACAATAGGTGTTTTCAACATATTTTCATTATTTATTTAAGGTGTATAAATAAACAATGTTCTCAAAAGCAAATACTTATATTAGGTTGTGTCAGATGTTTTGACTGACAACAATAATAATTTTTTACTACATAAAATCAAACAAAGAGAAAAAGTAACCCAAATATTATTAAAATAAATAACAAACCCACGCAATTTTCATTGTTTGTTTAAAATGCTTACAAAAAAAAATAAAAATCATAATCAACCATATCAGCTTTTTAAGATACATAAAAAAGCTTTCTTGTTATCTGAAACATTTCTTGGTTCATTCTCCATTTGCTTTTCACAAGAAGCAAGCAATTATTTCTTTTTTTAAGCCATAAGTACAAACAAGAGAGTTGGGTACGAAGGCAGAGAGCTTGAATCCCAAACCATACTAACCAATTATTTTTAAATGACACACATATAGAGGCTTACAGTATAAGTATGAGAAAAAAGACGATATATAAGTGGATGCGAGCTTATGCTCAATGCTCCAAGGATGGTGGTGAAAAGTTTATGAACATTTGCGGGTGATGGGCAGAAAAAAAACGCTTGTGAAAAGAGTCCTACCTAGAAGTTTAATAAATAATTCAAACACTTCCCTGTCTGTTTATAGTGAGAGTTAATTTAAAAACCAAATGATTAAAAAGAATTTTAAAATAGCCAAACAGACACTTTTGAGTAATTTAATGTGTTGAACTTATTAAATTTTTGATTTTATGCTGCAGGAGTTGACTCAGTTTTCGTATCAATTCAAAGGTCTGTAGGATTGCAGCAAATAATTAGATTATATCAATTATGATGACATTCTTAACCTGCCAACAGATTTCATTAGAACATAAATAATTTAAACCCATCAATTAGTTCTGCAATTTAAAAGAAAGTTTATCTTGTTGACTATTCGTTTAACTTTCTCGTATGAATTCATTTTCTGTATCAAAATTTATTTTTCCTTCCTGGGAAAAACGGTTTCCGATAAAGTTTAAGTTGACCTACATAAAGCCGAAGCTTATGTAATGAAATTTCTCTTCATCCCTAGCATAAAGACAATTTTCAATGAAGTGAAAAATAATGTTTTAGAGAAATTTCAGGATGAAATCTCCAATTTATTTAATCGATCAAACATTTAAGTTAGTGACATTAACAATTCTAATCTTAACGTTCAATCAAGGTTTCCCAAGGGGAAGAATTTTGATATCACTAAATTCAAAAAGATTTGAAATCAATTGTCTTGATAAAAACTCGGATTTATGTTGGTAGATTACATTTATTTATATCTAAATATAATTCAATATTGTTGTATTTTCTATTGGGTTAGATTGAATGATAACTTTTAAACAGAAACTTTATCTTGTTCTTGACATTTGATTCAAATTTTATTAGCATAGATATTCACTCACGTATTTATCAAAATAAACAAAACTAAGTTTGACAGGTGGGTACGGAGAAAGTCTATTAAACGACAAAAAAGGAACTTGAAAATTATTGAGAGATTGAAATAATGACTTCCCATGAGAATGGAACGTATATGAAAAAGGAAACTTGTGACAAAGAAGAAAGTGCGTGGGTGACGAAAGAAATTTGTCTTGTCATAGAGAGGAAAGTAAATTTATAAAAGTTTAAAACCCTTATGGGAATGAATACTCACTTTACAGTCACCACAGTGATGAATTAACGAATAGCGTTGACCACAATCGTATCTAACTAAAATTTCCATAAATTCACACGTGATACGTGCTGCAAGGGAATCCGCTTCCATCAGATCGTTGAGTCGTTTTACGCAGCCAGCACCACCGTTAAGCACATCAAAATACGCCTCATTGTGCAATGCACTTAAAACATCACGCTCACAGCAATGTCTTAAACGTATTGATTTCAATTTGGTCTCAATATCACTTGATGATTTTTTACAGATTTGTGATGGACTATATTCATCATTATCGCCCAAGTAGTCAAGGCACTGTCGATTTTCATATAACCGGTTCTCCATATTTATACCATTATAATTTTTATTATTATTTGATTTACTACTAAAATTATTATTGTTATTATTTAGTTTATTATTAGTACTTTTATTATCTTTATTAGTTTTTAATGTATTTTGATTAGAACGGTCATTTACATGATATTTGTGTTGACATGAATGTGGGCACTGCGGCGGTCCTGGGCCTTCATTTATCCAGGCCACTGGCAGTGTACCAGCTAAACATGAACCCTATGAATGAAAAAAGAAGAAAGAAAAATGTTAATTTTCCAATTTCAATTTTTTACTCTGTTCACAAAATGCTTTCATCTCTCGACACAAAAGAATCATCATCACGGAACAGACGTTTTAATGTATCATGATGTCTAATGTGAATGAATTGAAATTTGCGAGGAATGTAAACAAATATCTTTACAATCTTTTTTCTTCAACGAGGATACAATTTTTGTAATTGATTGGAAGCAGAACTCTTAGTCAGTTCCGCATTGTAAGATTTATTGCATGGCTTTCAATTGACAGAAAATTCAAATATGAAATGTTGAACAGTTGAACAATAAATTTTCCACTCAATCAAACTCCAGAAAAGTCACATTTCAAAATTATAACATTTGCAAGCCTATTCAGAGTCAATGAAAGCTGCTTGCATGCAACACTATCGATAATGATTGAAGAAATGTAAATATCCGTGCATATATCTAAGTGAGTACATATGTTTGTATATAAACACTTTCAAGAACACGATGAATGTGAAAAATTGTTTACAATGATCTCATGTAACCGGAATACTTAGGGACAAATTATTCAAGTATACAAAAGCTTTAGCTTTGTGTTTGCAATACTTATCGATCTCAGTTGCTTTGGCATTCTATTACACAAACCAGCAACCACACATATGCTTTCGTTTATTCTTTCTTTTTATTTTTTTTATTCTTCTTCTTTCTCGCTTTTATTCATTCTGACAATGCTCAAAAACTCGGAAGTATCGTCGAGTGAATGACGGAAAAACCCTAAATTTATAAATTTCCCATCATTTTGTTAAACGTTTTTTTCCCCTCATCAAGTTGAAGTGCAACATTATCTGATATTGTTCCCGTTGTAACCTCGGTAATGCTCAGTGCGAGTTCATTTTTAGGGCTTCACCTTTTCATTTGGCCCCACTTCATCACATTTCTCTCGACATCGCATCAAGCATCATTTATTGACCTCAAAAGCTTTAGACATTACCACATTAAATGATACATAAAAGCGTGTAAGGTCAGCTAACCGATGAAGATTGAGAGATCTCGATGATAGATTGCTTAACTGGATTTCATATAAACAAATTGCTACTGTTTTTATTTCTCAGCTTCTGTGCCATCATGGAATGTGTGTGTGGTGTTCGATTATAAATTTAACCAGAACAATCAACCTTAGGAATTCATAGAACTTTAAGCAAAGATTATATCTTCTTAAAATATTTCTTAACGAGTGATAATTTAGCGGTTTGTGTATGGTATCGTAGAAAATAAATCAAAGCAGTAGAGTTTACTTTGGCTTTAGATTTAAGCATTACTCGTATTTCATCATTATGACGATATTAAGCATAGGATGTTGATATCAACAAAAAAAACCTTTTCACAGTAAATGAATACTTGCTGGTAAATGTGTGCTGCTTTGTTCTCAAAACAAATGAAATTATTTTCAGCATAAACCTTCCTTCCAAACAATATTGAAAATTTTCTCATCGTTTCACATCAACTTTGAATCGAGTGAGTGAGGAAAAGAGAAAGAAAAGCAGAACTTGATTCATTAAATGAACGGAAAGAAATTACGGATGAAAAATTACATTAATAAATTATGAATTTCAGCATTTTGCCTTCACATCGCTGTACAGCTCGACTGGAATTTTCGCTTCGAAATTTTCCTCGTAACCCAACAGATTTTCGCTTTTCGCTTTTGAACATGGTGAATAAATAAACAAAACACTACGACTGCATTATGGCTGAGCAACAAAAGTGGTTTGTGATCCATTTTCCTGTATCGATGAAATATTAAGTCGTGAAAAAGTTCAAAAAATGGAAATAAAGATTAAGCATACAAACGTGATTGCTGTGAAGAAGTTTACTCTCTATTTCAGTTTTAAAAAGCAAATAATAATTTTATGAGTTTCATCTTACAGATATCTGAAAGTTTTTCAATCAAAAACTTTTAGAAATTGATGTATGATTGATAAACATTAAAATAAATATTAATATCGGAAAAACAAATCGTAGGTCGACGATTCCCATAAATTTGAATGTTTATGTTATATAAGCATACTTTTAGTTTAAGTATTATCAAAATCACGAAATGGAGATTCTTTTGACACGTTTTTAATGAAAATAAAAACTTTTTATTATGTTTTTATTGATAGGTAAAAAGAAAACCCTTAAATTAAACCAGAACATTAAAAGGACAATTAATTTTTATGAATTAAAATTGAATCATAAAAGAAATGAACGCTTCAGGCATGGAAGTGTTCAACTTTTCATGATCCTAATTGCTTTAAAATTTAGGTATAAAATTGATCACAACTGAGATTATAAACAGATACACATCGTGAAAGTGGAAAATTACATTAAATTGTTAAAATGATATTATTTTTTTCATTTCAACAAACTCAATATTGGATCTCCATAATCAATGAATCCTTTTAATTAATGAACGACACATATCACTGGGAATAAGCTAACAATGTTTTTAATTTTAAATTCATTAAGCTTGTTAAAAAAGATTAATATTATTAGTTTAAAAACGTTTTCAATGTTGGAGCTAAATCAATTTTCATTCTGCGCATTTAGTGACACTTTTGTTGTTGCTTCATTTCGTTAATTTAAAGTTCGATTCAAGACAAAATGTGAATATGCAATTCTGATTATGAAACGAAAATTTATGAGAAAATCTTTCAAAGTTCCATTTAACTGTCAAAAGATTAAAATGTATCAAATGTTTATAAACATATCTAGTGTGACAATGGTATGACAACGACATGTGTTCTGATTCAAATCCAAAATTAAGTCAGCATGATACATTGCATAAGCCACCTAAAATTATTTCACATACCAAGCAAAAAATATTTACATTAAATATTTTAGCAGAACGTCACATATTTTATTTAACATATTTGCAATGTAACTGAAGAAATTATTTTTAATGAACTTCCTGATATTAAAAAGAGAAGATTTTGTCGTAAAAAGATCGCAGAGAAATTTTTAAAGCGAGCAAACACAGACTGCAAAAACAAAATTTATCTGTTTTTCTTCAATCATCTTCTTCACCCTCAAACTCGACAATCACTTTTCATCGATCATAATTTCTATTGAGATTTCTTCCGATATGATAAAGTTTTCTTTTTCTTTTCCATTCATTTACAATATTTTTCCTCCTTGTTGTTGTTTGCAAAATCTTTTTTCTTACTCTATAAAATTTTTCTTGTATGTTTTCTCCAACCTTTCAATATTTTCATTCATCTAATATTGATGCTTTATGGAAAGGAAAAAAAGTTATTTCATTTTATTTTGCGGAGAGACGAAACTCTAAAGTTTTAATGAAAAATATTAAGAGAAGTAGAGAAGAAGAAAATTGATTTTTCATTTATTTTATGACTTTTTTTATTTCTCTCCACACTTACATCTAATATCCACTTGAAAATCACGGAAATATTTAAAACGTTACGTTAGACTTTTAAAAATAAATTTATAGGAATAATTTCAATCGTAATGCGAGCGGAATTTTTCTTCAAAATTCATGCAGCTCCAAACAAATGATGAATATATCTTTCTTTCTTTTACTTATGTATATATCTAATCAGATACAATGTCATCAAATTACGTAAACAAATTCAGAACAAATTCTTCTAATCATAAGTATGAAAAGTCTTCACCTTATGATTAGAAGAATTTGTTTATGCAATTTGATAACATTCATAGAAAAGTTAGCTTGAGGTAGCTGAATCATAAAGAGAGAACACATATCGGCAATTAATGTTTATGGAACAGAAATTCTGCACCGGAAATAAGTTAAAAATATTCCCAATCATTCGCTGTTGAATTATTAAAAAATTGAAAATCAAAGATGAAGCTAAGCGATGATAGATGAGAACTCAGCTGGGAAAATAATTGAAACCATTTCGACCTTTTCTTTAAATGAAAAATATTTTACTTTTTTCTTTGTATGTATCATGAACAAGTTCTTGAGATTAAAGAATGTCGAGTGCTGGCATCTGTCAAATTTCCACAAATAATGCTTCAGGAAATCATTGATCACTTTAATGCTTAAGGTTAACATGTAATTTATTAAATGAATGAGTGAAGGAAATCAAGTGAAAAGTTCTTTGTTTTATTACAAATTAATAAATTTTGCTGATGCTCGATTCAAACTATTAAATAATTAAAAAGTTTTGAAATTGTTATTCAACCTCTGAAGTTTAAAAGTTCATTGGTTTCGCCCTCAGGAAAGCAAATCGCGTTTGAAATTTTTTAAAGTTAATTAAAATGGCTACATAAACAATCATTAACAGCATGAAATAACATCACAGTTCTGTCAACAATCTAATTAAATAATTTAAGTTGTAGACATAAATTAATGCCTAAAGCCGCCAAAAACGGATTACTTTCAATTAGGTACTTAAACTCATGCAATTGCAATTGATAGTGCGCCTGTTCCACATTTCAAATCTTCCCTTCTCTTGCATTATTGCGGTTAATGTCACGTTCAACGTATCTGTTTCATCTGTCTAGGACTTATGAAACATTGTTGAGGCTTCTTCAAGATTTTCTTTATAATTTTAGATTGAAAAAAGATTCACATTTTGGCAAAATATTATTAAGTTGTACTATATTGATTTTACTCTCTTATTAAGCTTAACGTTACTTAGATAATCAGATACGAGCAAATGTTTACGTAAGAATTGACAAAAAGTCTACATTAGATAATCTCTAAATTTACTTTGCAAGGCTTCTCCGATATTTTTTATCCCGCGTTAAATCGAATTTGAAGCCTGATTTAGCTGTTTCAAACATTTCCTTGGTTTCCATAGCATTCGCTTTTGACAGATTATGGCTTACTTTATTTTCCAGTATAATCACTTTCCGACATTAAGAAATGGCGAATATATACTCGACCGACATCTACAATGAGTTACATAATTTATTGTTAGGTAATATAAACAGTCTAACTAGCTGTCGTAAGCCCGCGTGCACATGTAACAATTTGACAACGTGAGAAGGAGCATAAGTGATGCTTTTGAAGTCAATAAAAGGCAATCGGGATAGAAACTTAGACAGAAAAAAAGAAGATTTATTGCATCATAAAATGTGCCTCAATATGTCAATCAAAATGCCATGTAAAACATACACGACAAAGCGAAGTAAAAAGTTTCCAACGACCATGACATAAAGTCGATGTGAATTACGTTTTTCTTGAAGCTGAATTTTCAAAGAAGAAAGAAAAATGCTGACAAAGAGATAAATTTTTAATTAAAAAGTAAACACAACACATGCTTAATGTTTCTGTAATGAATTTTGTTTTTCATTCTCCAAATTATACGATGAGGTCATAGATAAGAATAGAAAGTTGGTTGACTAGAAATTGTTGAATTTGAATTTATGGAGCCTTCAAATTGCACTTTTTATTCATATTATATTTAATAAAGATTTCAAACTACTTTTATATAATAAAGCTCTCATGAATGATGTAAATGAACATTAATATCTCCAACTTGTAATCTAAAGTTTTCGGTGAATGTTTAAAGAAAAAAGTTTTTTATTTATACTTCAAGAGAAAATAAATTTTTCTCCTTCTACAACTTGTCTTATGTTTTTTTTACACCAGCAGACATTCTTAAGCAAGCTGTCAGAAAACTAGCATTTAATTTGTTTCTTATCCATTCTGCCACTTAAACATGGTGTTTAAAAAAGCTTCGCTTACTCATGACATTCTTAATCTTCTGAATTTAAGGTTGAAGGAAGAAAATTTTTTAGGAAAACATCTCTAAAATCAAGAAAAAGAAAAATCAGCAGAGTATGAATCAACGATGGAATTAAATTATTGGATTATGAAAATATTAACATCGTGACTTAATCGACGTTCCAAAACGCCTAACAAAGATGTGAATGAAAGTATTTGACACAATTTTCTTTCTTATCAAATCCCATCATACCCTTAACATCTTACACCATAAACATGATGCTGATGGAGTCTACGTACACTTATCATTCGCATCTTGCTTTGTTGCCGTACTTTTTTCCTTTAATTTTTCTTATCGCGATCTCGCATGGGAAGCGACGAGGAAATCGCGTAAGAAAAAAAATTTCGTTGCTTTTTTTGAAGCCTATAACAGAGATCAACTTTGTGTATATGATAAAATTCTCTAACAATCCATTACGCGGGTGGGAAAACAGAGACGTTAAAACATGCGAGGATGAGGGAATGAAGAAAGAAAAAAGGGTGTGAAGCGAAACTGTACGATAGCAAAGCTTCCAACATTGAATGACGAGTTAACTCAACACACAAATCATCATTAAAAATAACAATTTGCACGCGAACTTCACTCGCTTTTTCTGTAATATTTACGTTCTCACCTTGTTACATATGACAAATGATAATTTTTTTTTTCGCTCACACTATCAATGATTAGTGGCTTTCTTCCTTCTTTTCTAAACTCACATTTACACGCATGTGAACAGATACAAAACTCAACGAACATTTATGTAATAAAATAAAAAGCCCAAAGCGAAGTCGAACCAAAAACCAAGTCACAATATTAAATCACACCGAACTGACGACGAACGAATGATAATGGTCATCAAGGTCTTTTTGCCTTTCTTCTTCTTTTCTTTTCCATGGAATCAAAATTGGCGGATGAAACGAAGTGTAAGGAAAAAAATGTAATAAAAAGAAGGAGAAGCTTTTTTTTATTCGCTTTTCAATGTAAGGATTCGGTTTCTCGCGTGTTAGCTTATTTGCTTACCCAACGCCCAACTCATGACCCCAGGTAAGGTTTTTGTTACGTAACACTTGATGGAAGGGAATTATTTTTTTTTTGTTATGAAAAACCTTTGCCGGAGATGAATTTGTCATCATCATGAGGTTGTACAAGGAAAAGCGCTTCCAAAACGCTTTGCTGTCTCATTCATTTAGATTCCTTTCGGGGCATAAAATCCAATAAATTATTAAAGTTTCCTTTTTCATCTTCTTAACGTTATTGCTTTTTTTTTTTTGTATTAAGACTCGCATAGTTTTTTCACTGTTTTTTTTATTGTAACTCATCTGATATTCATTAATAGGAGCTATAAAATCAATAAGTTCAGAAATAAATGCTCGAGCTTCAATTTACAAATGTGTGGGAGGGGCAATGATGGTGTGCGAATAACGAATGACGACTGAAGAAGGCATATTAAGTTTTTTTCTAATTTTTTATGTACATATCCACATCGTCGTTGATTGAGCTAATAAAAATATGCACCATTGAGTTTTTCAACCTTTCATAAAGTTTTTCCTGCAAAATATAAACTAAATGTCGAATGTGCAGATAAAATACTTTAATTCTAACGCTCACAAACAAGTATGTAACTGAACATAAACGTTGTAAATGAAGTCACACACATTACCGATGAGCAAATAAAAATGAATTTCATTAAAATGATTACATAAAAAGTTTTCCTCTGCTTTTCTTTTTCTCTGTTTTGTCTCCCATCAAATGCGATGTTGGATGAGAAGAAACTTTTTTATGCATTTTTTATGATGTTTATTTAATTTTCCTTTATCGACCTCAGTGAACAACAACATTACGTTACAATTTCTTGAGGAAGGAAAACATTTCAGAAAAGAGAGAAGAAAAATAAAAATTGAACAGTAAAAGCTCGACAATGAAGGAAAATGATTTAATTTTCAATCTTCGCTATCTATAATTAGAAATAAACATTGCGCAGTTAATAATTAAATTTTCGTTCAGAATCTTCACTGTAAATTCGACATTTTCAAACCTACATCAAGCCCTCTAGAAATGTTGAATTATTAAAATTGTCGATCAATTGAGTTACAAGCAGACGATGAATGAATGGAGCACAAGCCAAGATTAATTGCCTATTTATTTTAGATTGAGGCGGAAAAAAATTTCTTATACATATTTCACGAATTCATAAAGAAAAACGTGAAGAAAAAACAACAAAGCATTCATCTGATGAAAACCAGATTGAAATGATTCGATCACCTTTATGTCTTGCTACATCAAAAACAGAGACTTGAAAACTTCACCATTGATTTATTTCTCGATTCTTTATCGCTGTTCTTGTGCTCGCTCCATAAAGTTTAGCAATTCCTTATAATTCCACTTCTTGTCAACTTTTCCTCCCACACTCGCAAACACTCCACTTCCACCGCTCTACTTTTAACGTTGTTTGTGAGGATTTAAAAAATTGTGATTTTTTTCAGATTTCTTTTTTGCTTTCTCAAATACAAGCAACCTTTTCCCATTCTTCTACATTTTACTTCTTTGTTGAAAGAAGAAGAAAAAAAACGACAGTTTTCGTCGCATGTCTTCCACGCGAATCCATTAAATATGCTAAGAGATGGAAAGAAAAGAAAGAAAAAAATCTCGTTGCTGATAAGAAAGTAAATTTCTTTTCTTGTACGATTTTCCTTTTTGCTCATTTTTATTCTGGTTCATTTTTCTTTACTACGTTAAAGCCTATTTGTGAGTGATGATAAAATTGGTTAGAAGTGTTAGAAAATATCTTAATGAAAACTGGATTCAATTGTTTTTCACGCATTAATTGAAAAACCACAAAACCGCAACATTTACAATAATGATCCACTTCAAAGGCTCTGAAGTATAGCAATGACTGACATGAATCAAGAGCTGCATCATTGAAATATTGATTGGATATTCATTGGCCCAAACTTTTATTAATCCCTCTTTTCGAACCACCCCCACAAATTACAAACAGCTTGTTTCTTTCGTTTTATTCATGTTTCTCATTTATGAATTTTTTTTTTCTTTTCTTTCTCAAGCAAGTCTTCTCCTTTGTGATGACTCAACATGATTTCATTTAACGAAATAAGAAAAATAAAATGAAGAAAAAATATATCATAAAATGATAATAACAACAACAATATGATGACTACATAATTGATTGAATATAAAAAATTGTTCTAAGATCGTTTTCGGGGTCAAGCTTTATGGTTAGGGAAGAAGACGTCTCGTTGTATTTATCTGAATGTCAGAAGAAAGGATATCAGGAAGGAAGGAAAGACAAGAAAATGGTATTTTTGATACAGAATTCAACTGTGATTATATGTTGCGATATTTACTCTTGAAAACTATGAAATGTAATATCTTGTTGTCAAGAAACTCCAACCTTTCAAATTTCAGACAAGAGAAAGTTTTCGAAAGAAAATTTTTGTCTAAAAAGGGTTTTCTTGGGAAACTTTTCTATAATGGAGCCATCCAAAAATAATGTTGAAAGCATAAATTTATGTTTTCTTCACACTGTTAAAGCGAATGCAAAAGAAATTTTATTTTACTATCGATAAAGTTTGAATTTTTTAATGAAAACTCAAAAACTGTCATTGTTGAGTCGTAAAAACAATAATTAAAAAAAAAGAAAGAAATTATCTGATCAACTTTTACTTGATTTAGTTTTTCCATTTGCTGTCTCTGTCAACTTCAAAACCTTATCGAGATTTAATTGCTCTTGTTTATTGATTAATCACATAACTTGAAAAACTGTTTTCACACAATTCCACAAATAGATCTTTATATCTTTGTTCTCGTTTTATTATTTCCCTCTTCAAGCCCTGCAGGCTAAAAAAAATCTCTGACCATGTAGGTGAAAAGTTTTCACAACTTATGAATTGTCATTCTTTGCTGCTAGCAATCATCGGAGGGGTAGTGGAAGTTGACAACAGACCAGAACAGAATTTTCAATAGAACAGCAGTCGCATGAGAAATGCTTGAACATTTTTCCTTTCTTTCGTTAAAAATATATGTGTGTATGTGTATATGTGTGTGTGTTTGTGGCTTTCCTTCAAACTTTTTTTCCTTTTTTATATTCCATCCAGCAGTTTCTGCTGATTTTCTTTTTTTGCGGAGGAGTTGTTGAGTAACACAGAACGAGAGAGTGAAAGAGAGAGAGAGACGATCGAATGGAATGTATTGATGAATTTTCTTTCTTTCTTCCCTTTTCGCGAAAGAATAAGTGAGATGGAGAATTCGGAAAATCTACATAAATATCCCTTTGAATCGTTTTTCTTTCACACAAGAAGAAGAATAAAAAATTATAAATGAAATAAAATAGATTTCCTTCCACAAATCTATTTGTGCCGAGAGTAAAACTGATAGATTGATTGATTGATTACCTGGAGATCCGGTGCTGTGCTTGGATGCGCCAGATCGCACGCTGATAACCACGGATTTACTTTGGACAATAACGATGTGAATGCTGCTGGTGATGTTTCATATTTTGCACTTTCGTCCCGATTGCTCAACAACTTGCCCCTGAAGCTACTCTGACTCTGTTGCTGGTTGGTGCTACTTTGAGCCCCCGAAATAAACGCAAGCGCAACCATCACGACCAACCTGGGTCCTGGCCGCATATTGACCGGTTCGTAAGCGCTAGCATTTTTGCTTTTTCAGGCCAGGCCCTTGAGCAGACAACTGTGAATCGAAAATGGGGCTCATCGCCGCCCCATTTTTTTTGTTGGCACACGACCACACACCGATTCGGCTGGCTTTCTAATGCACCAATCCACAATGCACGATATTTGTACAATCGAACACTTTTTTCACTACGGCAACGCGACAAGAACTTTGAATTTTTGCAGATACTTTTCGAAATTCCTTTGCTATTTTGTCGGCCATCTTGAGCGCCACCGCCGTAAATTTTGTTTATGCACACGTGTTGTAATTTAGGTCCTGCACCATCAAAACCAACACTTTCAGTTGACGAACGCGAAAAGGACGTTGTGGTAGTGAATGACCACCGCGAATTTGATGGTAATTTTGACAAGGACCACCGCACTAATCCGTCAAATTTATCATTCATTCGAGAGACAATCCCTTTAGTTGCGCGAGGCTGCCAGGCTGACCAAACTATACTGCGAGTTGAGAGAAAGAAAAATGAGTGCTTCCAATCAAAAGCACGAAGTTATTCACGACGACTTTTCGGGCTTTTTCTCTTTTTCTTTCTCTGATTTTTTTTCTTCCTTTGCTCACGTAACTAGGCAAGGAAGTTCTTGCTGATATTCAATAAAAGTTCCTTTTAGGCTTTTTTTCTTTTCTTTTCTTTATCTCTTTTGAGATTTCACACAACTCGCGACTATTGACTAGTCTGTTAGTTCGGGACTGGAAAACACTAACAACACTTTTTCATTCACAGTTTGATTTAGAGAGAGCTTTTCTCCCTTTTTGTCTACTTCGGGTTCAGGCACGACGACGATGCGCACCCCCACAATCGATATTTTAGCGCAGGCGAAAATATTCCACACTTCCAGCGACACTTTGTGTGTTCTACAATGAGTTCAGAGTCGAGGCTATATTCAAGTAAAGATTTTCTCCACTTTTTATTTCTTTGTTACCTCAAAGAGCGCGGGCAACTCTGCTCTTGAACGGAGAGAGAGATAGAGAGCAAAGGAAAATTAAGGTAAAGTTCCCGTTTCGTTGAATGTATGGATATCTTTACATTCGTGACATCTATGGAAAATCCTAGAAGTGCACAGTAATCCTCTTTCTTCGTCTTAGTTTCTAAGTTCTTTTTTTCAATTTAATGTTTTCTACTGTCTTTTCCAAATTTTCAATCGCTTCAAAATCACTTTAAGTAATCACAAATATGACTGAATAATTAAATGTCAAAGTTTCTAATTTCTCTTCACAAGAGTTCTTAAAAAAGTTTTTTTCTTTTTCTCTTTAATTTTGAACTAACGAATTCTTAGAAGTTTTTCTTCTGATGGAGCTTTTTTTTTTACAAAACCAAAGAAAAAAATGTTCGACACTAAGGCACAAACGCAAATATTTTTTTATTCAATCTCCTCTAAAATTTTCATTTTCCAATCGAAAACTTTTGGGAACATAAATTTTAATAGAATTAAATATTCTTTATCATGCAAGTTCCTGTGCAAAAAAAAAGTTTACCCTTTCTTTGGACTCGGATTAATGGTTACGTGAACCTTTCTCGCGCGAATGTTGAGAGCGAACTGAGTGGAAAGTGAGAGATTTTTCGATTCTTGCTTCGTGAAAATGTTGGGAACTTTCTTTCGAACATCCTATTGCGCTTTTCCAATAATCATTAAAAAAGCTTACTGACGATGACAAACGAAATGAAAGGCTTATTTTAATGATGAAAAATGTGTTTTTTTTTGTCATTTCTATCACATATTTTTATAAGAAACTTAATTGAAGAATTTTCCTTTGCTGTAGTCGAAATATTTTTATGAGCTTTAAGCCAGGTCATTAAAGCTTCGACAAGTGCTTTCAAATATTTTTAACGGTTTTCGAAATTAAAAGCTTTAAATTTAAAAATTTAAAATTTAAGGCACCGTTAAAAATTTTAGGTTTACTTTCATGTTCCTTCAAAAGTTTTCTTTTCTTTTGTTTATTACGATCGTATGCGAAGCAGCAAAATAAAGTAGAAGTGCAAAACACGACACAAGAAAATAACAAACAATCTACGTACACGATCCAGTCTAGTTTAAACGCTGTTGGAATGCACATGTAAAACAGAATATTGTCGGTGGTGATCAGTGGCTTAATAGTTCAAATCAGCATAATTCTATCGATCGCGCAGTCAGACGCTTAATGAATTCATTCCACATAAAAATACATACGTGTAAGAAGAAAAAACGGCACGTCTCGTCAAGCCGGTGAATAAACTGATTTTGCAAAATAAAAGCACTTTTATCGTTAAAAACAGCTGGTCTGATAATAAAATTGTGTATGAGTGAAAAATATTCCATTTTTTCAAAATACCTGCTCAGAAGCAACACGACATTTTTTAAAGTCAACAATTTTTACAAGTTCATAGTACTTTGGATATATTTATGAATTGTGTGTGTTATTATTATTATTATTATCTTTATTTCTAGTTTTCTTTTTGTGTGTGTGTGTGCCTGTGATTCTTTCTAGAGAGAATAAGTTCATGTTTTTTGCACAACATTATGTTTAAGTATAAACATTTAAATATTTAATGATAAATTTCAAGGTGGTAGCAAACTCAAATAAACTAAGTGAGAAGAAAAATTTGATAAAAGAAAAATAATAATAATGAACTCAAAAACATACCTTAGACTTAATTTTGGATTGTAGGAAATATATTTAGAGTGTTTCTGCTTTCGATTTGTCTTCTTCTCTTCGTTGTCGCGCTGTTTTGTTGTAGTTTTTATTTTCACACTCGATCGCAAACAATTTTTTTTCTTCTCGCCAATCAGTTGAGCTTCGGTCGTTAAACAACAAACATCATAAGAAGACGAAAAAGAAAAAAAAAGTGAGATAAAACTTCGAGAGAATTAAAAATAATCACAATTAGTTTCTCGTTGAGTATTTAAAGTCTTTAAAAAATACTTTAAAATAAAAGTATCTTCTTCGTATTATTTTTCTTCTTTGTTTTACTTTTTTCATTTCTTTCGTTTGTGACTTTGATTCTTAGTTGGGTGGACGAACGTGAAATCATTCGAAAGAAGAAAAAAGTTTTTTTTTGCTCATTGATCGGCGCAGCGCGCGGAGTATTTTTTGTATGTTGATCGCTGACTTCAGTCGATCGTCGAGTCTCGAAGAAATATCAAGTGCGAAAATAATCGAAGAAAATCATCGCGGCGAGAAAAAGAAAGAAAATTTTTCTTTTAGTGAAAAACATATTGCAAAATTTAATTTAGATAATTTTCTAATGAGAATTTAATCTAAATTTTTCATTTATTTTAATTTTACAGTTCAGTGCATTTTTGAGAAGGAATAAAATAAAATTATCATTTTGAGCAATAAATTAAAAGTGTTGAGTGATCAAAAAAATTAATAAAAAGTTTATTGAGAAAGGAAAAAAATTAAATTGGAAAATAAACGTCAGAAAGTTTTACTGCAAAAGTATCAGCAAGAAAGAAAAATAAATTTTCATCTCCCGAAAACGTATAAATAGAAAAATTTCAAGGTGAGGATAAAAATAACAAATTCACACGACATTCTTTTAAACTGAAAAAATAAAAACTGTTTCCATCTTTGCTTCAACTGTGATGAGCCATTGAATAAGAAATATTTTACAAGCTGATTAAATCATCATGACGTAAATTTCTGCGATTACATTTTATTCTATCAATTTCAAGAATCTAATGAAAAAATTAGAAGAATTTTTAAAACTAGAAAAAAAAAGAGAAAAGTGTTTGGAATAAGTCGCAAGAAGCAATCAAGAGTGTAAGAAAGTAAAAAGAAAGAGAAGAAATGTTAATATATGAAATATTTATGATGTGCGCGCGGGGGGAAGGTTGAGTTAGATATATGCGAATTACATCACAGCGTAGAGTCTCCCACTTGTCGTAAAAACACTGAGAAGAAACGCAAAGAAGAGATATTCTGCATTAAAGCTCAACATTGGCCGATTAGATTTATTGACGTGGAAATAAAATAGCGAAAAAATTCCGAACATGATTAGTTTATGACTTTGAGGTTGTTTTAGCGATAAACAAAAATATTTTTCGTGTCGTTCATCAATTGTAATAAATTTTCAGAATGGAATTTGATATTTGCACTGGAGTTTCATGATATCACTTAAAAGTATTTTATTTCGAACATCAAAAAAACGAGAAAGAAAAAGAAATTTCTCTTAATTGAAACTTTTTTCTTCTTTTTTCTGCTTTTCGCTGAAAAAGCAGACCAGAAAGAAAAAAAATCGTCTTAAATGTGAATCTTTTTCTTTCTGAAATGGCGTAATCATTGCTAAATTTATCTTAAGTTTATTTTTTGTTTCTTGAACCGATTTTTACACATGTACACACATTACGCTTGCTCATATCTTCAATTCTCGTCTCTCCCTTACTCATTGCCTGGTGATGCCCGATGCGCAATAAAACCAAAATTTAAATTGCAAAGTACACGAAATTAAGTTGAAAATCGATGAAAGAAGTTTCTGCAAATCATTAGCATCAGGAAGTGGTTTGACGTTGTGCGAGAAATAAATTTGAGATTATTTATAGAATGTCTAACGAACTTTTCCCATCTGAAAGTCTTACCAACTTGCTTTTCTACATCAAGTCACGTTAATTTTCTGAAAGTTTTTGCTTCCTGGAAGAAAACTAAATATATAATCAGAATGAACGATACTCAAACAGCAGAAGTTACACTACAAAATGAGTTAATAGAGAAAAAGATTTCTTGTCGTTATTAAATTAATTTCTTTGAACTTTCTTCTTGTTCATGAAAATTCTTTGCATTCCATTTTCTTAAGTTATTATTATGTGCAGACAACCTCAAAGATTTCACTCACAATTGACATGGTTTCGTTATTGTCATGCCCTAAACTTGCAAACTTTTTCATGAATGAATATTTTCGTCGCTTCTTCCACGTCAGATTGCTTACGAAAACGATTTAACCGCGTTCACGGGCTTCTTCGTATCACGGAAAGGAAAATTCGAAACAGTTTCGCACGATACCAAAGCTTGAAATAATTTGCCAAAAAAAAAACACCAAGAAGATTCACATTCGCGTTTTTTCAGTCAAGAATTAATTCTTATCTCAGACATTTCTTTCATTTTTTTCGATGAAGAAGAATGTGCAGGTAATATTTATTTCTCGGCGATCGAAGCGGACAAAGGCCGGGCGAGTTTAAGCGATATATTCACGAACAAGAATTCTTGCTTTCGAGATGACTTGGGATGGGACTGGGAGTCAAGAATCTTTCTTATATGCACAGAACCAGTTTTTGTTTCTTTTCCTTAGATTTTTTTTCAACAAAACTCAATGAGGCGAAAACATCTTAAAACGTTTCAGAGCAGTGAAATTAATGAAAACAGTAAAAAATGATTCAGTGCAAGGCCGAGAGAGCCCAAGCGAGAGCTGTAAAAATGATGCATTTGTGCAGTGAATTATTACTCATAAATTAGGGAATTTCAAGGTCGTATAAAGCGTTTACATTACAAGAGATTCGAGGAAAGTGTTGCTGTCATATCAAGTTTGATGGCGAATTTTTGATTGACGATAAACGAGTGACATTTTTTTATGATTGCAAAAATTGATCGATTCGAACTGATGGCAAAAATTCTTCGATTTTTATTGACACATCTATTTTAATAATAATAAAAATGACGCGAAAAAAACAAAAAAAGTTTAAAATTTATAATTCTCTCGATGAGTTTTGCTGAATTCTCATTTTAAATGAAGAAGAAATTCTGCGAGTTCGATTTTCGTTTCGGAAGCTTAATCAATGTTCTTCAAACATTAATTTCACTGTTCACAAAGCGAGTGAAATAAATTTTTACGACTCGATTTTTTATTGTATCGCCAGTCATCTCGTGATATCTCGGGAGAGTTTTTCAACATTTTAATTTTTTTCCTTCTCTCATCATGGTTAATTCATTCGACTTCAAATGAATTCATCACAAATTATTCTTACTGTTTTCTAAAATAAAACCGAATTGTTTGGTTTCTTCAAAAGAATAAAAAGTTTTATCTTCTTCAACAAAACCAAGTTTGAGGTGATATAACTAAAGTAAGCCATGTTAATGACAGTATAAGAAAAACTTTTTCGTCGAATTTTATTTACTGAAAGTCTTAGAAAGAAAAAAAACTTAAATTTTCCGCCTTAAGCATAAACTTAGCATAAAGGTTTTTATTCATTTTCATTTATACTTGACCCACTTTCCTTCGTCATCGCTGCTTTCCCTGAAAATCTTCTCATTCGTTTCAAGTCAAAAAGGAAAAATACTTTGCATTCATACTCACGTTCAATCTTAGCATTAATCTTTTCCCTCAACTTTCAAACTCTTTTGATTTCGATCTTGAAAAAATGGTGGAAATGAAGGAAAAATGTGGGAAAAGTTTTCATGTTCATGGTGTGGGTGTAGTGAGGTCTGGCAGCAGCATCCACATACTCATTCAATCAAATATTTCCTAATCATAGAACGCTGCTTTACAAGGTGACACTTTCGTAATATTTCAGCGAATGGAATAGTTTCTTTTTCTCCTGAAAGAAGCAGCAAACTTATGTCAATGACCTTCGTGGGTGTGGAGCTTGTTACGTATATGAAAATAAATTTGTCGTCGATTTCGCCGCCACTATAACTCAATCCCAATTTAAAATTCTTCTGGCTGCGTGCCGATCATCAAACGACCCGAAAAACAGCTACAAGAAACTAATCAAAGTTAATTGCATTTCTCACTGCACTGAATAACAATCAACAAATGTTTTCAAATTTAGGACGAGATTCCCGAGCGGCACACACTCGCCGTGCCGGAGGCATACGGCTGCACTGTGGCGATTTTACATTGGTACTCCCTTTGGCTTTTTCTTCAGAAAATGCCTTTTGTGCCGCTCGGGATTGCGACTGAAAACAATCTTTTTGAATTGAGTGTCGCATTACTGTGAGCAGTAAATTGCAAATTTAATTATATTTTTTGAATCATTTAACAACGAAATGAGATGAGAAGGAAATAAAATTTAAACGTTTCTCAATAACTTCAAGAACATTCACGGTAAATAGCCAATACCTCCGTCAGACTCCAGATGAACTGGCAAAAAAGAAGAAAACAAATATCTTCAAAGATTAAACTTGAACGATTAACAAATTCTTCGAAAAACGTTTTCATATTTTTTTAACACAAACATCAAAAGCTTGAGGTTCAATTACAGCTCGATGAGCTAATGCTTGCGGTTGAAATCCATGACTCATCTTTAAACGTAGTCGTAGCAAAAAAAAAACAACTGAGATAACAAAAAAAGGTATTTGTGTGGTTGACGGTGTTGATTGATACGTAGTTTTCAATAAACATTCGTTTGCTTCATTTCCAACATTTGCAATTAATAACTTCACAGCAGTAAAGGCGAAAAATTCTACGAACAAAGTTCGTGCGATAAACGTAAAAATGCTTATCATTTTTCCACTTATATGACGCTATCAAAATTTGTCTTGCCTTGTTATTAAACTAACCATTTGCATTGTTGTCGATGTAAGTAGAGTAAAATTCGAAAACAAAACCTTAACTCAAACAAGTAACACGAAACTTTTTTTCGTTTAGAAAACAGAAAAAGTCAATAATAAGACGGCAATCTCACAAACAGAACTATGATTCGAGACTATGTGTCTGTAGTCAATTGCCATTTAGAAGAAAATTAATAAATTATTGTTCAAATTATCACAATAAATAATTTGATATCATTTCCTCCAGACTAAACATTGAATTAAAAGTTGGTTGGGTGAGAAAGGGAAAATGTTGCAAGCGAAAGTTGTGAATTTCTTATCGTCATTATTATCCAAATGTCCGGTCACTTTGTAAGCTTTGAAGTTTAAGCCATGCTTAACAGTGTCTCACACAGATTTATATAAATAATAAAACTTTCTGAAAGCTTAAACTCACTGATCAGTTCATCATCATACTTTTTTTTTGCAATGGGGAAAGAACTTTCTAATTATAATTTATGTTTACTGATTAACTGATTCTTTCTTTTGGCCTTCAAAAACAAGCACAAAAAAAGGAGAAAAGGATATAAATTATAAGCAGACATTGAGCAGTTTTAGCTGATTAAATGTTTTATTTTCGCTCAACTGACTACTGATCTGGGTGAATTTCTCTTGAAGAATTTCCGGTTTATTGTATTTAAATTTCAAACAACAGATTGTTGACTAGGATAACGAGAAGATTAAGCAGTTTTTGCTTAGCATGTTCCATCTAACTTAGTGTAAGAATACAAAGCTAGATTGTCTTAAAAAATCCCCAAATCAATTTGTATTCTTCCAAGCAAACACTCGAAAAGTTGAGAAATGAATGAATATTTGATGTGAAAATAATTTGCGTCTTAAGAATACGAACATAAAATAAACGAAGACTTCTCTCGTTCACCTTTCCTTTCGTCTTGTTCGCAATCATAAAGCACACTGTTTAAAGCAATAGGAAATTGATTTTTTAGAAGTCTTTCATTATGCTTGAAATGAGGAATAAAAAGAATTGAACAAGCACTTTAGGATGTTCTTACTGATTACTTGTTTACCTGTTTACGATTAGCAAACCAAAAGTTGCATCACCAAACACAATTGTCTGATCTTTTGTATGAAAAATTACTTTGCAAAGAGAAATTGGCCAATAGCTTCTTATCTGTTGTACGTGCTTTGCGACTTAACGGTGTCTGAACTTAGCTGAATTGCAAAATTCAATGATTTACGACTTCATTATGTCCGGAGTTGAGTGACTCAAGAATAACCATTTTTTATGGTGATAAGACATGATCTACTTAGTAAAAGTTTTTTTTTCCTTTTGCATAATTTATACCCTCATGGTTAAACAAGTTTCTAATATTTAAAAAGGTCAGATAAAAGACAAGAACCTCGAAATTAAATTGTTTCGATATTTGCACTGAAAATTGAAAAACAAGCGAAAGGGAAAAAAAACTTTCACAAAAAAAAACATAAAAATTAAATAACATGATGATGATGATGATAACATAACCACGATGCTGTCAAAGCAACTCATTAATTTACTGATTAAGCCACCACTTACGCTGATCAACTTTAGCTTCACATAATTTATGACGAAGACACTGTCACCAACACCAAATTACGACTCGGAAAGCTTTTTCATGTTTTCATGAGAAAGAAAATCTGCTAAAAATTATTATGAAACTAAATCATCAAAATTTACTCGTCTTTGTTATGCGTTTTGTCGTTTCTCTCTATGAATTATGCATTTTATCTGTTGTGGCGCTTTCAAGAGAGTTTAGTGTCATGCAAGCACGATGAAAACGAAAGAAATATCGTCGAAGGTAATGTAGGGCTATTAGATAATCGTTGATCATTGACGCGACTACCACATGCGCTACATTTTGTTATTTTAAATTTGAATTAAAATAAAAATTCAAGCCCACAGCATTATTTTAAACAATTTCGAATCGCATGTCGATAAGTTTCGATTTTCTCTCCCGAATTCAAAATAAAACAAAATGTGTGAAAACACACGCAGATGAAATCAAAACTTCTACGAAGCTGGGTCGAATGTGGTTGGTAAAAATAGAAATTTGGGACGAAGTCGCAAAAAAAATTGAAAATGTACTCAACGAAAAGTTCAATCTTCAAGGAATTTTACAGAGTTTATTTGTTAATCTCGTGAGAAGGTGAATCATATGTCATCTGACCGCTTAAATAACGATATGATGAGATTGATGAATCAAGCGAATTAAATGAATCTACTGAATCTTCTGAACAAATAAAAACCAAACGAAAGTCTTAATTAAAACAATAAATCAACAGGCATGAAAGAAAAGCGAAGAAAAACCACAAACGATTGCCGATTCTTGCAATCATTTACCGCACTCGCCGATATCACAATGTTACACTAATCTTGCACAAATGAAGAGTTTTAATTGAGCTAAAACCTTATTTCTAGGTTTCGCTTTTTCTTAATTGCAATCCACAATGCTTAGCCACTAATTGATGATAACGTTGTTAAAAAGTAGGACAGATTTCTTCAGCAAACTCATGAAAATGAAACCCACAGTGGGAGCAAGAATAGGAACAAAAAGATAACATTGATTAATTACACTGCGAAAGAAGTCACACGGCTGGAATCGTTTTTCCTTTTTTCCCATGTCACTAACCAACAACTCAGCTAAGCTCATCGACAAACACATTTACTCAGCTCGCTTAGTCATTGTGCAATTATTCTGCGACACAGTATTTAGAAGAAAAGTTTTTTTCTATTTCATTTGACAGGCGGAAGGAATTTGCAACGATTAGTGTAAAGAAATCAATGGCTTATGCGCGATGTATTAGCGTTAATGCGAATTGCGAATAAATAGAGAAAGAAAATGAAGTTAGCAAAATAATCGGTCATAATGAGACACAAGACATGATTAAATTGGCAATTAAAGAAGCATAAATTAAACTCACCATCCGTGGCTAACATGTGTTTAAATAGTTGTGAATGAAAGCGATTAAACTATTAAATTAATTGAAGAAAATGATGATTTAATTGCCTTTCTTAATCGATGAGATCTCTTTCTTAAATTCATGTTCAAAGTTTAGTGAAAGTTAATCAATTTTTGAAAGTTAATAAGTTTCTTATTAAATTAGGTTTTAATGCTTTTCTACATTTCTAAACAGCATAGACATTGACATTGAACAATTGAATAAACTGGCTAGAAAACGCCTTTTTCCCACAGTGTACTTTTTTTTTGTATAAAAATAAATATTAATAGAAGAAGAAATATTTCTTGACGTGTACAGGAATATCTTTTTCTTCTCATTTGTGGTAGCCAAACTATTTGTAAGCAAGATCTTCAAGTCGTTTCTCTTGATAATTTTTTTCTGTTTTTCACTCGAAAGAATATTGCAAAAAAAATCTGCCAAGCATATTATTGAGAGAAATACATTTGCTAGATAGCTACAAACACCAGCGAGCTTATGATCGCGATTTTCAAGTACTATTGAATGTTGCTGTTTCGGCACGTTCTATTAATAAATCCAAGAGAGAGAGAGTGCGAGAGATTTTGGCGCACATCTTTCGTTTTCCTCTTGAAAATATTTGAAATCAACATTTGCGACCGAGGCTATAGGAATGAATCGTCAATTTAAAGATTTCTTCATCGACAACGAGCCTGTAATTAATTGATTATAAATCTTTGAGCTTGTAAAAAGCTAAATTGATGAATATGTTTTGTGTGGGTGTTTCATTTCATGAAAATCAAGTTGACACAAGATTTCCTTTCTCGACAACTTTTTTCCTTTATATTGCATAAATTTTCTTTGAAAGTGGAGGAAAAAAGTCAAGACAAATTGCCAAAAGAAATGGCCAAGTCAGCACCAACAACACTTGTGAATATTTCGAGGAAAAGATTTACGAGATTAAAATGTAGATGTGGATGAAGTGAAATCTTTAAGAAATTCGAGAATGATTTTAAGGGCACCAAGCAACATGAAGATCGAGAAAGTGAAGCATAAAGAAAGAAAGCCCCCAGCATTATGTCTTGAATTTTAAAATTGATTAAATTAATTGTGTCTTTCTCCCTATCTTTACATTTAAATTATTCAATCAGCTGCCACTGGAATAATGTTGAAATCTCTTTCTGGAGGGTTTTATAAATAATTTAAGAACGAAAGATTTGTAAAGAAACGAAAATTTGTCAACTTAGGTCATTTCGATCGTCACTTTCTTAAAGTTTTAATCTTCGACAATATTTCAAACTTTCTTCATTTTCATGAACTTTTCATATTGTCAAGAGTTTAAAATAATTTAAGCAAAAACTATCTTAATCAGTAAAAAAATCTTTTATATCATCTTTTATTATTTTTAAAACATATGCAAATCTTTAAGTCAAACTTATTTTTATTCACACTTTGCAAACCTTCTTTTCGCTTTTAAATTCCACTCAATTTGATTACAAACAGAAAAAGAATCTTCGACGCAAGAGTATAATTTTAGCTCAGGGAGAATATCGAGCAACATAATCCCCGAGGTTTATTTTGGAGTCGGTTGCGAGTGCGAGTAGGTCAAAGCCCTTGAAATTTCCACTTTGTATTTGTTCCTTTCTTTTGAATATTTTTTTATTCAAGGCAATTCCCAAACAGAAATACTTACCTAAAAACCATTGCTACGGAAGATATGCGAGACATGGAAAGGTAAAGGCAAATGAAATCCTCTTTCCTAAGAGGATAAAGCGAAATAAAAAGAAAGAAACACGAAGATAAAAAAAAAACAAGTCGATTAAGTTTAGTAAATATGCGGTAAAAATTTATTTTAATGTAATATTTAAAGCACATCACATTATGGCCACGATGAAATGTCAGGCATGTTCTCGCACTTGAGTTGCTTTTCGACATCTACAAGAAGAATTTTAAAATGTTTATTTTGGAAAGAAATGTTCAATAAACAATTTTTAAATCGCTCAGTCGGAGCTTCGTGGATTGTTTGCGAGTACGAGGTCGGTGTAAAAATATTTTCAGTGGATATTGAGAGAAATTTTCTTAATATTTGATTTCGCATTTTGTGAAAATGGCGCAATAAATTACTCATTGTCCTCGTAATTAACAGACTGTAAAGAATGTACACGGATGTGCGTTGCGCAATGGGCCAAAATTTCCACTGAAACTTTCACCTTTTAATATCAAGTCAAAAAGAAAGAAAACTGTGACAATTCTTTTATTTGACAATTCAAATTCTTCGCAAATATTTCTCGCAATATTTTTTAAGATTACAAACATAAGATTGACAATTTGACAATTTACCTTCTCAACCACATTTTTCTTATTAAAGGAATCTCAGTTAAATTTAAGTAAACTTTGTATTAAAAACCTTCACTTTCGGTTAAGATTTCAGTTAAATATAATGAAAAATGAGGAAACATTTATAAGCTTCAATTTATAGCATTTATTTACGAAAATGCGGGCTGAAGGAATGACAGAGAATCGAGAAAGTTTTCTTCACTTGTTTCCTTGTTATTCCATAAAAAGAGACTTTGAATCTGGAACTTCACTTTGCTTTTCCATTCGTCAACGTAAACCGCCCTTTTGCAAACATAAAACATAAACATAAATTCGTTTCATGAAAACAGATATCTCAGGTGCTTTTATAACAGAGTTTTGAAGATGATTAAATAAAATTAATAATTCAAGAAGTTGTTGGTGATGTTGAGGTTGTTAAGTCGAAGAGAAAAACGAATTGAAGTAGCTATGATAACATGGATGTAACATCATTGCGGAAAAAAAGCAATAAACAAGTCGAGGTTTTGATGTCTGACTTTTATTATTTGTCTTACAAATTCATCTGACGAGTCTCGGGAGAGTTAAATGGAAGTTCATTCATTGGAAATGATATTACTTCTGAGATATGTCGCATGGGATGATTTAAATTAAGATCTTTTAAAATGCTTGTTTGATTGAAATTTAAATGACTCAAGAAACACAAAATTTTGTTGTTCAATTGAGTCGCAAAAATGTTTAATAAGAGGAAATGTTAGCAAATGAATGATTTATTAAAGAAGAAGAATGTGGCGTGTCTTCGACTGCAACATTTATTAAAAAACTTCTCTCGTATAACAATCATAGCCATTAAAAAGATAAACAGAAAACAAATGACGTTATAAACAGGAAGAAGAGTGCAAATTCCTTCGCTAACATTCCAGGAAATTATAATTTCGTGCTGTAAAACAATAAAGCAAAAAGAAGGAAAAAGAACATTCTTTTGTGTTAATACAAATTGGATTTATATTTCTGAGGGAGGGGCAAAGTTCTTTCTTTTGATGATGCAATTCTTCATACATACTTTAGAAGCATTGAAATTGTTTAAAATGCGGCAATGTAATTAGTTTTCAGTGAAAACAATACAAATTGTAGTTGCTTTTAATGCCAAAACTTTGTTGCAATAAATAAATTTGTTCAAAAAGACTTTATCTCAACCATTAACGAAACTTTCTACCTACTGATAATAATATAATTTAGGTTAGTGTAGGAACTGCTGGTAGCATACCGAAGACCATAAAACAGCAAACCCAAATTTGTTTCGCATCACAAATGATGTGTTGCAAACGATGCTTAACCTAAATATAAATCATTAACATCATTGCAATTGTGATTGCTTACTCCATTAAACTTCACGTACTTTTTTACAACCACAACAAAAAACACTCCTCGCGAATCGTTGTGAGCAGGCAATAATAATGCACATACTTATCATATGAAAGACTTTTTATGATCCACTTGAGTAGGCTCCTTTAGGATTATTCGATACAGTTTATAAGAAGAAAAAATGAGGCGAAAGAGAGATTTAGGAGAGATTTCCGGCATCATTCATTTCATTCATGTCGAATGTGTTTGCTCTCTGTTTTCATTCCCTTAGTGAATTATGATGCCTTTGGCGTTACAAGCATCTCTCCTCGGCATTTGATAGACATAAATCGCAGCGTCGAGCGAGTAAATTAAATAAATAAACTCTTGAGCTTGCTGTGCGAAGAGATCAAATGTAAATGGTCTTTGGTAGAGTGAATATCACTTCAGTTGCCACTCGCAGTCATTTTGATAATCGTTGTCATAAATAAACAACCGGCCTGCCCTGTCTTTCTTTCATCCTCAATAACACTGAATGCCATATAAAGTCATAAAGTATTATTTTGGAATATCACTTGAATTAATAAAATCTTTTTCCCATTAATTTGTTCATCAAAATCTTCCACTCAAGTGTCAAATGTTTACATGGGCTTCAGAGTAGCTGCAGATACAAATCTAAAGGCGAACTCAGAACAAATAACATTTTTAATGTCATATTAAGAAAATTTATTTCTGGATGTTTCTGCAAACGTAAAGTCGTGATAAGAAAATTATCATAAATTATAACAAACGATCAGTAAATGTCAAAGGAAATTATTTTTCACCGATCATCGAACAATCGAATTTATTTTTATTCTTATTGTTTTCTTTCAGCAAAATGTCGCAAGTTATTACAGCACGTCTTTCACGAAATGACGCACAACCATGGGGATTTCGATTGCAAGGTGGGAAAGACTTCGGAACACCGCTCGTGATCCAGAAGGTGAGTGATATCATTTGTTAAAAATTTATTTTTACTTTACTGTGCAGTATTTTGGTGTCTGAAATGTGTTATGACGTTTGTCATTGTCAGAATATTTTGACGAAAAGTGTAAAAAAATATTTAAAAATAAAAGGAAAGTAATGTTTGCTACTATTTACTCATTCATAATCACAACTCAAAGATATTTTTTTTTACAAATGTCAAACTCGCTTGAAAATGTTTCTACTTCTACGTGGGTATGAAATCTTTTAATGATGAAATTTATTACTCGAGCAAAAGCTTGACGACGAACAATTGTCGAGACAATGTTCTTAATCGTGAAAAAATGTTTTATGGAAGTTTTCGCGACGTGAGAATTTATTTGTGGAAAGCGACGAACTTTCTTAACGATGTACTTTTGGGGATAATTTCCAGTGATTATAATTATATGTGTATGCGCTCATGAAGAAATATGATTATGAAGTGAGGAATTATTTATGACCTTGGAACGGATTTACGTGCACTCTGCGAATGATGGGAACTACCTGAAGGCAGAGTTGTTAAGAGAATTTTATAAACATCCTGCAACTTTTCTTTCATTTTATTTCTTTCTTGCTTTTGTTGAAGGGAATCTCTTCAACATTAATCTTGATAATGTTATCAAAATCACGTCAATATTAGCAAATATGTCAGTTCAGTTTTATGTGCTGTTGTGACATATTGTTAATTGAATTAACCAACAACTCTGTCATAAGATGACAGTCAAATAAAAACTTTTTTACTTTACAACACTGATCGTAAAAAAAATGTTGAGAAAAAAAGAGAAATCGCTTGCAGTTGTCGAAGATTAAAATGAAACAATTTTTCGCTGTCGCTTTTATGATTGAAGCTGCTTTTGAGCGTTCCGCACTGTATTCAGATGACGCAAAAATGTAGCAGCAAGAACTTGAGTTAAATAATTAAATTCGGGGTTGTTGTGGAACGTGAAAGTTTCTCTTCTTATTCTGATTTTCATTGCGTACTCCAAAATCTGTTTTTTTACTTCTCTTTCTCGAAAGTAATAAATTTGTTAATGCAGTCAAGAATTTATAAATTTGTTCGTCATTAAAAGCAGTTTACGAGTCACATTCGAAAAGTTATTGCTATTTAATTCATCAGACTGTGGCTGCGGTCCAATATTCTCTCAGTTAACAAGCAACATTATCAAACTTTTGTGCTTTTCTTTGCATTTTTCGATGAAATTCGGGTCAAAATGAGAGAATATTTTTGCATTCCCTTCTTTGATCGAGTCAATGATTCCGAAACTGAAGAAGGCGTTGAAGAAAGATTGAAATTTCAAGCAAATTTTATTGTTTCAAAATAATTGTATGTCGTATGGTCAGATTTAAGAGAAAACGAGAAGATGAATTTCAAGGCCAGGGAAAAATTAATGCGACACCGCAAGTGAAAACTGAAATCATCCTTACAGACATGTAATTAAGGTTGATTATTGAATGCGTGAAGAAAGTCAACTTCTCAATGATTCTTCTCTCCATTGTAGCATCAGAAAAATAATAAAATTCACATTTTTCACAATCGTCTTAACCTTAAGTTAATCCATTCTTCACTCCCGAAGTATTTTATTGCCACTCTGCCGGCTTTGCTTCCTATCAACCGCATTTTCAAACAACACAAAAATGTTCATCTGAGAATTTGTCATGAATTATTAAGATATCCAGATGAGTCATAGAGTTTTAAACCCAAACTGTCAGAATGAAACATTCTCTCCTTTATTCCCTTCTTAACAACTCATCCAAAAATATTTATCGAGAAATTCCCTAAATGCATTCACGATGACTCATACGTTGTGGAATGTTAGGTGATCTGAGTTGGATGATTCGATACCTTAAAAATGCATTAATGCAGCCATTTCTACGCCTTGAAAACTGATATTGTTTGCCCTTATAAGACGGCACATTAACAAAATGTTTTCAACATGACAACAGACAACATAAATAAAACTTTACTGCCATGTGATTGTTATTGCGAATGAGCCAGAAAAGCAAAAAGAAGACGAAGGAAAAGAAGAAAATAAAGGTAACAAAACAATAATTACGGTTTGTTTACAAATAATTTATTGTTTGAGTTATTGCTTGAGTTAGTGCTCCAACCACAGTTTAAGATAAAATGAAATGGTTGAAAATAGAATTAAAAAACGAGAACAAAAAACTTTTTTAGGTAGTCGATGCGCAAAAACAAAAAAGTTTTCTTTTTCGCCAAATTTGTTTCATTTTCTAAAAGATTTCTTCTGATTAGAAGATTTGAAATTGTTAGGATTATTTTTGTGTCTATTTGGATGTTAACAAACGAGGTCAAATGTAGAATCGAACAATTTCGCTTTCATCATCATCATTGAGGGGAGAAATTGCAACGACCTAGCCTAGTTTTCCCCATTACGATGCTTAGTGGCGCCAAAATCTACAGAAATGTTTCATTCTTCTGTTCTCTTGTTAAATATTCGAAACATCACATGAAGAAATTCTGTCGCAATTTAATGACTAGACATGAACAAATTTCGCATGTGGTTATAATCGTTCAGCATGGTGGTAGGTCGTCAAATTGGTAACAGTAGAGATTTTCGAATGGAATTCCATTACATCACTCATGCCAGCCGCCTCTCAGAAGAATTCGATGATGATAAATTGCAGACAATAAGAATTTACGTTGCCTTCGCAAAAAACAAACATAAGATTGGATGAAACAAGAAGAACCTTGAAAGCGTGTTGAGAAGAGAGAAAAAACCATCTAGAATCATTGACAAATTCATCAATCATTTGGCTTTCTTTTTTTTGCTCACTCCATGTGATTGTCTTGTTGGTGTCTAAGTTTGCGTGCGAAAATTTCACTTCTTGCCTTTTTCTTCGCTACCAGACAGAATTATTTCGAATGTCTGTGAATGCTTTGCTGTTGTGAACTGAATAAGAATTTTCATGGAAATCAAATGTAAGTAGCGAAACGGAATTCAATGAGCGTGGGTAGCCATTCAAGAACAAGGCTTATTATCATGTCATGATATCTTTTTCCTTTTGTTACACTTTTGGTCAGTTAGTCTTTACAATTTTTATTCACATACAAATAACTGTGGGGGTGGAAAATATTTTGAAACGGTTGAATAATTGGACAACAAAAATTTAATGAAACTGTTGGAGAATTTGTTAACTTTTTAATGCAGTTCATTTAAACATTATGATTAATCGAGTGTCTGAGTTGATCAACGATAATAATTTTTAATTTCAAGAAATATTTAATATTCTTGGCTAATTAAAGTTTTCACAAACTCTCCTTTGAAATTAAATGAATTTGCTGCAATTGCAATTGTACAATGAGAAATCTTTGTAGTAATTTCATTTCCCAAGGATAAATGAACAATTTGGACGACCAAGTTTAATTTAAAATCATAACTGTGAAGGATGACTAGGCAGAATTCTCTACTTTTGTATTCTAGAACAGATCTGTAAAAGTTTCAATCATGAAACAAATCAATGCAATGACAGTTACAAATTGCTGAAACATTTGTCATCCTTTGGTTTTCTTGAAATGGGGACAAACAGAAATCTTTAGAACTTACTCTGAATCCTACGTGACAAGCTTTTCATCATGAAAATTAAATTTCTTTTCACATTGAAGAAGCACAAAGCGCATCGCAAATACGTTTAAGAAGAAACGAGTTCACAGAAATCGAGGCGAAACATAAACAAAAACTAAACGAGATGAAAACATTTGTTTAAAACAAAATCATGCAAAACACTTTTTCTATTTGTTTTCAGCAACATATTTTAATAGAGCATTACCAGTGAGTAAAATATCGGTGCATGACAAAACAAAAAAAAACGAACGAGCAATGATTCGAGTTGTTGTTGAGACATTAAGCAGATCTAATACGGATATTAGTCACAGCTTTCGAGGCCGCTGCTGTTGTTTATTTTTTTCCTTCCTTCTCTTTTGTTTCACGAGCTTCAATCGGCAACACAAAGTGACCATTAAAAGAAAATGAGAAAAGAATTAAAGAAACCGGTTGCAGTTTTTTTGCTTAGTTAATGTAATTAATTAATTTGATACTTTTTTTCGCTTAGAAACTTTTTTCGTATGCTCAGCATCTAAATTGAAGTGTTTAAATTACCAATTTAATTAAATTCCGTTGTTCTTTCGATAGTCTTCTAAATGCACGTCAATTAAGAGCCTAACGATGATCGGAGTGAATTACTGCGGTAATTGTTGCTAATGAAGAAATTTCAAGCCTTTTAAATTCTTTCATTATTACAACATTAAAGCTTCATATGTGAAAAGTTATGTTTCTAATTCGAAAATGGAGGAGAAACATCTTTTGAATATCAAATAAATTATCTAACTCATTGCAGCTCATTGAAGCTAAGAATGGAAAATAATTTTCATATTAAGCTTTCTTTACTGTTGTCTGCTTTATAAGAGATTTGCATGCATTCATCTCTAGTCGTCTGGAAAAGGAAAATTTGCATAAATTTTCGAACAAATAAAAACTTTTTAGATCCCACAGTGTGATGTTGTTCATCAAATTAAACTACAAATCTGCGAATTTCATTTCGCAACTTCAAATTAATTTAATCTCTTCCTCGAAAGTTAATTAAAAACATTCCTGAAGGAGTTCAAATATCATCAGTAACATACTGTTCATGGATGTCAAATGCAGGGAAAATGCTTGTCACTATCGTATCGTTTAAAACTTTTCTGCCATTCATTCATTCCGTAAATTAAAACGAGTAGGAAGTTTTATTTTACAATTCATCAAAAACTATCTCATGACGTCTTCGTGATTTATTGTTTAATTCTCAGGGTGTTTGCATGGTTGAATATTTTAACTATCCACCAAATGATTAAAGAAAGTTAGTTTTATTCATTTTCTTTAAACTTGATCACAAGTCATAAGCATGAAAACTGAATTTCATTTGCTAAGCAATAAACAAGCTGCAAAGCTTCTTCTTTTCTCATTTAACACTCGAAAATGTGAACATTTAATGCAATTTAAAGCCGCCATAAATTACAATTTGTACACTCGACTCACGTTCGGAACTTTTTGTTTCTTTTTCGCAAATATTTTTGTCGCAAACTTTTGTTTTTCTTTGAATCGGAATCGAATCGATACTTAACGCAAATCAACATAAAATTTTGTTGTGAATTTTATTTCTTCTTGTTGTTATTATTATTATTTGATGATCGTGCTTGTTCAATACATGGAGTTCAATTGAAAAGCATTTAGAAATTGAAGGAAATATTAATATTGTCGTATTTTTGGACTTAAATCTTTTATGAGACATTTGAAAGGATGAAGCTGTTATGATGACTAGAAATTTATAAGATTATCGAAGAAATCGAGCACTGACTTGACTTGGAAATAGTTTCATGAAACAATTCGTATTGAAATTGAAATAAATTGGATGATTTTTCCACTCGATATTAGAACGTGCTGCAGGTATGAAAACCATAAAATTCCATTTCAATCGCTACTAACCTTGACATAATCTTAAGCTCATTAAGAAAGAAAAAAACCTTTAAGAAGGGTGTTGAGATATGGTCGAGACTTAAAGAACATGAGATCGACGACCTAAATAAAACGTTGCTACGGTAAATTTCAAAAGAAGAGATAATTCTTCAACAAAATATTTGTCTGCTGCTGGGATTATTTAAGTGAAGCAAAATGAGAGAAAATATTTAAATAATTATGAGCTGTCCAAATGTTTCGCTTTTTTTTCGAAGAATTCTGTAGGTTGTCTTTATTATCGTTTAAAAAGCTTCTTTTTTGAATTAAATTTGCATTTTCTGATCTTTGAAATTTATATCAAGACAACAAACACTCAGATGATGGAAAGTTATATGAAATTTAATAGAAAACGAATAAATCGTAAAAGCAATGTTTCTAATTTTAATTAAATTTCATTACATTTCATAGTTAATTGGGACTCATGTTAAGCTTTTAATAGCATAAAATAAGGAATGTGACGAAAACGTGATGTTCAATTAATTAACAACACAATCAACGATAACCGTGGGCATCACGATTAATTAACTTTTCTTCAGTCTTCACCTTCCATCAACTCATCTCTATTTAATGTTACCGATGGATGAAACTTTAATTGATATTCATGAACATGTTACAACACAAAAACCCCACACGATTTTATTCCGTAATCGACGATGACATCGATAAAAAGAAGAAATTGACTGAATCATTGACCATAGATCACGTTTGCATTCGTAAGTTAAATGAAAGATGTGAGAAGATTTGGAATTTCCGATAGTCTCGCATTTAAACTTTAAACACATTCATTCCTAATGCGATTATTCACTGATGAAACTGAAAGCAAATAGTTATAATAAACACAGATGATGAAAATGCGGACTTGGAGGCTTTATGTAGACGTGTTTCAAGATATAATATGTGTAATTAACATACGCTTTAAATAATATTTTCAACTCGACGTTGTTTTGCTAGCGTTTATCCCAGTGTAGGAAAAAATTTAATCTTTCAACCTCCTAATAAGAATATTCAAGATTTCATTTTGTAAACTTTTACTTTCTTGTAATATTATAAAAAGAGTTTAAAGATGCAATCATGTCACTTTAATACCCAATAAGTTTTCATTTACATTCTTATAACTTTCCATTTCACACTGACCTCGTCGAAGTCTTGGAGGTGACAAAATAGCAGACTGAAGCACTTATGAAAAAATTGTTATTTTGATAGTTTGTTTAATGGCGCTTAAGATTGCGCTTCTCCCAACTCCTATTATATTTTATTTCAATAGAAATCGATTTGAAGTGGAAGCTTTATGTGTTGATACGAAACCAATATCTGAGGTTTTCTTTTTCTTCTTCTTAATGACAATCCATTTCACAATCCATTCGTAAAAAAAGAATGACAATTGTGAAATTATTGCCAATTGAAAAGTGGTTGAGAAGATGAAACACTTGAAAAGCATTTAAGAGAACTTCATATATTGTATGAGATGAGTTTAAGAAACAATCTTAAAGAATATAAAAAGTTTGAAGACGTTGCGTAGTGGAAGAACAAGCAAAGCATCTTTAAAGCCGATGTCTCAGAACAAACACTTTTGGGAAACTTTTCGCATTAAAATCTCAAAACAATCCTCCTTAGACATTAATCAACCAAAAGTTAATAATTCTGTTGATTAAGTTCATAAAGTTAATCCACATTTTTTATTTATTCAGATTTCTTCTCTGTAAATAAAATTTCAATCCGTTAATCTGTAAGAAATATTTCAAATCTAAACGACAAATTTTCTTTAAGAGTAACTGTTGAAAAGTGCTGAGAATACTCAAGTGAATTGTGTAAAAGCCATTTCACGAGTGAGTGATGTCGTGAAGCTGTTTAGAATCTTTCTTCCATGATGCGAACATTGCCAACAAAAAAAGATAAACTTTTTTTTACATTCACTGTTTTCGATTTCTTTTTTGTTCTCGTCGCTCTTTTTTTTCGAAGCATTCTGCGAAATTATGAAAAATGCTTTCAATGTTTTTGCTACAATTTTTTTTGTGAGTGATGGGAAACAGCGTCAGTATCATGTCTCAGTTTTCTATCTTCTGGCTATAAGCGGCAATGTTTATTAAACAGCACAAACGGAAGTCCGTTTATCGATGTTTATATTTATTATCAACTCCAAGTTGATGGCAAACATTGACTGATTTCACCAATTTCAATGATATTTATAAGCAGCTCGATGTAAATTGATCATAAAACATGCACAATATCGACAAAATCAATACTTATAAATTAACTTCTTATTAGGTTATTGATTTTAATAACAAATTCTCCATGATAGAAAAATAATTAAAATGTTATCAATTCGCTTATAATTTCATTTTTATTGAATAATTCGAAGTAATCAAATTCACAACAACTTTTCTTGTTTATTTTCTGAAATGTTTTCTGTCTGCTTTTAATTCAACCAGAATCATTAAAAGTTTACTTAGTTGTTTAAGCACATGGGAAGTTGCAATGAGTTGAATTTTCTTGTTGTAGTGAAATTTAATAACAAAAAATTTACAATTTAATGAATAATTTTTTTATTTAGTTAACTGAACAAAATTTCTCGATCTCGTTTAAACTCTCATTTAATTGCATAGAGTAAAAAATTTATGAATGGTAAATTTTTGCATATTTTGACTTTGAGAGTCAATAACTTTTTTTTCTTTGGGTTTTTCCCTATTTTTAAGGTTTTAAAATATCAATCAACTTAGCAAGAGTTGATTGATATTTAGAGAAAAAATATGCGATGTAAACTTTCGGCACACGAAAGTGAAACAAAAAAATCTAATTTGGACATCTAGAATCAAATTTGGACAGTTGTTCGATCGTTTGTGGACAGTGTTTAAACTCGGCAACAACGTTTGAAAAAAAAGTCATTTGTATTGAAAAAATTAAAAATACTAGGAAATTAATAAAAATATTGTCGACGGTACATTTAATTGATAGTAATTCATGTTTAAGATGTAATTCCGATTTTTTAAATCGATAATTATAATCATTTTAGGAATGTTCACTTTTTGAAAATTATTTCACCGTTAGATTTTCAAATGTGGATCCATATAAAAATTGTGTGTCCACATTTGATCTAAAAAATGTATGAGCTATTTATTTAATAGTTAATTAAATACATAGTGTTGTGAAATATTCTTTCATCAATTCACTTCTGCACATAACTTGCTATCTTTTTGTGTATTTNTAACAAAAAATTTACAATTTAATGAATAATTTTTTTATTTAGTTAACTGAACAAAATTTCTCGATCTCGTTTAAACTCTCATTTAATTGCATATTAAATTCAATAAAAACTTCTCTTTTCAGGATGCAATTTGTTAAACTCTTTTTATTTCAATATTAACAGGAATAACATCATTAAATATTTTCATAAGTATTAATTGCGTTAAACTACTGTGAAGATGTGAAGTTTTAAATATTTTTAATCTCATTAAAAGTTCTCATCTGCAATCGTCTTTTAAAATTATGCACAACAGTTATCAAATACAGTGGCGCAATTGGCAGATTCATTTAAACAGTTTAAAGGGAATTTGTAAGAAAATAAATCTGAACACAAATCTTCAGGTTTTCACGCCACTGATTAGCGTAGGCATCAAATTTTCCTTCATCTTCTCGAAATGCTTACAATAATCACGAACAAAAAGAAAACACTCATTATCTTCATCTTTCATTAAGCGAGAGAGAAAAATAAGTAAATATGTAAACACAAAATGAGATGATTGCTTTAATTTCAATTCTGCATGGAGTAAAAGAAAATTCAAAATAATATCAGATGAAATGTGAAGATAAAAGTCGAGTCTTCCACAATTCAATTTGCCTTTAATAAGACTTTCGCTTTTTTTCTGTTATTACGAGCCTACGCGATATTCCTTTTGACAGTTTGTTTTAAACTTTATCCAAGACTTGAAGCGGAAACAAATTTGGCAACCAAATCCCGTGACCAAAGCTCCACGTCCCTTGCGTTTGAAATGATAAAAATCAAAGTTTATGACCGTCATTTCTGTGATGACACTGTTCAGAGTTCTGCCTTCCATTGTTGTTGTTTCTTTTCATCTGATATTTTAGCAAAATTAAATTTCATTTTCGTTTAACGCTTTCGGTCAACAAAATGAAAAACAAAATCGTTGTCGTTGCCAAAAAATAAAAATTTAATTCAGTGCTGAAAAATAAGAAGATCGAGGAACGATTGAGTAACACTGCGAAATTTTGCTGTTCGTGTTTGTACTTAAAGTTTTAAATCGATCGACAGCTGACGATGTACGAGAACGTTGTTTACGTAACAAAATATTCGCAAATGATTCTTGCACGAAATTCAAATTGAAAATGTTTGTAGGTAGTAAGAATGATTTGCTTATGAAAAGCTTTTTCCGCTCTTGAACTTTTCATAATCTTCATTATTTATTAAAAAAATAATATCATTTTCCGACTCTTCCCTTGAGCAAGCTATCGGTTGACTTATGAACATCCCACAGCTCCATTAAAATTTTTTCGTACCAGCTGAGGCGAAATGTACGAAAAAAAGGTCGCAAAATCTAAAATTCGTTGAGAAAGTATCGATTATTATTTCTTGACTTAAGTCTCATCCTACTTTAATTCTAATAACCTCCCCAACGACAGAGCAGCTCTGTCACAGAACTACGATTAAAAATATGAGGAAAAATATTTGCATATACGCTTTAATTAATGAAATAATTTAAAATTTGTTTTGTCTAGCAATTCGCAAGATTTTACTCGCAAATCTCTTTATTAAAGTCTTGAAATGTCCGACAAATTGCAAGATATAAATTTAAAAATATTTTCATTTAAACTTTCATGGTGTAATTGAGAGGATGATAAACTTTAATAATTTTGATTGGAGATGACAATTTGGTAGTTGAATCATGAAAGCAAGAAATTTATTTACATTCCATGATATGACAAGCATGAATAATCTTTGTATTCCTTTCAATTAATTGCGAACATATTTTCGAGTTAAGATACTGAATCGATGATCAATATTTGCTATTGGCTTGATTACCATCAACAGAATGCAACTAGCATTGCAATGCAAGTTACAACACCAGTGACAGCTAATTGCATTCTTGTTTTGCTTCGGATTAAGTTCAACTTAAATGGAACATGATTTTTCCATTTGTACTTCTTTGCCCAATACTTAATCGATTGAACAATGAACTCGTTTTCAGATGTCTCAAAGGGAATGAAAATTTATGTACGTCGAACTTTATTTGAATCATCAGCTTCCATTTGCATATGACGATACATTGCTTGCTTGTTTTCCATGAACAGAATATCAAAATTCCTTTAAGACAATTGTCAACGTCATTGCTTAAGATATTTATGATACTTGAGCATCATAAACAAAGCTTTTAAAAAATAAACCTTTGAACGGGTTCAAAAAGAAAGCTTTTCAACATTTCTCGTTCATTTCATTTTGTGATGGAAATTTTGAGCACTTGAAAAGGATTAAATGCATGTCACTATTTCGTATACAAAATAATCCTCAAGCTAAATATGAAATGGTCTGGTTAATGGGAATGTTAAGATAAATGAACGCTTTGGAATCTAAAAATAACTTAAATATCTCTCCATGATATAAATTTTAATTCAACAGAACCCATAAAAGTCTTAAAGCATTGCCTAACAGCATAAAAATTGTAACATTGTGAAATATTTGATAAGCACTTAGAAAACCAATAAGTATTCAAGATTATGTCAAAATGACATGCTTGTCATCCGAAAGAAACTCTTTAAGTTTAAAAGAATCCTTACAAACAAGAAGCAATTCCCGTTGAGTAACAACGTAGCTTAGCAGCGTCAAATTTAGAGCATAAATTTGCCATCCTCTTTTTCAAATCGATTGAGAACGTAAATGGCATGAAAAGAAATTTTTTTCGTGCGAAAATTCAAAATAATATTTCACATTTGAAGCAGTAAATGTCTGTCTTTACTTTGCTTGCCTTCCGGCAATGGCATAAACATTAAACTTTATTTTTATGCTATCAATTTTGTTTATTTTCGGAATTTTGTTTCATTTATTGATGCTACCTGAGAAAGCAGATGGAAGCATGGAATGCATTATTTAAAATGTTTGTCAAGTTCCTTTTAGGCTTCACAAAAAAACAAATCATTTTAATTTTTGTAGAGAAGTTAATTATCAGATCAACGACTTGTGCAAATTTTATTCTTGATTGCGATTGATTTTTGCTTTTCATCACTAATGACTCATTTATTTTCATTTGATAACATTATATAAGAATTTCTTTTCTTGAAATTTGTGCTCCCTGTTGTTAAGATTGATTTGAAACTATTTGGAAAAGATTACATTTATGAATTTCACTCCAACTGCGACCTAATGAAATGACTTCGATTGGTTGAAAATGATCTTCAATTAACATTTTGTTGTTCAATATCTTTACTAGAAATGGATTTCAGTGGTGAATGTTGTTTCAACATCTTTTGTTATTTTACTGGGATTGAGAAATTATTTCAATTTTCTTCTCAGTTTTAATTGAAGTTCTCTTTTAGTATGCCACTTGAATATTCTCATTAAAATTTCTATTTTCAGTCATAAACTTGACAAGACCAGAAAGCTTACGAAAGAATTACGCGAGTTGTTGTTCGCTTTACACTTTACATTGTTGCAGGAACTGAATTTTAATTAAAAATAGAAAAAAGGAAACTCATTGTCGTCACTCGGGGTAGGAAACTTCTTCAGCTTCATTGTTTTGAATTTCACGATTATTTAAATTGTGAAAGATTAAAAATTATGTAAATCAACGAATTTAGGACTTTTACAAATTCTTAATGAAATCTAAAACTTTCTTTGTTGTAAATTGATAAATGCTGTGAGATATGAGATTTGTCTTTAAGAAAGTCATAGATGGATCAAGTAGAATTTAAATAAGTTAAAAGTTATTTATTCATCAAACTTCAAAACCGCGACATTTAAAATGTTATCCAAAGCTTTGACTTTCCATTTTTGCTTATCTTTTCCCCGCAGAGTTCTGCGTTCGTTTTTTCAGCTTTTCTAAGGAAATAAAAATTCATACAATTTTGGGAAGAAAAAGAAAGCCTAAGAACACAAAATTACAATCTTTCTGAAACTGGGGTTTAGAAGAGAACGTTGTTACAAAGCCCACATAATATTTACACTGTCACTGTTCTTGTAACTGCTTGAAGATATTGTCGAATATGAATCTGAGTTCATGGCTGTCAAAAGACGATGACAGAGATTGTGAAATGGTTTGCCTTGAAAAGTGTAAATTATTAATATAAATATAAAAATGAAAGATATCCGCTGATGACTCATAACCGCTAATATTATTGGAATTCACCATTACGTATCGTGTCGCTTGTGTGTTGACAGATTTTTTCTTCTTTTTCACTGTCTTCAATTACTATGAAATTAACAGTGACTACTGAGTAATGTCTGATGACACAGAGAAAAAAATTAAACAGTTGCTACGAATAAAAAACATTTAACAATCGTTAAACCCACACTCGACATTCCATATTCATGTTGTGGCAAAGAGAAAATTTATTTATAACTTTGAAATAATTTCAACAACAACGGAACTACAGGAAAATACGTCATTGTTATTAGATTAATATTAAAAGCTTCATAAGAAGTATTCTTATTCATCAATTTATAACTGAAGTTAATGAGACTGAAATGAATTCATCGAAGTGCGTTAATTGGTTTTTGCAATCAACTTCCAACGTAAATAATTAACGAGAGCTTTTTCCTTGCTTTCAATCTTCAATGTAATATTAAATAAGGTTAAACACAGTCAAAGCAGTTGATCAGTAACAACTTTAAGTCGAAAGGAAAACTGACCTAAACTTCATTCAATTAATCAACACAAATCTTTGTGCTTTTCTGCACCAATCAACCAATGTTTTTCTTACGTTAAACCGTGAGAAGTTGTTGATTTGCAACATGTGATAAGAATTTATTGCGCAAATTTATTTTTCCTTCTCATGGGCGTGTCTCAAAAGAATTTCAAGAAAAAGTCGAATGAAAAAATTTAAATTTGACGGATAAGTGATTTATACCACGACAGATTCAAATAAATCAATTCTCACACTTCAATCATTGTACTTTTTTCCTCACATTCTTTTGAATGCATAATTTAATTCCATGCGGTTAATATTTTTCCGCTTTTATAGTTTTGTTGTCCATTCGACAATCAATAGTAAATCACGTTTACTTACTGAGCGGAAAATCGATATAAGCTTAATTTTTAACAAGTTCATGTTGGTTTTTTATTGCGGTTCGGTGTTTTTTTCGCACGCGTGCATTTCTTCGACTGTGTTGAAGGAATATCAGTTACAGATTAATGAATGAAAGAAAAAAACATTTTTTATAAATGCTTTTAAAACAACGTTGTGGTTACGTGACGGAAGGTGGGTGCGAGAGAGATATCATGTTTCATTTTAATTGAGAAAATTGACCGTTAAGTTCGATTGTAACGCTTAATGATCTATGATTAAATGCTTTTATTCATAATTGAATCGAAACACGAATATTCAGTAATGAGATATTTTCAAGCAAGGGCATGTTAGCTAGTAATTTGAAATCGTAATTAATCACTTTAAGCACTTAAAAAATCCCTGCATTAACTTTTACGCGTTATTTGATACTTTGTGCAAATATGCAACCGACAATGTTATAAGTAAATGATTTGTATCATTAAAAAGAATTCACGATAAGTCAACACATTTTAATGTTGATTCCTAAATTATAATGATGTTAGATCTATTGTGTAGTGACACGACTTCTCGAAGCAGAGACACGTGTATCAAATGATCGAAAACATGAAACACACGACAATGAAAAATAATTGCAATCTTACTTCATGAGATCAAAATGTTAAAGTTGTCAATTTAATTCGACTATAAATTATGTTTCGAATGCTTTGCAATGTGACATAAAATTGTCGAATGCACATGAGAAAATGCTGCACAGTTTTAGGCTTGGCTATTGGAAATTGAGACTAATCGCATTATTATTTTCTGATTACCCTTGACAACAGGTTAATACAGGAAGTATTGCTGACAATGCTGGACTTAAAGCTGGCGATGCCGTGGTACGCATTAACTCGCAAGATTTATACAACTTACGTCACAAAGACGCTCAAGATGCCATCGTTCGAGCTGGACCATCATTTGAAATGATCATTCAAAGGTTGCTTAAAATTTTTCCTTATGTCAAATTGAAGAAACATAAATTATAAAATATTTTAGAGGTGGCGCGACATGGAAGCCTTCAGTGACACCACTCAGTTCTGCAGCACCATCACCACTTCCTGGAAGTTATGCGCCTCTGACAAAGACTTCTCTTGCTGCCAACAAACAACCATCAAGCAATTTCGGCAGTGGACACAACTCTGCAGCAAAACCATTTGTAATTTATTATTTATATTTAATCTAAATTAAAGCTTGACACACTGGAATGAATAATTTATTGCAGAACCAGCAGATTCCAGCATCACCCGGTCGTGTTATTGCTAACAAGCAATACAACACTCCAGTTGCCATGTATAGTGATGAAATCATTGCTGAAACCTTATCAAGTCAAGCGGAAGTGTTAGCCGGTGGCGTTTTGGGGTAAATAAATATTTAATTACATTTTGACTACACTTCCAACCATCTGGAAGCTTTAATTTTTATATGAAAACTGACGTTAAAATGTTGAAATGTTTTTTGTATCCTTCCAGAGTCAACTTTAAGAAAAATGAAAAAGTTTACAATCCTGAAAAGTCGGAAGTGCTGAAAGCACTCCAAGAAAATGACTTCGAACCGGAACCAGGTAATGAAGGTGGTGAAAGAAACGAAGTCATGGCAAATAATGAGAGTAATGACGACGATCGTTACTCACATTATTATGCCTTGGCGTGTATGTTAAAGCTCCTTAACGGCGGTGATGGCAACGAATCTTTATTCTCAAATGATAAATTAATTGACTGAATAACTTTTCCGTCTTCATCTGCATTGTCAACGCCTTGCGTTTCACTTTCATTCTTCTTGAAGAGGCGACGATACTCGTAAGATGTAAAGCAGACAAGAATCATCACGCATTAATCATTAATAACAAGGCATGAGACGGTGAATAGCAAACAGTAGAAATCATTTTCACGCCACTTTCCGTTCATTTCTCATTTCGTCTCGTATGTTTCTCCCATATCAAGAAGTTAATTTTGTTTTCTCGTGCGCTCGTGACACGTCGTGAGTGAGAGACGAGATAAACATTGGCTGACTATGAATTTTTTATCTTTTTGGAACTTTTCTCTTGATAAACTTTGCTCGTGAGTGATGTGGAAATTCTTCGAAGTTTATAACATAAAACAAGATCTAGTCAATTAATGATTCTTCCTGCCTAGTCACGAGTTTATTAATAACTTCTAGTTAACGCTTTTACACTTAAAGATATAAAATTTTTACGTTTGATGTTCGTTGAGTATGAAATAAAATTTTCAATAATTCTGATTAAGTTTGTGTCTGCTGCGGTTGATGAGAGAAAAATTATTTTAATATTTATTATCATATAAAAATTGGATGTTTTCATCAGCTAAAGAAAACAGAAAATATTTAATTGAGAATTTTTGAATTACGCGTTCGACGAACGTTCGACGCAATTTATGAGTTTTTAAACAATTTTTTAGTCAAGGTTTTGCTTTATGGCAGCACTTTAACACCTTTTCCTTCTAAACTTGTGCCATATCCCAAGTCAAGTTGAAATAATTTCTTATTAAAGATTTAAAATGATATTCATTTTGATAATAAAAGATGATAACGATAAAATTTTGTTGTTAAACCTTCAAAAGGAAAAAAAATTGCTTTTCGTTTCATTGTCTGCATCATGAAGTGAACAGAAATGCGGGTCGAGGGATGAAAATAAATACTTACAAAAGGAAATCTCGGAGAATTTATCATTGTGTTTTCCATTTTGCTTGCCTTCATGTTTCCAATGTTTCTATTTTCATCCGGGGCAAGGAAGTGATCTGGAGCAAAATCATAAATCATTCTCAAATTTTTCCTTTTTTTCTTTCGCTTCACGTATTAATTCATTGAAATCCAAAAGAAAACTGCTGAGAACACAAACAATTTAAACACTGATTCGTCAATTTCAATTCCTACACTGCCAACAACGGTTTCATTATAAAAATCTCACAAAACTTTAATATCGAATCATTCTTGTAATTAACTTCAAAAAACATTATCGAAGCTCATGTGATGAATGAATTATTGTCATTTAAATCGAAATAAATTATAATTAATTAATTGAGTGTGAACAAATATGTATCAAATAAGTTACAAAGAGTGAAATACATTTTAAATCATTTTTATGTCGTTTGTAATAATATTGCATTAAGAGAAATAAATTAATGATTTCATTGAAACAGAAAACTCAGCCAGAAGACAATGGTTTTAGTAACAGAAAGTCTCTAGTCGTGTCTTCATTCGTTACATTTTATAGCGCAACATTAATATCTCAAAGTACATTAAAATAAAATCTAAAACTTAGAGAAGCACTTAAGGAGAGTAAAATCATTCATCATTTATTGAAATTTTTCACTGTTCATGTTTTAGTACCATTGACTTTGTTTTTGCTTTATCAGAAGCGGTCAGGGAACATTTAAAGCTACGTCAACAAAAAAATTGCAATCAAAATGAATGTTGAGAGCTTCATGTAAATATACGAAACTTTACGATGATCCCTTTGAATAGAAAAAATAAATAGCTTTGATAATAAAAGGCAAATATCTATAAGAACATAAAAAATAAACTCGAGATAGATAAATCTACTGTAACAAAAAAATTGTTAAAAGAATTAACAATAGAAATCATGCAGAAAATCTATAAATTATTCTCTTCTTCGATCTAGTCAATGGTCGTGGCATATTGTGAGAATTAATCAATTAATCACTATCACGACGAGAATACATTCATTATTTTCTTCGCCTTTATTATTTCTTGATCATTTTTAACCAATTCATGCGCATCATTACTAATAATTTTTCTTATTCTTCTCATCTTCATTAATTGAAAATACCTTGAAAACAATCGGAACATTCCTTGTACAAAATTAAAACTAATTTAGCTGAATTACCAGTTGCTCAATCAGCGCCTTCTCAACAACCAACTCAGCAGCCAGCTTATCAGCCACAACAACAACAGCAACAGCAGCAGCAGCAGCAACAACAAGTTGTCACAAAACATGTACATGCACCAGTTGATAGACCAATTAGCAATAATGGTGGCTTACCAGCTGGTCAGAATATTTGTGCCGATTGTGAACGACTCATTGTGTAAGTGTTCAAAGGTTAAACTAATGTTCATTTAGTTGTGATATTTTTCGAACAACTTGAATGCAATTTAAAATCGTTCTCAGTTGGAGAATTGCAGAAGGAAGGCAGAGCAACATCTCCAACTGTTCGCAGTGCGAATGGTTATACGAGTGAAAGGGTTAAACGTCATTGTCTCAAGAATGCTCATTTATTTATTATTCTGTCATTAACATTCATAGTCATCTTAATGTAAACTCGACAAACTCATTCATCATTTTTATACAAACAACAATATATTCCAGGAAGAGAATTTCATGCAACTCACTGTCAGTCAGCACTTTGACATTGGAGATTTTAATTTCTTATTTACAACGTGACTTTAGTTTCTCGTCTTCTGTCCACTTCCAGAGCTTTTACAATTGAACTCTTGACAAAGAATTTCTCTCTTTATTTTTCCTGTTTATATTTTTTTCAACAAACCGTGACTGAAATTAACTGTTGCAAAATAAATATTTAGTTGGATCTAAATTTTACTGGCAACAAAGTCATGCTATTGGAGGCAGTGCAACTTCAGCACATTCACCTCGACCTTTAACTCCAAATTATCAAAACATGGGAAACTATGATGATCGTGTCGGTACGACATTGCAAGAGAATAAGCTCGCACCAACAGCATCGCATAGACCATCTTTACCAGTTCATGAAGCTTCTAAAATGTCTTTTCAAGAGTAAGGATTATGTATAAATATTTAATGACGATCGTCATTGTTCAGAGTTTTAGTTTTCACTGTGTGTTTGTTCCTAGAAATTGTCATTAAAAAATCAAGTAAAATCTTTTTTCTGTGTGCTTTCATTATCTAAATCCTCAGCTTCAACTCTCCAAAAGGAGTCGAAAAGCTTAAAATAAATTTCTTTCATGTGTTCTTCCTTTCAAAAGTTTTTCGTTCACCCTTAATGACAACATTTTGTCATAATTTTTCGTTTTCGATGAGAAACATTTTTCATCGTTTGAACGATGAATTTAATTGGACGAAAAAAAACAAAATGAAAAAAGTTTAATCATTAAGAATAGAAATTTTATACAACGAAAATTGCAGGTAAAAGCTCTTCGTGCATGTTTTGTGTGTATGTAAAATTGAATGAAATTATCAACACCTGAAAACGGCGGAAGGAAATTGTTCGAAAAATAACTTATCAGCTTTAACTTTGTTATTTAATAATAAATTGCTTCAAATTTTCTTTTATTTTCAATACGTAAATCAATAAAAATCAATCATAACGAAATAATTCCATTAGTGGTGTGTTTGTGAGAATTAAGGACAAGAATCTTCATGCTGAATGCTTCAAGTGCGCAACATGTGGTACGTCACTGAAGAATCGAGGTTACTTCAATGTTCACAATAAATTATATTGTGACATTCATGCACGAATGGTTGCTTTGAATAGTCCACCACCAAATTCAAATGGATTGGCACCTGTCACTTTCGAACCGTAAGTACAAAATCTTTTATTTATTCATCCCGTGATTTATCAATTTTACTTCGAAGTAAAGTTTCTACTGGAAATTTTTATGCTAGCCATCATCAATCTTGAAGAGAAATTTATATCAAATATTTGCAAATTACAATTTAGCAGTAACTCCAGCATGCCACAGTGCATGCATATTTCTTACCATATTTGTTTTCATAATCACTCTAGTTTGTATCTAAAATGTTTTTGTATATATTACCACAAACTATAAGGAATGTTAAATTTTTGGAACAATAATACGAACAACAATGTTTACATGGAGGTTTCTATGGTTTGACATATCAGTTTTCCCGAATAAATTTTCATGGTTTTTCTTTCTTATTCTCTCAACTCAACATGAATAGGAAGAACGTTGGTGCTAGTGCAATCTCATCTGCATTGAACGCTCATGCTGGAAACTTAAATGGCAATGTAAGTAATCTGTCAATATAAATGTAAACGTTTGTTGGTTTTTTTGATAATCATTTTGTTTCGAGGGTGCTTTCAACTTAAACGCCTCTCATTAATTCCTTAAATTACATGAAATTGTCATTCTGATCTAAATGTTTAAGTATTTTGTTAAGCTTTGTTACTAAACCCCCGTATTTTTGTCCTCATAAAACTAATCCCTCCCGCTATTGAAATAGTGCCGCAATTCTGAAAGTGAAAGCTTTAAAGCAACAATAAAGCCCAAGGTCAATGATGACTATAACAATAACATCATTTATGATAATCGTTCGACATCATCCGAGACTGATTGCAGCAGTTTGTCGAGCTCTGATAAGGAAAACGATTCAAGACCATCATCATCATTGCACGGTAACATTAATAAATGTGACGCACAAAAGAAAAGCGTTGAAGAGAGCTTTCAGTATCGGACCATAAATGGTAGAGTCATCAGGAGTGTCGTTCCACCCGGAAAAGGTATCAAAGTTGATTATAAGGTAAGTAAATCACTTTGTGTTGAATCATTTTCTCATTTACCTTTCAATGTGCTTTTGTTGTTGACTTGAAATCTTGAAAGCTTTTTCACAAACGTGTCTTCCGGGTCACGTAACTTTAAGGGGTAACATTCGGTTTCATATTTATTTTCTTTCGCCATAGGCTCCATCGAACTTTTCAGCACCAAAGCCATTCTCTTACGCTCCCGTGACTCCAAGTTTCGGTGGTCCACCTCTTGCCGCACCTAAAAGCCCATCGGCATATACACCAACACCAGCATGGTCTCCACCATCTGCCGTGGCTCCAGCTGCTCCGAAACCAGCCGGCCCCGTTCAAGGTGCTTATTAATTTTTCATTTATACATTCAAGGCACACACCTTTTTTTCTTTTCTTCTATTTATTTGAGTTTCGCACTTTCTCATAAGAATATTCTTATAAAACATTTTTTATCTTCATTTCGTGAAACTATTTTCAAAAGGAATTCATTATTTAAAATGAGAAAATTCATGATACCTTCACACCAGAACTATTTACTTAAATGAAAACAATTTATGTTTAATATTAATCATCATTATATAGCATTATAGATTTGGTACTCATGTTATGTTCCTGTTAATTGACTTGAACTTCAGGTTAATTAGCTTTATGTTAATGTTTCCTAATGTTGTGTTCATATGCCACTGTTTCCTTTTGCATTGCATATTTTTTTGTCCTTTAATAAGATTAGATGAAATTATCACGAATGCTGTTGAATGTTAATTATTTTATGTTGTTATTATGTACATGTAAACAAACACACAAACAAATCTTCACCACATTATCTGGGATTGCTCAAAACGAATGAAATATGTTTAGGAGGCTTCTTCAAGAAACCTGGATTTTCTCCAAAAGGTATGCACATGGGATCGTCTATCTCTAGATTTGCTTGAATGCTTTTGGGATGTGGGAATCAAACATAGTTGATGAATAAAGTGGGTTTAGCTAAACTAAAAATGTTTTAAATGTAATCCATCTTTATTCACATCACATATTTTTCAAACAAAGATCTTAGGTTGCATTACATTGTTTTTAAGTTTCTAAAACGTTTTGCAAATCATAAATATGGTGGAGGATATGTAAATATATTTAATGCATAAAAACAATAAAATCTTTTGTGGTGTTTGATATTCTAACTTTAGATGAAAAGATTATAGCAAAAATGTTTATTACAGATCTGTTAAATGTTGAATTAATTTTATTTTATGAAAGTACAATAAATTCTTTTCTCACAGCAAAATGTATGATGTTAAATAGTAAATATTTTAATATTTTTTGTTGAAACAATAAATGAATGTTGCGCAAGCAAAAATTTCTTTCATTCTTCTTATCCTTTAGTCTTCATGAGCATTTTTCAATTCTTCACTTGAATGCAATGAAATGTTCAGTTTAATTTCCGGAAAAACCATTAAAAATTTATTAATTCTTCACTGTCATTAAAAAATATTTCAACTGATAGAGTTCATAAAACTTTTCTTCCAACTGTGAAAAACGAAACTGAAAATGAAAAATTTTCATCTCATTACTTTCGAACTCGAAATTAGAGACATTTCCGTTATTATATGAAAATAATTTTCATGTAAAAATTGAATTTTACGGGTTTCGAACTCGAGATTCTTCTGAACATTTCAAATGTGAATATAAGCTCGCCACTGAAGTTTTTTTCACGTCATGCGATGAGTGGCAAATATCAAAATATTAAATTTTCATGAGCTAAAAATAAACTTTTAATGAACTCGGGCTCGATCTTGCGGTGTTTCTGAATATTTTAATTAAAGAAACGAAAACGAAAAGGAAACATTTTCACCGAAATCTTCGAACTTGTGATTTAAAATAGTTTCGTTATTTTCTGATTCCAGTTTTCATGTAAAAATTGATGTTCACGGGTTTCGAACTCATGATTCTTCTGAACATTTCAAGCGAAGAATGAATATTTCAAGTGAAGCCACTAAAGCTATTTTCACGCCACACACTGAGTGGCAAATAACAGATTATTAAATTTTCATGTGCTAAAGATAAACTTTTCTGAACACGGACTCGATCTGGAGGCGTTTCTGAATTTTTTAATTGAAAAGACGAAACTGAAAATGAAAAGTTTCATCACAATCTTCGAACTTGTGATTAAAAATTGTTTCGTTATTTTCTGAATATAATCTTTTCAATTGAAAGAATGTTTAATTAATTTTTATTCTTATTTATAAATGTCTTGCAAACACTTCAATAAGCTTTAAGAATTTTTCATCTCTGTTCAATCTGAAATTTAAATTGTTTTTATTGGAAAAGCTTTCAACTTTAAGTGAATAAAACTGATTTGAATTTCTCTTCTTTCTAACCATTTTGTTTTTGCTTGCACAAACATAAAAAACAACAAAAATTGCTGTGACAAAAAGTTTATTTTATTTGCATCGAAGTTTGCATTTTCCTTCGTGCAGGAAAATCAAATAAATAAAATCATCTGAATATTTGTGATTCACTCTGTGATATTTAATTTTTTTAAATATCCTTTTTGTACTTCCATTCTGAAAACTCTTGTTGACTGTTGTTTCTACTACATCTGTTTATTTATTGTGAAGAGTTTTCCTTGCTCAAATTTTATGAGTTTTTTCATTTAGAAAAGATTGAAGAAAACATTTAAATCTATTTACAGTAAAAAAAACGTCTCACATAATATTTGTTCTTATTTTTCAACATGTTTATTAAATACTTTAATATTTTTCAAATGGCTTCAACAAAAAGTTATCAGTTGAGAGTAGGAAAACATTCAAACTATACACTTCAGCATGAGAAAAACGAAAATCAATAATTTTGTTGCGTGACAACTTGTCACCCTTTTGGCGATGACTTAAACACAAAAACTTGAATCACAACACTATCTAAAGCTTTAAGAATGCCATTAAACGCATGTATTCAACTAACCTTCGCTTCTTATTTTTTATTTCTTTCTTTTCATTTTTGAATGCAATTTAATTGGTTATGGTTTTTGATCAAAATTAATATTTCACATTAATTGACCTTGACTTTGAACTGGACTGCAAACTTTTAATTGAAATTGACTTTACTCTTAACAATAAAATCGAAAATTTAAAGAATTTATTGACAATGAAAAATATAACAATAACTCTTACGATTACGAGGAAACTAAAAGGCCTGTAGAGAAAAAGGTAGAAATTTATGTTGCGAGTGATTCAGAAGAAGAATGTGATCCAACGGAATTGGTAAAAGAGTTGGCTAAGCCTCCACCTTCAAACTTCATTTGGCCACCTCCATGTGAAGTGGAAAAAGTTCCAATAGCTGCGCCGCTTTATGTTGCACCACCTGAAACTCAACATGTCACAGCTAAACCATCTTCTTATCGACCAATGATTGAAAAGAAAGAATGTTTAACCGTTCAAAGCTTACAAAAAGTTGAATCACAACAAACTTCTTCAACTGAATATGAATGCCTTCAAGTCGACTCTAACATTAACACTACTTCTTCTACTGTCAACACTACATCCACATCCAACAACTCATCAGAGTCAGAATACAAAATGTATCAAACACAAAACAATCAATTCACAAATGTCTTTGAACAAACTAAAGAAGTTGATGATGAGGTTGAGAAAATTAATCAAAAAGTGAATGTTGATTTACGTAAATCACCGCCACTTATTGAACTTCCAAAATCAATTAAACATGTTGAGTTTGTAGAACCTGGTGAAGACTACAAAGCAGAGACATTTTCGAGCGTCTTTTCAACACGTAAACAAACGTGGATGAAGCTTACTGATTACAATGTGGACGTTAAAAGACAAGAATTTGCTGCAACTGATGATAATCCAGAAAATTCTGAAGAAGATCAAAGTCATGAAGAAAAAATCCAACAACAGAAACGCGAAGAAGAGAAGGAAGAAGCAGAAAATGATGTTGAAGATGAAATAAAAGGGCAACATGTTGGACCTCATGAAGGTACTTATTATCAGCTGCCACCATCGAATATCCCTCAACCAACACCTAAAGGCTACTTCACAGACTTTCACAAAGCTTTGATTACAACATCTGAGAAACCTTATCAAATTTTTAATTTAGCACCAACTCCTGAACCGAAACTTCCAAGTTTAGATTATTATGAAAAAGCTGTTCGTAAAGCTCAAACAAGTGAAACATCAAAAGAAGAAAAAGAAACGAGAATGATTAAGGAAATTCCTAAATTTGAAGTAAAATCTGCTTCAAAGCAATGCAAGATGATTAGAACAGCTTCACCAAAGCCAATTGAATTCATGAGATCAAATATCATCGATGAAGTTCATTTGCCTGATGACATCGTTCCGTATTTCCCTCCACCCATTTCCATGATACCAAATGAACCATATGAGACATTAGAATCCTATCGTACAAAATCACCATTTGTCGGTGCATTAACAACTGTTCCTGATCGTCCGTACACTCCATTTGGTCGTGAAATTATGTCTCAGTTGGCACTTGATTTACCACAAGATACACCAAAATCATCGTTTTCAAATGCATTGCAAACGGCACCTGATGACTCATTTAGAGCATCATCATTGCAATTTGAATATGATTCAAATCCAGTTGAATACACAGCGAAGGTTTATGAACGAATTGAAATTGAAACTGATAAAGAGGAAATGTTACAAAGCTCAAAGTTCACTCGATGTTCCTCAATAAATCGTTCATTTTTGCCAACAATTCAACCATGGTCATCAGCAAGTGAACAAGTTTCAGATAACACGATGACTAACTCTGTTAGTGAATTTAGTTCTCGTGATTGTAAAGTCAGTGAAAGTCGTCGATGCAGTGAACTCAACATGAATAACCAACAACAAATGACATGTCCTTGTGATAGTGAGAAAAAGTGTTGCGAAAAAATGCCAACTAAACCAATCAGTGACTTGTTAAAGCCTGTTCATAAAGAAGAAGAAGAGTTTGATCCTTACAAGCCACAGCCGCATGCAATTTATCCAAAAAGACAATTGCAGCCTTCGCCTTTTGAGGGGATGCAAGTGAAACTTACGAATAAAATGACGTCCAACTTACACAAACCTGATGAGATTCCCACATATCAGAGAAAATGGTTTAATCTCCCAACTCAAAACCCTCCGAAAACACCAGAACCACAAGAGCTGAGAGAAAATGTCCCTACAGCTTTCCATGATTGGCCGACTAGTAACAACAATTCAAGACGTAATTCAATTTCTGATGTTAATCAACAATTCAAACATGGAAGTGAATCAAATCGTTCTTCAATCAATGTAAAAAGTAAAATTTCTTCAAAGCCTCCAATCCCAGTTGAATCCTCAAACCTCAATTGTTCTCAGAGAATTTCAGTTGATGATCGACAAACACGAAATCAAGAGCAACTAGAAGCTGATGAAGCTGAAGATGAATATGCTGAAATGATGTTTCCAGCAACAAAAGTTATTCAAATTGAAGGAAATTTTCCAACCAAAGGTATCAGAAAAAATTCACTTCTCGAAGCAAACCAACGACAAAAAGTTCAATTTGAAAAACAACGTGAACTTCAACACGAACTTCATCAACAACAACAAAAGTTAAAAAACAAACAAAAAGTTCGTCAGCAAAAAGAAATTGAAACGGTGTTAAATGAATGTCAAGTTAAATCATCAAACGAAATCATTCAAGCCGAGATTCAACAAAACACGAAACTTTCTCATTATGAAATGGAAATGGAATACAAACGACAATTGGAGTTAGAACATCAACAGAGACAGAAAGGACAAGAATTGAGGGAACAAAAGAAACGTGAAATTGATCACCAAAGAGAAATGGAAGAAAGTCGAATGAGAGAAATTAAATTGCGTGAGAAACGTGAACGTGATTTACAAATTCAAGCTTTGCGTGAAATTGAATATCAAAAGGAAAGACAACAACGTGAGGAAGAACAACGACGACAGCAAGAAGAGCGTGATTATGAAATGCAAATGCAGCAAGAAGAGATGGAACGTGAAATTAAACGACAACAAGAACAGGAAAAGCGTGAAGCTGAGAAACGTGAAGCAATTCGACTTTTTGAGATCAGACGAAAGGAAGAGCGCGATCGTGAACTTACAAGAATTGAAAATGAACTTCGTGAGAAACGTGAACAAGAACTTCATCGACTTGAACAGGAAATTCGAGAGAAACGTGAACAAAAGCAGCGTGAAGATCGTGAAGCTGAAAATCGTCGCAAACAAGAACAAAAATTAAGAGAAGAAGCTGATCGTGAACAAAGAAGATTAGAAGAAAAAGCTGCTGAAGAAAAACGTGACAGGGAAATGAAACTTCAAGAAGAACTTCGAATTCGTCATAAGCAAGAAGCTGACAAGAAACAGCGTGAAGAAATGGAACTTTTTAATATTGAAGAAGAGAAAAAGCGACAAGCAAACCAGCCAACTTATTCATCACACACTTATCAATTTCAAACAGTGTGGCCACCATCCAAGCCTGCAACACCCGCACCACCTCCGCAACAACATCGTCAAATTCCAATCATTAAAACTGACAGTGAAACTGAACTGAATGCGACGAAATTTCGGTTTGAACCTTTAGATGATAATCAGAGAAGATTCATGGCGGGAATTCGTCCACCGAGCACTTGCTATTCACCAGCAACTGAAGAGAAGCCTTACCCTTCAATCCCTTACTATCAACAACATCTTGCCTTTTATGAAGCTGAAGCTGAACATGCAGGAATATTCGATCCAAAAGCACTTTCTCCCACGCCTAATCGTTCTAGATCACCGGCTTTTGGACCTCCACCAAATCCTCTTTTGGCTTTTGTGAACAAAACGAGAGATCCCGTTCTTGATGAGTCGGGTATTTATTTGTGTGGAGAACGATTGCTGAGTCCGATATGGTACGATAAACAACACAAACAAATGCCATCGTCAGTTCAACGAAAGATTCATGCTGGCGGTTCATCATCGCGCCCCCCTTCTAAACCCGATTTGCATGCCTTAGGCGAAGCTTTAAAAAAACATAAACAAGAGTCAGGATCTAAACCTCCACCTCCACCACCACCCATGCCAAAACAAAGACCAAAAGTCAGCGATGAAAACAATAAAAATGAAAATGTGCCAAATGAATCAACTAATATTGCTTCTGCTTTGCCACCTCCTAAAGATATTGTTGACACCATTCCGAAAGGTATCGTTGCCAATCAAATACGACGTCTTTCGGGTGATTCCAATTCATTTTCCTCGTTTCCCATTCGCTCATCTTTAACTGAACTTCCATCGAAAACCTTTCCGATTAACGAACGTGACGAAGCAAAACTTTCACGACCAATTGACACTCATGACAATCGTACATTGACGCGACAAACTGTAACATCAGCTTCATTTCCATCTCATCAAGTAATCGATAATCAATCGCCAAATTCATTTCATCAACATTTCATGGGGCAATCATTAGCTTTGGCAAGCTCTCAAAATTCTTCTTTCAATCAAAATTCAGTTGACAATGTTCGTGTTAGTACAGGTTCTGTAGGTACTCCCGGTGCATTGCCAAAGCATGGAAAAACTTTCACAACAAGCGGACCCAATCGTGGTCAGGGTATTCTCACTCAACCCTCAACTGGTCGCGTTCCAATATGCGGCGCTTGTGGTAGTCAAGTCAGGTCGGTGATGGGTTTTAACATTCTCTGTTTGTGCAATCTTCTATTATGTTTTTTTGTGTGCATTTAATATTTAACAATTTTTTCTATAAACTTAATTTTGTTTTTTTCGTTTTTGAATTTGCCTAACAAATAAATTTGCTTTGATGTTCTTAGCTATTAACAAAGACAGTCACAAGGCCACTGACTTATTGATGGAATCGGTCGAACGTCTCAACATCAACACACAAAACTCGGAGTTTCGTAAGAATGCTTCCAACGTGATTGCTGCGATGCTTGAAGCCCGTGTCAAGCAGCAAAAATTGCCATCAATTCCATCGAAAAATGTTGCTGATAACGCCATGAAGAAGGTTAATGATCCTGAATTTCTCCCGCCCCCACCTCCACCGCCAATCACCTCCCATCCCAAATATTCATCTTCGAATGGTCATACAATAGAATTCAATAGTTGCGACCAAGACTTGCCTCTTCCACCGCCACCATCGCCACATAAAATTCCAGCATCTATTTTGACGCCGCCATTGTCAAGCGATGAAAATGATTTACCACAGAAATCTATCGAGAAAGTTCAGAATAATGTTAACAATAACAACGAAAAGGTCAATTATCGCAACAAAAAACATCATGTGAATGGAAATAACAATCAATCATCTGACTTATATAATGCCCCATCAGCATTTAATACCAATAAACCTGAATTGTCTACTCACGCACGAGATCGACGCTCTTACATTGAAAAAAATAACAATGAGATATCATCAATGAATGGAAATGTTGTCGAGGACGAACTGGATGTAGCTCAAATTGCAAATGGGATTGCTAATGGTCAACATCCGGTTTGTGATAAATGTAAATGTAAAATAACAAGGTAAGTACGCATGATTGTAGCATGTAAAATTATGTAAATGAAAGTGTTGCTTTTACAAAGACCTGCAATTTCCATAACATTACGAAAATAAATTGATATTTTACTCTTATCATCTCACACATTTCCTTACAAACAGAGGACCATTTATTACCGCCTTGGGACGTACATGGTGTCCAGCACATTTCTTGTGTGTCAACCCAAGTTGCAAACGAGAACTTGTTGACATTGGATTTGTTGAAGAGAAAGGTGACTTGTATTGCGAATACTGTTTCGAGCAATTTTTGGCACCTCCATGCGCAAAATGTAATGGAAAAATTAAGGCAAGTTAAAGCACAAGCTTCTGATTGTTGTATAAACATCAACAAATAATTCATTGCCATTCATAGGGTGATTGCTTGAATGCCATTGGAAAGAAATTCCATCCCGAGTGTTTCAAGTGCACTTATTGTGGTAAATTGTTTGGAAATAGTCCATTCTTCTTGGAAGATGGTGCAGCTTATTGCGAAGCTGATTGGAATGAGTTATTCACAACGAAATGTTTCTCTTGTGGATTCCCTGTTGAAGCTGGCGATCGATGGGTTGAGGCTTTGAATAACAATTATCACTCACAATGTTTCAATTGCACTGTGAGTTTCATGAAAATCTTATAGTTTGGCAGAATTTAATTAACTTTTCTTATCTTCACTCAATAGTACTGCAAAAAGAACCTCGAAGGACAAAGCTTTTTCGCAAAAGGCGGTCGACCATTCTGCAAAAATCATGCACGTTAAAAAACCGACGACAGAGAGAGAAACTTCATTAAATTTTTCATTCGAAAAAAATTTAATGTTTTAGCTGAATTTCATTTTGCTGACGACTATCGAGACGGAGGAAAGAGAATGAAAATATTTTTAATATAAAAGAAAAGAAATAAATTTTTGCTTTAGTTGTTAAGTTTAAATTTTAAATTGAAAGTGGATAAAATATTGAAATTTACAGGAAATTAAATCTTTAGTAGTGATTTCACTTAACTAATCAATGTTTAATTCAAAGAAGGAGAGAAATATTAAAGTTTAGTTCGTAAGAAGTCGTACAAGGCTTATACAAATTTGATAAAGAAATTATTTGCGTCATGGAAGTATCTTAATTATAGCAGAGAAGCTAAATACAAACTAACAGTCATCGGCATGTAATTTTTTGGTCTTTTCATTTAAATAACCCATAAATATAAATTGTAATAAAAATTTCATGAAAAAAATTAAAATTATCTTATGTGTGATGAATTATGTAAAACAAAAATGTGCATCGAAATCGAAAGAAGTTAAAAAAATGAAGATTAAGACAAGCAAAATTAGTCCACTTGTTTGTTTCTTTTTATTTTTGCACATTTTTTGCTTCTGAAATAAAAAAAATAAAATTTGTTGAAAGTTTTTTTGTGTTTTAATTATTTTTAAGATGTTTCCGTCATTTTCAGGGTTAACTTAAAAACTGATTCAGATCAGTTGACATTGGATTAGAATAAATTTTAATTATTTTCTTGATGACTCAATTTCATTTTTGTTCATACAAATTTAATTTTTAATTTAAGGGTTAACTTACTGAATAGGTCTCTTATATTAATATTAAGATCAAACCACATAGCAGTTCAGATACACTATCAGTAAATAACCATAAATTAAGCTTTAAGTTTATAAACAATTTGTTCGAACGTATTACATGTGTTATCACAAAATTTTTTGATATCTCGTGTGACATTGAACTTTACGAGAATTATCGAGAATAATACGATGAATTGAAAATTCAAACTCAAAAAAAATTGAAATTTGATTCCTTCATCATGAGAAGATTGAACATATTAAATAAATTTTATAGCCGTCGAATTAATTGAATATTCAATTCATCGTTTTGACAGCTTTTTATTCAAGAATGACAAACGAATAATAAAAACAAAGAAAAATTCTTTTTGTTTTGATGCGAATCTTCTTTATCAGAAAGTTTCTATGTTCGCATTAATCGAAAGTGTTTAACTTATAAAAGTAAAGTTTGAGGAGAGTTAGTAATATTTTTCATGATAATTTAATAAATTTGTTTATTCTCACTTAGCGTTTGCATCATCAATTTTGTTCTCTTATCATTTCAAAGTGTATAAAAAAAGTATAATTTTCATTCATTCGAGAGTTTTTGTATTATTGTTAGAGCGACAGTCAAAGTCGACACAACGAATAAAAGTTGGTTATGGGCGGGATTCGGAACTATCAAGTCTGTGCTCGTTGTCGAAATCATAACATTCGTAATATTTTGAAAGGTCATAAAAAGAATTGTCCGTTCAAGCTGTGCACTTGCGACAAATGTCTCGTGACAAGGGATCGTCAAAGTTTCATAGCAAGGGAAATTGCGATGCACAGATACGAGATAAAAAATAAAACTGACATGGAGAGTGAAACAGTTCAAAGTTTAAAATTGAACATAGTTCGAAGTAAATCAACAGAAGAAAAGTCATCGTCGTCTAGTTCCGGCGAATCGGGTGGAGTCGTGGAAAGTGTGAGAAAATATATGAAAATAAGTGAGAGGAATGGTGAAGTAAGAAGAGATCAGTTGTGCTCTCGTTGTCGAAATCACGGAGAACATCGGTTACTAAAAGGTCACAAAAATATTTGTCCATTCGCTAATTGTATTTGCGACAAATGTGAGATTACTTTAAAACGTCGTGAAATAATGGCGAAACAGATTAAAGACTATAGAAGTAACCGATTATCAGATTCAATAATAAGTTCACCGGAAACTGAGACATCATCCGAAATTGACAATGATTTTGATAAGCTAAATGTCGAACAGTTTGTTGACTATGAGCCCGTCGAGAATCGTGACCTTTTCTTCATGATTCAAAGTTTGTATGAAAAATATGGAATTCAAAGCAGTGAAACAAAAATTCAACTGATTTATGCATTTGCACATTTGGCGAAAGGAAATTGGAGTGAAATAGAAAAAGCTCTTGAGAAAGGTGAGAAGTTTTCCCCTATTTTTAATTCAATTCACGGATTTTAAAACGAAACTTTTGACGCGTTGAAACTTCAATTGAATTTCTTTTTGAACATGAAGATTCAAAACTTTTTCAATTTTAAAGAAACTTTTTAAATTTAACTTTTCTACGTGATAATTTAAAGTTTTTTTTTCAACAAAACAAAAGTTTCAGGACACTTGCCCTAAAACATTAAAGCAGATAAGTTTTATTGATATCGGAATGTAACACATCTAACTTGATTAAAAATAATATTTTTGTATCTCAGTTATTGATAAGATAATGAGTTTGATTATAAAGCTGCGTACTAGAAAAATCAACTCGAAATTCTTATTTGCAAAAATTTATATTACAAAATATTCAATGAAATAACATAATTATCTTATCTTAATATTATTAGTGAAGCATTTAAAAACAAATCTTCAAAAATATTCTACAAGGGGGCAAATTTGCTTCATTGGCCTAAGTGTCTGTGCCATCGGATTTGTATCAGAATTCGTATCGATTCACTAATCGGTACGATCCTGGTTCCATTCTCGGTGGTGGTCACTTGGGCTGAGGTTTTCAGAAGTTTAGATACTTCGCCCCTGTTTCATTTAAAGTGGAATTTTTCACTAGGATATAATAAACTGAAATGTCTCTTTGTATCAAATTTGATAAAAATATAAATTTGTCAAATATGAACAATGAAGAGTATTCAGGAATATACAATCCTGTGGAACGCTACTGAAAGTGGAACCTTCATCATTCAGGTGATGAGACAAAGGGAGCGAAACAAGTTGGAATTTATATTCCTGTATTCTTAATCGCTTTAGTGTACAGTCGTGCACTCCCTACTCTGATGATGATGAAAATATTCTACAAAATTCTACCAAATTCTGTCAGAGAAGATTAAAATTTCTATAAATAAACATTTGAAGTTATCTCTCCAAATATTTCAAAATGTATTCATTACGTGTTCTATTAAAATTAATTTTTCTCTTCAATTAAGGTTCCTCCTATGCTCGAAAATATTCTGTTCAACACAACTTGATTGCTTACCAAAATAATACACTGATGAATTCACATATGTTATCATATGACCCGAATGCAGTTGCAAGAGTTAAACAACCCGACAACAGTTTTTAAATGACTTTAAAATTGAATTGAATTATGAAATTGTAAACGAAATAGAAAGAGACGTCAGTGTAAATTTAATAATATTTACTCAAGTAAAATCTTTAACTTTTCTCATTTTGCTCTCTCAACATCAGAAATCCTCTTGAATTGCTGATCCAAAGGAACAAGTTGTAATAATAATAATAATGATGTAAATAAATACTCAATTTAAAGTTTTATGGTTTTAATTTACAAACAAACATTTTAACTTTTGTTTTTTTCCTTTCCTTGAAGCTGCCTTTAAAATATTTATTAAAAGAAGCTCTTAAAGCTAAAATATATTAGGTTACGAAGGGTCAGAAAGGAAAATTGTTTTTCTAATAAAAAAGTATTTATTTCAAATTGAATTTCTGTTTTCTTCTTTTGCATAAATTGAGTAGCACATCGATATGATCTTTTGAAGCTCCCTTTACCTGATTTGACTCACCAAACATATTCAAAATCGACTGTCAGAATTGCACTCAGCAAATTCAATAAAACATAAGATGTTTTTATTGCCATGGAAAGCACTTTTATGTTTCAACCTTTCTGCACAACGACTTTGCTTCGAGGATTTGCCAAAAAAGGCGTTGATTTTGTATGAATTTTTCAGGGTGGAATAATTTAATGAAATACTTTGGATGCTATCTTAAATATATTTTCTAATGATGTAAACATTGAACTGCTGATATAGCAACAACGTTTCTGAAAATAAGCAAACACATTTAACTTTCATAACAAAAGAGATTTGTTAAAATTATTAAATTGATTTGTCAACAGTAAAATATACTTTTTTATTTCGTTTTATTCATTTGTTGTGAGAATCAACTCAGCTAGTTTTCGACGGTTAAATATTTACAATTTCTTTACATAATTTCTCAAAGATTTTTCTCGAATTAAATACATATTTTTCTGTTTTTCAATTCAATTAGCGATAAAATTTAATTTATAGTTTCTTTTCTTTATATTTCATTCAAAATATATTCTTATTAATTTCCTAGCATTTGATTATTTAAAATAAACTTTTTAAAGTTTCAAAGGACAATTATTTTTGATAAAACTTTATCAACATAAGAGACAAATACTCGTGTATTTGAGAGTAGAAAAACATTGACAAGAATACTAAAAAGTTTACGAAACGCGAACAATGTTTCGTGAAAAATCACAGATAAAACTTTAACATTATGTTCGACTTTTTGTTTGTTTAATGTGTTTTCAGTTGGAAAATATAGAAACACTCCCTCGCTTCCTTTCTTTACAATGTTGGACGTAATTGGACTTCTTTTCAATGCGCAATTTTTATCAATTTCCTTCTCTAAATTCTGTGAAAGTTCTCAGAACAAATTTCATTTAAAGACATTTCGCAGATATCGATTTTTCATTTTAAATATTTCGGGTTCTATTTTGAAAGAACTTTGTCCCAAAAATTTTCATATTATATTAATAAATTTTACATAAAGCGAATTTCTGTTAATCATTTAAATTTATTTCTTTCCAAACGAACATCTTGTGAACCTCTCGAAATAAATTTTCATTTCAAAACCGTCCTTTAAAAAAATTTTCTTTCAACTTCCACTACATTAAGTTTTTGAAAGTAACTAACTAGAAAGGAAGGAGCCAATGTGAGTATATTTTCTACGTCTTTGGACTTGAAAATTGATTTTTTTCTTTTAAAGTTTTAATTTAATACTTTTTGATCCTCAAATTTTACGAAAGTTTTCCTTTCGATCCTAATTTAAATATATTTAAAAATAACTTTTGATATTTTTCTTTTTAGTTTTATCTTTTCGTCTAAGACTATACGAACTTTGTTGTTGTCAAATAATTAATTCTATTAACTAATCAACTAATAGGCTAACATTTTGATCCATAAGATTTTCTTTGTTGAGTTTTATTCTTTCTTTTGACTCTTTAAAAGTTTATGTCGCCATATTGACTTCAGTTTTGTCGCTTTTACTTCATTCACGAGAAAGAAATCTTTATCACTTATTTTCCTCAGAACGAGGAAGCCAAAAACGTAAGAAAGAAAAGGAAAACCGAAAATAAATCAAGACATTGAATTTAATTCCAATTTAGATTTCATTCGATTATCTTCCAATAAACGAAGGAAATTTATTTGATTACCTCTTCCTGTTTTCAATGCATGAAATGTAAAATATGTTACGTAGGAGGTGACAAATGTGAAGGAAAATTGTGTTTGGAATTCTTTACAGCAGAAGAATAAATTGGGAAAGTAAATTGATTACAAAAGGTTTGAAGTAAAATTTTTCATTGAATGAAGTACAAGACGTAGGCGGAAAATTCATTCATCTTACAATTTTCCGAATAAAAATATTTTCATTCAATAATTTTGTTGTCTTCTTCATCATCATGAAAGGCTAATGTGTTTTACAGAGTTGGTTTAAATACAGTTTTGCATCTCATTTCATTCAATTAGAGTTAATCACGAAACGTTATGTCATCATTAATTTGTGCTTAGCAACGAACGAGAGACTTCCAACTTCCTTAACATTCTTCGGAAGTTTCACATCAACTTGGAAAAGCATCAGACAGCAGATTTCCTTCCAAAGAAATGAAAATAAATTTGAGACATTAAAAGTTCATCTTCGTTCGAAGCTTTTTTTTCGTTCTAAATTCTTTGTTAATTTTATTTCGTTAATTATAAAATTTAACTAGATATAAGATACTTTTCATTTTATTTTATCATTTTTGTCTAATTATAATTATCAATTCCCTCTATGAAATTTGAATAAACTCCTGATTTATAAAATATTTATGATTTCCTAGATTCAAACTTCGCTTTCAATCCAAAAATCATAAAAATTTCCAACAAGAAATGTCGTCGGCATATTGAAGAAAATTTTCTTTCATTTCATTCACAATTGTTTCTCATGTTCAAGGATTTTTCTTGCCGCCGCTCAATTCAAGGAGAAAGCTGAATTGACAGCTTCTTCTTTTCTTTTCAAATAGCTAAGATACTAAAAGTTCAAGGCCATATGAGGATGAATGATGAGAAAGAAAGGAAAATAGAAGGAAAAAACTAAATTGCTACAAATATAATCATCGCTCAAAGCTGCAAGATAAACACATAAATATATGAGAGTTCCGGAAGCTTTTTCCATCTCATAATCTTCAAGATCATATTTACAATACATCATCATGTGACTTTTAATTATAATTAAGCATCAATTCTTGCTATATTCAATGTTGATTCAAACAAAATGAAAAACGAGAAACTCAGTTTGATGTCAGTCGAAATATTGTCTAATGGCGTGATGCCATTAACTTATTTCGATGCTATCAAATTTAATGACGGAAGGGAAAATATAAATTTGAGCTTTAAGCTCTAAACATCTTAATGTTCCTCATCATTGGCGAAATTTTCAGCTGTTTCAGCATAAACCGAAATCAATTTTCTTTTAATTTATGGGGCTTTAACTTCCTAATCAAGATAAATATTTGAGATAATCTTTTGATAGATATTTAAAAGTAATTGAGTTAAAAAAGCTTCAGGCTTGACAAAATTTTCGCGGTTTTTTGAAAAGCGAGACTTTCAAGTGGAAACTAAACTTCAAAAGTAGTTAAAAGGCTTCAAATTGATTTCCACAATAAGCATGCTTCAAAATTAGATTTTTTTTGGATCTTAATTGCTTTTGAAGACTTTTTTTGGGTTCGTGTTTTCAACATTTTTATTCAATGACATTTTGAGAAGTTACAATTTCATCATTTGAGTAGATATGAATATAAAGTTGATCTCTTAACTTTTTATATTGAGATAACAAAAATAAAAGCATGAGAAAAATTAAAATTAAATTTATCCTCCTCCCTTCCCACTTGATTCTAACACATAAATCTCTCGCGGGTTTTTTTCTTCATTTTTTCAAAGCATAGATCGTAATTTATTATTTCAGCGACGAAAAGCAGAACCAAAAGTAGAATAAAGGAAATTGGATAATGGTGTTGATAAGACAGAGTGAAAGACGTCAACCTTTAGACATTCTGCCACATCATTTCGTGCCATTCAAATGGTGTAAAAGAAAAGTTATCAACACAACAGTCGACGGCATTACCATTGTTGGAAACGTGAGAACATTCAACGCAGCATATTTTTTTATACACTCGTTTAACGGATTATGATTGGTTAGACAACATCATCTTAATGCTGTAAAATTTTTCTTTAAAACACAAACACCGAGAACTCACTTGTGCGTGACGAGACGGTGGTAGAATTCAAAGTCGATTCTTTTGTCTTTGTCATTATGAAAAAACATAATAAATAGAAGAAAAGTTTCTTGTAGAAAAAACGTTATGCACAACGAACTTGACGCTCTTCTCTTTAATATCAAGGTGGATCCGTTTTACTGTTTTTTGTGCCCGGCTTTCCATTCAGAAATTCATGAATTTCAGATTCTGTTCGTGAACTGAGATTAAGCAAATCTTCCTTCGACAAACGACCAAGTGGAACGCTGTTGTTGGAAACTCGTGGACTCTTGTTTCGTGGTTGGATGGTCGCATAAGTTGGATCGAGTCCCTCATCGTCGTCATCGTCTTCGGAATAATTTCTTGATTTGGAACGTGGCGAGGGAACAGGTCGAACATTCAACGAATCATTGCTTTGTACTTTAAGAAAGCTATCATTAGGATTTTGACTTTTTATTTGTGACCGCTGAACAGATGAACTCATTGCCTTGGGCGGCTTTGCTTTAAGAAGAGTTTTGTTCTTTCCATATTTCTGTTTAAGCTCTTCATGAAGCTTATCACGAAGAACAGCTTTTGAGCTATCAAGTTGAAAGATAGCAGGATGAAGCGACTCACGATAAGATTCTTTAATAACTTCTCGTGCTGAATCTCTTAAAGGAAGCGTGGATTGATTTTCAAATGTCACTTGGTGTTTGCTTTCAAAAATTTCTTTGCTTATTTGCTTTCTCTTAAGTTTATTCCTTGGATTTTTCTTCGCTGGCAGAGCTGGCTTTGCTTCGTCAAACACTCCACTGAATGTGTCAAATTTATTTTTTTCTCGACTCGATTTATCAAGATCATCGGCTGACTTTGTGAGTCCTTTACCAGAAAATGTGTCAAATTTGGATGTCGTTTCTGTCTTTCCAAAAGTTTCAAATCGATGACCCAAATCGGGTGGAGAATTTGCCAGGTCACTGGCGATATCACGACTCAATCTTCTACCAATTGTATCAAGTCTTTCACCCATAATGCTGTCAGTGCTGAATCTTCTAACATTTAAACTTGAAGAGTTTGAACGTGACCTTCCATCCCGTTTCAAACTAAAAATTCTAAGTTTTGGACTTGCTTTTGGTTTAACCGACGAAACCGATGATGCGATTGATTGGATCTCCGGGTTTGGACTTTGATTTGGTTCAACTTCCGGCACCACAGCAAGTGTTGGGACGACTGGTTGTTCTTTTTCTTCTTGTTGAACCCTAAGTCGGAAATTAAATTAAACGATGGAGAAAAAATCTTTACAAATCTCACCTTCTTATCTCTTGAATCATCTCGAAAAATTGCGCTTTACTCTTCCTTCTGCGACGCTGTTCATCTTCCTTCTGGAACAAGGTAGGAATCTTAAATATCGTTCAACGCATATTCGCACGAACTCACCCTTTTGACACTTTTCTGAAACAAACTTGTGATATGTCCTTTCCGCAAAGTGTGCACTAATTCCCTTGCAGCATGATGTGGTGACACCAACTCCACACAATTAATGAAACGATAAAGTTTCTGTTTCGTGATTAAATGGAAAGTGAAAACTCAATTGGGAGAGGGAAAACAGAAAGTTTTACCTGACTGAAGAACATAATGTTTCTACTTCGCCAAACAGAACCTTTGGGTTGATGCCGCAAAATTGGCAAATAATACTTGAAAAACATATGCTCGAAAATCAGAATCAAAACACCCAAAATCATTCCTAATCCCAACATTAAATAAACACCGGCAACAGCAGCAACTCCGAGAGGACGAGGTTGAACAATTTCAATGTGATCTTCATCACGATAACATGGCAAGCCACCGTGCCACTTTTCAACGAGAATATCCAAATATCCATTACTCGAATATTTCGCTATAAGCGCTGAAATTGATTCCTTTAAGGGAAAACCTTTACTCATTCCAATGGCGTAAGTATCTTCAACGTAATTCTCGCCAATTTTCCTTAAATTACAACCCAGATCCGAGCCTCGATAATAATCCAATATTGGTGAGTCGGCCATCAAAAGGTCGATTGATCCATTTCTGTCGGTACATTTAATGAAATCAAATTGTTAGATTGAATTTAAAGATAAAAACTTTCGTTCTAGATAAAATCTTGAGGTCTATTAAGTTTAACAAGACGAAACCTTTAAGATTTTCTAATGTCTTCTTTCCCGAAGTTTAAATGGCTTTTCTTGTGATATTTTAAAGACAATCACAAGTTTAGTAATTAAGAGAAAATACTTTTATGTATTTATGCTACGACTGAGAGCATTAAAAGCTTTTAAACTTCATTCACAGACATTCCATTCAACTAACTTTAATCCAATTATTCCATCCTCGATGCTACTGAACGTATATTTCTTCATTTTCTCCCATAGATGCTTGTCATTATGTTGAACATAAGACTCGGCAGCTGACGAACGAGGAATTCCAACACGTTGATTCATGAGCTTTTTGTAAAGAGAATAATAATTTAGTGTGAAATTTCTACAGTCATTTAGTAGATTTCTTATCCAACTTTACTCACCGACGTGTCGTAAGTGTTTGCAGCATTGTGAAAGAATAAACCAGCTATAAGAGCTGCAATATTAGCTGTGTATGATGCAATGAAAATGACACTGAAACCTCCCCAAACATTAATGAGAAATTTATTTGGCCAAGATTTCGGAGCTTTGAATGCCACCAAATGTCCACATAATAATCCCCACATGACCCATAAAGCTGTGAGAAAAATGTGATTTATTCATTAAAAAGTTGTTTCGGAATTTTAGAAATTCTTTTATGATATGAAGCTAAATTTATGATTTGAAATGACTGTGACTGACGTCCCACAATAAAATTAAATAAATAATAAAGATGATGATGGCGATAGTTAGCAAAAAATAGAAAGATAAAATTTACCCGATGAGAGACTGAAGTTTTTACTACGCTGACGGCCCCAAGGGTTAAGCCCGAAAGGGGATAGCCATTCATATATCGCAACAGCGACGGCAGTTAAATTAAGCCATATGAAGATGGCTATCCACAATTCAGGCGAGAATGGCATGAGGAATGCCAAGAGTGGAATGTCTGTTGTAACCTTTGGGGCGGCCAACAACGAAACTCCGCTGTGAAAATATGGCGCACTGAAATCAATCACTTCAGCTCGTGACCTGTCGGCGGAAGAATGATAGCGTTAATTTAATGCTGTTAAATTGGAATAAACGAAGAAGAAAATTTACTTTGAAACGCTCAATGGAGCGAAAGACATATCAGCTGAACCGACAACTAAATCACCAACAATTCCATTCCATACTGATTGATCATGGAATCTCTGATTGAATCTTCGATTTGATTTTTCGTTGATATTCTTATCTCGTTCTCTGTCTCTATCTCTAAGATGTTCTTGAACAGCATCAACTGGTCGATTAAATTCTGGTTGAAAATTCTTCTTTACTTGCTTCGAGCCAAATAATTCATCACTGACGATATAAATAATGTAACCGAATCCAAGCTCTGACGCAACATTATCAAGCAAATCCATTGATAATCCATAGCAGCATCTTGTTCTATTGTTCAATGATATGAATGCAATAAAGTGGAAGTAAATTGATGATGTCTAATTCTTCAAACATTTTTACTGTCTGACTTCTCAATTTGATGTCGTACGAAGATTATAACAACTCCAATTGAGACCTCACACAAGAAGAAGAGAAAAAGTTTCGTTTTCTTCGGATTTATTTTTGTTTTTTCTTCCACTTTCTTTTTAAAGTGTTGTTGAGAAGGGAAAAGTCGTAAAAATAATTCCCCAGTGAACAAAAAAGCAATCACAAAATTGAGCTTTTCGACATGGAAAACTTTCTTTAGTCGTCGAAAAAGGTAAGTCAAGTCACTTGTATAATTACAATTTTCATGAATGGAAATAAAATTCTTATGGGATTTAAATTTAATATACTTTTTAAAGCTGCTTTCCCTAGGCTGTCTTTATCACAAAAGCTCTCTAAAGCTTTTTGAAATTAAATAAATGAAAGCTTTGCTTAATTATGAAAAGATTAATGATCTAAAATTCTCTGAGCTTTCAAGCTTGAAAAAATTTGAATGGTGGAAGTTATTCGATATTGTATTTGATTTTTTGAATTAATTGAACAACCAAAATACGCATGTATACCCTGGGAAGTTTTTCACAACAGTAACGAACAAAACAAAAGCTTTCTCATCTTTTTTTCTTAGCTTTCGTCTACATTTTCCTTCAAAACTTTTCCTTTTCTTCCTTCTTTTTCTTTGTTATTATTTTACTCTTACTTGTATGAAACTTTTTCACTTGATTTATGATCCTCGTTCAAAGGGATTTGATTACCATGCTCAACGGCATCTTCCTCGAAGCGCTCCTTCGTTTCAATTGAGTTGAACATGAGCGTCAGATTATGTTTTCCTGCCATGACGGAAGGAAAAGAAACAAAAAGAGGAAAAGAAGAAGAACCGAGATTGATATAAATGAAGGTAACTTTCAAAGGCAATTAAACTAACTGTGATACTGAATCGCAACTACAGTTGGTAAGCGCATACATATTAGATAAATATAAAAGTTTTCTTGTGACAAAAGTGAAAAGTTTGTTCTGTTTTTATGACCAACAAACCAACCTGAAGTAGATAAACGATGACACGGCAACCCGCGGAGACACATTCCATCTTCATCCAAATTAGATTCCATCACAAAAGGCGGCGATAAAGATGTCACGACACGAAAAACGGATCGTGCTCTGGTCGACAAACCTGATACGACGATATCACCGCCGGGCCTTTAAAATATCCAAAAGATAAGAAGAATAAAAAGAATTTCTTCTGACACTTTGTGACCGTAAAAAAGATTTTATTTGAAATTACCAAACGATTGTGTCTAAATGAACCTTCCGGCCCAAGACCAGACCGACTCGTCGCCACTTTGTACTCTCGGGATTCTCACTCTTTGAAGACATCAAGTTAGAGTTCTTTTTTAATTCATTTTTCTTTCTTTGATGTTGTTGCTGCATTCGAGCTTTGCTTTGTGTAGGAACCAAGTTTAGTATTTCAAAATTTGAAATAAGATTTTTCTCCATTGTGCCACCAGGAAGTGTGCGGCCAGAAAGTGCGAGTGTCACAGCTTCACGTAAGTATCTGGAGGAAAATTATTCAGACAATTTCATCAAAGCAAAATTGAATATTCCCACCTTGCAAAAATCTCAGAACGATTAACATCGGCACGAGTTGGCACACCAAAACAGCCACCTTTGTAATGTGGCGTTCCACGAGTTATTTTGGGTTTCTCTGGAGTTTTACCACCAAAAATATTTGACCACCAAGAGTTTTGACGTTTGACGATGTCGATTCTGCCATCCAACTTCAAGCTTTGAATTGTTTCACGATGAACATTCACAGCACTTGGCGTGTTAGAATTACTTGTAATATTTTTATTATTTTTATTGCTTTTGTTTACATCATCGCTGGGGTGTGAGTTTAGGTCACTTACGTGTTGTAAATTAGTTTTATTTTTTAAATCATCAACTACTTTAGTGTTAGAATTACTAGATTTATTTCTACTGTTAACGAATGTTGTTTGGATTACTGATGCTTCAATATTTTCGTTCAATTGAACATCACGCTTGTATTTTCTCGAGCCACGTGCGTTCATGTGTCGATTGTTAACATTTTGATTTCCTTTACTCTTGAGCTTTTTCGTAGCTTTAAAATTATTCACGATCTCATCGTCGTCGTAATCGTTGTCACTCCAATCGTCATCCCAATTAATTTTTTGAAAAATAAACTTTCCACCCGATGCTGTTCGCAATTCTTCGTCTTTCTCAACAATGTTCCATGTTGAAGCAAACAAACGTACTGCTGCACGCACAAAAACACGATCGATATTCATCTTGATGTGTCTTAGTGCCAATAATCCTACTGGGAAATCTTTGAAATGATGGAAAAAGACGTGCGATGAAATATTGAATGTTGAAGGAGAATTATCAGCACGCTTTGCTTTCAAATCGTTCGATGCTTCTGTGTACACCTCCAAATCCAAATTTTCGTTATCGTCAAAAATCTTTGGAGCCGAAACAGTTGGTGTGATTGGTTTATTGTTATTGCCATCGTTACGATGGTTTCGATTCGTATTTTTATTATTATTAGCTTGCGTTTTCTCGTTCACGTCTGACGACTTTGGACGGCGTGTTGTTTCTTCGAACCCTGCTGACGTCGTCACTTCCCTATGACTCTCATATGGATTGATTTTATCAAATGTTTCATAGTTGTTTTCAATGTTGGTTGACTCATTGAGGTCACTTCCGTAACTGCTGTCGTTATCATCATCTTCACCTTGACGTCCAATCGAATATGGATCGTAATAATTGGCATTGAACTCTTTACTCTCGATATTCTTGATTTTAAGATTATTTTGCGAATGTTTCTCAACACTTCCCGTGTAATCGTTCGACTCTAAATTTTGTTTAAATCTTTTAACTTTAAGCGGTACTTGACCATCAGTAAAAAAGGTCCGCTCGTCATCTTCATTCAACCCAATGATTTGTTGAAAACGATTATTGTTGTTGGATGATTTATATCGAGTATTATTTTGCTGACGTTTACTGCCACCACCACCTTGATGACGTTCAATTTGTGATTCAGCTTTCTTTCTATTATTAAACTCTTCGTAATTGCCTTTGGCATTCATCATTTGGTCCTTGTCATCTGTATTTGGAACACTATTCGGTTGAAAAAATTCGGCAGTGGAACTTGTGTCCGCCCATATCCAAATGAAATGTCCACCCGTCATTTTCAGACGCTGTGCTTCGGACATGACACTGCGGGCAGCATTTAAATCACAAAGCAAGAGAACAATGCCACGTGTTGAGCGAGAGATTTTCGCAAGTTGCCTAATTTAATTATTTAAATTTCATACAAATTGCTATTGTGCCAGAAATTTAATTTCACATTGAGTGAGCTCACCTGAAGACATCGTCTTTGTTACTCGACAATGGTAAAATTGTTGGTGATAATGGCGTTTTCTTTAAAATTCCGCCTAAGCTGCTACCCAACACCATCGTGGAGCCGATATCCGACAGCACAAAAAAGGAATGCCAATGAGTCTGTTTGGTGGGAAGATGAAAGTTTGTTTCGTCAGTGATACGGGAAGGAAGCGATTAAATGTAAAAAGCAAATAACATCTTTGGGCTATGCACACAAGCTTAATGGATTATTTGAAAAAGAATTTTCTTTTCCTGCCTTTTCTAGCACTTACTTGTAAAAATATCGCCCTAATTGCTTGAAGAATTTCCTTTGCTGACGGTTGTAATGTTGCTTGGAGAAAGTTTTGAGCCTTAAAGAAAGCATAAAAGACGAAAAGAGTTTTATTTTGGGATTATCAGAAGCATTCTAAATGTCATGGACATTAAAAACAGATGTTGATGGGAGATATAAAAGCTGTTGAGGAATAAATTCTCGACAATCATGAGGATTAAGATGAAAGATTTATGTTAAGTGCAGATTTAGATGAATAACGATGAATTCTTGTAAGGTTTCTTCAACTTAAAAGCTTCGGCAGGTATTGATTTGAACAGTAAAGTTTGATATGGAAAAGTGCATAATTTAAGATCTTTAAAACGAGAATTTAACTGTCTGCTAAAAAACTTTAAAAGCTTTAAAAGCTTTCCTTCAGAAAAGCTTTTCCGTGATAAAAACTTCATGAAAATAAAACGTAATCCAAAATATTTCCTGTTCACAAGAATTTTCATTCATTAAATCAGAAAGAAATTATTTTCCTTTCATAATTCATGACATTCTAAATTTTTAAGGCGCTGTCGTCATGATTCTTTCTAATTCATTTTTTCTTTTCGTTCACAAATTTTTTTCGAGTTTTCTTTTTAATAAATTTGACATTCTAGAGATGATGGAAAGTGAATATAAAAAAGAATGCCAAAAGACATGAAAAAGTTTATAAAAAATAAAAGTTTAAATGAGATTTGAAATGAAAAGCGCAAACCTAAATTAAACATCAAGTTTTTAAAGAATTCTTTGATTATTCTTTTTTATTATGGAAGCTATAAAGAAAATGACCTTTTTGAACGAGAAATGATACGATTGGAACTGAAAACAAAAGCCAAATTTGTTCATCATACTATAATAAACTTTATATCTCTACTACTGACTCTGCATCAATTTTCAGACTTTACAGCAAAATTTATCAGTGAACAATAATAACTTCTCTGAATAATCATCTTTGAACATTAAAAAAATGTAATTAAGCTTTTGTTTATATTTTTATTGATCGTTTTCCTCAGATTTTATCTTCTTCAACATTCATTAATATCCTGAAGTTGATGATATGAAAGAAGACTTTTGGTCTGTGTGTGGAAACATGACTAAACGTAGTAGATGAGCTTACGAGAACAAAGGAAATGAATGGAACAATAATTATTCTTATATTTTTAAATTCATTCTAATTACATCAGTTCACGTTGTGAAAAACTTTCCATCTTATCTAATTAAAAATTTAATTTTGGAAAAATCAATAAACCTTTTGATTAAATATTAGCTGTAGAATGTCCATGAAAAACCGCAAACTTTACCACAAAATGATGAGGAAAATTGTGGGAAATTCACATTTAATCAGTTTCCACTGAAACCTCACGCTCATCAAGATACAACTTTTAAGGAGTTTTACGTCAACATAACATTTGAAATCCTTGAATTGTGGTTCTTTAAACCTGAGCCAACTAATTCAAACAGTTTAAATATTGACTATAATTAAAAGAATGGAAGTTAAAAAATTATGATCTCGACAGCTTTTAATTTTCATTTTTAGAAAATTATTTCATCAGTTTTCTTTGACAAGTTGAAGTGAAAAGTCGTGAAAATGACGATGAAGCTAAAAGATTATACGAAGCCACTTTCCAAATTTCTTTGCTTCGGAATGAAAATGATTTGCTTTAAAGATGAGGATAATAAAACGTCAAAAATGTATTTATCGTCTCCAAAAATGATTAATCAACTGGAAAGAAGTTTAATTTATTTTAATTTTCTTTTTCAATCAGATTTCTGATTCTTTTTATCCTACAAAGTGCTTTTTGTAGCTTGTTTGCAATGAACATGGCAATCATATATTTTGAAGATGATATGTCAGGGGTGATTGAGTCTGCTTCCTTTTTTGGTGAGACTTTTAAAGACTTTTACGGCACATAAAATGTGGGAAGTTTGAAAATTTATTCCACAATCATTATTAACATTTATTGCTTTTGCTTGTCTATTGACTCTCATCACAGTTGGCAGCGTGAAAGAAAATATTTTCCTCTGGTTGTTGATGTTCAAAAGCTCTAAAATGAAAAAGCTTGTTCAAAAGCTTCTCTTTGACAGGTAATTAATTATTTTAGAAATTAAAGAGAAATTTTGTGACTTTATTAACGTTCAATTATAATTTGGCAGAGAGTCAACCCTTAATGACAAAAAATTGTGGCAATTATCGCAAAATTACAGTAAATTTGAATGTTTCGTGATATTTTGTTTCGATGGAATGTTGATTTTGAGCGGAATTCTTCTTATGTTTGTGACAACATTCGTTAGAGTCAATGAATATCGACTACCATTAAATGCTTACCTAATTTTCCTGCCAATTGAAGGGATGTCTTTAAATTGGGCAATTAATTATGTTTTTCAACTAACAACTATTGGAGCCGCAATGATAGTTTTTGGTTCTCACACTTGTGTGACTTTAACGATTATAAATCAAATCTGTTTTTGGATTGACGTCGTTATTGTTGAAGTGGAAAGATTGGCTGAATTGCTGAATAATCCAGATTTTAATTATGAACTTCAAAAAACTTCAACAAGCGATTGCATTAAAAACATAATTGATAGTAGCAATGCTTGCAGCATTTGGCATCGTGAGGTTCAAAAGTTATTTCAATTCTTTTTTCTTTGTCAATTTACAGTGATTTCAATTATTCTGAGTTTGAATATGGTTTCAATATTCATCAACCAAATGCAATCAAAATTTGTTTTCATGGCTTTCTTTTCCTTCTTACTTCAATTTCTTTTGTTTTGTTTGATGGGAACTCGAATAATCACAAAATATGAAACACTTTGTGATGCTATTTATGGCACGAGCTGGTTTATGATTGACGTTAAATCACAAAAGAAAGTTTTGTTTATTTTAATGTTTTGTCAAGATCAGCGAAGCATTAACGGCGTGTTCTATCCAGTGAACTTGGAAACATTTAAAAAGGTTTGAATTTTATTCAACTTTCAACTAGTTTCCTAATTAACTTAATGATTTTCGTTTCAGTTGATAAATTTTTCATATTCCGTGTATGCGTTACTGAGTTCAGCGAATTAAATGGAATCCATTTCGTCACTTTGAAAACATTCATAATCACCTTCTTCTAATTACTTTAAGTTTAATGCTTACTTTCGATTTTACAAGAATTCGTCACAGTATTCAACCACAAGAATTAATTTGTTTCGTTTCTTGTTAAACATTGCTTAATCACTTTACAGCTTTAGAAAGTTTTGTTAAGTTTGTAAACAGTGAAGTGAAGAAGAATGACAAGGAGTGTAAATAAGTATAAGTAAGAGGATTAAAAAGATCTTTTAAAATTTGCTGACTAAACCTTCATGCTTGTTGTCACCGTTTTGTTTGCGTTTCATTATTTTGATTAATTTACTTTGTTGAAATGACAATGAAAACTTTATATGCTGTAAATTTACGTCGATAACAACAAATGATGTTGAAAAGGGGTTTTATGTTGTTTATGCTTTCCTTTCATGTTATGTTTTCACATAATTAATGTCTAATCGAAATTGTAAAAGTTTGTTGACAAGATATGGGTGGGATCAATGGAGCAATGTTTACCGGAATGATATCAAAGCAAAAATCATCTTAAAATGTTGTCTAGTAAATGAAGAAATTCAGAAGTCAAAGGTAAACTTACCTCACTACCACCTGCATGAAGTTGAGCAGTTCCACCTTTAGCCCAAAGCACAGGCACTTTCATTGCATTTCCTGAAAGCGCTATTGACCTTGCTGCTTGACCATCTCCCACAACTATCATGCCACTTAAAGGAACTCCCTCAACTTGATCACAAAGTGTTGTAAGTACTTTAGCCGAAAACCTAATGAAAAAGAAATTAAATATATCTAATTAATTGTGGTCGAGGCAATGACGTGACGTCTTTAGCTTCATAAATGTTTTTATGTGATTTGTTTGAAAATTCTAACGATTGTTAATTGAAACACCTTGGGAGGAAAAGACGCTCGCTTAAGTAGCGAAGCAATAATTCACGTAATTATTTTAATTATTTATCTTCATGACCCTCCCACACAAGACATAAAAATGATGAGCTAAAAGCTCAAAGATATCAAAAATCGTTAAAAATTAAAAAGTTAATTTGTTCGTTTTTCTGACACATGAATTCATTCAATTTCATGGTTTGAAAGATCAGAAAAGTTTTGCTGGCAACTCAGATCTTTGGTCCAATTTGGTATTCAATAATAAACTTAAACTTTTATGTCAGACCTTGATGTAAGCAAGTATAAAAATACAATAAAAAGTTTTCCCATTTACACTTCTTCTTCTACCTTTGGAAAAGAGAAAATTTTTAAAATAAAATTCAGCAGTGAAACGAACAAGAAGCTCAATAAAACCGAGTAAAGCCTCATATGGGTTTAACTTTTATGTAGAAGGAATAATGTGTCGTTCCTTATGAACAGAGAGTGTGGAGAAGAATTTGTCAAGCTTCATTGCTTTCACCTTTGTTGTTTTGGCATTTAAAGATGATGACATTGAAATATGGTTCCATAATAGAAAAAAATAGCTGAATCTATGAAACTTTTCATGCAAACAGAATTGTGAATTCATTTTGTCAAGTAATCCAAGTTTATTCGAGATGACAAGTCAATAAAAATTGCTTCATATTAAAAAAAACTTTTTGTTTGACTTTTTTCTTATAACTCGGACTTATTTTTTAACAGTGAAACAATTTTGCTTGCTCTGCTTGTACTGGAAATAAAGAAAAAGTTTTAAAAACTTTTTTTCACGGAAAATTTATTTTCAAAATGAAATTGTGTAACGAGACAAAGTCGATTGGATACATTAGAGTTTCACAAACATCCGAAAGTTTTGAATTTCCAATCCAGACTTCAAGGCGTTTCCAAAATTGACTTTAACACTTTTCAGGAAATTTCGTTATTAAGTGAGGTTGTAATACCGCAAAACCACTTGAATAAAACTGTTAAATATTAAAACTCAGAACATTCTGTTGTAAAATGAAATACAATAACAGAAAAAGGTAACTCGAGATAAATTTTCTGATTGCTTTTAACTTTCAACTAGGAATTGATGAAAAAGTGAATGAAATATGAACAAAAAAAAGTTCGACAAACTTAAAGCATTCATTTTTCCTTTTTTTGTGTTTTCAGTTTAGAAATGAATATCATTTTATGTATCTCTAAAAACATATTCAAAGTGGTTTTTGTTTGTTTTCGGTCGAATCCCTAAAAGAAGAAAATTCATTTGGAAGACGAAAATCCTTTTACATGTACATTGAAAGACCGCAAATAGCTTTTTGTCTGACGATAGTTGAATTTATTATGCTTGTTAATGCTGCTTCGACTGGTTTTTCTTTTCTTTTTTTTTATCGTGACTACAAGAATCGTTTGCTTAACATCCTTTGGATCATTGCTGAATAATTTATAAGGATCAATTCATAAATCACATCTTGAATTGCTTTTTGCTTTCGATTTCAGTTTCATGTCTATCGTTTTCATTTCAACTCCCATCATGTGATGTGCGCATGAAGCATTTTCAAGGCTTTCTCAATGAGAAAAAAACGAGAGGAAGAAAAGGCAACATCAGATATCACGGGGATATAGTGAAGTGAAAAGGGTTAATTTCATTCCTACGCTAGGACTTAGGCCATAAATTTCATTGAAAGAGCTTTCAGAGCTTTTTCTGGTCTTTTCACAATATGTCAATAATTTCGATAAACTTTCTGTGTATTTGAACAAACTCACCTTCCGCTTGTTGGGAGGTCAACATAAATCGGTCGTAAAGGTGGCCCTTGCGGACTACTGAACGGTGTTCCCATGTCCAAAAGTGTCCTTGCCAAAGCACGTCCCCAACTTTTAGCACCACCAGGTACAGCAACAACAAAGTAGACTGCATCTGATCTTTCAGGAAATATCGGAAGTTCACTTACAGACTGTCCCGGTGAAAATGAAATCGATTGACCCGATGGCCGAGCATTTGACTGAAGAAGTGGTTCGACTTTCGGTTCGTTGTAATCTTTTAACTCTCCACTCACGAATGCCCATATCAACAACAATAATAACAAGGAATTAGTTTGGACAGTAAAAAGCAATGGCATGGTGGGCGGATGTGGTAATCGCTTCACGTAAAAGAATATCTTCAACTTTGCTCTATCAACATCAAAATTAATTTTCCGGTGAATTCGTTTTACGAAAAATGTTCTCTTGTTATCGGCCGCTTGATGAATTAATTATTTTTTATTTTTTTCTTCCTTTCTTCGTTCAATTATCTCGCTTCGCTTGTTGTTTGCTGATGGAGCTTTCAATAATTTCAGTGACAATTAAATATTAATTCATAGCTCGAAACTTCTCAATTTATAAGTCAAATTAACATTGACGAAGATGGAAATATAAAAACGAATTAATTCATTTGTTGTCTTCTTCTTTAATTTGAATAAATTCGTCATCGTTCGTTTTGTCGTTGGATGTTTGTTTTTGGTTGTAATTTCATACGTTCACGTCGTGTCAGATTGCGATTGTGATATCAGCTGATGTTGATTAATCGATGTTTTAAATCTCCTGGGATATCTTTTTATTCAAATATTTGAATCTGAATCGTATTTGAACTTCAAAGTGTCCCAACTATTAATTTCGTATCTTTAAATCGCATCTGATGCTTGCACAGATAAATTGATATCGTTCGTTTTCAATCATTCTCTGTATTAAATTAATAGTCACGTACTTTTGACATAATCACTAAAATGAATTTGGCGTGAGTGTTTTTTCATGCCTTACTATGCCATCAAATACACTTGTGTGTCGAGATTTATGTAATTAGAACAGTCGAAATATTCATCTACTAAAGCACGCACATGGGCGTAAATATGTTTATGTAGGAATGCGATTAAATACGAGTTCGCCTTTTACGATCAACAACGTTAAAGAAAGAAACTAAAACGTGCATGAATTCTTCTTCATTTTATTTCCTCATTTCAAACACACTTTGGCCAGTTCATGTCACTTGCATTACGATCTTCAACTCACATCCAAACAACTCTCCACAAAAATTAAAATTGAAGGACATCAAAAAAATTAAACGCATTATGACACAAAAGCCAACAATATTGTGAATCCAATCAAGAAATCAAGCATGCAGTGAAGCTGTGTGTGTGCTTCGCAATATTCATTAATTATTTAGTGTTGTGAGTGACAGTAGTAAAAAGCTTTTGTCATTATTATCCTTAAAAAGGGTTGGAAACAGAAAAGAACTCTGCGGGTTGCTATCCAAATTAAATTAAGTCAATTAGAAGTTTGTGAAAATTACTTTCGCAAATATTTTACCATGGGAAGGTAATTTTGAAAGATCTGTAACGAATGGGGAGATTTTCTCTGGAGCTTTACCTTTTCTTCCTTCATCCCGACATACTTTAAAGCATTAATGATTTATTTTTACATTGCCGTGTTATGTGAGATTAATGTGTGAATAAAGAATTATGCTTCAGATGAGTATGCCTCAGGGCTGAGAAAATTGTTTCAGAAAAAAAAACATTCATTATGAATGAGAATTAATACCATTTACTTTCTCTGAAATATCATCATGTTTTAAACAAATAAATCTTTGTTGCTTTTGCTAACATTCATTCAAAACGAACAAAGAATTTCCATGTTAAAGCTGCTTTGAGTTTGAACATTCAAGGAAAAAAATAACATTAACACTTTGTTACAGCGTTCCATATTATTTCATTCACTTTAATGCCAAAAAAACTCGAAAATATTCTTTAACCTGAATGTCTGTTGCTTAAAAGCCCTGGAGAGGGAAAGAAAGGAAGTGAGTTGTGATGAGAGTGTATTTTATGTAAAAGGATTATTCACATGGGAAGAGCTACGAACAGACGAAGCAGATTCAAGACAGTAAAAAAATATTTTTTTTTATAAACAGATGAGATTGGGATGAGAAACGACCATTTTTTAGGGTTGCTTACTTAAGTGTTTGAGAAAGGATCGCAATTGATATTTATCACTTTTATTGAATATTTTTAATGTTTTTTTTTTGTAAATTCAATGGAACAGTTCCCATCCAACCAATTTTTCGAAAAATTGCTGTCAAAGTCATTTTTCAAGACATTTGCCAAGCCGGAAGCTTTAAAAGAAAAACAAATCTGAATAAAAGTTTGACGAAAATTCAACCCTTTGTTTCAGGTTACCAGAAAAAAACGGAAACTTGGATAAAAGCTTTCGTTACACTTTAATAAAAGTTTGAAGGGGTTTTCCGATACTTTGACTTTCCTTTTCGTTATAGAATGCTCCAAGGCGAATGCGTTAATCGATGTTTTAAATTTTTTAACAATCGAGCTTCGGTTCTAACAAAAGATAAAATAAATTGAAAGTCGGATCAAATTCCAAAGGTTTTTGTTTTCCTTTTACATTTCTCAAGTATTTAGTAAATTGAAACGAACTTCTTCCTACGCAAATAAAATGAAAGGGAAACTTTTAATTCTAAGAAAAAGCTTTGAGGAACATGAAAAATTCACAAAAATTTAATAACCGTTTTGCAAAGAGAATAAATCGATTGGAAAACAATTTAAGCAAGAGCTTTTCTTCTCTCGTGTGATAAACATTTTATGAAGATATTTATGCAAAAAGATATTATTATCGTTTGAATTTGAATCCAAATAGCACGATAGAAAATTTAGTAAAAACAATTTCGGAAACTTGCATAAAAATATTGTTAAAATAAAAATAACTAAACTCTTCATGTGCAGCTGCTCGAAATTGAATTTCTGCTTTAAGATTCCCACACTCAGTCTAAGTTTATTATACTCATTTGAAGTGTAAGTAAACTTGTGTTGTTCAATTACTTTTGCTTAAAAAAATTTTACACCAAAAAGGATGGTGACGATATCAAATGAAAGTAATCATCAAAACCAGAATATTTACACATCAAACGACAACTCTTGTAAAGTTTTTAGGGTTTGTCTTGTTGTACATGAATATCTAAACTTAAGTTACAAACCAAAAAGGATCTCCAATTTATGTTAACTATCAAATACATGTACAAGATTACAACGACGATATTTGTGTGCTCGTTAAATCGGAGCTTTAAAGTCAAAACAGAATGAAACAATCCCAATTAGATGTTGCAATACTTTGACATTTATCCCAATTTTTTTTCCGAACCAAACTCATACCCTGATCTCTGTTTAATTTTTTATTCACCTTTTCACTGAACCTCTAATTACTTTTTTTTTTGCTTGTACGAAGCTATAAAGCTGGAGAGGTTTTACATTAATTTGAAGTGAATGGAAAATAAAAGATAATTGAAGATAATTACAATTTGATGTCTTAAAGAAAATAAAAACATTACCCAATGTAAATGGAGAGGAGCTTTTTAAAGGAAATCATAGTCATAAACAACTTTGTTTCAACTTTAGAATTACTATAAATAATTAAAATGGGCTATTGCCAAACTCCCAAAGTCAATCGATTGGATCTTGTTGAGGTCATTCATTAACTTCTCTTCAAAGTTAGTTCCCTTTTTTATTATTTCTGGAAATCTAATTAAGGCTGAATCCTGCAAGGCATATTTTTCTTCATGATTATGAAGCAATGAAACGTTTACTTATGATGTAACATATTGCAGAATACTCAAACAACCTTTAAAATTAAATTTTGTTACTTCATAAAGTTATTTGAGAAATCATGAACAGAATTTATCAAGTGAAAAATAGTTTCGAGTTGATAAAACCTCATAACTTGTCACTTAACTTCTTAATGGCCCACATTCTTTGAAAAAGTGTGCTGTGAAGTAATTCAATGATGGTCATCAAAAGAAGGGAAGGAAAAAGGAGAAAAACTAAAAGCACTTGAGTTTGGGAAGGTCAAAAGCTGTTCGTTCTGAGAGTTTCTGTAGCCATTTTATCCTTGCATAATCACCATCGTGCTTATCGAGTCAAGCATTTGATGACTTTTCTCGTTATCTTAGTATTTTCGTGATGTTCATCGAGTGAATGTATGTTTCTTAATGAGCAAGCAATTTCAGAATCAAAAAGATCAAAAAATATTTCAACAATTTCATTAATCTCTCTTGATATTTATGCCTAAATTTTCGCATGAAATCATTTAATTTATTCAAATATATAAAGATCAAATTAAACCTGAAACCTCGTCATCTGAATGAAAACCTTTTTCTATTTATTTATTTTCGAACACCTGCGGTTGTTAAAATTTCCTTCTGGGATATAAATCTCAAATTAAAATGAGCTTTGAAAGATTTAAATGAATCATTTTAATATTTTTACCTTTTTCAGAATAGAAAAGACTAAGAAGATTTACATTATGATAAACATATTATTGATGAGATGTCTAGAGCTTAGCATGGATTTATCCATCAATGAAAATCTTTTATTCTGCTTGGAATAATGCTCAATATAAATGTTTACTTATTACACTGTATTTAACAAAAAGTAAGACAGAACAAAAATGTATTCGTCTAGTGTCATATTTCGTTGAATGTCGTAGATAGCAACGACCGAATAATATCAACGTTTCTTTAAATCGCGTTGACAAGTAACCCCCAATGGATTTTCCATTTCAGTTCTGATTACAGATTCAAAATTTCTAGCGGCGTATTTTGTAGATTACACGCTGCTTCAATGTTATATTTAGATATTTATTCAACAATCACTCAGTGGAATACTTTAAGAAATATTGGGCATTTGTGCTTAAATTTACATAAAATTTGAAGTGGAAAGCAATAAATATTTGAACACTTGGAGAAACTTAAAGAAAGTAAGTCTCAACGCAAATATTTTCAAAGTCAAAGGCATTCTTTACTTATTCATTACTACGGATGCAGGGTAAAGTCAAAAGATCAATCATGAGAGAAGGAAGGAAATATCTGAATGATGTTCATTCAAGAGTTTAACAAAGAAATTTTCTAATTTTTTATTTGAAAAAACCGAGAAACAGCAACAATATGTTGATGTAAATGTCAAATCTGTCTCAACAGTTTTGAAGAAATCTTGTCATTCAAGGAAATTCGTTTATGAAAATTGTTAGATTTTCCAACTGTGAGCGGTGGCAATGCTGAAGAAACGAAGATTGTAATTGAAGCAAATCAGGGAAATTGGAAAAAGTCTCGGTTGGAAGCTTATGCAGTTTAATCCGATTTTCTTTAATCAAGATAATAAGCTCAACGACAATTTTTTTATTCCAAGAAAGAACAACTTCTGCTTCCACACTTTGTTCCATTTTTCACAATCAGCGTTAAAGTGCAATAAATCAAATTATATCGTGATTAAGTGTGACATTGTCTCCTTTGTCTCTATGTTGTTTCCCATTCTAATTAGTTTCGTTTCAATATTATGCATTCAGTCTTTGTTACGTAACGATATTGTTTGAAAGTACTTAAAATGTCGAATGAAATGAACGATGGATGCTTTGTGATGTCTATGAACAAAGAGAAAGCTTTGAAAGAATATTGAAGGTAATGGAACTCGCTACTAAAGACACTTATCATCTTAAAAAATCTTCTTTTTTTATTGCTTATTCAAAGCAGCAGAAAAGAGAAAAAAAGAAAGAGAAAATTTATATTCTTTGAGACATTTACAATTTTCTTTTTCAATGAGTTTAACATTCTTCAAGATATATTCGTTTTGACAAAGCTTAGAAGAAAAATGATATCCAGCCAAGCCCAGACCTTGAACTGAATCTTCTTGATACTTCAATTGTTAAGATTTAAGATAACAGTTACTTGTTCAAAGAAAAATGATATAAATGAAAAGCGAAACATGACAATGAAGAAAACAATACGATTTTCTTAATAAATATAAATACGAGACGAGGAAATAACTTTTCTTGCCTTTCATTTTCTTCGAATACTCCTGATATCAATACGAGTAGATAAAGAATACATGAAACAAGAAGAATAATGTTCGTAAGAACTTTTTTATGTTCACGAGACGAATGAATGGATGGAAAAACATGGCGAGAGAAAAGAAAAATAATATTGACGTTATCATCATGCGGCGTATATTTTTGTGAAAAGTCTCAGAAGAACGATTTATATCTCCTTCCACTTAACTCTCTCAGCAAGATCATCTTGTCTCTTATAATATTATTGCTTTGTTCAGTCTTAAATATTCTAGGCTTCGAATAATAACACTCAACAAAACACAAAATGTGTTACGGAAGGCTTTATTGATTTTTCGTTGAGCATCTTCCCGTTTTTTTCCTATAGGGAGATGCCCCAAAAATATTCATCGTCCCAACGTTCTACTGTACGATTTCTATTTCACTTTTTTTCTCATCTCTATTTTGCGATTTATCATGTTACAACAATGAAAGGATTTTATTTATTTGTGAAGGGATGAAACATGAAGCGAAGCTTAGAATGTGTGTGGTTGGCAAGACGAAAAGTTTTTGCTATTTGAGTAAATTTCTGTTTATTGTTTAGTTGAAAGTTTTTCACACAAAAAGCCCAGAACGAGAACAACATAAAGTCACGCATAAATTTCCATGAAAATGCCCTTGAATAAATGAAAATAAATTTCCTCAATTCATTGGGATACGAATTTCCTCATAAACTTTCACTTAATCTCGACACACAAATTTATCCGAAAAACATTCGAAAGCTTCCATGAATATAATTAATTATACAAATGGAAATGACATATGAGCGAAAAAACTCGAGAGTTTTCAACAAACTTTATATTCCTTCTCATTACAATTTTTTAAGTCACAATCATTGATGGAACCAACTTTTCCATTAAAAACTTGCTTTACTTTTTTCTTCTCTAACTCGCCCTGCCCACTTTTTAATTTCTTTTTTCCGCGATGCTCTAACTTTCTTGTTCCTTTCCCTGAGCGAGCTTACTTTCATTCACTTTCACTCCACAGAACCGACTCTAATCTTTTAAAATCAGTTAGCTTTTCTTTTCAAATGATGTTTCATACACTTTTTATTTTGTTGTTATGTAATTGAATCCCCAAACTTTTCTTTTCACTTTCGTCTCTGTGTATGTTTTTAAAACGACGAAGTTACATCAATCAAACTAAGATTAGAGGATATTTTCATTTCCTCCCACACAATTACTTATTACACTTCGAATTTATAGTTAATTCATGAATGATATCCTTGTTTATATGAATAATTTATCAACTTTTTCTGTTTAAGCTTCAACATTAAACAAAAAAATTATTTCTTTTCCACACACGAGCAGAACGGTTAGTAGATCCTTGCTCGTACGCGCCTTCCTTGAAAATGAGTAAAAACTTTTCACAGCATCCGGAGCAAAATATTTTTTGGCGCGGAGCTTTTAGAAAGCTCTCTCTGGAAGCTTTGAATAAGGAGAGAGGAGAGAGTAAAAACCACATGGCAGAGAGGAAAAACAAACATCACGTGGGTGCTTTTTACCCTTGTTTTTACCTAATAACAAATAATAATAAATATTTCTGGTCTTGTATCATTCTTACTGTAAAAAATTTTCATCAAAGAAAAAGTCAAGTAGAAAAGAAAGAATTTCTGAAATAATTAAGTATAGTGAGAAACTCACAATTCATGAAATTATAACATTCATAAATAAAGATTTAAAAGAAGTTTAGTTTAAAACTGAACGTAAGATAAGAGATGTTATCAAAAAACTTGTAAAAAAATGATTAATTGTTTATATTTTTGTGAACTTTTTGCTACTTCCACCATATAAAAACTTTATTTTTTAACTGGTTATTTCAATAAAATACGATTAATAAATGCAGTGGAGTCCTGAAAATTCTAATGATTCACATTAGAACGCTTATGGCTGCATTCTAAGCGCTCCATCAAGACGAATTGTTTCACCATTGAGTAAAGGATTGTCAACAATCGACTCAACTAGTTGTGCATATTCTTTAGGATCGCCAAGCCGTTGTGGAAATGGAATTGTAAGAGCAAGAGCACTTCGCACTTTATCTGGCAGTTGCTGAAGCATTGGTGTGTCAAAAAGACCAGGTGCAATTGTGACAATTCTAATTCCTTGTGATGCAAGATCACGAGCTATTGGCAATGTCATTCCTACTACTGCTGCCTTCGATGCTGCATAAGCTGCTTGGCCAATTTGACCATCATATGCAGCAACAGAAGCAGTATTAATTATTACACCTCTTTGACCATCAAAGTTTGCATTATTTTGTCCAATCAAACCAGCTGACAACCGAATAACATTAAATGTTCCAGTAGTATTAACGTTCATAACTTTAATAAAATCTTCTAATGTGTGTGGTGTATTTTTTTGAAAACTGAAAGCTCTTTTGGCTATTCCTATTCCTGCACAATTAACCACAACATCTAATCGACCAAATTCAGATTTTGCCGCTTCAAGTGCTTTTGATACGTCGTTTTCAGAAGTCACATCGGTTGGAACGAATATAACGTTATCGCCGATTTCCTTAGCGACCTCTGCACCTTGTGACGTTCCTAAATCACCGAGAACAACTTTGGAACCGGCGCGTGCGAATCTTTCTACAGTAGCTCGACCAAGACCACTCGAACCACCCGTCACGAAAGCAACTGCGTTCTATCATCAACATGAGAGTAAGTAAATTTTATTTATCAATTAAATTAAATTATTATTTTTACCTTAAACATTTTTATGTGATGTTATGATGTTATTAAACTAGTATGCTTGAATATTCGACGAGGTGTTTAACCGTGAGGACAAAATTATCCGAAACCCATTTGAATATATTTTAACCGTTAAATATACCTACTTAAATATGTTGTTTCCAAGTTGTAGAAATTAAAGAAAAATTTCTTAAATAGGAAAATCTGGCCTCGTTTTCAAAACATCTATGCTGAGTTAGGTTCTTCTTAAAGGTCCTTCTAATAAATTTGTTTTAACATTAGCAATCTTCAAATAAATGTTGCTATTTCCAAAAGCTTTCTGTAAATTAAAAATTAGCGAAAAAAGAAAGATGAAAACTCTGCCACAGCTTTACAGCTTCTAAACTTTATTAGTTCTTTCTCATTGTTACATAATAATGCATTACTACTCTTCGCATCTGACAAATAAAAAACATTTCTCAAGAATTTAATTTCTGCAAAAAAAAATCTTATAATTGTATAGATTAGACAATTTTGAAAATTGAAATGATTAATGTTCTGCATATCTGCCCATAAAAGTTTAATTTTAATTATTTTTAATATTATTTTATGTATATTTTCCTTGNAATAAAAAAATCTAATGTCTATTCTTTTTAACTTTTTTTTTATTTTTGTTGATTTAAGTGAATAATTGATAGAATATTCATTGTAAATTTTAAATTAGTTCTTTTTTTTGTTTATTTTTAAACTTTCCTTTTTTTTCAGCATAATTTTCAAAATTATTTCCATTTAAAAAACTTTTGTAATAAAATATATCAATGAACGAATGTTTATAGTTTTTAAAAAACAAAAGACTTAATTTTTAAACAAATGCTAAAAGAAAAAAAAAAGTTTTATGATAAGAAAATGTTAGTCGATAATCAAATCAGAATTTTAATGGACATGTAGAAACAACAGAAACGACATAATAAATGTCAACATTTTCTTTGCTTTATTTTCTTTTTCCTTCATATTCAAAGCTATTTCTTGTTGAATTCAAAAATTTTATTTTCAGTTTTAATATTTTTTCTCTCATTTCTTACACCACCGATTCAGAGTTCAATTTTTTATTTTATTTCATTTCCATTAAAGACAATTGATAGTGATTCTGCAAGATGCTTTAGAAATAAACGCAACGGAGTTTTATATACAACAAATTCATAATTTTCGAGACTTATGCTCGGCTCGCAAATATTTTTTTCATCATATTTCGTCAAAATTCTTGGCTTTTAAGATTTGTTCATAAAACAAAAAATATGCTCGTGAACGTCTCAATGTTTTCATTATTTTCAAGGATTCAAAGTCGCTTATCTTGTTTTCTTTTTCTAAATTTCTTTTGATCATTAAATAATCATTTTAAATATTTTCAAAATGGGCAGAAACAGATTGTTTTGGTTTCTTTTCTTTTCATCTTCTTCGAAAAAAATTGCGCGTTATAAAAACATGTTCAAACTGTGTATGTGTATGAGTGAGTTTAATTAAAGAATTGCATCAGATTTTCAGCTGTTCTTAATTTTTTTTTCTAAAGGAAATGCCGAGAATGTACTTATATAAAAGAACTTTAGGAAGCGGCTGTTCCTTAAGTATTGCTGGAACTTCGATCTTCTTTCCTGCTTGCTCTATGTTGTTATTATTTTGGCATTTCAACTTTCTTTTATAATATAAATCTCTTAAGTTGATTACAACAAGTTATAACAAATATACAAAAATATATATATCGATTGATGAACACACTGAAAGATTGTTAACTGATTTTTATGTATATAAGCTTTTAATCAACTTCAATAATTCGTTCAGTTAGTTCATCAACCGATTTCATCACAGTCTATAACACGTTTTTTTAATTTTTAAAAAGATTTTTCTCCATTTTTTCCCTTTTTTCTTTCTCATTTTTGATTCATAATGAGGTGCTGATTTCAAAGACGTTTCATGACTTAGTCTTTTCAACACTTCCCATACTTAACTCATTAGAGAAAGGAAAACCTCTTTACAAAAGACGCAACTTTATTATTGACACTTATTTTCTTTTTAAAGTGATGAAGCTTCGAATGCCTTCAGCCACTGGTTAAGGATCCATCATAGGTGTGATCACCTTTTTAGTTTCTTTTTATTGTGTCGTTTACAATCTAATTTTTTAGATTCTTTTCAAAGATATCAAACACAAAAAAAATTAATAGATCCGAAATAAAATTGATTCATAAAAATTCTTCATTCCGATTTCTCATTCTTCATATAAAGTGTGACAAAATTTCTTCAATAAACATTAACATTTATATTACTCAATAATGAAATGATAACAAATTTAATTCAAAAAGATAAGAAAAAAAATTATTAATGATATTGTTTTCAAAATTATGAAAAAAAGTTTAGAAAAATTTTCCAATTTAAGAATTAACTTAAGATTCACATTTTAATATATTTTCAATGATCAAGTTAGAATAACTTGGGAAAAAATAAGGAAATAAACTTGGGATTTATAAATCTAATTAAATCAATCAACTTTCTCTCACTTTAAGCTGTAACATCGCTCGCTTCTTCGCTTGTAGGCGAATCTAACTTTCCTTTGGTATTCTTTTTTATCTTCTTAAGACTATTCTTACCATTTTTATTGTTTTGTTGTTGCTGATTATCAACAGCATTTGATGAAAGCACGTCAGTGGCAGTTGTGTCTTGTTCATCTATCTTATCACATTGTTGTTTGTCACCGTCATCAGATGTTCCATTGCGATGATCATCATTTTCAAGTTTTAAAGTTTCTTGAGGAACTTTTTCTCTTGATTCAACGACTTCTTCTTTAGCTTGTGATTGATCACTTTAAAAACATTTTATTTTAGTAAATAAATTCTAAAGATTATTTTTAAAACTCACCCGTTTTCATTGCCATCACTGTCAACATCATCTTTTAAAATTGTTTTCTTCTCAACGTCATTCTCTTCATTTTTGTCATCTGTTTTGTTGTTTTCCTTCTTCGGTTTCAGTTTCTTTTGTTTTGCAAAACGTTGAGGACTTTTCTGGTTGAATCCACTTGTCGACATTGACCCAGGAGCTGCTATACGATAGCGATAGTTGCCACCACGAGTTGAACGTTGATTAATTGGATAACGAATCTAAAATGACAAAACAATATTGAAAAACTGATTCAAAAATTTCTGTAATTTTCTTACCACCCCTGCACGATTCATTCGAGCAATTTGAGGATTTCGCGATCCATTAGCCCACGAGCCGACAACAACTCCACCAACTTTCAATTGATATCCGTTATTTTTCTGATATCCAACTGGTGGTATGCAATTTCCACGTTGGGAAACTTTTTGTCCAACATTTTGTTGTGCTGTCATTAATTGATTCTTCTGCTGACGTTGTCCACCTCCTGGATACAATCCTGGATTATAGAACATTTGTTGTTGATGTTGTTGCTGAATTGGCGATGCTGAGACATAGCCACCGTAATTATTTGAGGCGACAAGTGGATATTGAATGTTTTTACCAAACGATTGTTGATAGTTTCCAGCTGTTTGATACATTTGACGATACATTGGTTCTATTTTTATTTAATTAATAAAAAAAATTGAAAAATCAAGAAATTTCCAAGAAGACAAAATTATCGAAATTTAATTTTAAAAGTAGAAAATTTTATAAAATTAACTTACCAACTGGTGGAACCATATTTTCAACATCTTCTAAAATTGCTTTACGAAAACGCTCAATCTTCATCACCATTTCCAATTGATCATCACACAATTCACGAAGATTTTGCAAGCAAACAGCCATTCGCAATTTGAGATGAAAGAGTTTGCCATCGAAGAAGAGCCACGGATTTGTAAGATTCCAAGGTAAAGGAACACCACATGCATCGTTAGCTAGTTGTGCTGTTTCAATGCCTTGCATAAAGAGTGTAGCAAGGAAGACACCACGCAGATAAACACCTGGCAAAACCATTTCTTGTGTATACTCAACGTTAGCTAATTGAGGTGAAAATGCTGTTACAAGAAAAGCATCAAGTTCATGACGTGACAAAACATTTCGATCAGGATTTGTGACCATGTATCGTAAAACGCATGCCAACACTATTAAGTGTTGTGGAACATAATTTCGATTCAACATCATTGCCGTATCAGATCGCATAACAGTGAGAAAAGCACGCATGCGACGATGTTTGTCATCAAATGTCGTTCCAAACCATAATCTTTGAATTGTTGGAACCGCCCATGGCAATTGAATCGCATAAACTTCTTCGGCCTTCTTATATTCATTTTGTGGCGACCAAATCCATTCATTGATAACAACATCAGGCATCGGTAAATTGTCTTTCGTCTTCGAGCACATATATTTTTGATGATAAAGATTGAATAGAACAGCATAAATCATTTGACGTGCAGGGCGGTAAAAAATGTTTACGGATGGCATTTCACGATATTGTTCATCTTCAAGGACTTGTGGCAAAAGAATTTCTTTCTTTGTCAACAAAATATAAATCCTTGGATCCATTGAACCTCTTTGATGACGCTGATATGAAGTTCTTAAGACTTCAGCTGGTAAGCTGTATACAAACTTTACACATTTTCGGACAATTTCTTGACCTTGAGATGTGCTCGCTGTGATTGGTGGTTCGTCTATTTAAAGAATTAAATTTTATTACTTTTTTACTTCTTATTAAAATTACTTACTTTCATTAACAAGATTGTTGACATCTTTAAGAATTTTATTTGCAATTTCATCATTTTCATTTGTTTCGCTTGCCATTGGAACCATCGGTGTTGCATCTTGAATGACATCAATATTCTTGATGATTTCTGTGATTGGCTTTTTCTTGCTTCCAAGATAACGCTTTCCACCAAATATTCCTTTGCGTTGATAATACTCAATAGATTCCTTCAGAACATCATTAAACTCCACTAGATTCAAATGACTTATTATAGCATCGACATTACTACCAGCTGGCAATGAACGAACAAGATTGGACAATTGTCGAATGCGAGCTTCAAAATCTTGATTGTATTCAATATCAAGCTTCTGGTAGATCACCTTCATTGTTGGATCGTCGATCAAGATGTAACCACCAAGAAGAACAGCAACAATTGCCAATTGTTCTGGAATTAACTGAATATGATTAAGCACTTGGCTGACAATAAATTCTTTTGTCTCCAATGCTCCTTTATATGATAATCGCATATCGTGTGAGCTAAAATAACGTGAAACATTACAAACGATGTAATCTGGATGGAGGCCAATGATTCCATTCAATTTATGTTCGTTGTAATAATCAATGACTTCCATAGTGTGATCATGAATTGTTTGCACCTTAAAGAACACTCAAAAATTCATTTGTCAAACTTTCAAAATAAATTTCTTTCCTTACCACAGGAATTTCAACTGTCCTTAAAGCATTACGAATGCAAGTCTTCAAACCAGAAGGTGGGAGCCACCAAATTTTTGGTGGTGGTGTTCCAATCATTCGAATGTGTTTTAAAACCTAAACGAATCAAAATGATTTGATGTCAAGATGAAAGTTATTTTTATCTTACCGAAATTGTTTTCTGTCGAAAGTCATTTCGTTCCAATTGAAGTTTTTTGTTTTCCTTTAATGTTCCATCAAAGAATACGATGACTTCCATCTGTGCTGATTGAAATGCATTAGCCAAGAGTTGAACAAATTCAAAGCATCGATTAAATTGACCACCACAAGCCCAATCTGTTTGAAAAACATAAAAATATTTATGGAAATTTGAGACATATGGAGAAATAAAATTATTAAAAACTTACCGCTATAATATCCACCATAGAAACGATCCAAACACCCTTCGATATCCAAAGCTACTCTCATTCGACGAGGACTACGTGCTGGAGCTTTTAAAGGAAATTAAAACAGTTAAAAATCAAATTATTGATTTTTTCTTGTGTTAATGAATATTTACATATCCACACATATTTACCTTGTTGAAGAAAAGCTTGACCGATTTTCACGAGGTCCACGCCTTGCTGAGCACCCTCAACTTTGTCAATGAGTGCTTGCAAGTCACTTGTGCTAAACATTTTGAATGTAGTTCTTCAAAGGAATTTATGAAATCAAATTCTATCACTCTGGATGTCTGATGTTGTCTTGCTGGATCTTTTTTCTTTTGTTATGAAAATAAAAGATGGCAAATTCCGTAGAAATCCAAAGTTGAAAGTAATTAAACGTCTAGAATGACTTTTGTGAGAACAGAAGATGAACAATTAACTACTTTTTAGCTTGAATTAACTGATTTCGGGGCGAAAATACGCGAAAGCCGAATCACATTGTCTGCAGATAACGAAAAGTCAAAAGAAATTAACTTTACGCTACCTTAAAAGACTTTATAACACGAGAAGATGTAAAAGAATGTTAACTTTTTGTTTGGATACTAAAATCAACTTAAATTAACAAATTTTAACATGATTTTCAGCTTGATTTAGAAAATTAAACTTCAAAGTATTTTTCGACAGTTCGGAATAAAAATCTGCCAAGTACAGGATATTTATTTTAACTTTGAAAACATCTTTTGAAACTGATGATGAAGGGAATATTTCTTTAGGTCTTAAACTTTGTTTATTGCACTTTTCTTTGGTAAACTAATGGACGTTGACATTTGATAACAACTTAGAAAACCCCAACTTAAGCTTGAGTTGAAATTCGTATGGAGTTGAAACAGTTTAATTCCATAATATGACAATTCAGCAGTTCAGCAATTTCGCGGCAAATTCAAATTTTTCATTTTTCTGAGTTAGACAAGTTCAGGCCTTAAAATCTGATCTTTTAATAAACATTTACAGACAATTATAAACATTTCCGATTATTTTTCAAGACTTTATTTACTTCATGTTTTATTAGATTACAGAATATTTATAATTCACATTTCTCACCTATTAATTTTTCCGAAACAAGAAATAAAAATAGATTTTTAAACCTTTTTTGAGTGATGATGATCCACATTGTAAAGATATTTGATAATTTTTATTTCAAAATTTCTCTTTAAAGTTTAAACAGACGAGTGTTCTTTTAAATTCCAATTCCTTTCATTATTTTAGTAATAACTTTGCATTGTTAGTTAAAAACTTGCACTATCATTAAAAAACTTTTCGTTTTTGCTATAAAAGTGACACAAAGAAGTTGTTGTTATAAAAACATTTTCAAAAACATTTATTGCGTGGCGTGGGAGTCTTTTTCGTGTGTAAAGATTCTATGTAACAGGAAAAAAGAATCGAAGTTGATGAGATCAAGTGTCGGTTTGTGCGATTGGATTCAATTCTAGATAGGACGGCTATGTATAAAAAATTCAATTCGTTGGTCTTCTTGATTTCTGTATGCAGCAACGTAAGTATTCTTTTATCAGAAAATTTTCAATTTAGATGTTTCAAAAGCATCAAGTTTAAGGAATGTAATATTTGGATTGTATTTCAAAAAGAAATTTTGCTAAAGTTTAGACTTTCAGTTCTCTACGAATTTGCTACTGTCAAGACCTGAATACAATCGTCTGTGATTAGTTTAGTTAATATTTCATTACAAATCCTTACGCAGAAAAGTGACGTTTAGAATTTAATAGTACGACGAATCAAACTTGATCTCATTTAAAGATAAATCGCCTGGCGGAAATTTCTTTATTGAATATCATTGTAGGAATGAATTTGATTGTAGGTGGGTGAAGAAGGGTGAGCAGGAATGTGATCCGACCAATTATTCTTGTCCTGTTTAAGTTGAGAATTTAAAACTTTGTTCTTAATTTACGAAAAAAATATTTGCTTTGTAAGAAGATGTTGGTATCGATCAATTATAGTCTTTAAATGTTAATTTAATTAAAGGATTTTACTCTGTTTTTATAATGACCCTTTACATTGTTAATTTAATTAGATTTAGATGCTACTATAATATTCGCTTCTAATATTTTCCTTCTCGTTTATTTGTGTTTCTTTAGCACTTTTTATGGGCTGATTTTGCATTTATATTCGCATGAGACTTGAACATCATCAAAATTGTAGAAAATTCAAAAATTTCAATAGATTGAACATCTACAATTTCAAGGTAAAAACATTCTATGCGATGGTTCTAACTTAATCTACGGAGGATAAAGTTTTAAAGGTCGAAAAAGCTTCAGAGTTGTTTTGTTTTTCTTCTTCCAACTACTTATGTATAAAAAAGTTTTGACAAATGAAAAAACTTCTTCTTGAGTTTTTTTTTTGTTTGTTATCGGAACAGAATAATAAATTATACGAAACTCAATGGCATGGTTTGAGTCATTTAATGATGCTGATGATGGCTGTGGCTATGATAATGGTGAATATGATGATGTCCCATTTTTTGTGGCTGGGGTTGAGCGTTTTGCTTTGGTAATGCACCAACAATTCTTACACCTCGTTGTTGCTGTTGTTGTTGACTTTGATGTATTAGATGATATTGCATCTGCTGCTGTTGCATCATGTAATGAGATGGCGGATGTTGTCTCATCATTTGACTTTGTTGAGTTGGGATGTGAAGAGATCTGGTATTTGAAACGATATCGCTAAATTCAGGTGGTGGTGGTGCAACTGAGAAACCAGAAACAAATTTTGAAATATGATTGACATGTTGAATGTTAATTAAACTCACCTATATAAGATGGCATACTGCTGGCATCAACTTCATCATCAGAATCCGCTTCAATTGGTGGCGGAAGTTGAGTTAATGACACAGCATGTCCCTGAGCTTGTGCAAGAGCTCGAGCACGATTTGCAGCAATCATTGCTGCTTGTTTTCTCGTCAACGAGTTGTTACGTTGGAATCCACCTAAAGGTGGACTCGGACTGTCTTCATCACTTCTTGCATCTTCCGTTGAAATAATTGTAACTTTCTTCGTTTCTTCCACTTTCAAAATCATTTTATTCTGTTGATTTTTGTTATGGTTGGTGTTGTTAATAATTAATGGTGACGCTTTCGATGCTTTTGATTCGCCTGAATTATTCATCATAACTTCTTGATCACTACTAACACCTGATGATGAATTATCACCTTCACCTTCGGGAATATTTCTCTCTTGACTTTGAAAAGCATTCGGAAAAGATTTCGATGACTTTAATTGTGTTCGAATCTTTTGAATTTCATCAACAGAGAATGAATGAGGCATCGAACTTGAACCTGTACTCGATCCTGATGTGTTACTGTTACCACTTGTCTCTGCCACATTTGATTCATCTTTCACTTTTTGGTCATTTCTTTTAATTGTATTTACATTTCCATTACTTGTTGGCATACTTGATGCCAATCGAACGGAGTTGTCAGCTTCTTCTTCAGACTCTGACATGGAATAATCAGGCTCAGGAATTGGTGGAGCTGGAATTTGATTTGGATCTTGATTGTTGTTGGTTGGATCAACGCCAGCACGTCCTGGTTGAGCGTAAGGATTTAAATTACCAGACACAGCAGCGACATTCACTTTTGTGATATTCTAAAGAATCAAGAAAATATTTTCAACATGCAAAACAATGCAAATGAATTCAATTTTACCTGCTCATTGTTTCCATTAATAATCGTTGTTGACGTTGACTTTTGTCCACCATTAGCAGTGACAACATTGTTAGAAGCAGACGGTCGGAAGGCCATCGATGGAGTTATTCCCAAGTCTTGTGGTGAAGCGTACATTTTTGCATTCGACGCTGGTTTAAAGCTCGACACGATTTCCGTTTGTTGTGATGTCATTTTTTGTTGAATTTGATTTTGTAATGCAACTGTCGATTCATATTCTGATTTTCTTTTAACATCAACTTTGACGACTTGTCCAACAGGTGGTGGGGGTGGTGGATGATTAGGTGGTGGGAGATTTAATCGTTGAATTGATGCATTAATATTGTGCATGTCTTCTTGTGACAAATGACCTTTCTGAGCGAACATTCCGCTACTCCACGTTGCACTTCCACTCATAGTGTTCGCTAAATCAGGTGAACTGTGGAAGTTTCGTTTCAGATCAGATCCAATAGCGGGTATTGCAACAGGCCGTCCACGCAACGTTCCATTCTTCGTTTTCTTCCGCTTCATATCAGCAATACTTGCATACACCAAAGGACCTTTTGCTGGCGATGTTTGAGGTGTCAACGTGTTGTCACCACTCGATTGGAAACGCGATGTTGTCATCATTGACGAATATCGATTATTCTCAATGCCTTGTTGACGTTGGAAGAGATCTTCGAGTTCTGCTGCAGTGATTCGACTTGACGTCGGTCGTGATTTGATGCTAGCAGTACGCGGCTGTATTGGCGTACCTTGCGTGGGCGTTGAAACTGCTGATTGTGTTTGCTGATGAATTGATTCGATTGAACCCGTCTTCGTTGGAATTTCTTCATCGTCATCGCCTTCTAAACCAGCGACCATCGATTTTGCACGTGCACGACCAACACTTAATGTTGTTTTAGGATCTCGACGTGGTGGCGCTGGCGCTGGCAACTTTCCAGGTCCACTCATGCGACGTGGCAATGTCGAGCATTGTCGAGAGTTGTTTATGGCAGAATAATTGTTGTTGATGTTGTTAACAAGATTATCATTCGTCGGTAGTGTCAGAACTGTCATAGTAACCACGTTACTTGAATTTCGAATAATATCAACGACATGTTCGTGTGAAGCGCATGTCACGTCTTCTCCGTTAATCTGAAGAAAATTACATGAAAATATTTCAAAAAGAAAGCACGTGAAAAATACTTACGGCCAAAAGAAAATCACCGGGTTTGAGACCCGCCATGTCAGCGACACCACCAGGATCAACATCATCAAGATATTGTAAAGCAGGACAACGTGGCGATGGCTTCAATTGCATTAATGGCGATGCTGCTTTTGCACCTCGCAAAACAAAACCAAAACCTCTCTTGGCACGATGAAGTAACTAATTTTACATTAAATTATCGAATTAGGAAAAAAAAGATTAAATCGAGGCTCGAGTTCAATTGGAAGCTTAAATATGAATTAATTTAATCTCATTGTCGATTGATGGATCACTAAACGGATTCTTTCATCTACCTAACCACATAATCCTTTAACCAGATTATTTTCATATCACTGATAAGAAAAGAACCGACATATGCTTATAAATATTTATTTGCATCAACAACTTAGCGTGTTTACTTTTCCCACTCAAACTTTTCTCCTCATCAACGAAGAAAAATGAAATAATTTAAGCAAAATAAATTTTTAACTCACCACTGTTCGCGGTTCAGGCATCAAGAAACTAAAAGGAGATGGCAGAGGGGAGACAGAATAAAAATAAATATTAACATGAGAGAATCAGAATGTATTTGTTTGAAGGTCACCAAATGGTCATGGACGAAAATGATGAAAAGAAATGAGAAGATAAAAATCAGGTTCACTAATACTTACTTCTTCTTAGCTCGAGGCGCTGTGGAGCTGTTGTATTGTTGCATTGGTGGTGGCTGTTGTTGCTGCTCAAACTCGTTGCCGTTTGTCGTAACTATAGTTGACTGATGATTGTTGTTAATGGTGTTTGAATTAGGCTGATTAGTTGATGCTGTAGAAACGTTTGTAATTGTTTTCTGTCGAAATTGAACCTCTTGAGCGTAGCGTGAAGGAAAGAATCCAATTTTAGTTGTACCACGAATATATCCCTCTAATAATCCACAATCTGTCGATCCAACAACTTCTATGACATCACCTGGTTGAATCGCCAAATGTCCGTTGACTTTTGACTCGTACTTCTCAATACACACAACAGTTGTGTTTGGATGTCCAATCGAACAAGTTGCTGACTCAGAATTTGTTCCGACACCTGACGAGTCACTGATTATATCGCTCGTGTCGCCGAGACTCTTATCTAAATTTTATTTGCGAAACAATAACTCATCGATTAAAGTCACAGAAGTGAGAACAAATAAAAATATTTAAAGAGTTTTCCTTTCTCTAAATATTTACGACATGATTTGACGTCATGTGACTGACAATCTTCAATGATTTATCATCATCAAATTCAAGGCAAGGTGTTAAATATAATGTAAAGAATGTTAGCAAAAGAATTTTAACTTCAAACAAAAGATAAGAAAAACAAATCAAAAATTATTTTAAATGACAAGTTGAAGAGAACAAATGAGCGGCAAATTCAATTTGAAATTCATCAAGTCAATGAAAATCTGAAGTTTTATCTGTTTGGGAAGAAAATATTTTCGATCTTGAATGTTTTTATCTAATTTGTCAATTTCAAGTATCAAAGCTTGATGAATTTGCAAATGAAGGAAATAAAGAAGAAAAGATTTTTCCAGATTGAATCTGAGACGAAATTGATTGGAAGTCTCGTCACAAATTGAAACATTTTTTCTTTTAAATCATTGAACATTTCCTAAAACACTTAAAAATTATCTTCCAACATATCTAACATTAAGTGGATTGTAAGACAAAATATTTCAATTCTAATCGTGACGTAATTTCCAAACATTTCCCGCTATATCAAAAGAATCAATCAAGAAAAAAACACTCTAGGAAAGAATGAAGGAAAAGTCAACAAGGATAATACTCAAGCAGACTACATCATTCGCATTCTAAGTAATTCTTTTCCTTTCACAAAAATATCCACGAATTCATGGAGATGATAAAAAAAGGTAAAATTCAGCCTTGTCATGACGGGCACAAGAAAGGAAAAGAAAACTGTAAGTAAACATCACAAGAAAATTCATTTCATGCTTTTGATGATGAAAAATAAATTCAATGAAAGGAAAAAGTAAAGCTTTAAAGCTTTCATGCAACGGATTAGATGCTGCTTATGATTTTTCATCGTTTGATAAAGAATTTTCTTTATGCTCAGATGTTGAATATTTTGTTAGTTAAAGAACGTACAAATGACACTTAAATCACCCACACACACTCACTCACACCCATATAGACATAATGAAATCCCTTGGCTTGTGTAACTTTTCTTTTTTGGCTGGATTAGCATGAAGTCTTTCAGGAAGAAACACATTAGCTCTGATTGACGGGGTTAAATTACCTGTAACAATGCTTATGTCATCCTCTTGACTTCGATGACTTGATGAACTTTCCGATAGACTTGAGCTGGCTGAATTGAATGGATGATCTGATGGACAAGGTGACGGTGGACCGCCGTTGTTCATTAACCTTGCAAATGTATGATAATGTGAATTTGTCCAAGATGAGTTACTTGAAGCAATTGAAGATGTTGGACCAGCACATTCAGAGGAATTTGAATGTTGATAGTTAAGCCAGCATCCAAGACCTGATCGTCGTCGTGGATTGTAGCGTGGCGGACCACGAATGGGCACTGTATTGTGTGGATGGGATTTATTGAATTATGATTTATATTTCTAAGTTTTTTTCTTGCTTTGTGCACTTCTCGGGTGTCGTGTGTTTATATTTAGATATTATTGTTTATGGAGAGATTATGTTGGTGGGAAAGAATAATTTTTATATGTCATTTGTCTCTTTTTTATTTCTTATTTTTAAAAAGGTCGCAGGCGAACGTGAAAACCCGCTACAGATGGTTCAGATGTTGATTTAAGTAAATTTATCAATTACTTAACATGAAAAGAAGGTTTCACGATATTAAGGAGCTAATCCTTAGTTCACGAACCATCTGGAGATGATTATCTTGTCGCTTACATCCATTACTTGATTATTTGTTCTCTACACAAATATTTCTTTATTTACAGTCAGTTTCTTAATGAGATTTGTTTGTTTTGTTATTGTAAGTAAACAGTTTTGTGTTTTGTTTCTCTCTCTCTCTCTCTCTCGCGATAATGTGATGAATGCAATTTTTCCTTTTAATACTTAAGTGTGTGCTTAGTTTCAGACTCGCTAATTTACAGCGCAATTCGTGTGTTCACTGAATATTTTTCATGGCAACATCGACGACGGGGTGCTTGTGGTTTTGAATAATTTTCAGTGTAATATGAATAATTATTTGTCGCGAGCTTTTACAGTCATGAAACGATAACAACAAAAATGTTTTGTTTCTCTTTCGTGCTCACTCAAGAAGTAAATTTGAAAAAATATTTGAAATTCTTGGTGGCTAAACAATAAATAATTGTTCAATGTTGTGCAATAATTAAAAAAAAATTCAAAGTGTTCTTTGGCGGACGCTTTTTGTTGCTGATTTAAAGTTTTCCTTGTGTCTTGTGTTATAATTTATTTATATCTCTGATGAAAAATCCTCGAAAGCGACTGTCGATTCGTGAAGGGAAAAAATTATGTGCACGTGAAATCACTTTAACATTTGATAAATGACTGGAGTCGAAACTTTTTTTTTGTTGGAACAATACGAAGCTTCGAAAAAGTAAAAAATAATAAATAAAGAACAATTGTTTCGCCTGTTTATGTATATGCCTTGAAATTCAATTTTCAGCGTCTTCTTTTTATTTCGCATCGACTTCTTCACACTGCTATTGTGCTTGTCTTATTGTTTTATGTCTTTATTTACTCATACTTATCTTTATCTTATATTTTTAAAATTACTAACGTGTAATCAGCCACCTAGTAATTGTGTGTTGTGTGAGATACCATAACGTCGTGCTTAAGTAAGAAACAAATTCTGTTTCAATGAAAAACTATTTCTCTTTATACTTTACGCTTTCTTATCATCTAACTTCAAACAAAATTCTTTATCGATGTTGTCACATGGGCTTTTATTCAACGTTTTGTAATTAACGCTGTTCATTCTACGACGGCTATTAATTTATGGCGTTGATATTTGCAAAAAACAGCAACTTCGACAGCTTAATCGGCGATGAGAGAATAAAGAAAAAAAATCTTTTTTAATTATTTTAAAAGTGATTCAATCAATTATCACTTGTTGAATACAAATCTTTTTTTTTTGTTGGCCATTAGCGAATAACATTCATCACTTGCGTGCTTCAACGAAGGCTCTTTTTAAATGCTTTGATACTTAAAGATTGCCGAACCAATCGATTTTGAGTGTGAGTAAGAATTTTCTTTCTAGGAAACGATTGTAAGCTTGTCGCGTGTTTTGCTTAAATAATAAAAACATATTCACGAACTCGTTCAGTAAGCTTCACATTCTTTTCTTTCTTTCTTTTCTCATAGCTAAAGTTAAACAAATCTTACGCCATAAAGTCGTCTGGATCATGAAATATATATTTAAGTGAGTGAATTTGTGTCAAACACATTTTCACATAATTCAAGAAAAAAGAATCGCTAATTGTCAAACATGTAAGACATTGATTAAAATTTATAAATACTCGTTGAAAATGTTCAATAAATTACCAGCAGTTTCTTTCTTTATAACTTTTCTATCTAAATTCAAGCAACAACAAAAAAACAAGAAGTTTTTCTTAAATTTGAATCAGCAGAAAAACAAAAATGTTTGCACAACTGAAAATAATCAAGTTGGATAAAATATGAAACACATTCCGGTAATATTTCTGCTGTGGTATGCAAAGTAACAAGACTTGCTTTACAGCGAGCATAAAAAAGTGTAACATTAGAACATAATTCTGTGTTTTTAGCGCACAAGATACTCAGATAAGTATGCAGTGGAAAGTTGAATCAGTAAACGTACTTAAAACAAAACAAGTCGCTAAACAATTTAAAGTTTATCTAACAACATTTAATCCGACATTACACTGTTCATTCATCAATATATTTCATTACTTTGATCATTCTCTCTCCTTTCATTCCATCAATTTATTGAAAAATGCCGAAAAACTGAACCCATTAACCATAAATTTAGTCTTAAAGTGGCAGAAATTAAATGATGAAAGAAGCAATTTTTGGATTTTTTTTGTTTGTTTCATGAGAAAATAACTGGCGGCAATCATTCTTTTCCTTCTTTGTTTCCACAGATGATGATTCCCGCAATGAAGCAATGAAATGGCGAAATGAAAATACAGAACAACTTTAACAAGATAATGATCCGCATTATGATGAGTGATAAAGCATGAAAGATGATGTGATCTGATGATAAGAGTTTCATTTATCACTTTCCATCCCATATCGACAATAATTTTTGAACCCTTCATCGTTATCTAACACGTTTGCGGTGACATTTAATGCTTCAGCAGTTAAAAATTTCCCATCACGATAAACACATGACCACAGTCAACAGATTAGAAATCTTTACTTCAAAATAACATTTTTTTCCTACATCACAGATTAGTGAATTGAATGGAACATTTAGATGAATGAATGAACAAACGTTTGGCAACAGATCGTTTTCTTTCTCTTGATGTCGTGCATAATGAGATGGACCCTGAACAAATCGTCAGGGGGCTTCTGTCTTCTATTTGAAACTAAATTGTTTACTCAAATTATATTTCCCCTTTAAGAAAATATTCAAAGCCCCGAAAAGTTCAAACAAAAAATGATTTATGATTCAAATGTCCATCTCATCGAGACGCACGTTGAAAAATTAACAACACAAAAATATTTATTTTAGTTGGAGAGAAAAAAAATTGCATTTTAATGAACATTTAACGATAATGAATTGAAACATTACAAACACAAAACTAGCGATGAATTTCTCATGAAATTTTCAACTTATTCAGATTGTCTCTGAAGTCTTCAACTGTTTGTTGTAATGTGATGTGAATGAAAATGAACAATCAAGTAACATTAAAGAAAATGAATAATAAAATGAATTTTACTTTGCGGCTAAAATGTTAACATTTGCAAACATTAAAAAAATGCTAAAGAACTATTTTCTCACTTATAGATATGTATTCGAATAAATAGCACGATCATAAAAGAATTTTCAATCAAGTTTCTGTAACATTATGTTTAGAAAAAAAAGAAACAAATTTTTTTTTCTCTGATATTTTCATTCCAACAAATATGTAATGGATATGAAAGACTTAAGATAAAAATGAAGGAATGTTGTCGGTCAGTCGAGTCAAGTCGATGTTGTTGAATGTTGTAAGTGAATGAAACGAAATTGAGGTAAGGAATTAAATTTCTATCAATTTGAAACTAATTCTTAAGCTTAAAATTAAAGCTTATAAATTGAATCTTCTTAACCCATCTCAAAATTTTAATTCCCTTGCACCTCAAACTCACTGCACGAACATTTCAACATCATCAAACAGAAAGAACTCCATAAACAAAAACAAAGGAAAAAATTCATAATTAAGAATTTTGGAAGAAAGTTTCATTCAAAATATGAAATTACAACAATTAAATTTTCAAAAGTGGATAAAGAAGAAATCAAATCAAAGAGGATTAAACTGTAAATTGATGGGGGAAAAGTTGATGTACTCACCAATATCATCGGATTTGTAGTTCTGAATCATTTCAGCTAGTTCGAAGTTACTTGCTATTACAGCAACCTATCGTGAAGCAGCGTGAGTAAAAAGCAAGTTATTAATAACATTCTAAACATATTTTCTTGTAATTAATTAATGTTTTCAGTCTCAATGTTTTCTGATCAAAAGGCTTTCTTGAGATTACCTGGTAAGGCGTTTGATTTGCATAGTTAAGAGCGCCACGGTTGGCACCACGAAAAAGTAGCATTCTAGCGCATGCTTCCTGATTATTCACCGCACAAACATGCAATGGCGTATTGCCACTTGCATTCTTACTGTCCATATCGGCACCGTAAACCAATAAATGCTCTAAATGATGTGCTAAACCATTGCGACAGGCCTACGAAGGTAGATAAAGAATGACAGAGAGAAGTTGGGAAAACATAATTTAGTCCGGAAGTCAATTCAATTATCAACAGTACATGAAGCGTATTGAGGTATCTAGTTGCTTATTACATGAATTTCCAATCACCACATTTAAATGTTCATTATATTAATCTCTTCAATGGTCGTGGAAATTAGCACAAAGCTTACAACTAACTGACTAAACTATTATCTAGGTCATGAATTGGGCTTTGCTTTTCAATTACAAAAACTCACCTGATGCACTTCATTCCAACCTTGAGTGTCTTGCGTACCAAGAACAGCGTGATCATGTAGAAGAGCTTCGGTTACCTTTGGATCGTTCTTTTTCGTAACAGAAAGATAAACTGGCGTAATGTTTCTGGCATCACGATAATTTGGCGATGCTCCAAGTTCAAGTAAAGTTCTGAAGATATGAAAATGGCTTCAAATTTCATTCTTTTTTAATAACTTGTCATTAAACACTTACGAAACAGCTTCAAAACAATCTTTCTCGACAGCTCGATGAAGTGCTGTGCTTCCGTCTTTTGTACGATAATCCAAAAGTGCTCCGCCATTCACCAAAGCTATCAACAATTTTTGTGGTTTCTTTGCATTTGTTGCAAGTGTCAATGGCGTCTCGCCTGTCTCTTGACAGTGAAAATTAGGATCCAATCCTTTGGCACACATTTTTGATATTTTCTCAACATGACCACCATTGACACACTCTAAGAATCGTCTCAAGTTTGAGCGCGAGTGAAGGGCACGCAGTTGTCTTTCATCGAGATTCAACATTTTATAGACACGACGTTTGTACTTCAACTGAGATGATGACAGTAAGTTGTTGGTTGTTATGCGCAGATATGAAAGAATGGAAATATGAATAGTGAAATGTAATTTAAATATCAAAGTAAAATGTTGTTAATTAGTTTTACATCGTTTGTAAATTTCTGTCTTGTCATCAGTGATGTCACTTTAAAGAAAATGTTTCAAAAGTGACAACAAGGGTCTGAGTTTACTTAAATGTCTGCGAAGGTTTCGTATTTAAAGAAGCTCTTAAAATGATCTTCAAAACCCTTCTCATATTATTATTGAAAAGAAACGCCACTGAAGACTCTTGAAACGAAACATTTTCAATTTTTTACGTTATGGAGAAGAAAAGATTTTTTTACGCTGATCTTCTTTAATTATTGAAGAATCCGTTTTATACTTCCTCAGAATTATTTCTTGCTATGAAATCTTTTTCAATTCTTATTTACTCAAATTAAACACGGAAAATTTACATGTCGATGCGAATGAGTGGAACGTATGTTTACTTACCTCAAGATATCCAACGGGTCCGTTGAACGGGTAATCACCCAATCGTCGCTCTTCGTCCAGAAACTTTCCCGCTTTTCCATTCGAAGGAGGACAAAAGAGACCGTAATTGAAACTTTCTTTCAACTCCTAAGCAGCAACAGCAGCAATCGTGAGAATGATAACATGGAAATGAGAAGAAACAAAAACAACGATCAAATCGTGCACTCAACGGTAGCATCAATAATTAACAATTGGTTCAACAGATGAAAACGAGTAGAAATTACCGTCAATTATAAAATGTTTTTTCTCTTCTTCATCTTCTTCGTTTTTCATTAATTTTCAAAACAATTAACAATCAAAGATTGAGCGAAAGTTCGTTCCACCGACTGTGACAGACGAAAGTTGAAAATTGAAGAAAAGAATTTTCGCTTTTCTGCAACATCAAACTTTATGCTGCATCAGATTATCTTATGAGAAAAGATTTCTAGTTCAACGCGTCTTTCTTTTCCTTTCAATTCCACAATATTTAATTTCAATTTCTGAGAGAATTCCCACAATGCCATGATGTAATAGAACCTTAAAGACTTGATGGTGAATTATGGACTCGTAATGCAGATTATTTACTTCCAACGCATTAATTTCCATCTACCGGAAATTACTTTTCCAATTTTCTTTATTCTTTGCTCTCGATACTGTTATCATTGGCGAATGACAAGAAGCAGAAAAAGGAATTAAAAGAGAAGAAAGAATAAAAAATTTAATAGAACAATAGATTAAAGCACCTCGAGCGGTTTTTCTGAATTAGTTGGCTTGGAATTGCCTTCAATGTAAAGCTTAAGACGAGAATAAGAGAAAAATGTATCGTGGTGTATTTATAAGTAGAAGGAGAGTAAAAGAAAAGAAATTGTACATAATTGAACCCAAACCAAACGTAACTATCTACTTATTAACTGACTATATAGAATTGTAAGTAGTTTGTACCAACGATGCTGGATGACTGGAATATATTTTTATATATTTTCCTTTCTTTACTCTTTTTTTTTTAACTTTACTTTATAATAACAGTAACGGGTTTCCAATTAAACACATTTTGATTGTGTTCTAGTTGATTGGACGGGAGTTAGCACCGAATGTTACAAGTAAGTATTACTTATTGAGTGTCTGCCATGCCATGTCATTTGTGCTTTGGTTTAGTTTCCATCTATCGATGAATTTTGCATAAAAAGAATGTTCTCGTTATAGAAGAGAGAAAAGTTCACTGTCATTAAAGAACAATTGATGTGTAGCGAGTTTAAAGATTGATTTCCTTGTTCAGACGTTCTCGATAGATCGAACGTATTTTTAATAAAATATTTCTGATAAATTGAATGAATCCATCAATGGATTTCAATTCCTTGAAAGAATTTTCCTTCAAGTATGACAGAAAAAAAAGAGAATTATGGAAATTTCCTGTGAACATTTTTGATGCTTTTACTTTATCTTTTATGTATGGTGTCGCATGAATGACGATTTCATTTCTTATTTCAACTCAAACAAATTCTCTTTATATCCGTTGTGTTATCGAGGCAACATACAAAATTTGAGAACGCAGAAAGCGATAAAAATGAAACAAATTTGTCAACATTCTTAATGTAAATAAATTAAATATGAGGCAAAAGCACGTCATCAGCTTTTGTAACAATAAGAAAGAAATTTCAGTTGTTTAGATCTCCAAAATCCGTTATTGGCTTGAGTTATTTTCTTCTTTTTATCGGTCATTGCGGATATCTTTACGTGCTACACACATCTAAGACAAGACAGCGAGAAAGATATTTGTTATGTGACTCAAACGAGACCTGCTTCTTTTTGTTCTCAATCTCTGTTTCTTATCCATTCTCTTCAGTTCCATTCCACATAAAATATTTCTTATTTTTATTTCTGTTCGTGTCTTTTGCAAGCTTCATATGAGTTACGATTGAATGAAACACGGGATGAAGAGAATCTTCTAAGATGCTTTACGAACAGCGAATAGCGAAGAATGAGAGAGATAGACAATAAATGAATTGTCAAGGAGATGAAAGAAATGTTACAGGGTGACTAGAATTTCTTAACTCGATCTCATCTTTCATTAAATATCACAAATCTTCAATTTATTTAATGCGCCGTCGCAATATCTGTGAGGCTCTTTAAAATTTTCGTTTCTTTTGTTTGCATAAATAATGAAATGGGATCTCATGCATTTAACATAAACATGTTTATGATGTTATGATAATATGGTTCCATCCTTAGATTAGTTGCCCTAATAACATCCACCATCGTCAGCAATTCTTTCGATGTTTATTTTCTTCTTTTTTTTTTATTGCCGAAGCATTTTAACAAAGAAGAATGCCAAAGGCGCATAAACAGAAACCAACATGCTTTTGGAATCGCCTTTTGACGATGATTAAGGAGAAATGTGTGGAATGTGAGCTGTTTGGGAAACATGAGTTATGCCGCGTTAAAGATTATCGAATGTTTGAAAAAAAAAGGTGGAGAGAGAGAAATGAAAGAAAGAAGAAGAAATCTGTAGCAAACGAGATTTGATCGTCTTAACATATTTGTATGAAGATCGTCGTCACAGCGAGCAAAGATCTCTTCGCACCGTTATGTTATCATCTCCGTTTCGCATTGCAATCATCATTCGATTCAATGGAGTGTGGAGAAATGAAATGGAAAAAGCAGAAAGACATCATTTAGTTCAATTATGGTTAAGTAAAGCAAATTGACTTGGAATGGATGAAGGGACAGAAGAAAAGCTAGAAATCATTAAGAGATGTTAAGATTTATCTTTTCATTTTTCATTTAATACTTATCGAAGAGCGTAGTATCGTTCGTGCTGTAGAGCTTGTTTCTTTAACATAGTCAAGTGACTGTCCTCGACAATAATTACATCATCGCCTGCATCCACATGATGACTGTGCTATCAATAAATTTCAAACGACGCAGACAACCTACGGCTTTTAATGATGCTGATGTACTACAACATCGCACATTTCTCCTTTTAAGATATGTAGATACATACATTCGGTGTTTACGTAACGCAAAAATAATTATAGATTCGAATATAAATTCATATAGAAATATTTATGGCAAAGTGAGAGAATGGAATTGAATTGAACATTAAAAACGAAGGCAAAATTATTTTCATATTAAATTTGCATACTAAATGTTCAGATATTGATTTCATGTCGTTTTGTTGTCATAGTGATTAGAATAAATTGAAGTCATTAAAATGTGACGTTTATCATTTCAGAATTCTAATGAATAAAGTTTTGTTTAAAATTTGCGAATGTTTGTTGTGAGTTGCTGACATCAGTCCTTAAACGCATTTAAGATGTTAATTTACTTTTAATTATTTTATCGTGAAAACATTTCACACATTTTGACGAATCTTGATGAATTTTTGACGCTTGTTTGTTTTAATTTATCTTAGACAAGATAAGTTGAGACTTCCTTCAAATTGTTTTTCTCAAAACATTTTTTGTTGAATTGATTGGTGGATAAAAGTATCAAATTGGAATTATGCAAGACTCACGTTATGCAAGATTTATCTACGAATCATTATTATGCGAAATTGTGAAAACAGAAAATTCCAATCTTAATCATTTAAAAATTAATTTCTTTAATGTTCAAAATCTTCTTTTTTTATGACTCTCAAGAGAATCTTTCTTGTAACATGCTTTGCTTAAAATATTTCTGAAGTTTTAATTACAATCCCAACTAAGTTATAAAGTGAGTCTATGTACCTCTTCGCTTCTCGCTTAATTAAACATAAATATTTCCATGAGTCATCTGATTCCATGAATTCCTTTCCCATCACATTCACGCAATGTGCACAGGAATTCATTAACTTCATGTTTCGTCTTTTCCAGTGAACTAAACATTGTCGGTAAATTTAATTCCCTGCCGGTTAAATGCACTTCTGTGAGGGCATGAGCAAGGGATCGGCAAATAAGTGAATAAATATGAGAATGGCGGAAAAGTAAGACTTAATGTAATTCTATTTTTACGGCAATGATGGGAGGCATCATTCAGATGTGACGTTTCAATTATAGATATTTCATTAAATCCATTTTTTCCGCTCTCATCGTCATCGCCACTTTTCGAGCGTGAAATTTGAAAGTAAATTTTTCTAACAAGTTAAAATCGATTTTTATCCACACAGATTTTTCTTTTAATGTACGTTGTTGAATAACTTTCAGTCTATCGTAGTCACACACCGAGTGGAACCATCATGGAATGTCAACGGTGAAAATAAATCAAATTAAATATGTTTATCGATGATGGAAAATGGTGAATGCGAAGAAAGAAAATAAAATTGATAATCGCTTTTCCTTACCTTTGGCAACGACGCCAAAACTTGCTGCTTCACATCCCAAAGTAATTTATCAACAGGAAATTGAAGGCATTTATAGATGTCTAGTTCGGGGACATGTATTCGTACCAGGATCCAACCTTCCCTCGGCGCTTCAGGTGGCGGCTCATCATCTTCAAATGATGGCATTTGATTGGCACTCATCGTTGATTTCTTCATGTTGACTTTTCTCACACTTTAATTGAATCAATTTTCACTTTTCTTTGGAAGATTTCACCGAAAATTGCTTCTTCAAGATGAGAGGCGGTAAACTTTAAGCAACTGAAGTGACTACTTGCTTCGCAATTGCCCACTCGTTACAAAACTTACAATTGCCTAATGCACTCCTCATTTCAATTTTAATTTTATATTTATTAAAGGAATATATGAGCTTCTTTTCAACCTTTATTTCTTTTCTATTCTTAGCACTAATTATATGCTTCACAAACACACACACAACGTTCGTTGCTTGGCACAAGTTATTCTTATTTTTTCTTTACTGTTTCCTTAATTGAGATGATTTTTTCTTAGTTTATGTTCGTTCTATTGCACTCATGTGTCTATAAAATAAAATGTTTACTGGATCAACCGAGAGATTTCTTTCTTTAATGCTTCACAGACCCAGATTTTCAATTTCTCCATCAATTCCAAGTACTAATTCAATTATGTTCTTCATCAACCTGAAAGTAAAAAAAAGAGAAATGAATAAAAGTTATTAAAGGGTTTTTCAATATTTTTTTTGCTTCAAATTACCCGCTTAAAGTATAATTCAATTTACGATCGCGCTCTAGTACTTGAAATGGACAATTTTTTAATGGGATTTCAGTTCAGAAATATCCAAGAAATATAATTCAAATTGACCTTCGATCGTGCTTTCTCTCAACGGGTTTCTTTTCTTGTTTTATTCTTTCTTTTCTGATTTTTTTGGTGGCTAGAAGGCAGCAAAATGGAAAATTACCCGAAACGTCTTAACACGAAATGACAACAATGGACCCATCAAGAATCATTGTCAAGAAATTCCGTTTTTATGGTTCACTTCTTGAGGCGCAAAAGAATCGAGCAAAAAAAATGTTAAATAAACATTTTCATGTGATGATAAAGTGAAGCGTAAAAAGTTCCTTGACCCATCCACAACGCCTCAACAACGGTCGGACGATGCGACGCGTACATGAAATGCAATTTATTGCCAATCGCAATGTCTCTTTTAATATGTTTTTCGTGCATCCAACTTTACATGTGTTCTTGTTCTCGTTTGCATTCACAAGCTAAGAATCTTCTCTGAATTTCATTTTCTTTCTGTTTATTGATAACAACAACTGCCTTTCCTTCGCTTTAATGCTTATTCGTCTTCACATCATTTTAACATGCAATCTATCAGAGAAACAAAATACCTTAAATAATTCATGGTTTGTAAATCATTGCTTACTCCCGGATCCCCGCCGTGTAATGAAATTAGAACCGTGATCAAGAATTCAAGCTTCAAATTCGTCGTCATGCTTGAGTGGTCTTTCTTGGGCTCTTTCAATAGACCCAAGAACAATGGACAAGAAACAAAAAAATGAAGATAAACTTACTTGCCATCATCGTGATGATGAAAAACAACATCATAAAAAAAATCGAAAGTAACAAACATGTAACAACTATACATAGTCATTGATCTAACAAAACAACCCAAAAATAAAAAGAAATATGAAGTTGTTGGCAACACGTACCCATGTTTGATTGAAATGGCATATAATCAACAAAAGTCCCCTAAAAAAAGAAACCTCAACAACAACAAAAAAATATAAAAAGTGATGCAAAACAACGTGAAGAATTCATTTGTTTCGGATGGACATTTCAAAACGAAACAAAAATCGAAATAGAGAAAAAAAAAATCCACCTGATTGCTATGTAGACACCCAAAGACCGATCGTTTTGTCTTGTTTTGCCTTTAGGCCACCACCAATCGTTAATTAAATTAAGTTTTTTTTGGCTTTCATCTCAGATGAATAAAAATTAAAATCGAATTCTCATCAATAAGCCTCCAATTAATTGTAAGTCCGAATAGGATGAAACCGCAACTGGTATTTAACATTTTGTCTTTTTTTATAAGATTTTGTAACGAATCTAAGTATTCAGTAATTTGTGTTCAGGTTGGGATCTTTTGGGATCTAAATTTCTCAGACAAAAGCAGTAACTGAAAAATTGGCCGTTAAAACTATTTAACACCTAGTTGGGCCCATAAAGTTATTTCATAGCACCTAAATAACAGCCAATTACATGCATCACATCAATACACTCGCGTTGTTCGCGATTTTTTTTCTTAATTTATTCTAATCGAATCAAACAATTTAATGCGTTGAATTTGAGTAGAATTGCTGGAAGGGAACGACGCTTTGAAAGATTAAGGAAATCCAATTTGCATCTCATCAGGCCTTGAGTATCTACTCGTCATAAAGATTCGAATCTTCACCGTAAAAGTTACAAACCCTTTTCATTTTCTCAATCGCAAATCTTAAATCTTTCCATCGGCCATTGAGCGAATTATGAAAATTGTAAGTGACTGAAGTAGAAGAAATATTTAACATTGTGTGTAATGAAATGTATCTCTCTTTGCTAAGGCAAATTGTGAGTAGTCGTGCTTGGGAAGTGAATAAAACGAAATAAAAACGATCGTTGCGAAGCTAACAAATCCAGTTTGTCTGTTGTCAATACACCAAATGATTTTTTTTATGTAATTTTTTTTTGTTTGCTTCGAAGCTTGTATTGCTTGAGGTCCAGGTTTGCTTGCGCACACGGTTGGAGAAATATTTTACATATTCTCAACTTTATATGCTTTAAGATGGCGGGAAGGAGTGAGAGAGATAGAGAAGTTGTACATATATAAATATTTCAACTTGCCAATGCACAAATTTCAGTCGACGTTTTTTTTACGTGGAATGTTGTTGCTTTCATTATAAAGTTGAGTTGCCCACATATGGAATTTACTGGTTGTTGACTGGAAATCTTTTTTTTAATGTATATAAATCTCTATCTCTTTCTTTCTCTCTTTTATGTGAATCTTTTTTAATCTTATATTCTTGCTTAAAGCTTGTTAGACATTTTTAATGGAACAACTTTAAGATTTATGACGTCATTGTTGTTTATTGTGCGTGATTATGTGGGTGGCTGTTGACCCAATATGACATTTAAGAAGGCTTTTAAAAGACAGAGAAATGTCATGCTGATAAGTCAGACACTAAAACACATTTCAAAGTCAACGGCGATTCAGCTGGGTAAATAGAACAATAGAGCGTTAGAGCGTTTGGCAGGTATCGCTTGTAAGTTGTTTTTATTTTACAGAAGCTTAAATGAGAATACTAACAAACATTTGACGTGAATGAATATTAAGAAAGCGTTTCAAACGAGACGTAAAAAAAGTTGAATTAATGAATTGAATAAAATAAAGTGACAAAGATAGAGAGAAGTTGTTTGCTTGCTCGCAAGTGTCACTAAGTGGCTTACTATTTAAACGCCTTTGAACATTAAATTGTGAACAATAAAACTTCTTATATTTTAAGGTGAGATGAATTTAAAGTTCAAAACCTCAAGTAACATCACTGAGGTTTCTTCATCTTGCGCCAAATTAAAAGAAATAAATTTCTATGAATAAAAACAAAAACTTAACACAATTTCACGCACACACAAATGACATAAATAATCGTCAATAAAATTAGACTTTGTTTTCTTCTTCATTTGCTTTTGACTGCTTCACATGTCGGCATCTCTTGTGTAGACTACACAAAAAAAAATCGTCTTAAGTTTATGAAAAGCAATAAGCTCGGGGTAGGAAGTCCAATTAAAAAGTTTGTTTTCGTTTCAGCTTAGCCGTCTAATTGCACTTCTCGAAAAAGCGAACTGTAAATGCTTACGACCCATCAAGGTGAACCAGCCGATTGAAATAGATCATGGCGTGCAGATATATCAACGTCGATTACGTTACTTTACTTTGATTTCAGTCTTTCATTATATTTTTTTATTTTTTTTACTCTCGTCATCGTCATCATCGTCATCGTTCGTTTGTTTAAAGTCAGGTGTAATTGTTGTTATTATTTCTCGTCTTATACTCGTGACACAAATCGATCTTGATGGACACGACAATAAATAAAAAAAAAAAGAGCCAAATGAAAATGAAAAGTATTCACATGACCCAGACGAACATTATGTCGTTTTAATAGTTGATGGATGTATGGAAACTCAATACGTTTCTTCCTGACCACCATATAATGAATGAAACGAAGAACCTTCCGTGGTTTTACAACAACACAAAATAGTCCTCATCAACCACAACACGAAACAAACTTCAATTAAACTCACAATTGTGAAAATATTGAGAGCTTAATGCGATTAAAAGCCAGTAGAAATATAAAATCGTGATTACTGGCGCATTTTATGGCGTTATACTCTCTCGCAGTTCGTGACGATTGGAACTTATAATTTTTATTTTAGTTTCACGCGCTCATACCGTCAACAATAGTCATCGAGACGAGAAAAATAAATAGGAAAAATATTCAAATAGATATATTCATTAATCTCAAGATAGATAAAGAGACGGAGAGAGAGAAAGAAAGAAAAGTTTCATCAAATGTTGATTGAGATTTATTCGTTGCTTTTATATGATGACTGATCACATGACGAAGCTTTTTTCTCGAGGCATTTCGTGATTGCACAAGTGAGAGGAAATGTTCACGATGCAATGACGATAAGAGAGAAATCAAAACATTGTAATTAAGATGAACTAGAATGAAGCTAACGGACAGGTCTAATTTCTTCCCGTATGAGCTACTTAACGTCGACGATTGCACCAGGTGATCTGAATCAGATAGTGCATCTTACGGGCCTAGATCATCATCATCATCAACATCATAATAATTATTATCATAATCATCTTCGATAAATTGAACGAAATTCTTTTCAATATTAATTCAGTTCACACTCTCAGCTTGTTTCTTTTTTTTTATCGGGTCGCTTTTGTGAATCATTTTTGTTGATGGTTTCAACCGTTGATTTAAGTAGGATATCCGCATTTTCGAGACTGTTACTTTCGATAGCGTTGATGGAGCAATGTTGTTTGAATATTTAAAAATAACACAAAACAAAAGCAGAAGTTTTTTGATGTAAATGAATGTGTTGACGGAATGTTTTGTTGATTGGAACTCCCCCAATAAAGGAAGATGAAGTTCATCACGTTTGTTGTTTCCTATTTCAATTCGCGCACTACGACATCCGAAAAAAATATAAATTATGTTACTTTTTGATATTAACTAATTGGTCGGAGCTAGAACGATGATGATGATGATAGGGGAGAAAAAAAAAAAGCTAAAAGGAAGTGAAATTATATGCCCTGAGCATGAATTTTTATGACCCTTTAATTCGTTCGCTTGCTCCAATGATGGATATGGATTTAGCAAATGAAAAACACGGAAGATAAATGAGTTTTCCAGTAATACTGTTAAATTCTAGGGTTGAATGAAAATAATCAAATAAAAACGTTCTTAAGGGAAATGAAAATGCTATTTGAAGGACGCACACCCAATCTTTAGCACAAACATTCTCGTCGACGTCATTGTAGCCCACATTTACGGTTCAACGTGATGTTGTATGGGGAAAATCGTATCTTACTCGTTCTTGCTTCATTTGACATTTGTTTTTAGATGTTGTTTCATGTGAAATACCCCATTATGGTCAATATACATCAACAACCTAAACCACACACACTTAAAGTCTCTTTGACTAAGTTTTAGTTTGCGCGACCAAACCAATTATGAAGTTAAAGTTAATTATCTTGCTAAAGACTAGAAAATAACTAATGACGACCTGCTCTAAATACTTGTCGTCGTCGTCGTTCATGTTAAAGAAGAGAATAAAATCGACCACGAAAGTTTCATGTCACGAATCATATAAAGTCCCTTGATATATTCCCATCTATTGTTGCTACTCTTTTTCAATTAATTTCGTATACTGATCATTCTCAATAGTTTTTTCATCATTCTTTCTGACTTCCATCGTAGAAGCATCCGCTTTTTTATGTCTTCTTTCTATTCCTTATGACTGAGTGAGGAATTCAATTAAGCGTAATTCAATTTATTGTTTCATGTATCTTTATTCGGCATTGTGTGACGGTTGATGTCTTTTTTTATTCAGCCTTTCTTGTGTTTCAGTGCAATTAAGAGTAGCTTGGTAGCTGAAGGCAATCAGCCTTGCACTACTCTTGTCCCCGTCGCTGATCTTGAGACGTGTGTACATTCATGAAACACTTCATTTCTCATAAGCTGTGAATGAAGCATGTTCGTCTAAATATTCATTCCCAATGAGATTTATGACTGGTGATAACAACGTTAAAAAAAACTCGAGATTCAGCTCACAATCTCCATTACAATGGTAGCACAATCGACATGAACACGAAGTCGTAATTTTAGAGGTCGTTTAGTGCAATTTCCCCTTCAAACTCATAAAATTTACTTACCCTCAGATATTAAAATATTAAATGAAAATAAGAACTCGGCTCGGGTGAACGGACCTACGATGAAAGTCTTTTTTTCTTTCTTTTTTGGGTGTATCCTCTTTTATCCTATCCTAGTTTTTGTCCCGCTCTTACTTCTCTTTGCTTCGCTTTCACGCGCCGTTTACAGAGTTATAAAAATTCCTTTTGCACAATCAACCATCAAGTCAAATGACTACACGATTGGGCAACTTCTTTTTTCTTCTTGCACAAAGAATTGTCACCAGCTATTTATTTTCTTCACTTTTACTTTGCTTTCGCAATTTGAATAATTTTTTTCCTTTTCTCCCCCGAATAAAAACGCCAAAAATCGATAATTTTTTTTCTTTCTTTTGTGAGATTTTCTTCTTCTTACTAGGATTTTTTTTCTTTCTTCAGCTTTGTTCCAGCTACGGAATTTAACTTTAATTCATCTGTTATTACGGATTAGCAATTCAGACGATTAGCGGAATCAATATTTAGAGCTGTTTTAATTACACCCACTTGTTTCTTCTTTTTTGTAGCACACTAAAATGTTACACGTTTATACGATTATTGATAGCCAAAGTATAAATTTTCTAGGCGAGATTGATTGATTTTTTTTAGCAATTTGCACAATTTGTGAATTACAAATAGAATTTGCAACGCTTTTTCCGGTGTTTTTGTAGGTTTCTAAATGTCTTTTTCAAAATTTATCTGTTAATTAAGCTAAAAAACTTTACATTTTAAATGTTTAAAGGTTTAGTTAACTTGTTTCACCGTCGCAATGTTTCTCTCGACTGAATTCAAAAAGTTTACTTTTGTGTTATTTGTGAGAGCTTTACTTCGGCACAACATGTTTTTGATTCTTTTAAGAAGTTAGTTTCAGGTGGAGTGTGTACAATTTTCACGCACGGAGAAAATATTCACTGCACGGAATAAAGCTATGTAGCCTCTCTTTGTATGAAAATCATGGAAGGTCAAATCCACGCAAGCCGTACTTTAGACTTGGATTGTTTTTATCACATGCGTTTAGAAATTAAGAGTACGTTCAGAGTAAACTATCTCAAAATATTGAATTTCTGTCTAATCATCGAGTTAAAAAATTAATTTTTGTGCGAAATACAATATTTTCAAACATGGGAGATTATTCAAACGATTTAGGTGAGTAAAGTCATTCATATGTTAAAGAAATTTATGAAACTAGTTCAGTTTTTGAATGAATTCATATAAATCTTAGTTTTGTTTATTCTGTTTGTCATTATAAAAATAATTAATTAACGTTTGTTACAGTTCTTCTCGAAAGAGTTCTTCTCAAACTTGGTCTTGCTGATACAGATGAACAGTTGGAGATGCAATTAAATAAATTTCTGGGTCCGGTTTTATTGAAGATTGTCAGCCCATCAGAAGATGTCAGAAAGAAAGTAATGGAAATTCTCACCCACGTCAATAAGCGGCTTAAGAGTCGTGGTGAAGTGAAACTGGATCTTATTCCATTACTGAAACACTATCAAGAGTCTTCAAATTCATTTCTCATTAATTTCGCTATCATTTATATAACTCTTGGATTTCCTCGTCTTGATATTCAGAAACAAACTGAACTTGTGTCGGTCATTCTTAATTGTCTTGAAGGCAAACCAGAAGTTCATCAAAACAAGCTGTTAATGTTGATTCTTCCTTTGCTTGGTGAATTGAAATTTCCCGAGAATCCCGAAGAAAGGAAAACACTTTTTGGATTATCTGAAAGACCAAACACAAAGCAACATCTTTTGTCAATTCTCCTTGACGTTCTTCTCCTTCCTTATGGATTCATTGAAAGTGAAGTGCCGTCAGGAATGTCAAGTTACAACTTCAAAAGAGTTTGTTTGGAAAACAAAAAGGCTGAATATCTGGAAACGGTAAGTTATGAAAAAATTATAATTCTTTGATAAAATTTTAAAATCTTTCATTTCTCTTTTTCAGATGAAGAAAGGAATTGTCAGATTTCTTGATTGCGGTGTCTTTGATGACACTGAAATTGTGCCACATTTAATAGTTGCAAGTGCTGATACAAGATTTTCTGTTGCAACGCCAGCATTGAATGAACTTAACAAGATTTGCACATCTCTCGATTGGTTTGATGCAAAAATGACTGCGCCGCTTTATATTCTTTTCTCAGGAAATGGATCGAAAGTACCGGAACGTAAAACCTCACCATGCAGTACTCGAGTGAAACAAAAGATTCTTCAACATTTGTTGAAATGTCGTGGAAATGCTATCAATGTTGCTAAAGGAATTCAAGTAATTTTTGAAGGATTATTTGGAGGTGAATCGACGAATCAGAAATGTAAAGTCGCAGCTTTACAATTCGCTACAAATCTCATCTCTTATGGACAAAAAGATCTCATCGAAAAGCTTTCAAAAGTTTTACAAACTTACATTACAAAGCTCATTGGAAGTGAATCAAGTGAGCCAATCGACGTTCAAAACGCTGCTTACAATGCAATCGCAAAATTAATTGCAACATGTCCTGAATCGTTCAACAAAGATGTCAATTTAATTGTTGATTATTTCAATCATTTAAATGCTTCAACACCAGATATGCATAATACAATTCGTGAAGTTCTTGTTGCTCTTGCTCAAGCTTTTAAATGGGATCCATCAAAGCAAAAAGACGAACCGATGGAACTTGATGATGAAGGAAAATTCGAACAGAAAAAGTTTAACGAGAAATTTTCACCATCAAGCAGTCATCTGTTGATCCTTGGAGTTCTCCAAGAACAAGCCGAATCGAGACTTCCAATCGCACAAAATGTTGCAAGTTTATTTCTCACAACATGCTTTCCATCATATTTCGTACCAGCTCGTTATTTATTGCTCGTTCTTTGTGGAACAAGTGCACAACTTCGTGAAACAATCTACGGATATTTATACGGATCACAAAGGAAAGATCACATTAATTACAGTAAATTGATTTCATGTGATCATGTGGGAGATGATGCCGATGAAAAGGAACTTTTGATTGATCAAATGATCATTCTTCCTGGTTTCAAGCCAATGATTTATCACATTGAGAAAATAGCTGAGAAGAAGTTGTCAAGTGCGAGTGAACGAGCGACTTACAATAATCATAAACTTGCTTTCAACTTGGATATCTTCACAGAATTACTTGAGTATCTTCGTGTTTGCCTTTGGTTTTCTGCTGGTTGTTCATCTGAACCAGGAACTGATAATCAAATGTCAATGTTAAGTGATTTTATCACGCAACTTAATGATTGTGGAAATATTGAGCACATTGAGAAGTTTATGAAGTTGATAAGAAATGTTCTTGTTGCAAAGAAAGGAATTGTTGAGTTGTCTTGTTTATCAGATTTACTAACAGCAGCTCCAACAATCATCACAAAGAATAATCATGATTTAAGATCATCGCTTAGTAATTCATTACGTGAAGTTAATGAAACAACACGAACATTGATTGCAAGAATTTATGGAATTTTGTTAGCTTATGGAACAGACGAGAAAAATTTCAATGACGAAATTAAAAATTTAGCTAACGTTTCACAAAAATCTCTCGAGTATCAACATGGATCAGTTTTAGCTTTATCAAATGGATTTTATCATCGAATTATTAATTTAAGGAAGACTGAAGATGACATGGGATTAGCTCAATTGATTTCAAGTAGTGAACTTTCTGATTCGATTAATTATCTGGTGAAACTTTTAACTGATCAAAAAGCTTTGTTGACACTTGCAGCAATTAAAGGAATTTCGTTAATTGGTTGTTCAACTGAATTACCGTTGGAAGAAATAAACGACGACGAAGATTCATCGAAAGATAAAATGGAAGTCGATGAACCACAAAACACTAAAAATTATGTTTTTAAAACAATCTTTCATCTCTTGAAAAGCTCTCAAACAAAACAAAAGATTCGTGAAGATTCAGCTCATTGTCTTGGACATTTATCGATTGGTGATTCAAAGTTTTTCGCAAAGAAAACGATTAATGGATTTTTGGATCTTAAAAGATCAACAAAAGATGCAGCAATTCATATTGCAATTGCACAAGGACTGGTTTTTGTTGTTGCTGGTGATGAGAATCTTCCCAAGGAAGTTCATTGTAAGGAAGACGATGAAATGTTGAGAAATTTGGTCAGTGAGTTAGTGAAAATTGTGCCGGAAGTAAATGTTTGTTCACGTCAAGCAGTGGCTTTGTGGCTTCTTGCTGTGGTTAAAGCTTGTTCACAACGAAAACCTGTTCTCGAGAAGAAACGAATCCTTCAAATGGCTTTCACAAATCTTCTGTCAGAAGAGAATGAATTAGTTCAAGATGTTGCAAGTCGTGGCTTGGGTTTGATCTTCAGCATCTCAAATGAAAGCGATCAATCGGAATTATCAAACATTTTACTTGATCAACTGACTGCTGGTAATAAAGGAAAAGTCAGGCAAGTCACTGACGACACGCAATTATTTGAAGAAGGAGTTTTAGGAAAGACACCAACTGGTGGAAATCTCACAACTTACAAAGAACTTTGCAGTTTGGCATCTGATTTGAATCAACCAGAAATTATTTACTCCTTTATGCAATTGGCAAACAACAATGCAAGTTGGAATAGTCGTCTTGGTGCAGCGTTTGGCTTAAAATCAATTTCAGGCATTGCTAAAACTAAAATGCAACCTTATTTGTCAAAAATTGTTCCGCGATTGTTCCGATACAAATACGATCCAACACCAAAGATTCAAAACAGTATGATAAGCATTTGGGATTCAGTTGTTATTGATAACAAAGAAACAATTGAATTGTATTATTGGGAGATTTTGGAAGACATTACAACGAACTTGACACATTCTGAATGGCGAACAAGAATTGCTTGCTGCTTAGCAATCAGAGATTTAATTAAACGATCGAGTGGGTTGCGATTGAGAAGTCGAGAACCATCACAATCGACAGATGAGAAGATGGAAGTTGATGGAAATGTTCCTGAACCGGAACTTAAGAAACTTTGGTCACAACTTTATCGTGTCATGGATGACATTCATGAAGGAACACGTGAAGCAGCTGAAGGAACAGCAAAATTATTAGCAAAGATTTGTGTTGTTTCTGTTTCATGTGATCACGGCAAGAGTGGAGCAAATGTTTCAGCTTCAATTCTGCCTTTTCTTCTTGAGACTGGCGTCACACACACAGTTAAAGAAATTCGTGAATTAAGTTTGAAAACAGTTTCGGAAATGATCGATTCTTCTGGACAATTAATTCATCCGCATTTATCGTCACTCATCCCATGCTTATTGAAAGCAACTGGCGAGTTAGATTCGTCGAAATTAAGTATGTTAAGTACGATGGTGAGTGCACAAAGTGGAACACAAGAAGCTGTTGATTCGGCAAGAGCTGAAATGGCTAAAAGTCATTACACGATGGAAACACTTAACAAATGTATTAAATATATCGATTACTCAACTTTAGAGAAGACAACGCCAGCTGTTCTCGACTTGATTAAGACAAGCGTCATTTTAGGAACGAAAATAGCGACAGCACATTTTGTATGTTTGATTAGCATTCATTTGAGTAAAGACATGACGCCTTTAGTGGGAAAGTATTTAAGTGCATGTGTGACAGCACTTTCAGATCGAAATACTGTTGTAAGAAAATATTATGCGACAGCAATTGGACATTTAATCGGCAATGCTAAAGACACAACTGTCGTGAGTTTGTTTAAGAAGCTCAACAGCATGTACTTTGAAGATCAAAGTGGAAAATCGCGATCAATTGTGTTGACACTTAGCGCCATCAACAAGAAACATGCGGACATTATTAAAGATTATTCAAGTTCTATCATGCCATTGATTTTCTTTGCGAAACATGAAGAAATTAATGAAGATAATAAATCGACAGTTGAAATGTGGCAAGAATTATGGAATGATGTAAGTTTCGGTGATTCTATGCTTCAACTTTATTTCAATGACATTGTAGCTGTTTTGGAGAGTTCTTTGAACAGTCAAAGTTGGTTATTAAAAGCACAAAGTGGATGTTCAATTAAAACCATTGCGAAGAGATTGGAAACATCCTTGAAAGAAGAAGATCGTATTCGATTGACGGAACTTGCTTTATCGAACGTAAGTGGTCGAACGTTTTATGGAAAAGAGAGATTAGTTGAAGCACTTGCAGCTTTAAGTTCGAAAAGTTCTAGTAAAGAACTCAACAATCGAATAATTGAAGCAGTTTTGAAAGAATGTAGAAAGGAAGAAGAAGTTTATAAGACGAAAGTTTTGAAATGCCTTGGAGACGTTCTTGAAACTTTGGATGAAGAAAATCGTTTCGAAGATGTCTACAACATAGTTTGGGATTTGTTGGATAAACAAACACTTTCATCGAAGGATGATGAAGCGGGAAGTAGCAACACTTTTAATGAAGAGCGAAATAAACAAAAAGTTTTGTTGATCAACTTGAAAGAAGTTGTTTGTGAAACTTTGGGAAAATCTTGGCCATCATTAAAAGCTGTCAACTCGATGGAAACTCAGGAGAAATATCAACTGATGTTGATTATTAAACTCACGGAATGCTTGAAAGTAAACACAAGACCCATTCAAAAGAGTTTGTTAGTTGCGTTGGGATTGTTCTTGGAGAAACTTCACTTGCTGAGCTCCGAGTCGGTTGTGAAAGAAGAAAACCTTCTCAAGATTTGTGATTTGGTGATGGTTAATGTTGCAGAAGCTTCAGGTAATTTTTTTTTTAATTTTATTTTATCAATAATCGAATTTTTTGTTTATTTGTTGTTCACAGTTGTACCTCACACTGGATTGAAGAAGGAAGCACTTCAAGCTTATTTAATTCTCCTTAAGAAACTCAAAGCAAAAGACAAGAAGGACGAACTGAAGTTCATCAAAGGGAAGTTCGAGGGAATTTTAATTAATTTCCAGAAAGATTCATCACCTGAAATTAAACTTCGATTGCAAGACATCAGCGATCAACTCAAAGGAATTTAAATAATTTATTTGTATTTTAATCATAATTCAGAAGAATAAATTTTCTTATCTTATTAAAAGAAATTTCCAGTTATTGACATGACTTTGGGACAAAATTCTTTTGCTAATAAAACGTATGCAGTGTCAGAGTTGACACTTAAAGTTTTATTTTTTGATAAATTATTCCAGAAATGGACGACGATTGAATCTTTTGTTGCTTCCATTGCGAATTCTTTAAAATCTTCACTTAAAAGTTTCTCCCACAAATTTCCGGTGATTGGATAACAAACATTTCTAGGAAGAACATGAAAACCATCACAGTTTCCCATTGCAACCATTTCCTTGGTAGAATTCGTTCCACAAAGTTTCACCAAGACTCTTGTCACCATATCTGGCCCATTGCTTCCCCAAACAGTTCCATCAAAGTTCTCCACTAAATCATTAGCAAATATTTCTGCTAATCTTTTCCCATCTTCGTTACTTTCAAAATTCATGACAGCTCCATTAGCGGCATTGGCAACATCTACGCAAAGATAATTCCCTGGAATTGAATCCAACTTCTTTTTCACTATGACATCAGTGTCAAGATATGTTCCACCATATTTCCACAATGCCATAACTCTGATCACATCGGAATAATGACTGCTTTTAAATGTTGATTTTTTCAGCTCATCATTCTTTATGAAATTCTCCATTGGTGATCCAATTGAAAATTTTGTTAGATTTACATAATTTACATGAACATTTGGAAATGTTTTAAGCATTTCAATAAACATTTTTTCATTTTGTGTCAATTCAATTTTATCGTCAAATGGAAATCGCGAGAAAAACATCAAGAAAACTTTCATATGAGAATTAGTTCGAGCTAAAATAAAAAATTTTGAAATTACTTTTGCTTGTTTCTGGATAGTGATAAAAATTTAACTCACCAGCTGATTCAATTGCACATGCTTGTCGTGCTGAGAAATATCTTGGCTTCTTTCGCCAGACCACCCTTGTGGTGTCAACAAAAAAAATATTTTTGTCATCTTCCGGTTGAACAGTTGCTTGTAAAAGATTTTCAATTGGAACTGAATAAAATTTTTCTTCATTTGGAGAGCTTTCTTCACTTTTTAATTTATTCCAAAATTTTCTACACGTGATAATCAAAAGTATTATAATTAACAAGAACAATAATTTTTGCTTCCTACATAAGAATTGAATAATCATTTTCTCGTAATTAAGATGTTTCACTTTAAAAACTTGAAAAAAATTCTCACTACGATTGCAACATCAAATGTTTATTCAAATGGCTTCGATAAAAATTTTCTTTGCAATATCAAAGCGGTTGAAATTTTAATAAACGAACGGCAGTTAAAATTTAATCTTTAATGTATCGATTAAATTAATTAGCGCTCAATAAAATATTTCTTTGCTTTGTAACAAAGTTAATCGTCTCTTGATAACTTACAATGATCCTCATAATTTTCCATTATGGTGTTATGAATCAATGATTCAAAACAAATATTAATCTCGGGCCGTGTGATTGCTTCTTTAATATTTATTCACTGAACATTCATTTTTTTATTTCACTTGCAACTTGCTAATCTCTTCTACAGCATTAAGAAAAAGGATTATTACAAGTAGATTATAAAATAAAATTAATAGAATTTCTCTTTCGAAGTAACTTGCGTTTGATCACTTAGGTTGTGTGCAATGCTAGATAATTTAAAGTAATGTGCATGTTCTTGTAAATATTGCAAATAAAAAAACTTTAGTTTTTCATACGAGCTTGAAGTACTAACTTGTGGTTCTTTATTTCTCTTCTACCACTAAAAACAATTTTATAAATTATTATGAAATATGGTGGCCAACATAAAGCATTTGAAAGTCTCGTAGAAAAGTATGGAAGTTCGATTTTGGGTGTAAAGCTCGGGAGAGAATTGGTTGTTGTAGCTTATACTTGTGACATTGTAAAAGAGATTCTTACAAGACAAGAGTTTGATGGTCGACCAGACAATTTCTTTATTAGACTGCGAACAATGGGAACAAGGTAGAAATTTTAACACTTTCTAAAACAAATTTAATTTTAAAAATATTATTTTAGATTGGGCATTACTTGTACTGATGGGAAATTGTGGAATGAACAAAGAAGCTTCGTTATGAGACATTTGAGAAATGTTGGCTACGGAAAATCTAGAATGGAGGATCAGATTCAAAGCGAATTGAAGGAACTCACTCATTCTATTGAGGAATTTGAAGGTAAACCCATTTGGCCATTGAAAGATCTTCTTCCGCCAAGTGTTATCAATATTTTGTGGATTTTTACAACTGGAAAGCGAA